GTCGAAATCGTGACGTCACGCATATAGCGTTGTGTTTGGATATTCTAAATTTACCGCGTATTTTTCTCATTTTATATTAGTACTCGAAAAAAAGTAGTATTGTTTGGCGCGTAACGTTTAAACGCATACAGATCCAGTAGGTAGAAGTTCATTCCATGCTATGCACTACCCTAGACACCTCGTGCTGTAATTTTTCCTCGCTCACAAAAAAATCACGAGAGAATTGGAGTGCTGAGAATGTTTGATTAGAGAATAAAGCACTTTGCCCCTCATGCAAGGAAATCACAGTTTACCACACCGACTGCTGCTAGTGCGGTTTCTGCAAGATTTTCCTGGCTATTTTAATCCCGTCTAAAATTATTCTCGCTCAGAGATCAACTCAACACCAGACTGACGGATATTGTACAGGTTGGACGTGCAAGCTACACTGGAAGTTTTCCAGATTTATAAAAGACCAGCAGTTTGTTCCTGGAACATATCTTTCAAGTAGAGACGACGTAAGCTTGCATATTAGACAGCTTGGAACAACATTCAATCTTTCAAAAAATGATTTAGGACTTTAAAATTAAGCCAAGTAGGTTAACTCTGCACTTCCCGCGCAACGCAAAAGATTATTAACTACGAACGTATGGGGCCAAACCAAACACACGGGTTACGATCGCTAGATGGCTTAAAATTGGTTATATACGAGTATATAGAAGATTTACAAGATTGGGCTTCATCTGAGAAAATTTGCTACCCCTACTCTCTGTCAATATACTAAGAGTTTTCTCTTGCCAATGCCCCCTCCCGCCAAATCCCTGTGGGCGTCCTGCCGCCAAAAAATTGTGATACATCTTCCTTCTCTCCCAAAACCCCCACCGAGCATTTTTTTAGGTTTCAAAAATTTCTCACAAATGAGCATATCCTCTGAAAGACAATTTTGAGTGTTTTTTTTTTGCTTTTGCTCCGCCGCCACTGGATCGATTTTCAAAAACTACAAAGCCTTTTCGTTCTTGTACGGTATTTTCAAGTTATAGAGGTGGCAAGGATTAGTGGACAGAAAGGCAAACAGTCACACCGGCAGAAATGAGTGACTTGTACGTGTAACATCCAAAAAACATAGTATCTGATTTTAAACATATTTCGCGCTTATAATAATTCTTGGGGTGGGTTGTAAAAAGCTACCTAGAGAAAATCCATAACGCGGATATCCCAAACAACCACTGTTTTCCGGAGTATTTTTAAACAATTAAACAAAAATATAATGGACAATCGGCATTTTAAGTTGTCGATAAAAATAACTAACGTTATGGTTGAAACGCCGGCATATCTTTATTTGTGGAAACTGGAAATTAATTTTGTATGTTATATTAGTTCATACGAAATTGTTATATGCCAATTTTTCTTATTTCAATAAGGAAGCAGAAACAGCCGCAACAAAAATCTGCATCGTATGTAAGGTACGAGAAAAGCACATTCAAACCAAATTTCCCATATGATAATATGAACTTTTCATGGAGTAACCTTAACGTAGGTCAAATCATAACATTGTAATAGTAAACATTATTAAGAGTTTATATAACAAACCGTATAAGTCCCTGTCGCTGGTGCAACATACATAGGTTATGTACAAAATAGACGCAAATGATCCTCAATATTATTAATTACTTGAAAACAATGAAAACATCACTACCTAGGCAAATATTGTGGATTGTAGGAAGTTCAAACATAGCAGACATGCAAAGCACACATTTTGAGTCTCTCAAGGCAATGAAAATGGTAAAGTGTTTAAATCAAAATACTACTAGAGATCTGTATTGCAAATCACAAAATGTTTCCAATTACAGAAAATATTTTTTGTATGTTTCAGGATGCCTTATCAAGAAAATAATCTCAATTATCCATACCAATTTTGATGGGATCGAAATATTTTTTGACACATCAGAAACAATTGCAAGGAAAATGGCGTCAAGTAGGCCAACCCTCCACATACCTCGCAAACGCTGTTATCAACTCATAACGGATTATCTTGGACACAAATTAGTCTCTCGGAGAAAAAGGTTAGTTGCAAACACAAACATAAAAATTACATAGATCAAGTCAGTCAAACAGGTCCACACAATTAGTCCATAGTCTCCACTCATTTAACACCGTTGCGATCTAGCAGTTTCTTCCCTGCCCTATCGACAGTACCGACGATCTGGCAATCTTGCTATGCTAACGCCGTCAATCGTCAACTACCCATCTCATTTGTCAGACGTAGTTAAAACCTCTTCAGATGTGTACATCTACAAAAATGAAAAGCGAAACAAAGCGATTTTTATTTTCCCATTTTTTGCCTGTAGCTCGGCCACCATTTTTCGACTTTGACATGTAAGCCTGTGTGAAAATTTGATCAAAATCTGAGCGATACTTTCCAGGTTACAGTTTTAGTTGTGAATAGCCCGTAATTGTTTTGTTTACTTTTATGGAGCCAAAATAAACGCAAATAAATATTCTTTATATGTGACGCGAACAACTACATATATTTGAACATCATTACATTTGAGAATATCTTGTATTTGTATACAAGATCGATACTCTTCTCTCTAGCAACTATCTGTTAGAAGACAGGGGCGTAGCTACCGCCGTAACAATGATAAGGGGCAACCAGCTTACATGAACGGCAAAAAAAGTGTTATTCACAATCTCAAGCAAGTTTTTTTGCTGTACGCTAAATTTTAACGATTCGGATTACCTACTATGACCCACACATGGATTTACGTAGACATCGCAGAACAAAAAACCTTTCATCTGCATTTCTAAAACTTTCGCATTCACACACCACAAAAAACTCTTCTAGCCCTTTCTCTTGTAAAAGTGTACAATTTTATAAAAAGGCAACTCTTACTAATGAACCACCCCCTCTGACTGAGAAAAATTCATTCGGGCACCCATGGCCAACACGTGACAATTCATATAATTCAATGCCAATGTTTAAGTTTCTTCAAATTTCTTCCTCCATTTGGGATTCGCCAGTTGGGTGGGGCCTCCCTACACATTTTGATATGGCCCCCCAGAGGAGCAAGCTACGCCACTGAAAACGATTAACGATTCGTATAGGTACTGTTAGCAAAAACAACTTTTGAACTTTCTTTGGGACGAGAAGATCATCATCCGCATCGGTAATTTATTGCTTATAATGGAATATCGAATTAAATAAACATATTAAAATGCAAAGTAGGTAGCCCGTTCACCTTCCAAGATAAAATAATGGTAACTCAGTCAGTGTTTCAAACCTACCGATAGCCGCGCTAGTTATTGGTTCCGGTTTTTGGAATTCTGTTATTGAAATTGAAGCGCTAAACCTTTACTGTCAAAATTGAAAGTGATTAAAATATCTGCTCGGGAATAAATCTACTTGCCACTTGCCACAATTTTCAGCCTCATTGAAGTTCTAAGGATTTAAAGTATCTTAGGACAATGAGGCAACATCTTTTCAGATTTTCCGTAAGTCTAGATAAGCATTGCTAAAGAAACGTTTTTGAATATGCCCTAACCTGAAGCAATCAGAAAGGATGTGAGCAAATATTCGATTTTTTTAAAATTGCAACCCCTTCACAGAGGTATTAGGATTACCCTTAAAGATGTTCAGAATGTTGTAAAGCATTCAAAAACAAACTTTGGGGTAATTTAAAAGTCCTCCCTAATAAAACTACATCACCAACCTATGCAGAATATCAAGAATCTTGATATAAAACAAATAAATCAAAATATGTATTTGTGATTTATCTATGTGAATAATTTAAGGAGTTAGTTTTATGATAAAATAAAAAGTTATCTCCTAACACATACAATCAAAATCAGTCTACATAATGTAGTAATTCTTCAATAAGTTTTTAACAAGACAGTTATTATTAATTTGGAAATACGCGAATGCTAGGACCCATCCTAAATTTTGGTTTTATATATTCCTTTTATACTATAAAGTTATTGTTAGTATCCATAGACTCTTGTAAAATATTATCATAAAAGTAATGAAATAAAAAATGTACCTAAACACAAAAAGCTGTATAAATTTTCTATTGTATACTATGCCTAGGTGTGTTGTATTGTGATTTGGAGATTTCAATGATAAAAATAAGCATGTTAAAATATAAATCAATGGTGATCAATCATTCATTTCAAAGAGGAAGACCTTTAGGTTTACGATGTTTAAATACAAGTAGGAATCAATTTTAATTAACTTTGAATATTTAGATTATGTTAGGAACTATAAATTAAATTTATTTCTGATTTCACACCTCCAATCCAATTCTGCCGTAACTACAAATAGGTATATGAGTTTTGATATAAATGTCCTACTTTTTACAGATTTTCGAGGCAGCCCTATAACTCAAAATATCTAAAAATTGCACTTATGGCAGTATTGAATTTTGGAGCTTGATGACCTGAGTAGATATGAGACAAACATCTGAAAATAGCTATCTTTAATAAGCAACTGAATTTATTTGTACCTAAATACATCCTGTGAATGGTGGCAACTGTTTAGGTGTATTTCGCCGCCAAAACAGAATATCATAAATCCGTGAACCTCATCCGTCGGCAAAATAACCACACATCCAACTCCAGTTTATCACAGTTCCACAACAATCAACGAAACTAAATCGCCACTTTTTGCACTAGAACCCGAATCCTAAGCGCATTCGACAAAAAACACCGACTGAATGGTGTAAACAACAACGCGAGTCGTCAAATCCCAGTAGGCCGAGCCGTCCACTAAGCCGCGCCGCACACAAAACAAAAGACAACGGATTCACTATTCCACTTCACTTTTGCCCACTCAAACCTTTCCGCCATCGATGATATAATCTTAATTTACCGCATTATAAACACGGTTTTCGCTCGAAAATTTTCAAATTTCGTCCCGTTGCCCGAATCTCGCCGACTCGGTCGTTCGTAACGGCAAGCATGACAAGTATGTAAAGTATTGTTGGAATTGTAGACACATTGCTGGCATTCTAACGGGTATTTCACAGAAATATGGCACTGAACTGTATGAAAATGTTACTTATAACGCTAGGTACTTACCAAAATTAAAAAAGCGAGCCTCCCCGCCGAGTTTATTGAACAATTAGGACGGATTTTGGTCCGTGGAGTTTGTCTGTTTGTGGTATCTGGTATGTCAGGAATGGTACAAAGAATCTGGATAACGCGGAGCCCGACGCGCACGTTCACTGCGCATAGCAAGCCGTGTAAAGCCAGTTTTCTTCAAAACCTCTCCCCGTTCCCTTCCAACAACATAGAAATCCACGTTTTGCATGCATGTGACATCTAGCGTGCAAGAGCTTTACATAAAGAAAGAGCACGCCATTATCAGTCACATGTCAAGCAGCATCTGTCATGAAATGTCAATTCAAATGACGCCAAGTTTGAATTTTCTTTTAACGGTTGTGTTGTCTTGTTGTTTGTATTTTTTTGTACCTTGTGTTGTGCACTTTCACGTCGATAAGTTTTTTATGGGTAAATAGGGAATAGTATAATACATAGTTTATTATTTTAAAATCAGAGCCAGGGAATCTTATTGTGGTTTTAATAAATTGTCAGCCGAAAAGGTAAGCTTATGTCTGAATTGTGTATTATGACATATAAAAGTTGTTTTCACACAATATTGCAATATTCCCAATTTTATTTCTGAAATATCTAAATATTCTGTATCTTTGAGATTGAACGTCTAGTATGTGTACCACATAACTTGTTGACTAGTCGGTAAGTGTTTCTTCTAGTAAAAACAACAGAAAGATCTGGTCCTCTTATTTTGACTAGTTATGCATTTATTGCTTTGTTTGGCCTAGTCATTCCTACTAATAAATATATATAGTTTCGACGTATTCAGTTGCTCTTTTATAACACAATCCAGGCTTCACATACAATCTATTCTTATAAGCCTAAAATTAAAAATTTAATCACATAACAAATGAATCTATTTTTTTAGTTATCAAGATGACAGGTATAGAGGAAACCAAAACATCAACACCAAACATTAATGCCTCGAAAAGGCGATCTCTATTTAACCAATCAGTGATTGCAAGTTCACCATTAGTGGTGATGTTAGAAAGAAATGCTGAGGATGATGAAGAAGAACGTCGAATGCGTAGGGCTGAGGCTGCTAGGAGGTCCCTTCTTGCGGACCAGTCTATGACAGAAAAGAAGGATAGGCGTAGCTTCTCAGATTCATATATCATGAATGAGTATAAAGTTTCCACTCAGCTATTCAATGAAAATGTGAGTGCTTCAAAACAAATTATGTCTTACTCTTTGTGTAACTAGATCTGATGCATACTTGAATCTACTGGACTGACAATGCCTATTTTTGCTGTTTAGAATAAGGGCATTCAGCCAAGATTCCAGCACTTAAGCCCTATTAGGCTGTTTGTATGCCCTCCTCTGGGATCACTCAGGGCTGGGTGATCAACCACCCAAAACTATTGAAAAAGGTGGTGTTGCAACACTTCAGTTGCCCCTTACACTATCAGCCTATTTCTGCTATACAGCATGCTTTCAAAACATGGGGAAAAAATCCAATTTATTTTCATGCTTATTTCTAATACTGCTTCATTTTGGAGGTATAAGCCCTTAACAGATAGTGCTGACCATCAGTTTTTCTTAAATAACTTTCCAACATTACTGCATAATCCAATGAGTTCAAATATGTTAGGAGTCAAGCCTCTATGTTTTACACTGCATGATTTTTAAATTATGTAGTTTGCCAATGGATCAGCATAAATTTTTTTCTCTAAAGAGATACCCAAAGAACCTGTTGTACTGGGTGTATTCACATTTAGCAGGGCATAAATACTACCTGTGTTGCGATGTGAATCGCTCAGTTATCACCATAGATGCCATTATTGATACATATATGAATAACTCATATAACACTAAAAGAGTGCAGCAGCAGATTTTTTTCTCCTTATATAATGAAATCACCTTACATCTTCAGGTAGATAGGATTTTGATTATATATAATGAAATACTTAATTTTAATTGGTCCTCCATGGAGAATCTTGCATCAAATGATGTTACCAAGGTATGTAACAAGTTTTTATGTTTTATGATCGGCTTAATTGAGATTTGTGTCCCAGATTTAAAAATAACCCAAGAGGGTATCAACTCTGCTATTACTGCTAATATAAAAAGAAAGGATCAAGCTGAGAGGCACAAAATTTAAAACTGAGCATTATCAACGCCTATATACTGAACTCAGGAGAGACGCGAAATGTAATCTTGAAGCTTCCTATCCATCATTTGTTCAAGAAATTGAGGATTCCATTAACACTGATCCATCACAATTTTTATGAATACTAGAATGAATTAATTAATCCGATAAATGGTTGTCTAAGGTTTAACAACAGTCTGATGTAAGTAATCTGAATTTAGAGTTGCCTCAGTTTCCCAAAAGTCTGAAATCTTTGAAGAAAATAAGAGAGGGTAACATAATTAGAGCAAAACTAGATAATAAGTTAACATCAGGTGTTGATCTTATCCCAAGCTTTGTTGTTAAGAACTGTACACATGTACACACATGTACAAACCATTTGAAATTATTTTGTACACAACAATCTGCTATACTCCTCTCGGAAGTGCTATAACAATATATCAGCACAGTTTTATGACCAACATATCAACTATTAGTAGTAACTTAGCTTGCATAACACAATTTATCTCCGAAATATTAGACTTTCAAGGCCAAGTTGATATGATATACACGTATTTCTGCAAAGCATTTGACTCTGTTGACCACTACTTGCTTTTATCAAAATTATGATCAGCCGGACCATGCGAAGAGTTATTATCCCTGATGCAGAGCACAAATCGTCGAGTGTGGAGGTTACACCTCAGTGCCTTATACTCCTACTTCAAGGGTACCTCAGGAATCAAATCTAGGGCCTCTATTATTCATAATATACAGGGTGTTTCACAACTTATGCGCCAAATTTTAACCATATATGCACTATTACGAAAGAAGTTGATTTCTCAAAAAAAAGCCCTACAGAAATTAAGTTATAAACCTGAGTTTCAATAATAAATTGGAAAATAAATATCTCTGTTTTGCGTTCATCGTCGTGATATTAGAACACGCATTGATAATTTATTGTAGCAAATGTGGTACCAAATAACTGGCGAAATCAAAATACCATGAATTTCTTGTTTTTTCATAGTGATAAGAACTTGTAAATAAAGGTTTAATCTGTATCGTGGGTGATCTGAATGAAGAACGGTCGATTTTTGTGAAGTTAAATAAGAAAGTATTTTGCGAGTTTATGTTTATAGTTATTTATTAATAAAAATGGCACATGTACACTAATGAGGAGATTGTTTTAGCATACGGAGAAGTAGGGCAAAATTCATGAGCGGCTTCTCGTTTGTATGCACACCGAATAGGCACATACCACATCACGATACATTTGGTTGAATAGTTTTACGTGCACGTGCTAGTGGAGATTTGCGCCCCAGACGTGGAGTGGATGGGGGCCCACAACGCGTTTTAAATGCCGAAGACGAAATTTTGGATATTGCGGAAGAATATCCAGGAATACGCACAAGGCAGTTAGCCCACAGGTCCCAGAAGTGTCACATGCAACAGCGTGGCGCATATTACATGAGGCCCAACTGTACCCTTATCACGTTCAGAGAGTCCAGACTACAGACTACCCCCTAAGAGTAAGATTTTGTGAGTGGTTGTTGCAAGAAAATGCTGGAAATGCCCGTTTTGCAGCTGTTTTTTTTGCCACCGATGAAGCTATTTTTACTCGTAATAGGATAACCAGTATTCATAATCACACGTTTGGTCCTTTGAGAACCCTCACGCGGTGGTCCAGACACACTTCCACATCGTTTTTCTTTAATCGTGTGGGCAGGTATTGTCGATGAACGTCGTAATTGGACCGCCAGATCGGATGGATGGTCACCACTATTTGGAATTTCTTCGGAATGATTTACCGATCCTTCCTGAAGATGTGCCATTGGTGGTCCGAGCACGGATGTGGTTTCTACACGATGGGGCACTTCCGCGTTTTCGTTTAGAAGATTTTTGTAATCAGATATACCAGATACCCTGGATCGGAAGAGGTGGACCAATTGCATGGCCTCCAGGTCTCTCGATCTAAATCCTATGGACTTTGTTTTATGGGGATACTTGAAGAACGAGGTATACCGTACTCCAGTTCAGAATATTGAAGAGTTTCGTGACCGAATCACAGTGGCTGCCGATAATTTGAGCCTTCAGGAGGAAGAAGGTGTATTTGAATTAGTGCGTCGAAATTGAATTAGACGCGCCCACGTTTGCATTGCAGTCAATGGAAACAATTTTGAACAGCTTTTATAAATAAGTAATTTGACGTTATCTGACCATATAAGTGAAATCGTCCCTCCAACTGGTTGGGTTTTACTCATGTGAAAAGCCTTAAAACAATAAATACATCTTTTATCAGGAGTAAACTGGAATATGCTGCACCGGTTTGATCGCCAATTTATCAAAATGCAGTTTCAAGTATTGAATCTGTCCAGCATAAGAGCATGAGATACATCCACTTCAAAGTTTATGGCATATATCCTTTATGAGGCTTCCCACACAATGTGCTACTTCAAGTCGTGAATTTTGATACGTTGGTTTACCGTCGTCAATTAAATAACAATACAGTGCCTCATAGTCTGGTCAATAATAAACTTGATTGGACGCTATTATTATCGGAAATAATAGGGGTAGAACCAACATATCAGTGGTAACAGGATGTGTGATGTGTTGGACAGTTATTGTCAAGGATGCGATGTCAGTAATGATATTCTTCAGGTGATGTTAAGTGGTTCCAAACACACATATATGCCGTGCTTAACCAGTAATGTTTATTTTTGCAAATGGAGCCGTAATTTTGAGATATTAATTTTGTTATGTCAATTGTACTGTCATTCATATTCATGTTTATGTTTTTATTTCCTGTAATGATGTTTTTCATTCATGTTTCAAATGCATTTTGTAAAATGAACTTATATACACCAGAGAATCTGGAACTTGATGTTTATTATTGGATGTTCCTATGATCGAGCGCAAACCTGTTTGAATAAAGGTTATTATTATATGAATACGAATATTCAGTAATAATTCCCAAAAGGCATATTCAATTCAATTCAATTCAATGGACTTTATTGTAACACATACATAATTATGTATCCTTACAAATGGCGAAGTCTGGCCAATGGCTTATACTTAACCATAAATGTCATGTCAATGCTTATTACTACCTTAAAAATAAAATAAAAAACTGAAAAAGAAAAGGAAAAAGAAGAATAATAGTAAAAGAAGAATTAATAAATATGACATAATGCGTACGATTAGAACAAAAAACATAATACGTACGATTCAAAGAGAAGACAATAACCTAAGAGCTCAATAAGTAGTTCTTATTTTTTTTTAGAAAAGTTGCTGATGAATCATTGTTCGAAAGAGTTGATCAATTTCACCGCATTATACGTAAAAGACCGTTGAAAAATGGCTGTCCTATGTTGTGGCATTGTCAGGAGATTAATGTTGCGCGTATTCAAATTGTGAATTAAATTCCTACGAACAAGCTTTTGCATAAGATAAACCGGAACAGAAGTTTTTAATATATTTACGACAAATGTAACAAAGTTGTATTTGAAAAGATCAGAAATTTTCAACCAATTCATTGAAGATTTTGAGTGAGAAACATGATCGTACCTTCATAAATTGTTTATGTAACGACTACATGAGTTTTGAATTTGAATCACATATGTTACAGAATGTTTGGTTTGTTCATTTCAAAAAAAGAATGGAGTCCTCCCATTTTAAGTTTCATTTTCTTGAGACAAATCGACTTAAATTGATCATAATATGTCTGTTGGAAGCATTAGCTATAAAAAACACTACAGTGTGTTGTTTTACAAGGGACACTGAAAATACTGTTATTACAAAAACAGCTTTCTTCATTTTTCTACTAATTCTGGTGAATTAATCTATATACTTGCTTCTAGAAAATCACTGTTAAAAATGCATGGCACCTGCGCATCATAGAGATCTTGAAGCCTCTTTGCCATAGACGTGCAGGGGAAGACCTCCTCCAAATTGCTGGTACTTCTTTGAAAATATGTGCCAAGGTGTTTTGTATAAGAGTGGATGATTTGCATGCAAAGGGCGTGCGTCTTGCCAATGATATGGCAAGAGTAGCTGCCAATCATGAAGCTGATAACCGTAAGTGAAAATAAAGTTTAGAAAAGTGGTTTTTAGTAAGCCTGTCGCCACATGTTCACAAGCCATTTATATGCCATAAGAGATCAGTTCGGAGTGATTTTGAAATGGCATAAATCGTGACTGATTTAACGATGAAGCGAGGACAAGATTTGGTCGGTCTTACACGTTTTGTTGTAGGTTTTTTTTTCATTTTTCAAAAAGATTCTGATCAAGCAGAGTAGTTTCGGCACACCTAGCTAAGTTGATGCGCTTAATGATATGATCATAAAAAATCCGTGAAGTGCCGTGTGCCGGATTTAGAGCCTAAAATGAGTCGCCTGGGATCCTTCGTGGGTCATAATGCCCTGGTGGATTCTGATCCGTCGATCTGGGGTTTAGATGACTACACGATTTTTGTGAAAATGACAACAATTCAACTAGACGAGTGTCAAGTTTTGCTAAAAAAATTGATTTCTGATCTCGATAACTATGAGACTTTCAATTAAAAAAGATTTTATCAGTACACATGATGTGACCTACTTCCAGTTGCAAGATTATCCTTCAATTTTCGGACACCCTGTAAAATGCTCAAAATCGTGTGGTACCGTGGGGCCGATTTTGAAGTACCTCACATGGGAAAATACTGTTGATCCAGATCACAGCAGGACCGAATCTAGAGTAGATCTTACTCGCTTGCTTTATACAGTTGGTTGACCTAACAAAAACCTAAATACGCCACGTGAACACCTTGAACACGATTTACGGATTATCCAAATATCATTGAAAATGATGCTTTCCAGGAAGTGATATTGACGAAGATGGTCAAGGAGAAGAGGGAGAAGATGGCCAGCCAGCTAAGAAAAAACAAAAGAAGAGAAGGGTAGTTAACCCCAATGGACCCAAACGTACAGTAAGTTCAATCTACTAAATTCTAAAAAATATTCCGGATTCATATCAATTCGGCAAATTCTGTACACGTGCATCATACTAAAATACATCTATCTCTTACTGGTTTTGTAATACAGGTATCAAAAGATGCTCAAAAATTCTTTGGACCTCTACCAAAGCTGGAACCAGCAGATATATCTAATCGGGTGAAAGCAGATTTTGGGAACATAGAAAGTCTTTGTACATTGACTTTTCCAATGAATAGCAAAAACTGCGCTTTTATCATACTGTAAGTAAGATAAAAGTTTTGGTTACTATTTTGTCAATTAATGTATTTTGATCTTATCTATTATGTTTTTTTTCTAATTTTAGCAACGAAGAAGAGCGCTTCAATAGTACCGCTGATATAGTGGATATGGACAAATCAGAAGAGGATCATCCTATGATAGACTTTGAGCAAATTCCTGTTACACCAATTCCAAAAACATGTAAAATCATGCTTCCCTTTAAGGATTTCGAGTTTAACAAAGAGAACCCTGAGTAAGTAACTACTTTCAGTGTCTTTTAGGAACCTCATTGAGGACCATCAAAAAGTATTTCCAACATTAGCATTTTTTCCAATATTGTCACTGTGGACTTCTATCGGATTTTTAAGTGATAAGGTAACTGGCATTGGTGTAACTTTGTGACCTTTGAGTTTTAGATTGCATTTCTTTTTTTATAGGCATCATATACAGCCTAGAACAGGCGATCCTTCTGAAGTACCACCTGTACAACTGGATGGTACTATTCATGATCCATTTCAGCATGATGATGATTTGTTTAATGGTAAGCATTTGCAAAACCGGAACCTGATGTCTAATGATACTGACTGGATGCTTATTTTTGTGTCCCTCATAGACATTACCGAAAAATTGTGTTATATACGGTGCTAATTTTAGATATGGACAATGACGGTGGTAACTCGATCCACGAAGAAATTGGCGTAGCTGAAGCAGGACAAGCTTCCGCACCTCATCTAGTGGACAAAGAAAGAACTACAATTTTTGGTCCTCAAGAAGAGGCACAGGTACTACATCAACAAATGCGCATCAGCTTCACCGATAGTCCGACCGATATTCAAGCTCAAATCTAGCCATGCTCTGAGTTTCATTCTTACTTTTTAAGCCATTGCTATAACTTTTTGAATACCCTCAATGATACATTGAATTAGTCCAAGTAGTATAGCCGCATCCGTTTGAAAAAATATTCTCATCAGATCTTTTGCATAATCTTATTCAAAAGGACTCTATTGTAAACAATTTCCAATTATTCTTGTTTTACCCTGGTGAGAGTGTCCGGATTATTAGGACATTTGACCAAAAATGTGTTTTAGAATGTTTCTGTAAAGTTGATCATTTTCAATGTATAAGCGATTTAATATTTCTAAAAGTGCAAGATATGGTATTTTAAACCCTGAAAAACAATATGGAAAAACAAAAATTTTTATTTTGCCAATGTTTCTATATATGCTTCAAACATCTGTTAGCAAACTCCCAAAGCATTTTAAGGTGTTATACAAATGGTACTATAAGTTTTGCAATACAGCTTTATTTATTGACTTCGTTCAAAGTAATTTCCACCACATTCAATACACTTCTCCATCCGCCAAAAGCAGTCCTTAAAGCAGCTCTGCCAAGTTTCACCCGGGAGTGCGGCGCACTCGTCTTGTCACAAGCCCTCAGAAGGTTCTTATCGATAGAAAACCGTTTTCCCTTTAGCTTCATTTTTACATGCGGAAACAGTGCAAAGTTGCAGGGAGCAAGATCTGGACTGTAAGGAGGGTACTCAATAAGTTTCAGTCCAGTAGTGGTCAAATACTCGATGCAGACTTTGGCGCGGTGAGCTGAAGCATTGTCATGGTGGAGGTACCAGGTGTCCATCCTTGACTTTAGCCGCAAGTTTTTATAGACTCTATGACTTTAGGTAGATACTGTTCCGTGTACCACTTAGCTGTGACTGTCTTCTGTGTGTCCAAAACGACACGCTCCACAATCCCGCTCGGTTTGAAAAATACAACTGTAATTTTTTTCTTAACAGATCGGGATTTTCTCACATCTACGGGTGTGTCATCATCATCATCAGAGACCCAAACTTTGTTTTGAGCCTTGGTCGGCACATCGTAATAATAGACCCAAGTCTCGTCACCTGTTCACACACCGAGATTGCCCCTTATTAAACATTTTCAGCATCATTCGCCACCAAGTCGCACGATGAGTCTTCTGCTCTTCCATCACCGACTATGCGGTACCCAGAGAGAAAAAAGTTTCCTTACGGATAAATGGTCATGCCGAATTGGTCATGAATGAATTGCTGGTACATGAAGGTGTAAGGTCTCCTCTATCTGTTGGTATTTTACTCTCCGGTCTTCGTCAAGCATTTTCCTTACATCAGTAATGTTTTCCTCTGTTACTGATTCGCGACCTTCCTTCCCTGTCAGCATCCTCCAGAGTGAATTTGTCCCTTAGGAATTCTATGTACCACCTGAATATAGTCGTACGATGAGGACATTCATTCTCAAATGCAAGCATTATTTCTTCTAAGCAATGCTCAATGCTTAAACCATTGGTGAAGTTATACCATAAAACTGCCCTTATCTCAATACGTGACCACGATGCCATAGTCCGCACTTTACACTGTCAATACGAATGAACAACTAAATCAACAGACGTGCTGCTGGCGGCTACTATGCACTCATGGACATGTCTCAACATGCAGCCTCCTGCGTCCGTTTGTTAACTCATATTGCAACACTTTTTAATACCCTTTGTACTATAGTTAACCTTTGCTTTTCATTATTAGACAAGCGCACGCTCTATGTACGAGTATATTCTGCGTGAATGCCAGAGCTGTTACAGAATTATTTGTTTAAAAAAAATGTTAGTATTTTTATGAAATTTTGGGTCTGGCAAAATATGCAGATCTGTTAAAAGGAGTCCTTTTTGAATAGATTTAGCCAAAATCCGTGTCAGAATATTTTTCCAAACTAGTAGATGTCTGGACCTGGACTACATCCCAGTTTAACAGTTACGAGATTATTTTTTTTGTCTGCTAGACTCAAGTGAATGGGGTTAGAAACAGGGCAGTAGTCGGCACTATGACAAATACTACAGGCCAGAGTAAACTGGGAGATTCTTTTAATTTTGATCACATTGACATAACTACGGGATTGATCATTGACAAAGTGTGGGCAGGACCAGCACATTGGAAATTGAAGAATGTTGTACATACTACAAAGGAGGTAAGTTTACTGTGCAATTTCATCATCCCTAACTTCATTGGAGCAAACACTGTCCTTGACATATTACCTATTCAAATAATGCCAGTATTATTAACTGCTTGAATACCACTTCGTTCTGATGTTCACAATTATTTTGTTCTGTTTGCAATGAAAATGTTCTAGAATCAAGTTTCAAAAGTGGGTCAATATGACTAATTACACTCCAAACTGACTTCAGTGGTGTGCAGTTTAATGTGGCAATAACATATTATAATCAACATTGAATTTCGCAAAATTATCATAACTGTAAACGGTATTGTTATATTTTGTTTCAGGTGTTTACTGGTCGGAAAGAGGTACAAAAACAAAAGCGTGCACGTAAGAAGAAGGAACCGTGTGCAGTAGATTTTAATATAGATATAGATGATATTAACATAGATTTTAGCAAAAAAGTAATTTCAAAACCTGGCAAGACAGTTCCTGATAACAAGTGAGTTACACTGCCCTTTGACAATTTTTTGTTCACATGAAGCTGTAAAAAACTATCCAAACTTGGAAGGAAATGTTTAAAGTAGCATTTTCTATATTTCAGGCTGTTTTTGCCCAAAGTTGACGATCGGCTGATGGACTACCTTCAAAATCCTCAACGCATGGACGAATTATTCATAAAGCCCGGTACTTACGCTTCCGATCTGAAACGAATGTGGAATAGAGATACGGAATCTTTCTTAGAAGACAAAAACGCAGACGATGGATTTGATAATTCTCAGTTCGTACCTGCTGATGATGTAAGTAGTTGAAAACACCACAAACGATGTGTACAGCCATATGGAAACTCAAAACTCACCAAAAGATAGGCTGTTGCTTTTTTATAATCTTGTCACAATCCATATAATTATCAGATTTATATTTCCACAGAATATGCCAGACTTTGACAATGATGGTGCCAATGGAGATGCTTTGGTGAGAATCATTCAACATTTTATAACCAGTTACTATACTATATCACTGAATATAGAATATACCAAATTCATTTGGAAGTCGGGCCTGCACGAAAAAAAAAATACGTACCGTGGTGCCGTCAACCACTTATACCAGTTTCCCACAGTCTTTAGGCACCAGTGTTGCTACTTCTCTTAATAGCGCTGCAGGTTATGGGATTTCATTATCCGGCGCTGAGTGAATTACTATGAGGATGTTAAACGACCAATTTTCTTGAAAAGGATTAAGGAGTCTGTCTATGTTGCTTTTGAGGGAATGGAGAAGATTCGTGATATTCACAATCGCATAAGTAATGACGTACCAGCAAAATGTAGACTAAATATAATAAGCCAGTGAAAAAATTATTGAAATCGACCAATAAATGACAGAAAAATTGATACTTTAATTTGGCGCATTATAGCGCGACATTATTGCTGCCGTTCGTTCGCGTCTGACGTCGCACTTCTCTAGTGCCCAGCGTCTCGTCGCGTAGGTGTTCTACGGCGTCTGTGCGTTTATCATTAGTCTATAGGCAATTCTGTGCGCTCGGAAACATGCTTTCCAGTTGATAACTATTGAGTACTGCGTAAGTTCATACCATTATGGAAGCCGGATTTGTAAAAGGGTTAAGTGACAATTTGCCCAAAATTGACATTTATGCCGTGATGGAATTCATTTCTTCAAATCCATCATATACAAGCGCGGAAATAAAAGGTGTGCAACTTTGTAAGTATTTATGTCTACTGCTACACTATCACAACTAGCGGCAAAATGTGCGATACCCTACTGAGGTTTTAAACAAATTAGTGTTGATGCTTAATATGAGTAGAGATTTTCGAATATGACACGATACTTTTCTAGAATCTCATTAAAGTATACTATAATAACATTTCACATGCACACAGTAAGCTATTCTCGCTGAGTTGAAATAAGTGACCAGTAATATTAGTTGATAAATATTTCCACTACAAATGCCGCGTGTACAGTGAAATGGGCTTAGAAATCATATAATAACTAATAATCATAAATGAATAGTAAAGTGATATGCTCACATACAGTGGTCCTCACAGACATATGTTGCCATCCAATCAAATCACGCTTCATAAGTTTGCACCATTTCTTCCTTATATTTTCATGTAAAGGTACGTAGAAAAAATGTTTATTAGGGGTTGAAATTGTGCTCGTACATTTTGGAACGGTACAGTTTTTAGAAAAACCTTTTTTTCTTATTTCGCTTATAACCGATCGTATATGCAGTCAGCTAATTAAACAAATTGGGGTGGAAGACGTTTAGCCTACCATTAGTCCCGCTGTATGTGTGCCTATGCATGTGTTTAAGAGATTGAGTCGGCTCGGGCCCAGGAATCGGCCGCGGGCGTTGCAACTGGATACTGAAGTGTGACGTCACGCGTAGCGTACTGACAGAATAAAAATATTCTCCGGGGCGCAACTTAGGCTGTAACTTTTTTGTTTTTAGAGATAAATTAATAATTTTTTCACCATCTTGTTTCATTTTTCCTAAACTTTCATTTGAGCTAATGAAAAAAATGGTGAACTCGTCCATTACTCTGATCCTACTTGGAAACATTGCTGTGATGGTGGAAGCTTCGGGTTGGGCTTATTCTTGGAGAATGCTATAATGAATGACTATAAATTTTAAACACACGCATACATTTTGATAATTCTGTTTCCAATTGGTTTAAAAGATGTTAAAATAATCGAGCCCAAATTGTAAACGTATCAAGAGATTGTATTTCTAACAAATTAAATATAAATGCTGGTGTACCTCAAGGATCCGTACTGTGTCTGATTCTATTATGAGTGTATATCAACGATTTGATTAATTATTATTACCGATCTTTTAATGAAAGGAAGACAACATTTATAAGTTTTAAAGTATCCATTAATTCAATAAATTTAAATAGCCTCTTAATACATAACCGATAGCATTACATTTTTGGGACTAACCATTGATCGCAAATTTGATTTTACCAATGATTTAGAGCAGGCCTGTCCAACATACGGCCCCAAGGCCACCACTCGACCCGCAAAGGCGTGCGAGCCGGTTACAACTCTCATCCAAAATTCAAAAATACTTCGGAAGATACAACCACTGAAAAAGATCACTACGAAGAAAGAAAGAGTTGTATAGAAAAATATGAACTTCAAATAGAAAATCTTTGCGGCTTAACAACAGACCTGCAATGACAGGAGAACAAATGGATGTGTGGTTTTAATGCATCACACATACAATCATACTGCATCACTGGATTATTCATCAAGAACAGCTGTGTGCAAAAGTACTTGACGTGAAACACGTGATGGATAAGGTAATGTGGACAGTTAATTTTATACGTGCAAGAGGACTTAATCCCAGGCAGTTCCAGGCTTTCCTCTCTGATATCGGTTCAGATCATGAAGACATCGTGTACTTCAGTCGCGTTCGATGGCTCAGCAGAGCAGCCACACTGAAACGATTCTATTCGTAGTTCGCACAATTAACACGTTAAACGAAAACCAAAATGTTAGAAAAGTGTACATTAGGCCAAAGCGCCAAAGTCATGTTTCCAACAAACAATGTGTCTACGTCAAAAGCTGACACAAGACGGAAGCGACATGTACTGAAAAGAGATGGAAAATCTCATGCAGTTAGATGGTATTGTGAAGGATGTTATAATAAAAAAATAAGGGATGAAATACCAAAAAATAAAATTCCAAAAGTTACTACATATTGTGACAGTTGTGAAGGAAATCATCACTTCTGCCTTGCCTGTTTCGGAACAAGTCATGAATAAATGAAATTATCTTATATTTTGTATCCCTGTATCATAACTTATTATATATATACTAAGTGACATATAAATCCGAACACCCAGTTTAAATGGTTTTATTTTAATAAAAGTTGGTGAATGTATCTTACGGTAAATAACAAGTGAAAAAATTTTCAGCCTTATCAGTTGGACATTCCGGTTTTTATACTGCTTTTTTTTTAATTCACTAACGCTCTAAAAATGAATATTTCAGCCGCAGTAAAGAATCAACGTTGGCGGATTTTGGTTCTTGACATCCTTTACGATCGGTTACGATGCCTAGAGTACGGAGACCTGTACGATTTCGTCAACTTAGTGAGTTTGATAGGGGCCGTATTGTGGGACTTCGGGAAGCTGGACTTTCTTTTTGGGCAATGGCAGTTAGAGTGCAAAGAAGTGTAGACACTGTGGTTAGGTGTTATCAGGCATGGCTTCGAGAAGGCCGTACGCAAAGAGCAAGGGGCACTAGACGCCGCCGTAGAACAACAGACCGTGAAGATCGCCGCCTAAGATTATTGGCCTTAAGGGACCGTTTCTCCACTACCAGGTCCATTGCAAATGAATGGTTTGCAGAACACGGAAGACCTATTGGCATGCGAAGTGTTTACCGACGAATGAGAAGTTTTGGGTTGTTTTCATACCGGCCACACTGGGTCCTTCCTTTAACTCGAGAACACCGACGTAATCGCCTTGAGTGGTGCAGACAACGGTCACTCTGGGATCAGGAATGGAACAGTATTGTCTTTAGTGACGAGTCTCGATTTTGTTTAGGCATGCACGATGGTCGTGCCAGGGTTAGAAGGCAACGTGGTGAAAGGAGGAATCCACAGTTTTTTGTTGAAAGACATGTTCATCTCACTGTTGGAGTTATGGTTTGGGGTGCTATAGCTTATGGTTCCAGGTCACCTTTAATCTTCATCAGAGGTAACATGAACGCGCAGCGTTATATCCACGAAGTTCTAGAACCCCATCTTTTACCCTATCTATCAACAAGATAATGCCCGACCACATGTTGCAAGAGTCACAATAGACTTCTTTCAACATAATGATGTCAGATTGTTACCATGGCCACCAAGATCTCCCGACTTATCCCCAATTGAGCACGTGTGCGATATGATGGGTAGGAGATTGCTCAATTTGCAACGTCCTCCTCAGACTCTAGAAGCACTTCGAGAGGAGTTGGTGGTTGCCTGGAATGAGATACCACAGGAGGACATTGACCACCTGATCAGAAGCATTCCTAGGCGCGTTGGAGAATGCGTAGCACGTCAGGGTGCATCCACACATTATTAAAGGTCAAAGGGCTTTAAAGCAGTGCAATCATATTGAAATTTTTATCATTTACTTATTATGCTTCATTAAGTACTTATACAAAATTTTATTAAAATAAAACCATTTAAACTGGGTGTTCGGATTTATATGTCACTTAGTATATATATAACTGAAGTGGGAAGGGGCTCGTATATATAATCCATACAAGCGACAACGGTCCATATCTAACGCTAAAATGAATTTAAATATGGACCTCTGGCTGGAGTCACCGTGGAAATAAATTGAATATAAAGCGGTCCATAACGTGGTAAAGGTTTATCTTCAAAACAAAGGCCAATATACTAGTTTCCTTACTGATGAGCAATGGTTGGCTGATCTGGCTTTCCTAGTTGATATTATAACTAAGTGTCGTTCTGATCTCAACTTAAAACTGCAAGGGAAAGATCAACTATGCACGCAGTTATATGAACATGTTCAAGCTTTCATGAAGAAGCTCTTATTGTCGAAAAAGTAGCTGGAACAGAAGCAATTGGTTCATTGGGAGACCTTATCTGCAAGAAATCAAGAGTCACTGGACTTTGTAAAGTACGGGTTGTTGCAAAGGTTGAGCAATGAGTTTGACGAGAGTGCCGTAGACTTCAAATCGCAAATTTCCAGCATAAAAGTGTTCCAAAATACGTTTGATGTTGAAATTGAAAACGCAGAAATGAACCTACAGTTAGAGTCAATTGAATTGTAAAGTTCTCATCTCAACGGCAGACAATAGTTGTCTTCCAAATGAATTATTTAGATTTTAAAAAAGTATTTTACACTCAACTAATACCCAACTAAATAAGCTCTTCAAAATATTTCTTTATTCGGCAGTACATATATTTGCGAGCAGCTGTTTTCCCGCGTGAAATATAACAAATCGAAAACGAGATCATCTTTATTAGACAGCCGTTTTATAAATATTTTGCGCATATCCACTTCTAAAATACCAGCCAACAATATGTAAACAGTCAAAATGTCAGACATCTCATTAATTAGATTTTAAGAATACCCACCTAAATATTATACTCGTAAGTGGAATAATGAGGCTCTTTTAAGTAATTGAACCATATTAGAATGTGTCACTTTACTTTTCTTTTGGCCCGCTATGGTTACGAGAATACTAAAACTGGCCCTCCACAAAATTATGTTGGGCAGGCCTGATCTAGAGCAATTGCAGCACAGGCTCAGGCAGTTACTTAGCATTATTCAAAAGTAACTTAAAATACAGGATTCCCTTTTGGTACCTGTTCTAGAAATTATTTGAAAAGGGTGCTTGTAATTTAAAATTGATCTATTAGATATATAATCCTAGAGCTACATACCTACATGCTGGCCTTTATTTCTAAAACTTAATCACTGTCGAATCATTGTTCATTCTAGAAACAGTAACTTATATACTAAGTTACATATAAAATGCAACACCAAGAGTTATTTATTGAATTTTGATAAAAAATTGTGAACATATTTGCTACCATAAAAGTATACGCTGAAAAAATGTTGAAGGTATTCCAAGCTGTAGTTTTTTTTGTAAAGCCTTTTTTGTCATATCAGGATCCGAACAATATGAACATGTTTACTTAATATTCAGTAATTTTTCTGTGTTGATACCATTTGTTTCATTGCATTATCATGCCTAGAGTTCGCAGACGCGGTAATTTCAACTTTCCGAGTTTGAGAGCGGTCGGGTAATCGGGTTACATGAAGCCGGATATTCTTTTAGAGAATTCGCTAATCGGGTGAATCAAAACGAAACTACTGTAATCAGATTGTTGTCAAACGTTGTTCCAAGAAAGCCGAAATCGACGAGTGAGAGGTAGTGGACGACAAAGAAAGGCTACATAGCGTCATGATCGTTACTTGAGGCAACTAGAGATCGATTTTCCACAGCAAGGGCAGTTGCGAACCAGTGGTTTGATGCTGTCGGAAGGGTAATATCAATGAGAACACTTTATCGCCGAATAAGGTCTTTTGGACTACTTTCATACCATCCCCATCTTGCACTACCTCTGACCCCACAGCATCGTCGGCAACGATTGGTATGGAATGGAACTCAGTCGTGTTCAGCGATGAGTCCAGATTCTGTATGGGCACACACGATGGCCTTGCAAGAGTAGGGAGGAGACGTGGTGAAAGACCAATATTCCATCGAACGGTGTTAGGGTATATAGTGCTTACGGTAGCAGGTCACGATTAATGTTCATTCGAAGTAGCATAACTGCCCAGTGCTATATCCACTAAGTTTTACAACCACATCTGCTTCCCTTTTTGAAAAAATTGCAAGGCCCATCTTGCGACCTTATGTCGCACGTGTTAGTTTGGAATTTTTAGAAGCGCTTCAGTGGCCTTCTCGATCTCCAAACCTTTCCCCCATCGAACATGTATGGGAAATGATGGGAAGAAGGTTGCAAAATTTACCGCACCCTCCACAAACATTGAAGGCTCTACGAAACCAAATTCAGATGGCCCTGGGATACAATACACCAAGAAGACAACAATCACCTAATCCAATCAACGCCGCCGCCACTTAACAAATTTGCAGCGAACAGAGCAGCTTTAACACATTATTAACATTAAGGTGGGATATCTCGGCTATTTCGCGAAACTTCGAGTTAAAATTTTAATCTCTATCTGTTTATTAGTAGACCTCAACCTTGTAAAAGTATGCTCAAAATTGCAGCACTCTTAGTCGGCGTTGCATTTTCTATGTCATTTAGTATATTTTTAAAAATGAATCTAAATTTGAATCATCAAATAGTTAATATTAGGCGAAAATAATATCTTGAATTAATAGTACCTAAATCAACACTGATGCTATCATAAGAACTAACAATTCGGATAAATAAATAATATTGTATGTTAAACGAGTTCTACGAGAGATTTACTTAAGATCCACATGTTATATTTTAGTTATAAGATAGCCATTTCATTGAGAATATTGTATTCTTCAGACAATGAAGCATGTTTATCTATCCGAATTTAAAAAAATAAAATAATATTGTTATCGGTAGGATTGTGAAGTCAATGGAGGTCTAGAAGGAAGCGAACACGTTGCTGCAGAACAAAGAAATCTTCAGGACAACTTAGTCGAGGCACCACAAATGGTAAATTTAAAATTGAATGATACCCTACTACATCAATTAAATATATTCATTACAGGTTGAAACCGAGTATGTTCCATATGCGACCAAGGCAAAGCAAATAAACATGAAAAAACTGAAGCAAGCTATATGGCAACATTTGACGCAATCCAATGAAATAATTGGCACTCAACCAGTATGTAACAAATTACTTTTTTTTCAAATTTAGTTATGGATTGGTGTACAACTGATAATTTTTTAACAGCTTATAAAATCACGTCAAGTAGGTTGATCCCGCACTTCCTACGCAACGCTGCCATTAATTGATAACGGATTACATTCGGTACAAGTTAGTCCCACTTAGAAAAACATTGGTTACGAACATGTATAACAAAGGAATTAAATACATCATACAATCAGTCCATAGTTCAACAATGCGATCTAGCCTACCGCCCACCAACATTACCGACCATCCAGCCACGTCGCAATCCAGCACAGGATTATATTATACAGGACGACCCGCATGATGACTCAGTCATCCCTAGCCATCCAAAGCAAAGAGGCGCGCGTTCGTTGACTTGTCCGGCACGCGTACAACAAAGACATGTTTATAATTCAACTTTTAAGGGAGAAATCTTTGATTTATGAAATATGTCTGAAACTTGCGTAGAATTACCTGGGTTGAAAACGTATAAATTAATAGCACCAACACGTTGACGTATACTCTCCCCCACCTCCAAATCAAAATTTTAACTCATTTAAAAAAAATAATCTTGAGCCTCAGAAACGTCAATAAACCAAGTCGATTTTCAAAATCTACTAAGTTTTTTCGTCCTTGGCATAGTAGTAACCTTGTGTCAAAATTTCATTTAAATCCGAGCAGTACTTTCCAATTTGTAGGCGCTCCAAAAGGTTAGCGAACAGACATATAGATGGACTGACAGACCAACGGAAATGACTGCCATGGGTGATTTATATATCATACCTATAACCTCCAAAAAACATAATTTCTCATTTCGGAATTTTTCTTGATTACCATACTGCCTTGCCCAGTGGCGTAGGAGGTAAAAATCATACATGGCTACCAGTTGATGTCTTTTAAGCACTTGATGCAAAATATTATTTTAAACATTGATCATATGTTTTCTTTTAGGGTGAACGAAGGCCTGGTAGAGTGAAAGAGACGACATTCGCTGCTTTGTACAGTTCCCTACCTGAAATGCTAACAGGTAAAGAAAAGACGAATCTAACTTGCGCTCTAGCTTTTGTAGCCCTGCTGCATTTGGCGAACGAAGAAAACTTGCAGTTCAAAAAGGTTGATGGGGAAAATAATTTCACAATAAAAAGGAATGAAGGTGGTTAAAGTCAGTGAACACAGTGTTTTTGCTTTTATACTTATTCATTTTCAGGATATAGATGTACAAATGTATATAAATCTTATTTTGTAGTCACTGTTGTATTGAACTTCATCTCCCTCCTTTTGAATAAACCATTTGTAAAAAAATCCGTAGTTATTTTAAACGTTATGCAGTGTTTGCAGTCTAAAAGCTGTTTGGTTTTTTGTACATGTACTTAAGGAGGAACTTGCACTTGGTCACAATTTCTAGAAATAATTGAAAATTTTCTATGTTTAAGGTTGATGTCTAGTTTTGTAACATATTGTGTTACAATCACTTTTTGACAGAAAAACTAATCGCATGATATGTCACGTTAAACTTTAAATATCCCTTATTCTCTTTTTGGTAAATCCGAGTTTTTCGTCATATTGATGTTCTCCCTGTTATTGCATTACACAAAGGATAAAAATTATAGAAACATATTTAAGTAAAAACTAATCATGAAACTTGAGTAGCACTCTACATACGCGGATTCAGAGTGCCAATCTGATCTCCATTGGTGAGCTAGATGTTATCACTGGGAACGCAACAATCTGGTACAGTTTAATGCTTGCAAAACACAGTACCCTACCATGATTAACAAGAAGCGCCCTATAACGCTTATCGGGTTTCGATGGATGGCCAAGTTCGGCCAAAGAGCCTTTGGTCGGAGTCCAGATTACAGAGAACTTGATCTGGCACGAACACTTCGCGTCTGGGAAAAAGCTAGGTTATTTGTTTAGGACTGAGAAGTACTTTTCTCCAAATCTCATTCTGCAGAATCCCAGCCCTAGCCGCGAGTACTACTCACATGTTTGGGATGCTACCATCCAGACTAAATTATCCATGCTTGATACTCTTCAGAGGAGGGCTGTAAAGACAGTCTTGGCACCGACGGGCCGTCAGCGAGCTGGCTCCCTTCTACCGCTATGTCAACGAGCCTTCCTACTCAGAGCGCAGACAGAACTGCCTGACTTTGGTCTCTTATCCTAACCGCTTCGAACTCCATATCACCAGAACTGGCAAGTACTGCCTTAATCCCTAGGATGTCGAGATAAACAAAGATAATGGACCTCCCTATGTTGCAAAATATCTGGTCAAAATTTCAAAAAGTCTGTGATTTTGGGATTATAGTCGGAACTATTATGCATTAAAAAGTGATTTTTATTATTGAAATTAAAGTTATTACAACAAGTTATGAGGTTGCAGATAAAAAATATGAGTTCAAAATATGAGACAACTAAAACATACCTGTTTTCTACTTTACCATAAATATTTTGCATTTCAGTTCGCCGATTCCACCAATTTACTGCCCTTTAGAGGATTCAAAAACAGTTGAAAATCCAATTTTCATCAAAGCTTTATCTTATTAATAAATAATTCGTGCTTTAATTAAATCTATTGCCATCCTATTTCTGTTTAGTATACAGTTTATTTAATAAACTGAACAGTCGACTCCCTTTCGGAATAAGCATTGCATATGGGGGTTGATGTTAAAGGATTTGGCTTCTCAGAGTTTTACCACCCTTGGGCAGTTCAAAAACAAAGTGTCTTTAAGCTCCTTATAGCAGCCGCCGTGGCCCGGTGTTTAGGCTTCAGCCTGCGCGTCTGCTTTTCAGTAAAACGTGACTACAAGGTTGGAGGGTAATTCTTTAATGAGTGGATACTGGGAAAAAAATTGCTGATAAATCCATAGTTTCTGTCGCTGTCTAATTTCATGTCTACTGGGTGTGTTACGTGTAGTTGTTCGGCAAATTTGGCCTTGAAAGGCAATTGAGAGACCAGTTGTTTTATTGTAAATTTATTTTTTCTTTAGAATATATATGTACAACTATATTGCATATACAATCATTGATATTTTGTACATAAACAATATTTAAACGATATTCAGGTAGTGCTTTAATACAAAATAAACTTACTAAAGTGATTGTCACTTGAATAATAAAAATGTCGCTATAGTACACAAGCAAACTAGGTTGCAAAATTAAAAATCTAAAATACCCTAGTAAAAAGGTTACAAATAAAGGGTTTCCGCATATGCTAGTGATAAAGAAAACAAAATATACAATGGATTAAAAAATAACAACATCCAGGACTTTGTCCGCATAAAACATTAAACTACAATATAATAACTAGGAAAAGTATAAAAAAAATAACTATAAACTCGAGAGACGTATTTTTGTGAAAATATGAGGATAACTAGAAAACCACATAATGCAAGTAGAAGTTTGGAAATAACTATAAAGAATTGTAGATGATAATACAAAGCAAATAAGTTTTTTTAATGCTCAGTGTAATAATCGGCTGAATTCACATCCTAGATTGCGCTCAAGCAACATTTTTATGAAAAACTGTATATACAACTATTGATATTAATCCTTTGAATTTTGTCATAGATTTTATATTCATTGTGCCATTAATGATATACCCAACATTTTTGTTTCTAAAATTATTCTGTTCATTTAAAAATATACAAATGTCCAAAAGGACGGAGGACGAGATTTTGAGTTTATGTAATGATATTCAACTATGCCTCAATATTTTCACAAAACAAAAATTACCTAGATTTTCCCGAGTCACCACACTGATAGGCAATAACTACCCCATAATTTCATGGCATCCAAATAGTCATTCTCAAATTTGAAAATCTAGTTGCTCGTCTATCAGTGCAGAAGCATACATCAACGTATGCTTCATAATCGATATTGCACAGCAATTTTTCTTGATTACTCATGTTCCGTACGAAAATTCTTTTAAGGCGATTGAAGGCTATGTTAGATCAATACACACTAACAATGGCATATAAAATGATTACCTACAATTAGCACAACATAAATATCATATGTAAAAATAAATAGTACGATGTATTTACAACACGTGAAAATCGGGATTACAACTTTTGGTCCCTAAGCTAGACTGAGTCTTGTCTGGTAAATTTTCTGTCTAGTAGATCAAAAAAAATAGCTCTAACGTAATGAAAAAAGAATACTACAAACACGATACCTAGATACAATCCATGCAAAATCAAAAATATAATAATATGATTCTTCCCGATTGATTTTACTTGCTCTCCCTCTTTGCTGAAGATACTGATGCTGAACTGCACCTCACTCAAAATGTTGGAACATGAATGAACGTTGATAATGACTTAAGTCACTTTTATATTTCAATCTACTACCGAACAGAGTATTTACCACATCACACGATTGGGTAACAAATTTGTAAATGCCTGTCAATTATAACATTCAAACATCGCCTGGAATGTATCAAAATGGCACTGTGGACAGTCTGATAAGACAATGGCGACTCTTCAACAAACCTTATATCTCTGGATAATAACAGATATCACCCACAGTGAATGAAGGTCACCATAATTTAGCACTACCATTAATATACGAATAAATTTAAAGTTATTTTTCAAATCTGAAACCAGCACTTGTTTCATGCGGATGAGGGTCATCAGTACAATGTCAACGAGGTGCTTTACCGGATCAAAATGAATAATTATGTGAATTATTATATGATAAGGTATTGAATTCATTGTTGGCTGTCTTTGGTCGGATGAACGAAAGCAATATGATGATTTCATCCCTTATACTCACGTATTATCGGCCATATTGCCAATAATATCAGTTTTTTTTGGTAAAATATAGGCTGCGTAAAAACTGATTTTTTTTCTGCAAGGAAAAAAATAGAAAATGACTTTTTATCTGTATCAGTTGAGAAGAGTCGCCGTCCCCTTAATTTTAGATTTTTTCCATTAACCTTCCAACAACGTAAACATTGCAAACCGATAAAATAGAAAACAAAGTTAGTTCATCCATTTTCGGCAGTTCGGAGCTCCGCACATGCAGGATATCTTGTGTTGATCATCCTCTATGTCGAATTTGTAGTCGTATGACAACTGAAACAAATAATACATTCTGGACAACACGTCTTCTCTGTTAAATGTTTTTTGAAGCTTCTAAAGAAGTTAGTAGCTTAGTAACAAAGTTTTTGCTCCATTTATTCTTAGACCACCAAAACAATTTTTTAAATGTATCTTAAAATCGGCATATAGAGCACAATATAGAAGTTAAAATGTTCTGAATTGTTGCTACATTTGGTCTTTCATTAACAATATTGCTTAATTCGTTGTCTTTTGTAGACACACACTTTATCGCTGCAGAAAATCAGGATAATTGTCAATAAAGAGTTCGCTCACCTCTTCACCCCTCTGTATTCTGCGTTTAGTGAAAATAATAATTCTGACATCCCTATCAACTTCTACAGTCTCGGCGACACAATTTGGGTTGCAGGAGTGGTTGATGTATCTTGCTAAGCCACCACAAAGCGTCGCGTCTACCACTCTTTCTTCGTCGAGTCGAAACATGTATATACCGCGATTCTGGAAAAAACAAACATTAACTTGTATAAAATAATTTCCATTCTTCATAACCTCTAATCACTATCTTTTAAACAGCAAGAATAAACAGGAACTTGAAAGGCTCTTAACTACTCTGCTTGAACTGTACAAACCTTTGCTTCATACTGCTTTTCTCTACATTCTGCAAGCTCTGTCCTGATGATTTCCCCAATATATTCAATTACCATGGTATGTTTTTCCAGATCTCTAGCAGCATACAGACCAAGACCTTGAATCTTTGACCTGAAAAGGAAAATTTAGGTCAAGTTACCAGGTATTGCTTGAAATGGTAGATATCAAAAGTTTCAACGTGGTGAAGAGTACAATTGAGTTTTATATGCTTTTGTGAGCATAAAAGATGTGCAATTTTTTTAAGCTCATGGAACATCTAAGCGATTTTTTTTTTCGTGCTTTTGCCCCTAGCTTTGCCAACACTAGACCGATTTTCAAAAACAACAAAGCTGTTTCGTCATTGACATAGTAGTAACCGTGTGTGAAAATTTCATCGAAAGCCGAGCGACACTTCCCACAATATAGGCGGTCCAAGGATTATCTGACAGACACGGAAATGGGTGACATGGTCTTTCGTGACGTACATGTCATATAACATCGCAAAAACAATATCTCATTTTAAAAATTTTCCGCGATTACAATACTTCCTCGCCAGTGGGTGTGGGAAGTAGAAAAATGACTATTTTTAACTGTACAATACGACATTGTAATTGAGTGTTCATGTTTCTATTGCAACTAGATAATTCCAGTAAAAATATTGCTTGTTTAGAAGCGCGATCATCATAAGGTTGTCATTCTGAATCCTCACTTGATTACAGGATATTATGACAAAAAATTAAAACCACAAATGTTGAACTCAGTTTATAAATACATCTTACCTTGCTAGATAAACATTATTTTTCCACTCCTGCTTCATTTTCTTGTACTGTGAGCTTTTGGAATGAACGAACTGCTTGCTATATGGACAGGATAGTTCTCCTAGAGTAACGGTTGAAGATAATAGACCCGGTGGTGGTGGGTGTCCAAATAATGGCCTCGCCTAGTAAGAATTCCACATGTTTACCGCAATGTCGAAAAAATATATCAATTCTATATTTATAATTTTACATGAGAAGGTCTAACATGTAAGGCATGTCCGAAAACCGTGGTCAAACTATGAGGGGGACATGCAAGTGCAAAGGAATGATCTCTGTTGTCAATTATATTGTTACAGAAAAACAATAATATTGAATAATGAAACTTTTTCATTTGTAGAAAATAAAAAAACCTATTTGGTGTAGACTTTTCATATTTCCCCAATATATACTCGTAGAAATATATATTTTTCATAATATTTTTTTAACAATGATACTCTCCTTATGAATCACTTTTACTTACATTTGTAGAATTTGATCCAGAAAGGGGTGGCTAAAATTAGAGAATGCTTCAGTAGCACCTCAAGCATGATAACTAAAATGTTTTATGTCTTGACTATTAGGATTTGTCTGTGTGGAAGTGGGCGTGCTATATGAAGGTATGTGGGCCTTATGTTGTGAGGAATGTTCAATAGTTATCAGTATACTCATAGAGGGAGTTGAACAGTTTTAGCCCTCTCACACACATAAACGGGCTGATCCTCATACTTTGAGATTTCCTACAGCTGACCTCCGCAACTTATACAAGACATTTATTACATGTACTATCACAACTGCTGAGACTTAAAACTGTTCTATCTCCACGTGCACAGGGTTTCCTAAACAGAGTATTAATTTACCGATGATGGAAGAAACTTGCTGATCAAATATCGAAGGAAAATATACATATTTATATCAGACGACTGAAATTCAATTTACACATTTTTTCACAAAAAATTCATATCTGAAAAAAACAAAAAAATCGGTACGAATACTGCATACCGGCATATCTGCCATTTACGCTACGTAGTCGAACGAAGTAAGCTATTATTAATGGCCTCAAGTACAGAATTTGTTTACTAATAATACTACACATTTTAATCTCCGCACCTAAATATATGGAAAACTGGACATCCTAAAAAAGGTTCAGACAGTAGAGTTTTGAGGGGGCCAAAAGATGGTGCCTTGACTACGACCTTCAAAGGCAAGTTAATATTTTACATCTAAATTGAAAAGAGGAGGAAATTTTACGCACGAATGTGACCATGACCTTTAACGTTAAATCGAGACATTGAAAACAATTTATTCTAACAAAAAAATGTGAGGTTTATCCAAGGGTGGCCTTGACCATGATCTTCAATGTCAAGTAAACATTTCTAAACGAAACCCCTCATTTTTGCACTGACTTCGGCCTCGCATCTTAACCGCGTCGAACTTCATACATCCAGAACTTGCCGATTCGACCGCTTCTTTGTCCCGAGGACGTATAGATTGTGGAACAATCTACAAGAGGAAGCTTTTCCCAGTTCTACTAACACACTTCCTACGCAACGCTGTCATCAGTTCAATTATGTTCGTTTGAACAAACCACAAATGTATAACAAAAAAAATTAAATGGGTCATGTCAGCCAAACAGGCCCATATGCAGTTAGTACATACTCCATAGTCCCCATCCCTTTGATAAAGCTAACGCTAATTTCTTCCCTGCATTAACTATCGACTATCTTGCAACGCTGCTGGACTACACCTGTCAAACACGTCATAGGCATATGAAAGCCGCAAATCGTTGATATGTGAAATATGTACTGATACGGGCGTAAAATTACTGGGGTTGGAGAAGCTTATCAATATGCTGCCGAAAACAAAATAAGATATGCCTTCCCCCATCCCCTACAACCTCCAACTCCCGATACCCGACACGTAAAAATTTTTTTCTGAAAATGATCAGGAGTGTCTGAAAAGCCAAGAAACGAAGTATGAGTTTGTTATTTTCGTGTTTCTGCCCCTAGCTCCGCCGCCACTGGACCGATTTTAAAAATCTAAAAAGCTTTTTATGCTTGGTATAGTAGTAATCTTCATCCAAATCCGAGCAGTACTTTCCAAGTTATAGGCGGTCTAAGGATTAGCGGACACACCGACGGAAATGAGTACAATGGTTTTCCGTGATGTACTTGTCATATAAAATTCAAAAAACATAACTAAAATCATTTTCGAAAGTTTTTGCGATTATAATACTTTTTCGCCAGTAGGTGTGAGAAGTAAAAATGAAATATATCATGTTTCCATTGTGTAATCAATATGTCAATACTTGTTTTGGGAAACTCCGCATGAAAGAATTCATTTTTTTGTGAAAATTACTTACCGCTGGCCCAAGAGTTCTCTGTGTATGCGGTCGCTTCCAGTGTAGCTGATTTCGGGATCGCGGCTCTGTTCTTGCAGCTCCAGAAGGATTGATAGCTAATGGAAGTTCAAGCAAAGGGTTGCGACCATATTTGAATTTGTAGTCGGTGAGAGTGTCAATACCGGGAAGGCTTTCTAGTACCCGCACTATGGCCGGTTCGGTAAGACCAAACAGGTCTTCGCCGGTGACGAACTTCGGGAACATATGAAGGCACTGGTTTTGGCTTCGCAAGTTTACCACCTGGAGAAAAAAAACGTGTCAAATAGACTTTGTACTGTCCATATATCTCAGATTTTTTGCCTACTTCGACATAACAATCGATTATGTCTAGTTCCACCGATCCAAACTGTGGAAAATAAAATCTATTTTTCCGTTTGAATGACAAATGTATGGAGCAGAATATCTTCAACTGATACCAAAGATGCAACATTTGAAATTTCCATCCTCCAATTTTCAACCACTCCTGAATGATTTACAGGAGTCTAAAACGGCGAAAATCTAAGTTTTACCAATTTATAATTTTTGTTTTTTGCCTGTGGCACCGCTTTTTCGTCATTGGCATAGCTATAATAAAAATTTCATTAAAATCCGAGTAGTACTTTCCGTGTCATATGGCTCCAAGGATTTGCGCGCACACACAGACCACAGGCCTCAACAAAACATATCTCAGTTTTGAAATCTTTCGCAAAAAAATACCTTGTCAATGGCATAGATATCCAATTTTGCTCTCGCTAGACGGCACTTATGTGACGAGCTAATCAGCAACTGACGTATATTTCAAATAAGCTATACAAAATAAAGAGACCTATAACAGAACAGCCTTTACCACTGCTATCAAAGTTGTAACCTCAAACCACACGCTACTATACACAGATGCCTCAGTAGATCGAACCATGGATGCCCGCAGGAATTTTTCCCAGGGAGGACAATCATTGGCAATAGATAACTTTTTGTAAAAATGTACCTGCCCTTGAATCTTTTTGAAGAGTGAGGGTAGCAAATTTTCCCAAGGGGGACAGTCAAATTTTCAAAACTGTACACAAAATCATATGATATATACAGGCGAAACCAAATTTGTCTAATGGCTTGGGTTCAATGTGTACGAGAGAGGCGTGTATCCACACATGGTAGAAAGAAAAGCAGGCTGAAAAGGTTATCATTGCCTAGCACCGTTGCCGCGTTGCCAATATATTACACCATAAAATGTTCGCACCGGCTGCTACAATAGGTTAGGTTACTGTCAAACCCAAGAAGTAGGTCTGTTCGAACATTTATCTAATATTTTTGATTAAATTTATTTCAATTTTGATGCGACTTAGCGTTTTAATTCATTTTAGAATCATCTTTGATTCCCACCGATGGCGATAAAATCAACACATCCTGAGTTGTTACATTTTGCAACAGCGCTGCGGTCGGAAAATGTAACAACGTTACGTAATAGAAATTATCACTGCCTGCGTTAGGACCGATCAGGAATCAATCCTAAATAGGTGCGACACAATTCAAAAATGTGTACGCTCAAAATAAAACCAGTATTTGGGCGTAAATAATAAACTAACGCTTATTTTCAATATGAATCTTGATTCAAGGAACTGGTATAACATACTCGCAACGCAATTGCCGCGTCAGCGTTGCTAGACAACGCGGTGATGAGCTTCGCTATCCAGGCGGCTTCTATCTCACACATAACATATGTGTCTATACACACTTCTCTCTCGTACACATTGAACTCGAGAAGTCAGACAAATTTGGTTCTCAGAGTATAACATATATATAGTCAACGCCAAACAAAGTGGCGTGCACGTCATCATCACGATAAAAATTCCCCGACCTAATGCCTAGGTTTCTATCACAAACAATTGCTCTATTGCAGTTTCATATTAATGTGATATATAAATTGTAAAATGGTCATTACTCTCTTATTATGGTTAATAGTCATATAAACATTGTTATTAAAATATCACATAAGTTGCTTTCTGATAAATTTAGACGCATTATGCGAAATAAAATGTTTTGCAAACGCTCCAATCACTTATCGACATGTAAACGCACTAAACCGGTTTCGCAGCGTTGACACATTGTCACCTTGAAACTTATTTAAACTGGGAACTGACATTTGTATTAATTTTGACACTGAATCAATTTGTGGCATTTCAAATCTTTATAAATCCTTTGGCCCCGCATACTGTAAATCAACAACTGTTTGTTTCAAAACAAAATTATTCATTTTACGAGTAGATAAAGGCAGTTTTGGTATATAAAGATGCCCAAACAGTTAAATAGTCGGTGTAAGGAACTCGTGGCCTCGTTAATGCACTACTTTGAGCAAGAAAGGGACAACAACGGGCCTTTGTTGCCTTTAAATGCTGTTCAAGAGGTAGGTTACTAATAATTATATGTAATGTATATTAATAATCGTGAAATTTTATTTCATTTTTTGTAGCGTGTTGCTGATGCTTTAAAAATTAGTTTAAGGACAGTTAGTCGTATTTCCGAGGGTGTGAAAAGTGATGCAAATTTAGAATCGCCCAAGAAAAAGCGGAGTTATATTAAACGTGTAACCAACACAGCGACATTGGATACAAGTGCCATTCGAGAAGTGTTCTATAATATGTATCACAAAAGTAAGATCTTATTATAATAACTTATCAGAAATTTGCATTAATTTGTTAACTAAATTATAATGTCATATTACACATGGTTTCAGAAGAACAAGTTACGATACAAACTTTATGGTCTCGATTAAGAGATAGGGCATTATTTGATGGTAGTGCCACGTCTTTAAGGCGGTTGCTTAGAGATCTTGGATTTAAGTGGCTTAAGGACACTCCGCGACGAGGGCTCATGGAACTACCAAGTATAGCTTTGAAAAGGGTGGAATTTCTAAGGCAATACAATCAAGCCAAGGTTGAGGACTTATACCAGTTTGTCTTCCTCGATGAAACTTGGATATTTCAAAATGGGACCATAGGTCGCTCTTGGCAAAATGGAAACCAAAAAAGCGTGAAAGCTATTGAAACAGATGGTAAAAGGTATGTACTTTTACACAATTTGCACTATAAAATTTAAAACTAATATATTTTAGATACATTATATTACATGCTGGAAATGAAAATGGGTTTATTGAGGGTAGTGAAGCGATATTTTCTTCGAAAACAAAATTGAGCGATTACCATGGAGAGATGAACCAGGACAATTTTTTGAAATGGTTTCAACATCAGTTATTAGAAAAATTGGAGAGTCCATCTATGATTATACTGGATAACGCCCCTTATCACAGCATGATATTGAACAAAGTGCCCAACAATGCATGGACAAAAAAAAATATCCAAGACTGGTTGACAAATCAAAACATACCATTTTTAAACACAATGTTTAAAACAGAGCTATTGAGTATTGTTGCTCGGTACATAATGCTTCTTAATTATATATATTTTGGTCGACAGTTTATATTTCTTTTGTTTATTCCTATTCTTAAAATAACTGCTTTTTTAGAAACAAACCACCTAAAATATACGTGATTGATGAATTGGCGGAACAACATGGGCACAAAGTTCTTCGTCTGCCTCCTTACCATTGTATATTTAACCCTATTGAGTTAATTTGGGGCATAGCAAAAGGTTACTATAACAGACATATTGGTAGAGATGGTAACAGTGAAAAAGACTGTTTGGATATGTGGAACGAGGCTCTACAAACGGTTACCCCAGACATGTGGAAAAATAGTGTTCGACATACTGAGCAAGAAATTTTTAAATGGTATGAAAGAGAACGAATTTTTGATCGACCAGACATCGAACCTTTAATAATCAACTTTGAGAGTGATGAAGATTCAGATTCAGACAGCGCTGAAGAAAGAAACTCCGACTAACTTTATTGTACAGAAAAAGCTTACACCAGTAGCTTACCTAATTTTAGAATGCATTTTTCTGTATGAATTCTGTAAAATAAATACCATGCATAAAATTTGGAGGACCCCATTTGGATTTTTATTCAGTACCTTTAAGCTATCAATTAAATATGGTAGTTTCATAGTGTCATCTGATCAATAATTGTCATACTTAATGATTATGCAAGTACAGATCTATAATTTTATTATACTATTATTTTTGTTCTCATTTGAGGTTAATATTGCTTATAAACCTAGATATGTAAATAATAAATTTTATTATTTTACAAAAAGTTTGGCAACAATGTAAATTTTTCAACACACCCACCTTGATGACGTGCACGCCACTTTGTTTGGCGTTGACTATAATAATGTTTACTGGTTAAAACACAAAATGTTACATAAATAATGAAAAAATACCAATAAACGTGAGATACCCACAAAAGTATGAACTTGTGCTTGGGCTTGAGATACAGTAATTCAAACTTTGAATGTTTTATAATACAGAAGATTTTATGTATAAATAGTCTTGGCTGGTTTAGAACCCACGATTTTAATTCAATTTTGGTACGTTTTTTGGACTGTATATATTTTAAATTTGGGGGAATAATATGAAATTTTGATCCTAGAAAATAAAATGATCGCTGATTCAAAGTTTTATTTAATGTGAGTATAGTAGATGTAGTTTTGGATCGTTTTTGATGATTGTGATCTGTAATAAATTTGTGTTTGGTTAAATATAAGATTCTATTATAGAAATAAAGTTGCTTGGAGTACAAAATCTATGATGCACTATAAAGATTTTCCGTTGAATATAATTTAGTTTTGTTAGAGATAATCTTTAATATCAACTTCTGAGCAATTTCGATCTTTTTATAATAATTACCATGACTCCACCCCATGCCAAGATTGCATTAAAAATAAGTGGGTAGATGAGTGCGAGATAAATCATGTGTAGACATTTTATATTTAGAAAAGTGCTAAAATATTTAATTTTTGGAATGAGATATCTTAATTTTTTTAACCAAGTTTTCAACATGTATATTTCATTTTGAATTATAATAGTTATGTTCTTTTAGCGGTTACGTCATCAACGCCATATGTTATATGCAAATCGACTAACTGAACCGCCATGTGCGGAGCTGAAGCTTCATAGGAAAATTGCAAACCAATCTTAAATGCAACTTCTCTTGCACACATGCATTGGTTTATTAAAGGACCGTTGGTTTCATTCTTTCTCCAAATACTACAATAATTTTGGCAAAAACTATCGATACTGTCCGTTAGTTGTATTTTCAGATACTGTTGTAATCATATTACGAAGATCAATAAAAGGCCAAATCAAAATAGTATGTCCATGTCAAGAGGGTTGTCACACTGACAGTGACAAGCATAGATTTTTGAATTTATAGTGAGGGTCCACGGACATGACGGAAATTCTGTGACAGACTTCAGTACATGAAAATTAACGTATAAAAGTCGGGTAATTTATTTTCATATTCAGGAAAAGTGAAGAAGCATAAAAATAACGTGTTCACCAGCACAATTTCTTTTTATTTCAATTCTATTAATAGAAAAAAAACTTTTCATGTTCAGAGCTGCAGTTGTGACTGTCCACGGACATGATAAATCACGTTCTGTGGACCAGATCAACTTTCAAAAAAAGAAATTTTGAATACAAATATCAAGTAAGTAGGATTCAAAAGAGAGAATTTTATTATTTAATGAAAAAATATTGCAAAAATAGTTTTTTGACAATATACATTAGCTGTGACCTACTTTCTGCCTTATTAATGAGAACTACCCATATATGTATAAAATTAATGCCGATAGTACTAATGTGACCTGCCAAAACGTGAAATAAACTAGCTATTATAATATAATTCGACGCGAATAAAGATGATCTTCACTTCCTTCTTTTCTTTCTTCCTCTGTTATTTCCCTCCGACTGTTAGGCATCTGAGAATACTTTGACAGACAATGATGGATAGAAACAAAATCAGGGGAAACTATTAAAGCAATGTAACATGATTTGGTGGTTAAATCGTGACACCAAAAATAACAATTTCAAAGACATCCAACGTACCCGATCTAAAATCTTCTGCCAAACACCCTTTGACGTAGGATCCTTCAACTCGATGTCCTGTTCCTCCTGCTCCTGTACCAGAACTCTGAACTCCGGCTTACCGTTGACGTCGTGGATGGAGCAAATGTACCTGCAACGTTTGTTCAGCCTCTTGGTGCTCCAGAAGAATCTGATGATCTTATAGCCGATCGGATAAATGTAGTTGGGAGTGTGGAAATTGGGCAGTTGGTGAGGAAGAAGATGGCCGACGCTCAGGAATATCAGGCTGCCTACCCTGAGCAGATTGTTGGAATCTGGAATGACAGAATACATAAAATCAGTCATGGAACGTTTTTTTTTATTATTTAGAACAAGAAATAATAATAATAAGTTTATTCAGAAACAAATAAAACTAACGTTATACGTAAATAAACTGAATTTACCTACAAAAGAATGAATTCTTGTGCGTGGGAATTAACTCATAACTTAACAATAACACGAAGTTTTTAAGGAATTGTATTCAATCAACAATGTTTGTCCCAATCCATCCATATTTCACAATTAAAACATAATTATGTTCTACACCATTTTTAAAAAAGGATCCGCGTAAATCCAGTTTTTTACGAATACAATGTAAAACATCAAACACTAGCACCAATCTCATTGACGAACTCCTGAAGATCACAGCATAGCCTGTGGAAAGCTTGAGGATTTGTAAGTCAGAAGGGTACACTTTGCTTAATTTGTTGATATCCCCAAAGACAAGTCTTTCATTTAGCTAGTTATTATCGGCAATAGCTATGAATCGTGTATATATATATATATATATATATATATTCATACAAATACATAAATAGATATATACACATATACAGGGTGTCCGCAAAGTTGGGGTTTTCCTTTTCAGAAACAACTACCCTTGAAATAACAAAGGTAATGTGTAGTGAAACGAGAGCGACCAAGTAAAAAAAATAAAGGAAAAACTACTCACTCTCCAGTTGACGAGAAGGGCTAAGTACGTCTCTGCCCAAAAGCATACCGCTCCAACAGAAAATGAAATCAGCTGATGCGCTACCCAGCAGACGCCGGCGGTGGTTCAGGCCACGAACAGAGGTAACAAATATGACCATCGTGCAGAAACCACATTGATTGTCTTACACTTAATGGCACATCTTCTAACAAGGAAGGCAAAATGTTGCGTGAAAAGTCTAGGTATTGCATCCCGTCCAATGGATTTGGGAGAATAAATGGTCCAACGAGCATACCGTTCACCATGCCAGCCCAAACATTCACCGAAAATGTTTGTTGAAAATGTGCCCGACGGACAGCGTGCGGATTTTCTACTGACCAAACATGAGTGTTGCGAAAGTTATTCACCCCATTACGCGTGAACGTAGATTCGTCTGTCACCAATATGCACTTCAAGAAGTCCGGATTATTGTCATGTTGATGCAACAACCACTCACAAAACCGCACTCTTGCTGGAAAATCGTCAGGTTGAAGGGCTTGTACACGTTGGACGTGAAACAGATACAGCCCCTCTTCACGCAGCGTTTGCCACACTTTAGTTTTTGATACTTGCACTTCTCTAGCCACGTCTCTAGTGCTTGTTGTTTTTTGAAACGCAATCGATTACACGGGTTCGTTTACCTCTACACGCGTGACCGTAACCGTCGGTTGAAGGTTGCATACTGACCTAGTGACCTGATACACTGACCCCGACCCCCGACCCAGTTCTGTCGTCGAGTTAAGCTAGTGTCCCAGTACCAGTTGGAGACGTCGCGAGTCGCGGCTACAGGACGGTATTCAGATATTTTTGATGTTGCAGAGCCCTTTATCTCGGTTCCCTTAAGACATTGGTGTATATGGTACTAAGAAAAATTGCTTATGTTTTCAAGATCTACACGTCGTGTAAAGGAAAACCCCAACTTTGCGGACACCCTGTATAACTACATACATTTTATGAATGTTGGAGGTTTCTACTACTACATTAATTTTAAATTTCTTTCATACGTATCATGTTTGCAATGATGTCGATTTTTTCAATTATAAATTTGTTGGTCACAATTTTGAATTTTGTTTTATTTGAAATATTCCTTATATAGTTTGGTAATGGTAATGTTATATAATCTACCGGAAAGGTAAGTATGACATCTTTTGCCGATACTTTTTGTGGTGAAAGGTGTTTGCTTGATGTTGTTCATTTTGTTTCTAGTTTGATATAAGTGATCTAACAGAATAAGATAATTTCTATGATGAAACTGAAAATTTTGTAGAAAAAAAGTTGCCTAGAGTCTAACAGTGGCTTGTCAAAGATTATTTTTAAAAATTGTTTTTGGATAATTTCTAATTTATTCATTTGGTGATTAAGTGCTAAGGAACTAATCTCGACCAAAAGCTGCTTCTTCGATAAACGTGGTGCATAGATGGTGTACTAAATTATCCCAGTGAACCAAGTTTCGTTTCGCTCATATCTCATCTAAGCGTGGTAGTTTTGCCGCATTTCGTCATGGTGAGCACGGTCGTATGTCAAGCCTTCCGAAACGTATATGTCTGTATGAGAGAGTTCCGTACCTTATACAAAGATGTCTGATATCGTTTGTTTAAGCAAAAAATAATAAAGCAAACTGTAACTCACCAGAATGATGCATGACAGCCGCCACCTGTCTAGTTTCATCTCTGTCAACATAAACTCTTCTCCACACCGATAACGTAGTCAACTCATTGTCTTTTTCGTTCTTAGGAATGTGAACCATACAGTAGACGGTCTTATTCTTATAAAACACACAGTTGTCCTTTACCGCACAGCTTAGATGGTACACGCTGGAGCACCTTGTCTTGAAACACCTGAAAGGCAAAATGTAGATCTTGAAAGCTCTTATCGGTTTAGTGGGGGAAAACACGTTAATACCACAGTATGTTTTGGTCAACTGACGTAGTATGTCAGGAGCAGCCCAAGAGAATTCGGCAAGAATGCAATGTCTTCATCTGGCCGGCTACACGCTTATAGCATCAAAATAAATACTGCAAGGATGCATTGTCTGCGAATTATTCACCAGTCATCAGCGTTAGTTCTCGCATTTTGAATTAACAAAAAATTATAGTCAAAAAGCAATATTTGTTAAGATATTCAGACATTTTTTTTATCTAGATACAGATGAGACCAGCCCCCTAGACTTTGAACCACATGAATGCTTACATTAAACATAACAAAACAACAACTTTTTCTTACCTGATGGTGGCTCCCAATTTGTTACAGTGGACGCAGGTGGTGGTCAAACTCATTTGAATCGCGTTTTCCAAGTTCATCAGAGCTCCATTCACTGTCTCATATACACCATCGGACCACAAGGCACAGTTTAGATGGACCCATTTGTCCACGTCAAAATTTAACAGCCTTGCGGGACCATCAGCCACGCTATCCCCGACCCCTAAAAAAGTTAAAGTATTTTTAACATCTTCTAAAAATATAGTGATGTTGCCAATTTCAGATGCCAACCATCGCTGGGCTTAATAATCCACACAGTACACAATCCACAAAGAGGAACAACTATTATATCAGGCCAGCTGATCTCTAAACGTATCATTTCAAATGATCACTAACTTGAGCGAAGGCTTACAATACTCGAAATCAACGTCCCAAATAGCCCAAGTATACCGAGTTAGTTTGCTAGAAGCAATAGCCCAAGTTTCACCATAAAAAACATTTTGGGTGAGGTTAAAACGGTTTAATTGCGGTAAATAAAAAATATGGTTTTAGAGTTATTTTTCACGAACTTGACTGTTTAGCATCTAATAGTAGAGAGTATAAGATCGCACTGGTCGGTTCTGGTAATAGATTGCACTTTGTGCTGTCTTTTTTTTGATGATGGAGGATAGTTGCTCAGCTTTCGTTCATTGTCCTACCTGAGACCAAGCCGCCGAGGCTCAGGAGTTGCATGAAACAGCTGTCCATGGTAGGCCGTCTGTGGTCGGACGAACGAAAGCTATATTGTATCTACTATAGCACCAGAATCGGTGGCATCTACAGGCAGCAGCGGTGGCCGCAGTAGTAGACTCTTCGGTCTCCTGATCAGTCGCCGTGCGCTGTGCGGGTTCGAGTCCCGTTCCAGGAGAAATTTTTCTCTTGGCTATGGATGTTGTGATTGTCCGTAGGTGGTAGATGGTCTCTGACTGTCGAACGTGGAGGTACCACCCGGCGGATCTCGTAGGCGGAGCCAGAATGTGTGCATGTTGCATGCACACGTGTTCCCTCACCAGAGTCAGTGTGGCGTTCCCCCTTTCCCCTGTATCCCCCTATAGCCCCACGGTACCCAATGGGTGTTTAGGCCTTAGGCCTTCGTGGTAGTTAGAATATAAAAAAAAATCTAGAGGAAACAGTGGTAACCAATCTGACAGTGCGAACTGGGATACAGTTTTAACAGGCGGCTTGCTGATTTCACTCTCGCAGTGGTCGATTCTGGTAATGGATGACAATGTGCGCTGTCTGATTTTGAAGAATTCGGTTATCGTAAAGACTAACTATAATTCCGATTAGAAACAATAAAACTTAACCGTCTTATTTTATGTCCAACACGGACGCCACATTTTGTTTAGAGTGAAATAGTGTGTATTGTTAATTTTAGTAAGTTTATTATTAAAAACACATCTCAGTACTACGACTAGTAAATATGTAGGCATTCAAACTGTTTTAATTCCAAGGCCAGCATGCTTTTATCTAGGATATGTGCTCTTGCAATGGTATAAAATAAAACCCTTTGTTCCTAGCGTTTCTCTGTCGATTGACTAAATGGTCTTACTTAACTTGTGGCCATTTTGCTTTGCTCTGAAAGTCATGATGGATAACAATATTGAGGCTTACATAACAATTATTAACTTAAAGGCGAAATTGCGATTTATTTTAACACTATCGTTTTTTATCACGTTTTCAAATTTTTTAGTTATTTTTGTTAATAATTGTTAAACTATGATGCTAAGACATCGATAAAGTCGGGCGCGCAAGTATTTTGCAGTCCGAAATAACCATCTACTTTTTATTATTTTATAGTTACAAATACGTACCTATATATACAGGGTGACTTCGAAGTTGAGTCATTTATTTTAACAGTGAGTAGATCTGATCAAAATAAATGTTTTTTCCTTTACCATTTTTCTGGTAAAATTAAAGTAACAAAGTTATAGCCCTTTGGAAGTTTGAGTACCGCCCTGTCTCAATAATAATATTATGTGCTCGTGTTTGGCGACAACGGATATAATCCGCCGTATCGGTTCATCGCATCGGAAACAAAAAGGCGAAAGAATTTGGAACGATGTTTTTACAATTATTTTATTCATTTGTATACAGTCAGTGTCAGTGAATAGTGGTGTCTGTTGCGTGGCTCAAACGAAATAAAAAATGGCACATGTTTATGCGGATCGGTTTCCCAATCGAGTGCAACCAACCCCTCGTGCCTTTGTTAATGTAGTACAACGGGCTCGTGAATCAGGTGACGGCATGCCGGTGCTCCAAGACCTCACGATCAAATACAGGTCCGCACTGAAATACTTGTCGGGAGGATACTTTATAAAACAAGGTAAATTTTTTTTTATAATTTTTTTTTATTTTTACACACATATTTTGATTTATCTTCCTTCTACAATCATTATCTGAAAATTAATGACTCAACTTCAAAGTCACCCTGTATAATGCATATAAAAATGTGTTGGCCTACTATCTTTTATATGTTAACAATGAGGTAAATTATCTTCAAAGGTTGAACAAGCATTTCAAGCCCATCTTAAAAAAAATTTAAATTGGTTTTGAAAGTAACTCCACAGCAGCTTTGGAAACAGCTACCCGATATAATATAGTATTATACAGATTTTTGTATTCAGTTTTATCGACCGCTTTGACTGTGAGTCCTTATATTCTGACGACGAGATTATTACAACCTCAAGGCTTATTTTTATTATTATTATTTAAATTGAGACTGGCTGCGTGCACTATTTATGTCCTAATACCAGTAAATGATGAAAAAACAAAAAAAGGCTTATTTAAACACCAATTGGTTTTAATTGGAGTTTAATTTCCGTTTTGAGGCATCCTTAAAATAGTTAATAAACCCGTTGGGTGCTACTGGTGAGGAAACGAAAACAAAAATGTTTCAATCAACGGAAATTTGCAAAAATTCACGACCGGCAATTTAGGATGCTTTGATGGTCATATCAGAAGCTGGTGTACCAATTGACCTCACTGTATCAAGTTGTGTTCGTCGTAGTCAAATAAGTGCAACGAAAACTACCTATGACAATCTTCAAAAATCTTTGGATATCTGCAATCTTATCACTAGATCACTAATTTGTTGCCAATTTTTCACTGAGGTGGATAGGAAACCTCAAAAGGCTCATTTAACTTCTCAAAATATGGACAGGAAGTAAAAAATATAATACAATTCTTAAACGGACTCACCCTGGCAGAACATACACTTTCTAGTATCATCAGGCATTTTTGGTGGCGTCACAGTAATCTGCATCCTATAAAGTAGCTCCATGATCTCTTTGTCAGTAGGTTTCTTGAATTTCTGAGCCGGTTGCAAACACCCAGGCGCCCACAACTTGTATCTTACATTCTTATACATTTTAGTTTTCACTTGGGGTTTATAATCTGCTTGATTTTGAAGTTTATGCTTATTATCTAGTCTACTGAAGAATGAAAAGTCGCTAGTGTCCATCATTTCAACATCCTTCTTGAAATCTTTGGTATCCATCAACAGCCTTTGGGCAATCAGTGATTTGCTATCGGAGCTTTCGAATAGAGGTTTCTTCAACTTTAGCTCTAATTTATCCTTTTGAGAAAGGTGATCTATAATCGCAGCAGCCTGTAAAAGAGATTTAGTTTTCATTATTCACTAATGTATTAATAAGTACAATAAGAGTTCAAAATTGCACCTGGATTATTCAAGAATGCATAAAAGTGTCCTGAGCTACAGCCAAAAAGTCGCATTGGCGTAGACTACATTGCAACTTGAAATGTTGATTTTTTTCACATTTATATGATTATTTATTTAAGAATATACATACATTACAATACAATAGATGAAAATATCTATTCATGATTGCAATAATCCTTCTTAGAGAATCTAAACTACAACTAAACAAATCTATTTGATTGTAGTACATATTATAGTTTTTCACAAGTCAATCACTAAGGCAAAAAGAAACAGAGTTTTTTTGACGACTAGAAATGTGAAACATTTGTCTGCGCCTAGTATTTCTCTGAGGTACATGTAAATATATTTGTAATAACGCATTTTGCCTACTACATTTCTAGACTTTTCAACCCAACTAGTTATTAATACTGGTAGGAAGCACACCCAATGAGACTGTTATATTCTAGAGCACGGAATAGCAATGAGTTATATAATAATCACTTAATTACTAAAGTACTGTGAAACCCTGAACATACACATCGAATAAAACCCAACATTATAAAAACCCTTTATTACAGTGTTATCAATGTATTTGTTGAAACTACGGTCGGTATTAAAAGTTACTCATAAATAACAGAAATGGTCCACCTCTTTCAGGGGACAATCATCGATAAAATACTTCTGAATGAATGGACGTTTACAAAAAAAAAAACGCATTATGTTACACTTAACATACAAATTTAAAAAAAATTATCATAAAATGAAATTAGGTTTTTTAAATCGACTTGATGCCTTTACAATTCTCGATAGACGTAAGAGACACGCACACTTAATGCTTAAGTCATAAGATTTGGTATCATCCATTTTCACACACTGTTTAGTTTATGAGGAAGAACTAATCCAAAGAAGCTAGCACCTAGTAACACCTATGTTGGACAGTTTATTGATTAATACAATCTGTCAAAAGCTTCTGTCAAGTCTGTGTATACTATGTACACCTGCAATCAGTTTTCAACTATACTTATTCAGTATTCTTGAAATTTGGCCAAATTCGGTCGAAGAACAAAAATCTTGGACATACTGTAACTGGCGGCAAGGATATTCCCCAGTGGTTCTTAATGTCTTTTTTGGAACCAGACTTGAATATCGGCATTAACCAAGAGTACTTTCAAAGAACGGAAAATGCACCTTGAGCGACAGAGACTTTGAAGATGATGCACAGTGGTTGAGCAATTCTGGAGAAAGACTGGTGGAATCCTGTCGAAGCCTGCGCTTTTACTAGTATCTGAGCTAGTTTTGTTATAATCTCATTGATAGTGAAAGTATTTTCAGCCAAGATCCCTTCCGATTCGGGATTACGTGTGAGATTTGCAGAACTTTTATTTGTTCTGTTTGTATGTAAAGGAAATGAAGATCACTCATAATAAAAATTTGCAGAAATGTCGATTACTCAGAACACTTTTATAAATTCGCATTATACAATATAGCCAATGAAATTTACCTTGTCTTCAGAAATGGATGGAGATCTGTGCATAAGAGCGAACTGCATATAGCAAGTAGAACTGCAGAAATAGAGTTCGTCGCCATCGCTTAGCAGCTCAGAGTCTTTTGCAAGGAATGGCAAATCAGAAACTTTCTTTCTGATCATGTTGTTCAAGATGACCACATCGCAGTGCTTACAGAATTTCGCAGACCCATTCAAAATGCTTTGGATGTCAATAGGAGCTAGAAAAAAGTGATAATCTAAATATTGTATATCAGCAATAGTGACGTCAGAAAAATATCGGTTCGAATCATAGTGAACCTTAAGAAAGAAGGGTTTCATTAGCTTTCCAACATTCATAGTATTTTTTTTAACCTAGCAATGATAAAAGTTGAATACTATCAAAAACAGCTGTTCGTAACCTGAGTTTTCTTACCTCCTTCTTTACCATCTTTTCCTTTAGTTCTATACAGCCCCAGCTTCTGGCTAGGAGGAGTACTACTTCTTTCCACTATCTGATAACTCGTAGGTGCAGGTATGTGAAGAATATTAGCAAGATCTCTTAGTACCCCTATAATATCTTCTGCGGCAGATGATGTTAACGTCAAAGTTAGTGTTACATTTCCAGATTCTTTGGTTGGAGAAGGTTTGGGCTCAGGCTTAGAAGTCATGTGTAGTTCGTGACTTATGACCGGTTGATTTTCTTTATTCTGTAAAATAAAACAACCATAGTTTTCAAGCGGTTATAGAGAGTCTTGTAAGATCAAAACTTGATTAATATCAGTTACTTGCTCTGGCACTGGTTTTTTTAGAACCAAGTCACAAAAATATATCGAATAGAATTTTAAAGGAGTATCAAACTTACATCTGTGTGATCAGTGAGGTACATTCCGCCAGCAGGTTTCAGCCTGATGGGTATAGGTTTGATCAAGGGTACGACAGGAGACAGTCTGCCCTTTCGTAATTTTTCTTCACTTTCACTTTCGTCTTCCTCATCGCTGATCAACCTCAAGCCTAAGAACTTCTGCTGAGGAGACTCGGACCTATCACAGAAAACAGATCGTTAAAAATCGTATATATATTATCGGTATAGAGTTTTTGAGGTCCCGTATTTATTGTGTACGAGCGAGATAGAGGGAGAAACACGTATCTTAGATCGAGAGCGTGAATGATGCGTGCTCGACGCCAAAGTCGAGGAGTTTGTAGACGCTTTTCTTACGAATATAGTTGTCTACGTTGTTACTGTAAAAGTATTTCAATATTTACGAAAAATAAAATAAAATTAACCTGAAACATTCTGGTGACGAACTACTGAGCACAGTATCAGGAGTATCTTCTCTGCAGAATAGATCAAATTTTTTATCATCATCTGTGTCAAATTTGATGAGAGGAAACTCTTGGTCATAGAAGCCACGTTGGGTGGATGCAGCCGGTTTTTCTGGCAAAGCCTCCAAATCGCCATAAGGCTTAGTGTTGTAATAATCTGTGAAGCCAGGAAGTTCTGCATTACCATAAGAACCTGCAAAATTCGTATTTATTAATGTAACGCATCAGTGAAAATTAAAATAAGATCGAAAAAAGATTTTTCGCCCTGCCATCACGTAGAAAATCATATAATACAGAGACAGAATACGTTAGGGCTAGTTTAAAGAGGCTCTCTTAAAATCTTTATTGGCTATACAAAACGGCGTTCGGGAATGAAGCCAACGATCTCGTATTTGTGTCACATCGGTAGAGGACTGGATTAAGTTTTATACTCTGAATACATCAGTAGCAATTTGCAGACCTGTGAAATGTTCCGTTCCGAAGATTTATATGATAAAAAAAATAAAACGTTCTACAATTAGTCCTGTTCCAAAAGTGCAAAATTCTTAGTTATATACAAACATGCGACCAACTAATGTACTGCCAGATGTCGAGAAACTCTTAGAAGGAATCATATATGAACAAGTCATTGAATATATTGAACAAAATAAGATATTGACAAAATTTCAAGCAGGATTCGGAAAAAGTATTCTACTGAAACAGCAAATGGTAGTAGAAGAATGGAGGCGAAATATGGATGAAAAAAGTTTACAGTAACATTGTTCTTAGATTTCAAGAGAGCATTTGAGACAATTGACAAGGAGAAATTGTTAACGAATTTGCAGTGCTATGGATTTCAAGGTTCAGTATTCAACTTATTACAAAATTATTTAATCAATAGAAGTCATATATATATATATATATATATAAATTGGTTTAATGTTAAAAACTTAAACTAAACACAAACAAAACAAAATATATGCTAATAGGAAAATCTTTAGATCAAAATACGATAAATCTTACAATTAATCATGAAAAAATGGTGTCAATCGAATCATTTAAATATTTGGGCATATACGTAGACAGTAAATTAAAATTTGAAGGGCACTATGAATATATTATTTCAAAAATATCCAAGAAAATAAATTACTTTTATAGAATTTTGCATAGCCTAAGCGTTTATTCTAAAAAAATTGTGTACACTATCATTCTTCCTCATTTGTTATATTGTTCGACTATTTTGTTCACTGCAAATGAAACTGTATTTTCAAAATTACAAATATTACAAAATAAAGCTATGAGAATCATCTTAAATAAAAATAAATTTACTAGAATTAATTTTATGCTGAAAGAACTGCAATGGTTAAATATCAAAAATTTCATAGCCTACTTGGTTTTCATTTTCATATTCAAGTTAAAAAATCATCTTCTACGAAACCACTTAGAAAATTTTATTGTATTGAACAATGAGTGCCACAATTATTCTACTAAAGGAAGTATAGACTTTCATTTACAAAACTGCAGTAGCAATATAACGAGCAAGTCAGTATTTCAAAAGGGATTGTACGAATTTAATAAATTAAGTAATGATATCAAGATGTGTGCCAGTTTGAAAATGTTCAAAGGAAAATTGAAAAAATATCTCATGGAAAACGAGAATTCATAGCAGTGAAATTTTGTATAAAAATATGTAGTCTTGAAGACATATTATATTTTGTGATATACTGTGTAATATGGATATTATGGATATTGTAGCATTAACAAACAAATATGTGAGTCCGTCCCAGAATGCACTAAGTTAACCGACGCGTCAAGATTTTCAAATCAAATCTATCTCTACTTTGGGGACCCTGGAACCGCGTTCTGGCTCCTCTCGGATCCCGGTGAACACTGTGGTTCGTGTGAGTCATCTTATATCCGTCTTTGATCACATTACTTGTTTGTGTTCTAGAAAACCCTATATACAAAGATACTGACCTACTAATTCACCAAACTGCGAGGAATAGCTCTTGTTCCCCAACTTGGACATATCACCAGCACCAAAAACTGGCACAGCACCATAATTCCTGTTCAGAACAGGTTCAGATACAGTCATGGGCGGCAGTTGCCTCAATTGATTCAATATGCCGTCTATATACGTATCGTAATCCTCATCAATCTTGGAATTCTTCCTAGGCCTTTTCTTCGGCTGCCCTTGCTCCTTATTCAGAATCTGATTCTGCCTTCTTTTCTGTTGGTACATTCTACGTTTCTGTTTCTTGAGTTCCTCTTTGTCCAATAGAGCTTTCTCTGTAGACGTTTCGATGGCATCCAATTCTTCCTTCATTTGAACGTCAGGTCGGCTGTGGTCTGAAACTGTGCTGTGTTGGGATGACTCGTCCAGGAACTCCTTCTTGACCTCTTGAGGTGTCAGAATTGGACTGGGCTGGTGTTGTGAGGTTGGTGGCATTTCTTGTCTGTCAAAATAAAAAACATTATTATAATGTTATGACGCAATACTGATATAATAACTGCATGAGGTTAAACAGGTTCTAAACCAGGGGATATAACTTTTGTACTCAACTTTGTATCCAAACCTTGGGTGCCATCTGTGAAAAAACGATCCATACTAACTGCATTAAAAACAAAAAGTGTATCATTGTTGAATTGATGTCACAAGTGAATAAACAAAATCATTGTATTGAGAAAATTGACTTTAAACATTTTTTGGGGACCTTTTACTTTATTGAAATTTTAAAATTTAGTTTAATTAGTTTATTACCTTGTTTTTGCAACAAAGTAAGCACATAATGAATTTATCCACGTGTGTCTTCAATTGTTAACTGAAAAGTGTGATAAATGTCAAAAAAATACCGTGACATCTGTTGTTTTCAAAAATATAAATGTCAAGATTTGGTAGTTATGTGGTATGTGTGAAAATGGTGGAACAATGTCAGACAAGATTTGTGCAAGAAATTAAGAGGATATAGAAAAAGAAGGAAGAACGAAGGACTAAGACGGAAGAACGAACAGCGGAGTGAAGAAGAAACAACAAAGAGCAATGAAATAAGAAAGAAGAACGAAGAACAATTGAAGGAGGAAGGGCGAAAAACGAAGAACCATGGGAGAAAGAAGAATGAACAACGGAGACCAAAGAACGAAGCAAAAGGATATATCAGAAAGGTAACTTTAGGTCTTACCTTTCTTTCTTAATAGTTAAAGGTGGCGTTTGCAAGCTGGAATCCTGACTGCAAGACGATTTTGGCGTCTGAGGAGACAACAGATCATCTCTACTGGGTGTTCGACTGGGCGGCATACATTTCTTGACATCAATGTGAAGCTGCTGGGTGGCAACAGTGCTTGGTGGCATGGAAGTAGGTGTTGTTACGGGACTTGATACGAACGATGTTTCCCTTATTGGGGTTCTGAAAAAATATCAGAATTTCCTATTAGCCCTACAATATGCATGTTATACATTAAGCACCCCTACCTCTATTTTAATATGACAAAATATATTTTCAATTTCGTGTGTGACAACACCTTACATGCCGCATAATCCAGAGGCCAGATCGATTATTGAAAATAAACCTTCTGACACTGGCTACTATGAAATGATTTGAATGTTAAGATGGGAAGACACACCTGGGAGGAGTAGGTCTAGGCTGTGGTGTGGTCACCACCGTCTGCGGCTCAGTCTTGATAGCAGGCGGCAACAGAGACGACAACGTCGGCGTGCTGGTCTTCACCAACACATTCTCACCATTGGTGATCGTTGGTGCGGTGGTAGACGTCGTCGTGGCTAATATGGGAGGTGGGCTCTGGGTGCTTGCACACGCTGTGTTCTGCAACAGCTTCTTCAAAAGCACGTTCTGGGAGTCTTCAGTGCGGCTTATCGAAGGTGTTGACATAGTGCTGTAGCGATTTGGTATTTTGCTGTCATCAGATGATGTTAGAGCGTTTTCGAGGACGTCGTGTTTTGTGTCCTCTACTTTGGGGTCTTTGCGTTCTTCCGTTGATTTGCTACGCACCACCTGAGAGAGAATAAAATTTGCGATACAGAATGATAACTCGGTGTTTAACCTGCATCAAATATAATTTATGACATTGCCTAGGGCAGCTCTGACACCGGGTATTTAACCAATGTAAGCTACAAAAATCAAAAAAGACAGAATTCTACCAACCATAAACAGTTCCAATTTCGGATCAATATGTTGTATGTTTTCTAAATTGCTGATAATTTTTTAGGACAACTAAACATTTTTTCAAATATAAATATTTTACTTACGTATTTTTTAGATTTTTTACCCATTTTAAGGTGCAGTCAGAATATCTTTGAAGAAATTCGAAAATTTCATAAAATTATTCTCGCCTTATCCGTTTCATATACGCAAGTCCGACATATCGCGTAACATCTCTGACAAACATAAAACTGATGAATAATCTCCAACCTTGTATTGCATCCTACCACACGAAAATATAGCGAAAATAACCATGGAAAAAATTATAGCTGTTCATAGAAAAACGGTCGCAAAAATGTAGCTTTTTTATCTTTTATACATGACGAGGGTACTTCGTAAAATTCTAATAAGGAAAGCCTAACATACCCAATACTGATATGTTACTAAATTTAAAATGTTGTCGCTTTACAGTATCAGAAACGTGATACTATTATTTTAAGCTAGCTTTCTGCCCCGCGGAATATGTAGGTGACGCCACTAATAAACGAGCTACATTTCCCAATTGACTGTACACTAATGCCATCAAAGTACAAAACATGGTCGGAAAATTTACCTAAAAATGGTGTTTTATGTTAGTAACAACTTCAAGCATATGAAGTTGCAGGTAAAAGCTAGTGCAAACAAAAACGTCTGTATTGCTTGACGGTCACAGATTGAGTGGGGCGATGGAAGGCCGCGCTGTTATCAGTTTGACGATAATGGTGAATATTTTGATACTTGCCGCGACGATGAGTTCGCGGAGAAAACTATGCCTATAGCCTTCTTCGGGTATTAACTAGTAAGTAGTAGCGAATCAAAGAATAATTTTAGGTCCATAATACTGTATCATAATAAGATAGTATCCATCACAAAATCCGATCGACGCCATTCATATTCATGTTGCTTAGAAGGATTGCAAGTCCCTCAGAAGTAACAAAAAAAAAACGCTGAATTTTCCTTGTAAAGTTTACTTTCAAACTAGATTAGAATTAATTCTATGATTTCGTTGTCTCAGGATTTCTCGATGACGAAAAATGAAATTCTAAAACCTGCGACAACAGTCCGAAAAGTGGCAACGCTGATGGGTAAAGAAGGTAATCGGCAGGTTTGACGCCATAGCTCAATACGGTGGATTATTTTTGTGCAGTATCAGATTCAATCACTAGTTAGGTTTATGAAACTAGCATAGGACTATGTCATTAGCGCCATCTGTTGGCGGTAGTGATAAGACGCTATGGTGAGCGCCAGCGACAATCGCTCGCAGAGCCATCTATCGCGACCACCGGAACTACTACATATATATATATATATATATATATATATATATATATATATATATATATATATATATATACAGAACTTTACGCCTGCCTCCTTACCATTGCTAGTTTAACCCAATCGAGTTAATTGGGGCACAAATTAAAGATTCCAGAGAAAACACAACTTTCAAGATATTAACTTAGGAAACGATTCAGAATTTTCAGATAATACTGATAGTTATAGCGTTTAGTTAATAAATGTAATTTCTATATTTACTGGATAATCACGAAGGACCTATATCTCTAAACATACTTGAATAATTACCATGTGTTAATCCTGACCTCTAATTTCGAAAGAGCCCTCAGTTCAAGATTTTGACTTTATCAGTTTTGGTTTGACTTGTGGATTGCCGAAATAAACAGTCAGGATTACACATGATTGGGATAATCCACTTTAAAGTCTATTCGGATAGAACCGTCGAAATAAACGTGGTAATAAATGCAGGTAGATTCATTATTAGGTATATTAAAAAGATCCAGAATCCAATCTAAAAAAGAATTTAATTTTTGTTTGTTTTATTTTTTCCCATGTTAACGAATCATAAACTAGGGCAGCATACTTACGTTTATCAATGTAATACATCTTATAGCACCTTGAAAGTAATGAAAAGATAGAAGAAACAGTGAAAATAAATTCAATGGTACTTCAATTAATTTTAAAACCTGCACGATCCTGGAATCGGTTTTGCAGGTAGGTAGTTGTGCGGTGTAAATCGGGCTGCCCTGTCACTTGTTTTATTACTCCGTACGTTTGTTGGATAAATTATAGGCCCCTTAGACCAATGCTCGATACATTCCGATTTTCTGTAACTGGTCGAAAATGCACGATACATGCAGCGCGACGATTGATTAGAACGAGTCTATCTCTGAAGAGCAGTCGACGTGAGCACGAACTTCTGCTCTAAAATTTTATTTATAAATCAGTGGTAAGCGCAGATAAAAATGAGTGTTGTTAAGCTGGAATAAGTTAGTTTGTTTAGTTTATACGTGCTTCCGTTGCAATGCAGTATAAAATCACCAACGATCTTTGAATGTTTCATATTTTCGACCAGTCGGTAGCTGACACACGGTCTTACCCACCGTCTTACCATTGCATTGAGATGTTGCCACTTGTTCTGATTTTCCTAACGATCGGAAAGCTCATCTATCTTTCTGCCATTTTTGTTTTTTCAAAACTCACCTTTGTCAGCTGAGTATGTAACAAATTCGTCGTGCCACCCGTCGTTCGGAAGCCGGGCGCCGTAATAATAGTCGAACTGACTGCGGCCGTGGACGTGGCAACACTGCTTGCAGTACTACTCGTCGCCAGCGTAACAACAGCATTAGGCTGGGCCTGCACCAGCGCAGTGGTGAACCCGGTCTTACTAAGACTGATGGAACTGCCCAGCAAACTGGCTGCCGTAATAGTATCTGCAGAGGACTTGGTGGTCATGGTGGCTGCAGGTTGGTTTTGGAGCATGGCGGTGAGGGTTAGAGATGGTTTTTTGGGTTCTGAGTTGGTGGAATGCATCACTGGAGGCTTCTGAGTGGTGGTGGATGGCTGGGTTATTACGCAGCTGGTTTGCTGGGTGGTTGGTGCAGATGAGGTGGGCTTGGGTTGTTCCTGGGTTGTAGTATGAAGACCTGTAAATAAACAGTATTGCGAGTGACGCAAGGACTTACTGCAAAAATGAACATAATACTTCGTCGCTTTAATTGCGAGAAGTAGTTTATGTCTAAAAATGCAATCTTAAGGAAGATATTTATTTTTCTTCTACATGCTTACAAAGGAATATGCTCAAATATTCCCGATATTTTTTTCAGGAGAAACTGCCGACATTTACTGCAAACACCGCGACCTCGACACCGGCAAGTTCTACGAAGGATGTCTTTTAAGTTTTGCACATGGAAATAAAACAACACGGTAGGTAGTTTTAAATGACTATTGTTTTTCGAAGTATTCTCCACGAAGATTAATACACATCTGCATGCGCTCGAACCAATTTTCGAAGCACTTATTCCACTCGTATACTGGCAGATCCAAAACGGCAGTTTTGAATGCGTCAACTGCTTCTTCTGGTGACTGGAATCTTTGACCACGCAGTCTGTTTTTAATTTTCGGGAAAGTAAAGAAATCGTTAGGACTTAGATCGGGACTATATGGAGAATGGTCCAATAAACTCTACGTTTTCTTCCGTCAAACACTGCCTTGTTTTTTGGGCTGTGTGCGAGCTTGCATTGTCTTGGTGGAGGATGATTCTTCTTTCGGGGTTGATTTTTCGAAGCTCGGTGATGGCTTTTGGCAAACAAATGGTGGTATACCAATCCGCAGTAACAGTTCTTTGCTCACTAAGAGGAATTGTTGCAATATGACCCGCTTTTGACAGAAATGTCGAAACACTTATGACTTTTGTTGGCTTCTCTTTACCTTGGAACACCCAAACAGCTGACTGTCGTTTATTTTCTGGTTCATAACAGTAAATCCACGATTCATTACCACTACCAATGCTGTACACATTTTTTGAGTTTCCGGAATTGAAGCGGTCAAGCGTTTTTGACACCAATTAACCCTGGCTACTTTCTGCTCTTCAGTCAACAGGTGGGGTATCTAACGAGAAACTAATTTTCTTACTCCTAATTCTTCAAATAAATTTTTTCAATTGAGGTCTTTGAGATCTTCAAGGACGCCTCAATCTCTCTAAATGTCACATGTCTATCGTCTATGATGAGTTTGCGCACAGCATCGACGTTTTCCTGGGTGACTGCCGTTTTTAGTGCACCCACCCTGGGATCGTCGCTAAAACTCACCCGTCCACGTTTGAATTCTACATACCAACGGGAAATTGTCGAGTGATGTTGCGCTTCGTTGCCAAAAACAGACAGTAACTCAGCAAGGCATTCTTGTTGCGATAATTGTCTCTGAAAGTTGTAATAAATTATGGCGCGAAAATGTTCTCGGTTGAGTTCCATTTTTCTAATGACTTGGTGACACTTAAAAATTCACTGAAGTGAGAGCACTGCACGTATTGTTGTGAAACCTTGAATTTAAGTTTACTAAAGAGTGAGGTTAAGATTCAGTACTAACGTTCGATCCGCGCGGCCTACTATGTTTCTATATGCAAAACTTAAAAGACATCCCTCGTACATTAAAGCAACGACTTAATATAAAAAAAAGACTTAGATTTGTTATAAAATTTATTATCGTATCATACTGATTTCTCTTACACATCAATGGAAATTTTGGAATATTTCAAAAATCAATCTAAATCTAAGACGATGATTTTGACAACAAATTTGTACGTAAATGTCATATGAAATCCCCGCCAGCGATCTCATTAAATGGAGCTCGTATACCATGTGAACAATTTGTCAGGTACCCTGGAGTCATCAGTGACAAAGGGTTGACCTGACAGAAACCCGTTGATACCTTGAAAAAAATTAAATTACCTTTCGACAGATTCATCATTTGTTTTACAGCACTTCAAAATGAAGTTTGAACAACAAGATTGGGAAAAATGGTCATTAGACCGACAAATGATGCACATATCTAGACTGCTAGTCCTGCAAAACAGAATAATACGTACAATCACCAATGCTCCACGGTACGTGTCGATTGACACCATACACAGACATACCATATCTAAGAGGTTAAGTGAAACAACAGGCACAGCAGCGTTATAATCAAGCTGAATCACACAGCAACACTCTGTTGCGGACTCAGTAGACTACACAGTTGAGCAAGTTCTCAAACCCTCCACGGCGCACCTCGCACTGTGCTCAAAATTGATTTGTGAATTTCTGTCCAACTAAAATGATTTCTTTACAAAACCGATCAAAATTATTTTTAGAATAATAAATTTATTCAAGTCGTCCAACCAATAATGCTAAAGCATTTTCCACTTTAAATGATTTAATTCTTTTCTTTGCTCCATTCCTTCCTTCTTTCTGTTTTTCCTTTCCCCATTGAAGTTGTATGGTATCTAGGTAACCAGACCTGACAGACTAACAGACCGACGAAACTTTTGACTGAGAGCAAGGGTACACCGGCAGGCATATTACGTAAGTGACATTGTTGGTTGTTTGTGATGTTATGTAGGTGATTCTACACGATATCAACTCAGAACTAGCTGATCCTCATTTGATGTACACTCGTTTTGTAGCTGTATGTGTTGTCTAAACATCATGGCGCTTAGCATGGAAGGAAACGCAGTGCATAGTAAGGTTTTGTGTGCTAATAATCTGGTTTGATGATAATTCCCTTAGTTTCATGAATCAAATAGACTTATTACTTGAGATGTATACTTCATTCTGAAAATTACATACGGAATTTTGCTGAATTTCAAAAATGAGAGAGATAAAAAAAGAAAATCCCTGCTTGGTGAAGTATATTACAACTAACAGGCGAGAAAACAGGCTACATGAAACGTAATAAGCTCAATATATTTTATATTATTTTTAGTTTCCTGCCATGTAAATTTCATAGAAACGTATTTTGCGATGTCAAGTAGAAAATACAAATCAACGCCTAGATGTAAAGGCACTGCGAAAATGTTTTGTGTGTGATGCGTAATTCATAATTTTTCTGTAATGTTGCTTCATTACACACAACACGAGCACGGTGGTGATTTCCCGTAACACTTCTCAAAGTTTTTGAAAATGCAAAAAACCAAGGAAAATTGTAAATTATAACTTTGAACATAACCTCTCTTCAAAAATGACAACACAAATAACCCGCCTGGTACAGCATAAATATATACTTCACGGATAGCATATTCAGTAATAATTTTCTCACATGGCAAATATCTCTCATTTTATACACATGCAGACCAATACACATAATCAGCATACAATCATCTAGACTATCTTAGCATTATGCAACCAACAAAGCATGCTGGGGAACTACGAGCCCCTTCCCACTTCAGTTGGCCCACTTCAAGATTTGTACCAAAATATGCCTTTATAAACTAAACATGACGAAACTATCTATTTCTAAAACAATTTATTTTCTCAAAAACATTTTAGATACACTCTAGTCGTAAAAAATACATATTTGAAATCACTTAGACCTATAACTAATAGAACATCTGAACAAATAAACAATGTGCGAATAAATGCGCGAAGTTAACAAAGCAACAATTGAAAGATTACCATTGGGTAACATCACCTTTATTTTTTATTACGGTTGAAATTCTTTGGGGCATAGTGTTAACCAAGTTTTGGCAAAAATTTGGTGTAAAACAATCCCATATTTCTTGAAGCTTTTGTCTCAGTTCGGTGATTGTACGAGCAGTATGTTGTCGTAGAACCTTTTCATCTCGTGCCACAAAGTTTCAATAGGTGACAGATCTGGACTGCTAGAAACCCATTTCAAAAGTGGTACATTATTTTCTTCCATCCATTTTATAGCCTTTTTTGAGGTATGGCACGCTGCAGCATCTTGCTGAAACACAAAATCTTGGCCGGACGTCAAACATTCTTCCATCACTGGTAAAAGCGATTCTTCTAAAATTGCCAAATATTTGTTTCAATCCACATTTCCATCAATAAAATAAAGTTTTCCTACTCATTTTGATGAAATACTGCTCCAGACCATAATGGATGCTGGAAATTTCACTTTTCTCTTCAGACAATCAACATGGAATGCTTCATTTTGTTTGCGAATAACTCTACTGCGACTGTCACCAACACAAACTTCGAATCGGGCCTCATCACTCCATTGTATTGCACACCATTGTTGAGGTGTTCATTGTCTATGTTCTTTAGCCCATCTAAGCCGATTTTTCTTTTGCAGTGGAGTTAATAGTGGCTTTTCTTTGGCCTATAAACAAGTTGTGCAACTTTAGGGTTTTTACTTTTTTTATAAGAAAACTTACCTTGCAAGTGCTAAATCCCAGTTTGTGGGCCTCTCTATGAGTGTTGGACCTCGAAATTCTCCTTCCAACAGCGTCACTCCACAGAGCACTGAATTGTAAATAATTGGCACACCTATTTTTCACGATTATTCTTCTTAATGCTCTTCGGTCGGCTTTTGTAATATCGTGGCTTAATATTAACTGAGCCAGTTACGTTATATCTTCTAACAATATTTCTCACACTGTACCGCGATAAGTCTAACAAAGTTGCAATTTCTGAGTTTGATTACCCAGAAATAAAAAATTTAATTATCAGTAACCGAATTTTCTCACTAATAACCTTTCCTCTACCCATTTAGAAAACCTTAACTACCCAAAACTATTTTAAACGTATTCTGACAGCTGTGATTAATAAAAACAATTGTCATGGCTTTTATTTTTCACAGCCACCTATGCGTTATAGACTTATTTTGCATTGACATGAAAATAGGTTGATATGCTGTAATTGCAACATGTGTAATTTTTATGCTGCAAATTTGATTAGGGAGTGATAAAGTTGGTGTTTTACTACTATGTATTATCAAAATATTAATTGTTAATATTTTAAACCTATAACACCCTGCTACATTTTTATTATTTGTTTGATAAGAAAAAACTAAGATTTCAATAGTTGGGCCAACTGAAGTGGGAAGGGGCTCGTACCTTGCAGCTTGTAGCATGGTCATTGAGTCATTCCTTCATAGATGATGCTTACAGCGCTCATAGCAAGCAAACGCTGAACAACTATTTACACACTAGGAAGTATCTAGGCAGCAAGTTGACATTTTGTCGTTTTTTTTGACATTATATACGTAATAACCCTGCCAACAGCTTTGATAAACAATAACGAATAATAGCAGTCATAAGAAATTACATTACAGATTCCATATTGTGCCATACAGTCTTTACAAATGTCAATGACTTACCTGCAGAGGTTCTCAATGTCAGCGGCGGTGCAGGTATAGACGGCGTACTCGCGGGCACCCTGACAGGACTACTCCTAGGTGGATTCACCTTCTGCTTCAAATTCGGCACGATAACCGAACTAACCGTTGGTGACTGTCTACCAGCTGACTGCTGTATCACCCTTGAGGTCACCACCGGCTGACTACCCGAAGGCGACGAGCAACTCACCACTTTCTGATTGGTGTTCTTTACCACCGATTCGACATTGGTTGAGGCTGAGGTTGAAGTGGTTTGTATCGAACTCAACAGTGTTCTCAACTGTTGCGAGGCATTCGCCATGTTGGTGGTTAGCTCAATTGGTTGAGAGAGAGGTGAGAGTTGTGGGACGGAGCTTGGTTTGGAAGTGGTTGCCACGTTTGAGGGTTCAGTTTTGGTGACAGTTATGATAGAAGCTGGCTGTGTAGGCTCCTTTGGTGGAGGAGTACCTGTCGGTTTTTCTTTTTCTTCGACTTTTTTCACTATTTTTGGAGGCTCCTTCACTATAAGAATATATTTCAGGTAAGATAAAATGTCAGGGGAAGTATTTCTTATGTTTAAGAAAAATAGTTCAATGAAACAATTTAATCTATTATAAATGAGGAATAAGAATCTGAAAACTGAATTCTATGATGATTCAGAATGTTGTTAGGGAAAATTTAAGAGCAGATATGAAGTAAAAAATTAAAAAGTAATCAATCAAACATTTGTCCGAAAATTTCCAATTTTCATTATAGGCGATTTAAACTTCATGTTTAGCGAATTGTTCGCAATAGTTCTTTGAAAAATCGTTTTCTAAACACATTGAACATTTTGTAAACCGTCAAAAAATGTTTCCAAGTTTTATTTATTATCACAATCAGTGACGGACAAAGCGGTCAATGTGTTGAAGACATACTGAGTTTACTTGAAAAGTGTCTCTTGGAGTTTTCTGTTATGTTCATTAAAAAAAGGTAGTTGTATTTAATAACGATAAACATATTGCTGTTAATAAAATAATGTCTATTCCGAAAACAGTGCGTCTGAACGAAAAAATCCAAAAGACAATTGTTAAGTATACCGATACAGGCTTGAACATACTTTTTGGAAAACCAGTGGCGTACTCTTTTTCGACAAACACAGAGACTTGCCGGCACGGACGCCACTGATATAAGTGCTTTAGAATACAATTTTCTACTTGTTAATGTGACCTTTGATAATACATTAGCGCATGCCAAATCATATTAATATCTGTGTTTTCAAGAAATTCAAGGTAAACTTTAAAAGGTTGGACTTTAATATATGCATATTTAGCATGATTTTGTGTAAGATTTTGGAGACTTGTAAGATCTGCCTCAATAAGAACATTTGCTACTCCCGCTCTTTGCATACATCCAAGGAAATCTCTTATTATGGAAACGAAGCATCTGCGTATCCGACAAATTGTTTATATACTAAGTGCTAAATCTATTTTTCAATTTTTCTGCAACTAACTATATATTCTCAATGAAGCTAAACTAGCAATGTTGCTGACGCCAATCATATAAGGTGATGTACATAATTACAGAACTTACCTGTGACATTTTCCTCTAGAACAGCCGGTGGTTCCGCTGTAATATTTTCAATCATATCTAGAACATCTTCAAAGGACTGGAACTCCCTTCTAGCAGGTTGCTCCAAAGCTTGCAACGCCATATTGTCCAGCATCTGTTCTTGGGAAGGTGTAGGAGATGGTATGGAAATAACCACAGACTTTGTATCATCTGTAGAACCTTCTACCGTCTCTACCAACTCAGTTGCTGTGATCTTCATGTGTGTTTGAGTTTCTTGTATGACTTGTGCAGTCATTTTTAACTCAGGTGTATTATGGATGATTACAGGTGAAGATGTTTTAGAGATTATTGGACTGGGTAAACGTTGCTTCTGCAAGTGTTCTTTAGTTGAGGGTTTCAAGCTAGTTATTTGCATATTTTCCACTTTCTTAGACTCATTGACTTCAGGTTTTGATTCCTTTGGTGATTCAGCTACATTATCAGGCGTCTCAGCCTTTTTAGCGAATGCATGTACCTTATCAGCATCAGTTGGAGAATCATTCTTCAACTTCTCATCAGAAGAATCTTTTGACTTATCATCCTCGCAATTCGAACTATCAGGTGACACAGAATCATCTTCAAATATTTTGTTTGGCAAGGCACTATCGTGAGTAGTCAAAGGCTTATCCAAAACCTTGACGTTGGACAACTGCCTAACAGCACTGGCACTTATAACAGGTACAGTGAATGTAGAAGGCAATATCGAGGCTATCTGTGACGTGCTAGAACTAACTATAGTGATTGCCGGTGCCATGGTGGTTACAATCTTCGGAACGCCTATGACATTCCCTCTGACAGCTGAGTTGTGCGTCAAAATTATGCTTGTCACTTTAGATGGCTGGGTTGCGTTGACCACTTTTGTGTTGGGCGCTAGGATGATTTTTTCTGTGCCCGACTTTGTTGTGATGTTATGCACGACGGGGCCTTGCAGCAGAGAGATTTTCTGGTTGACTTTTGCGATTCTGGTAGTAGTAGTGTTGGGGGACGTTTGAAGTATTTGTTGCTGTACGCTTTTAGGGTAGTACATGTTTGCGTATTTGTGGAATTCGTTTATGTGCTTTGTGGTCAGTTCTTGTTTCTTCAAGTTGTCTTTTCTTGAACCTGTAAGATAGAGATAGTTTATTGCACTTTTAGATCATGTTACATGATATAAGACTTGTCAATACGAAACTGAGGGTCATATATGCGTTTGAGCAAATATGCCGGAAAAATACGTATAAATATAAAATAAATAAGGACATTACAATCACAAAAAAGTGTATAACATTTCAACAAATTGATTCACAACATAGATATACAGCTCAATGATCTAAATGTGTTTATATTAAATATAGAGACACTCTAATGTTAAGTTCGAAAGAGTTTCAGGTCGTTGATACAATGGGGTGTCATGTAATGAATGAGTTACTTCTTACAAAATTTCACCTTGACGGCGCCATTGTGGATTAGAACTCAGAGGCGGTTTACGAATAATTACTAAGCTAAATACAGATCTGTTAATATAAATGTTAAGTACAACAGGACAAAAAACAAAAATGAGAAATTTCAATTTCCCTAAACATGTTCGTCCATTTGGGGGGGGGGGGGATATAATTATAAAAAAATAGCGGTCGCTTCTATTCCAACACTACAAATATTCTATTACAATAAGCACTATAAAAATATATATTATTGGTACCGCCATATGACTAACTTATTTTTAGTAATGTGTTTAAAATTCACATTTACTGTTTATTTAAGGTATAATAAATTCTAATCCTTAGGTATAATTTGAACACAAAGATTCTCGGAAAATCAGGACAGGGACAATCGTATGGCTCATCACAAATTTATAATTAAGAGCTTTTACAAACTATATCTTGTGTGCTATGGTTGTTATCTTCTCTATAGCTCCTTACCGTCGAGATTTTAGCCATATAATATAATATAAGTTTTAAGGATAACTGTATGGGGACATTTATGTGAAAATATGCCTAATATGTGCGTAGAATTACTGCAAAAAATGAGATATATTCTCCCACGTCCCCTGCAACCCCTAAATCCCAATTTTTAACGCCCACAAAAATTTGTCCGAAAATGATCAGGATCGCCTGATACGCCTGGCATTTTACTCCGCCGCCACTGGACCGATTTACAAAAACTATAAGGCTTGTTCGTCCTTGGCATAATGGCAACATTGTGTAAAAGTTATAAAATCGTGTTTCAGGGTAATTATTTAATACTGCTTTGCTACTAATAAACAGGAGATTTATCTGAAGGTCGGTTTTTGCAGGTTGTTTAGGAAATACTCGTAACTTGTTACTTATTACTACTACTAACCTTCATCTATGAGTTCCTCGAAGTCCTCCTTGGTAGAGATGGAATCTTCCGGTAACTTAGCCGATTGATCCACAATCATAATCTCCGATCCGTCAAACCCTGCGATGGCCTCCTCAACAGCTTCAGGAGACGGTTGCACAGTGCTCTCCTCTTGGTCAGGCGAGTCTGGTCCTTCAGCTACATTCACGATGTTATATTTCTTTGCTTTGCCCTGCATGATGAACTCATCATCACTGGTCGTCGGGCTTCTAATGACGATGTGCATGTTTTCTCCTGCATATTCTTCCTCTACTTCTTCGTCTTTGTCAGAGTAATGGGCACCGGAAGTCATGTCGACGACCATGTTACCGGGGAAGAGTAGGTATTCATCGGAAATCTGAAATGCGTAGTTGACATAAAAAAGTGGACTGCCTCGGTACTTTCTACGTAACGTATTTCGTATAAAATCCTGAAAATGACAAGCCTCCTAAAAGCAGTGTCAAGTAGGTTGCATGCTGTTCAAGGAAGTTCCAAATCGTTTGACTGTTACGTGAAATAAAATTTGGAAATATCAACAATCATAAATGTTATGGAAAGTTATGGGAATAATTGAATCGATCATTTCAAAACCCTATAAGCACAAAATTTTATTTTTTTCATGAGACAAGACTGTAAAAAAGTATCACTGACAAATATAGAATATGAGCTTCAAAAGGTCGAAATAGTCAAATAACCTTCACAGTAATAATAATACTGAAAAAATCCCGAAAAATTTTTAACATGGCACGTTTTCATTTTGCATGTTTTAATATCTTTGAAGTATATAGGGCAAAACCGGGCAAAGGGAACTCGTCAACAAATCAGCCATCGTGAAAAGTAAATAGACTTATTCATTCAATCTTTCTTAATAATCGACAATCGGTTTTAGAAGAACGTGCGTAGTTGACTATAGTTGTAGTCACCGTTCTTGGCGGTTACATTATTAACGCCATATGAAATAAGTAAGCAGATTGAGTCTCCGTACCATGGGCAGAACACTGCGCAGACTAATCTTCAGCGCATCCGCTACTCTCTCCAGTACGCATGAAGTGGATAAAAGGGGACGGTTCTTTTCATTCTCTTCTTGGAAATACTCATAAATTTAGCTCGACCTGTCGATCTTCTCCATTGATCCTATTTCCGGGCATTGTACAATTTTATATTGAAGATTGATAACATGACAACTGAATTTGCACGCTGATGTCCAGTAAGTTGTCACTCTGACAAATATGATTGAAGGGCACTCTTACGTAACGACAAAGTTTTCGAGACGAAGACACACAACTAAAAAACGTATGTCTTTGAGCTTACCGAACAAACGTTCACATACAGAGGTAGGTTGCATGTGTATGTATGAGGGAGATGGAGATATATAACGGGATACTGGTAGTCTTACTTTGACCCACCAAGAACGATGACTACAACTATACCAAAATGTATTTTCTCAACAAAAAAAAGTCTGTGCTTAAAGAACATTCTCAGTCATGAAAATGTGGAGGATTAAGTCAATAGTTTTGGAAGGAAATAACAAAACTCTAAGATAAGTGATGTCAGGCAAAGCCGGCAAGGCAAAGTTGATACCATATTCGCCCATAATCTTCTTTTCGTAGTTAGTCAATTTTGATGCATATAGCACATTAATATGAAAAGAAAATATATCAAGAATCCTGGTACTGTTTTTAAAATTCAAGTACAGTAGTGCATGCTACAGCATAAGTCATGTTCTTTTTGCTATGACGAGGTATTGTATGAGTGGGGGAGAAAATGTATTCACTTACGTGGTTTTTGAAATGACCGATTCAATTTGTAGATGAATTGAAAAATATCTACATCTATTGTTAAAATGAATTGAAAGCTGCTTAAAATGTAGTTATTATTCTTGAATATGCATCTAACTTACATGGTCAGATTCTAAAGGGCTGGAGGATAAAGCCTCCGCAAGATCTGGTTGAGATAAAGTTTCCATTTCAACCATATCATCAGCATCGTTTTGCTGCGCCGCAGAACTTAAGGAAATCTCAGTAGAAAGCACCGTGTTGTTATCGTCATCGTAGTCCATCAAGTCCACCTTAGTTTCTGGACTATGTACTGCTTCTTTGATGTCCTCAGCCTTTTTTAAAATTGTTCTCTGCAATGACTATAATAAAATATTGAGTAGAAAGTGACAAATCCATGTTATATGCGCTGTGAAGTCAGACATTAACAGTCAATTCAAAGGCTTGATACCATGCTACTCAGCTCGAGTGCTCTAAATCACTAGGAAGATTACCCGCCCTTGCATTGTGGAAACGCCTCCCCACTTCTCCTAGAACAATCCCACCATCGCTGGTCTGTTATAACAATGGCATTTGTTCTCGGTGCTGCTCAACAACCTCCCTCCCCAGAATAGAAACTTTCTAAACATCAATCCTGGGACCATCACTGCGTCTACCTAGACCAATTCTTCAAAGCACCACTAAGTACAACCATCCATATAATGGCAAACAATGGAGGAGAAATGCCAATTTTTGAACGACTAAATATCCAGTCACACATATATTTACATTGCTCCGAATGATCTATATTTTCGTGGACAGTTTTTGGTTATGGTTGATAAAGTATGGAATTTGAACACTGGTTAAGTTTGATGAAAATTCGTTTAGTAATAGTTCGATGTTGTGGTGATCGAATGTTCCAATGGGCGCAAAGCAAAGCCCAGAAATGCTGATAAAATTTGGTGCCTTAGCCACTATGGATACGCCTGTTGCCTGTACCATTTCACTAAAACCAACTCGTCTTTATTGTAGACTTCACAGTATAATAGAGATCATGTGAATACATATAATGGAAAGTAGTTTAATGGAAAAATTATAAAATATATTCGAAAACGATTTGCGTAGCAGGATTGACATCTTATAGATGTGTATTTTTCAATTATTTGGAAATATTCGGTGTGTTGCACAATTACGTGGCTCAGCAAACTTGCTTTTTCATTGAAACACCTTACATTCCGTTCTAATCAAGCAGTATTAAACCTTATATCAGACGAGACTTATAAATACGCGAATGAGATGGTATAAATATACGGAATGGGAAAGCTTTACGCCCATTGGAACATTTGATCGGCACCACATGAATTAGCACTATCCGAATTTTCTTTTAAACTAACCGGTGGTCAAATTCCATACGTTTTGTGTCTGGTACTTTAGCTTAACACAATAGCGATAATGTCGATCCACAGCAAAAACGTAATGGTTTGCCACATATCGTGCCCATAGCAACGAATCTAATAGAGTGTCGTACACGCTGAGCATTTAGCACCAATATGTCATTAAAAGGATGGGGAATTTGTAAATTGACAATTTAGTCTCAAGGCTATATGCAAACAAAAATAAATCTTACCCCTCTACTGGTTGACGCTGAAGGAGGCGGAGTGACGGGAGGCGTACTACATGAGCTATCATCTTCATTATAATCCGCGCTAACTAACGAACTGATTTTGTTGAGGCTCGATGTGGGCATGTTCACCTTGGCCGGCGATCGTCTCTTCAATATTGATACTTTGCTCAAATGAGGTTCTTTCTTCATTTTGACGACGGTTGTCGCCTCCAAGTTCATAGGCTTGTCTTGGGTGGGCGGAGTGGGGATTCTCTTCGCGCCTCTGCCATAGCTCCACATTGGAGAACCGCCTCGGAGACCCAGTTTGATATATCCGTACCTGATAAATGAAAACAGCTTCAAGTAGTAGTAGGTTGACTTTCCACCAAGCGCGGGTAGAAGGGTGAATGGAGTTTGACCACTAATATTTATGACTTACGCATCTCTTTGATAAACTTGATGAAATAAAAGCTTGTTTCAAATATCTAATGGATACAAACAGGTAAAAAATCACCACACCTGGCAAACTTGATCACTTTGTAAGCGCATCGATGATGGCGAGAAAGTAAGATGGTTGCGTAAGTATGGTTGCCTATACGTTCAATTTGACGCAGATATAAGTAAAATAGTGATGGAGCATTTTCCGGCTTAGTAGCACTGCATGTCCTTTAGAGCATTATTGAAAAATGTGCCTCATGTGTTCTGTGATTAAGGTTTTTACGTAAAAATTCAGACATTAGGACAGGAATACAAGAAAAAACCTTCAACGCTGAGAGCAAATTTAATGAAAATACTTTTTGACTTACAGAATCAGAGTTAAGGGGTTTCATTTGATTGAAAGGAGATAGTAAGTTATCACAGTTATCTAACCGTAAGAGTGTACAAATCTCGCTCTCTTCATCTATCAGTTCATACACATAATATACTTCATATTTTTGACTCTGATATGCTATTCGTCATTTGTTTGTCTGGGCGGTCCGTAGGACCTTTGCCCATGAGTCACTGTCTAATGTACGTTAGTCGAATCTGTCAGTCGTGGTTGCCCAGAAACCAGACAAAGTCAAGGAAAAAGAGAAAGGGAAAGAGAAGAAAAAAGGAGAAGAGCAAAGGAATCAGATGTGCTTACGCTTTTTGACTTGGTACACGGATTAATTTTGAGGTGAACTAAACAAATTTTTGATTCGGTTTTGAGTTTACTAAAAACTTGATTTGATTACAGTGCGAGTCGTGGCCTTGAATGTTTGCGAATTGCTCCACTGTGCAGTCCTCTGAGTCACGCAACAGAGGGTTGCTGTGCAATTCCGCTTGACTATAACGTCGCTGCGCCTGAAACTTGACATAATCCCTCAAGTAAGGAATGTCAAGGTCTCTGTGTAGTGTCTCATTTGAGACATACCATGGAGCGTTGCAAATTGTCCGCAAAGTTCTGCTTTGCAGTACTTGAATACTTTGCATGTGTGTCTTGGCAAGAAAACACCAAGCCGCACATGCATAAGTAATGGCTGGTCTACTAATCATTTTATATAGTCGAACTTTTTCTATCAAACTCAATTTGGACGATCTACATAACAACGGATATAGTTTCCGAAACGCAATTTGGAATTTTGTTTTTATGGATGCTGTATGTTTCTGCCAGGTCATGCCTTTATCAAGGGTGACACTGAGATACCTGGTAGAATTTGTCCATGGTACACGATTTCCGTCTACAGAAACCTCTGCTGGGGGGCCGCGTCGTTTTTTGGTACAATAAATAGCCTGTTTTCGAATGATTAATTTTTATCAGTCACCGTTCCGCCCACTCTAGAACTTCGTTCATCGCATTCTGCAACCGATCGTGAACCAGATCACCAGTACAAGACTGGGCGACAAGTGCAGTGTCATCAGCATAGAGGTAGACTTCACAGTTGCTGGGGCAAGGGACATCATGGATGAAAAGCGAATAAAGAATTGGTCCTAGGACCGAACCCTGAGGAACACTGGCTCGTACTGGCCGCGTTGTTGACAAAACATTGTTAATTTTGATCCTAAACTTCCTTCCTTAAAGAAAGGATTCCAGTAATTTTAGAAGCCAAACATGAAAACCCTTTTGGATTAGTTTATAGAGGAGGCCCGCGTGCCACACCTTGTCAAAGTCTTTCGAGACATCCAAAAGCAAGATGCCAGTACTCATGCTGAGGGTGAACCCTCTGGTTACATGCTCCACCAGCCTGACTGCCTGTAGCTCGGTGCTATGCTCGGACCGAAAACCGAATTGGACGTCAGGAATCACATGGTGATTTGACGAAAAATTCTCAAGGTGACGATAAATCACCTTTTCGGCGAGGTTAGAAGGAGCTAACAGCACACTTATGAGACAGTAATCCTGTGGAAATATCGAACCCACCTTTTTTGGAATCATGACGACCTCAGCAATCTTCCACCCAGCAGGGAAGTACTGAATTCTGAGCGTCGCATTGATGATTGTCACCAAATATGTCAGGGCTTTCGGCGAGAGCAGCTTCAACGCCTTGTTGGTGATTTGATCCTACCCACGTGCTTTACGCACCTTGAGGTCTTTAATATGACTTAGGAGCTCCGCTGGTATGCAGTGTGGAAAGTCGGAGGGTTCCGTTCCGCTAATGTGCTATGTGGAGCCTCAGACGAAACTTCTGAAGAAGAGTCATCTCAAGATGATGCAGTGCCTCCTCTAACGCCGTTGGCCCTAAAATATCTCCTGACGGATCGTACGATGTGCTGTTCCTCGTCCAGGTCATTATCGAGATCATAGTTGGGAGAGAACTGTTTTTCCATGGCATCAGCGAAAACCTCGACCTTATCCTCAGTTCTGAAGACTATGCCTTCAGGACCGTGGATGTGCGGGAGTTGTTCTCGCTTTCCGTTTCTGAGTGACTTTTCGACCTTCCAGAGAGGAATACTTGAATCAAGCATTCCCGCCAGAAAGTCGCTCCATCTCTCGTTGCGGAGTTCGTGCACTGCGTTTCTCACATCAGAGACAAGATTTGTAGCCCTACGAATGTCATCAGGATGACAAGACCTTTTTGCCTGCTTAATAACGGCTCTTTTGTCAGAGATTTTCTCACGAATGTCCGCAGGCAAAAAAGGTCTGCCGTGTCGTTGTACAGGAAGTACAGATGCACGCTGAAGAGCTGCTTGAATGAAACTTGTCCACTCCACTTGAGCGGCATCTATTCCAGACTCATTATCTATAATCGGGATATTGGGAAACTCTCTAAGGAGCAACTTGTATAGGTCCCAATCAATGCGTTTCCTTGGAGGAGCTGCCTCCTCAGAAGTTTGCTCATTGCCCATATCCAAGACGACACTTTTGATTTGTAGCTTAGCATGATGGTATTGTCTTAGTTTTGTCATGTACAGGGTGTTTCCCAAACATGGGGATCCTCTCGATTTGCGAAACACATCCTGATTCCAGAAAAACTGGCCCCTGAAGGAGACATCGTTGGGAATAGATTTTTCTTAAATAGTTGCATATGTGCATTCATTTCGGGCCTGATGAAGCCAACCAGCAGAAATACGTATCGCTCGGGTTACCTATCCTATTTTCTGCTCGAATCCACTTTTTGCGGATTTTGCCCATTATTTTCCTATTTTTGTTATATACCTTTCTCCGCATGATAATTTTCTATATATATATATATTACGCTGTTAAACGATATTTTCCAGTGAAAACTATTAGCACATTTAGTTCACCAGAGACAGACTAGCCATGCACCCAATATATTGCAGATCTTTTTACACCTTTGCATAATGACTTAATAAATAAAAATAATATTTTTGGAAATTGGAACAAAACTCGATAGTCTTCCATCTACATCAATCTAATGCTACCTGCGCTTGTTTTAAGAAATTTATCTATGTTTGATTTCGATAATATCAGCTGTTAAGAAAAGGTATCCATGGTTTTTCAGATCGCTGATGACGGATCTGTTATGAGAATTACCAAATTTACAAAACGGGAGAACCAGTATTTGGAAAAGGTTCTATAAATTATAAAACTGTACCAAAATAATAAGCTGAAACAGATTCTTTTTTTGAGAGAGAATAAGATAGGTCTTCAAGTGTATTAATTCAACTTATTGATCTCAAAATGTTACTGAACGTGTAACTGCAATGACTATTGAGTCAATTTGTTATAGTCCAAAACTAGAAGGTAAATGCTAGTTATTCCACCTTGCCACCTATAAAATCGTACTTACCTTTTTGGAGGTAGATTGGCAACCGTAGGAGATCCACCTTTCAACCCCAAATTTGCCCAAGGACTCTCAGGGCTACTAGCAGATGGCAAAGGATTATTCGTGTTGCCACCACCATTATCCATTTCATTTGTGTATTGCATAGATGAATGTTGATTTTGTATGTTGTCCTAGAACAAAAGTACAGAATATTGAAAAATATCCGAATAAGCATGATCTACTCTTAGTGCTCTTAAAATGAGTCTCTCCAAATTTTTAGAACCACTTTTTAAAGATGAAACTGATGTAATAACCAACAGGATAAAAGTTCATATTAACATAAAGACGCGTTTGTATTCAGTTATCATCTGAGCCATGTACTTGGTTACCTGCCATAGTCAAAAAATGCAAAATTCAGATTTTCGCCTATGACACTATGATTTATATAAGTACTAAAAATATTCAGACTGGTATCTCTTATATAAATGAAGACTTGAAACTTGTCTCAAAATGGTTAGCATCTAACAGACTAAAATTAAATACAAGTAAAACGAAAGCCTTGTTAATTGGAAAAAAACAATGAACAAATGTTCAACTGAATATTGATGGTGAAGATATTGAATTCGTAGAAGATTTTAAATACCTGGGAGTTTTTGTTGACTCTCGATTAATTTTTGATATTCATTATGAAAAAGTTATAAATAAGATTAGTAGTAAAGTGGGATATTTATCGAGAGTTTCTGGATGGCTGAGTTCATATAGCAGAAAAATTATCTATAATACCATCATTCTTCCAAATTTCTTGTACTGTTCGACTATTCATTTAGCAAATAATTCCATTTTTGAAAGACTGCAAATTTTACAAAATATGTGCATGAGAATAATACTGAATAAAGATAAATATACTCCAATTAGGCAAATGCTTAGCAAATTAAAATGGCTCAATGTAAAATTTTTTATCAAATATCTTGTAATGATATTCATTTATAAAGTAAAAAATAATATATTTCCATCAAGTCTAACTAATTTAACATCATCAAATGTCGACCATCATTTACATAATACCAGAAATAAAGATGACTTCCATTTAATGACCAAAAAGTATAACATATGCTACAAATCTGTATTCCATCAAGGTTTTTTTTTATACTCCAACTACCACGAAGGCCTAAGGCCTAAACACCCATTGGGTACCGTGGGGCTATAGGGGGATACAGGGGAAAGGAGGAACGCCACACGGACTCTGGCGAGGGAACACGTGTGCATGCAACATGCACACATTCTGGCTCCGCCTACGAGATCCGCCGGGTGGTACCTCCACGTTCGACAGTCAGAGACCGTCTACCACCTACGGACAATCACAACATCCATAGCCAAGAGAAAAATTTCTCCTGGGACGGGACTCCAACCCGCACAGCGCACGGCGACTGATCAGGAGACCGAAGAGTCTACTACTGCGGCCACCGCTGCTGCCTATAAGTTTGGGTTGATTGAATATAATAAATTATACTCAGAGATAAAAGACCAGAAAACTTTGACAAAATTTAAAGTAAAATTGAGAAATCACTTGTTAAATCTACAATTATAGGTTGCTCAGCATTTACATCATATGGCTTGAATTTGCTAGTTCTAAGTTGTTTACAAGTATTCTGTTTATGTAGCCAAATGTGCTAAATAAATCTTTCTACTACTACTACATATTCAAAATCAGCGTCCCATATAAACTCAGTGTCCAAGGTTTCGTTTGCTTGGAGCCACTAAAACTGAAATTCTGCATTGACAAACTTTAATGTTTAAAAGCATACTACTGTGTAATATTTTCAAATATATATATATATATATATATATATATATATATATATATATATATATGTATATGTTTGCACATCTGCTGCAATTTTATGATTATCTGTTCTTTTAGATAAATCGGGTGCGGAGATCGCCAATCTGTTGTCAATATTTTGCTGAGATCGGCAGAAGGCTTTGAAAGGTCCCTTATTCTACCCGAAACATTCGAAATATGCCTACCAAATTACGGAACATTAAGAAACTTTAAAACTATTAAATAACTATTTGAGAAAGATGCTAAGCACCTGTATGAGATGATCAATCGTATAAGATGGCGTCCTGGGCGTCCCCGGGTTCTCAACACTATGAGGTCGATCAGGATTGGCCGGACTACTATTCGCACTGGGCGGACGCCTGATACCGTGCGGCGATTGGACCACTGGGCTCCTGGGCATCGGCGAAGTCGCTGATTGGTACTGCGTGTGCATGGGGCTGCTCTGACTCTGTTGTTGCTGTTGCTGGTGGAACGCGGGGCTGCGAGCAGCTGGTGAATTGGGGTTGGGGTTGTTGAATGTGTTTATCATTGGGCTTTTCGGAGGTGCCTGTGGACAAATCAAATATTTAAAGCTGATCAAAAAATAACGAGTATACAGGGTGCCCCACACTATATGAACAATTTCAGGAATGCATAGAAAACACAAAAAATAATCTAGTGATATAATTTTCGTCGCTCCGACCAGTTTGCCTTCATCAACCTCCAAATTGATTCGGCACTGCATTACTGGCTGTCTATTTTACCATATTTACAAAAAAAACAAAAGCTGTCCATGAGTAGACGATCAAGCCGAGGGCGGTGTTGCCAGATTGCCACAAAATATATAGATACTGCTATATTTATAATCAGAGGAATTAAGTAAAAAAGTTGTATTATTATTGCATATTCCCTGAATTCATTTTTCCAAAATACGTTGCCCACTAATGGAAAATACTTGCGCAGTTCCATAACCACATTTGATAAAATATGATGTCAGATCTAATATCTAGTTCTACTTCTTAGAAAACTATGTACTACAGAATCCACTGGTAAACTTGAATCATCAATGTCGGATGGATTTGGTGATTGCTCTGATCAATACATTTGCATCAATATTTTCCAACGTGCAATGTACACATTGACTGCAAACGGTTGAGAAATATTCCAATTCCTCACCATCAAATGCAAGTCTAACCGAAACTAAATTTGAACAAAATATATTTAATCTGACCCTACAAGTGCAAGGCAATAAAATCATTCAAAAATAATTATCTATCTGGCAAAACTGTATGCATCTCTCGCCAAATTGTAACACGTAGTTAAAAGACTTCATTAGATTAAATTAGTTTAGTCAGTTCTAGCTCTCCCTCTCTCTTAACTAATTTAGCTCGTCAGGGACGGAGTAGCCCTAAAACAATATTTTCGGAACGTCATTCATAATAATGTCATAAAAAGGTTATTTTTGGAAAGCCTGATCTATTAGCTGAAAAAATGTGTAGTTCCTTTCATGGTTTTTGGCGTCATACAGAATAAGTGAACAGATTGACGTGTGGAGCTTGCCTTCACTGAGAAAAACTGCACACTAAGCAAGCCTATCCTTAACGCAGCTGCTACTCGCTCTTGCTCACACACATGAATTAGCTGATGAAAGACCATTGTATCTTTCAGACACTGCTATGTTTTATATTGAAGATCAGCAAATGTCAGGCAATTGTCATGCTGACGATGATAAGGATGAAATTGGAAGACTCATACATTGTCTAGAAAATTTTCAAAGCAGTGAGACAAAACAAAAAAAAATCTTTATCTACCTGACAACCAAACGTTCACGTATAAAGACCGACTGCATTATGTACCTGTGTGAGCGAGATGGATATATGGAAGTCATTCATGTAATTTTACATCACCCGCCAAGAACCGTAAAAAGGCATTTGTTTGGCATCGATAAAATGAGTCCTTTTTTGTCTGATCTCATCACCCAGAAATCGAAGGAAGTCGGTCTCATGAATGAACGAACTATTAAAAATCAAACATTATTTTATCCTTGCCTGCATTGGAGATGGCGGCATAGAATGCGGTGACATGATCATCGGACTCTTAGGCGGCATGGGCGACTGCGGTGGCTGACTGCTCTGTTGTTGCTGTTGCGCTTGCTGCTGTTGCTGCAACCTTGCTTGCAGCTGCGCGATCTGTTGCTGTTGCTGAGCTGCAAGCTGCTTTTGCTGCTGAAGCATCAATTGGTGCTGTTGGGGTGTCAATGGTTGGGGTTGGCCAATGGACTGTTGTTGCTGTTGGACTTGTTGGACTAACTGCTGTTGTTGTTGCTGTTGGACTAATTGTTGCTGTTGTTGCTGAGTTAGTTGTTGGGAGAGCTGTTGCCTGATCAGGTTGCGGTGTTGGATTAGTTGTGCGGCGCGGGAGTGAAGAGCGTTCTGGTCAGCTTGGTTTGCTGTAATGGAATTAATTTTCAAATCGGGTTGACATATTTTTTTATAATGGAACGGCTAAGAGGTCATGAGGAGTTAATGGTTTTGGTAGGAAATAAGAAGACCTCAAATAAGTGATTTCAGGAAACGCGGATAAGGTATGCACCCGTATTTTTATTTTTGTAGGTAGAAAATTTAAAATTGGTGATTTAGTGCATATACGAGTGCTAGAGTGCTAGAAAAGAAATCTACCTAACCATGAAACAAAAGACCTACGATTTTTTAATAATTTATTTTATCCCTACATCAATGCACCTTCTCCTCCTGTATACTTGTATCCTTATAAAAAATGTTTCCTCATAACTGTCAACAAAAACGTCGACGGCTGCTTTTAGGGAGGATAGTATATCTCAACGAAGCTGCATTCCTGCACAATTGGTCGAATTTGGGCTTGCTCAAACAGGATATTTCCAGCTCAGAGTTGCGTCCGTGTCTTTTTAGGTTTGTTAGACAATGTATGAACCGACTGCTTGCATTCTGTATTTGTCTCAGGATCTCAATATTGTATCCAAGTCTCATCAATTTGTGCCAAAAAGTCAGAATCGTTGGCCAAAGTTTCCAAATGACTTTCTGAAATTTCCGACATGCGTAATTTTTGTTCAGGTGTCAATAGTTGTCGAACCCACCTGGCTGACATCATACTTAAATTTGAATTGTCGTGCAAGATGGCTTTTACGCTGGGTTGCGATCTATTCAATGCCATACTAAAGGTAGAAACCTTCACATGACGATCCTGGAGAACCATGGCTTCCACTTTTTGAGCCATTTCATCATATGTTGCTGTTTTGGGACTTCCACTTCTGAAATCGTTTCCCATGGATGCATGCCCCATCGAAAATATGATGGTACATCATCCCCATACACGGCAACCATTCTCTAAAGAATTGTTTTCGGCTGATGGCCCTCTTTTGTCAGACATTTCATGACACTGCAATACTATAATTTATTTCAAGTTACTCATTTTTTCTCACTATTCACTTATTAATCGGAAAGTGATTAACATCATTAACACAAGTTTTGCAATTAAAATTACGCATATATTCCACTATTTGACGTATTATGCTTGTGTGTTTCAAATGTTTTTCTCATGACTAGATATACAGTAATGGACAAAAGTATATATACAAATATGGATATTTACCTAAATACCTTTAGAAAACGAATTCATACTTCATTGCTCCATAAACACATGCGTTATTAGTAGGAAAACTAAATTCCTTGTTTTTACATTATCTGCAATGAACACAATACAAGTCTGAATATAAGCACTTTTTTATGAGGGACAAAAATATGTAGACAAATTCTTCTCAACATTAGCTTAGTACAGTTTCGTGTCAGAAGAGGATTAGTTTGTGTTCATCAAGTATTGTAGAATCAGTTGAATGATTTTAAGACCATGCCGCGTGGTCAGAAATTTCTTTCGATGTGAAACTAAGATCATTGAGTTATACAAAGATGGCCAATGTCAAGTCGACATTGCTAAAAATTTGAAGCTGAAGCGTAATGCAGTTTGGGCAATATTGAACAAATATAAACAAAAAGGTATCTTGGAAGCCTCTAAGAGAAGTGGTCGGCCTAGAAAACTAAATGCTAGATCAGTTAGATTAATAAAAGTAATTTCGTCCAAAGATCCGTTTAAAACCCCAAGACAAATAAAAGCCGAAATCGAGACAAAAGGAATTGTCAGTGTTTCTACGAAAACTATAAGTAGAAGATTAAATGATTTGAAGTTATTTGCACGTCGCCCGAGTAAGAAGCCGCTAATTTTGAGGAAAAACCGTAAGGACCGATTACAATTTGCACGGTTGTATCTTGATTGGAGCATCTGTGACTCGAAGAGGGTATGTTTCAGTGACGAATCCAAGTTCAATAAGATTGAACCCCAAGTACACTTTGCCCACTGTCAAACATGGAGGCGGATCTGCTATGGTTTGGGGGTGCTTTTCGGGGTTTGGGATGGGACCTTTACATAGGATGGTATTATGGATAAGTTTGTATACACAGACATGCCAAAGCATGTCATGTTACCCTATATGCAAGACAATATGCCCTTAAGATCAATCTTCCAGCAAGATAATGACCCGAAACACACTTCAAATCTCGCAAAGAAATTCTTTCTGGATGAAAAAATACCAATTCTCAAATGGCCTTCACAGTCTCCCGATATAAACCCCATTGAAAATTTATGGGAATGCTTAGACAAGCAAATACGAGATAAAAATTATTCAAACAAGGATGAACTTTTTGCCGCTTTAGAGCAAAAGTGGAGACAGATTGATGAATCTTATATCAAGAAACTTCTACAATCTTTGCCGAGACGATGCCAGGCGGTGATTGATAATAATGGTTATGCTACAAAATATTAACACAAACATGGTTGGTTTTTTATAATTCAATGAGCTTTGCTTCTTTTTTCTATAATTGTTTTGCTTTGTCTATATATTTTTGTCCTTCATAGTTCCAGTTTTCTACAATTAATTTTTTATTGAAGGGCGTCTAATGAGTTTATTTATGTATAAGTGAGTATTATGCTATAACGAATTATGTATACAAGTTGGTGTATAAATAAAACAACTTAAAAAGAAATACAGCACAGTGTCTTTTGATCGCTACACGTGACAACAGTGTCAAGAATCCCAGTGCAAATATAGCATCGTAAAAGTGGTATTATGCAGTAGAATAAAAAAATTACTATGTGTCATGTGTTGCTAGTGTAGAACACCACATCCGGATGAAAAAACTGGTAAGGAGATTACGATATTAAGGATTCCAAGGTGGTTAAAAACCTCAAAACATACGGCAGGCAACGAAGCATGTTGCCAAGTATTCGGAAAAATCGTGACAATTCCAGTGAAAGAAAAATGAATACACGACAGCAAGCAAAATTGAAGAAAACAGTAACTGAGAAGATTAGGAAATCGCACAACAATAGCTACATTCACATTCAAGTCGACAGTCAAATTGAAGAAAATACAAACACTCACGAAAATTTACTATTAGATGTCAGAAATAAATTAGCTACCGAGCTGGCGAAGAACGAACAGCTGAGTAGCGCTATAATGTCATTAAACTGCAAGATAGAGAAACTAACACAGGAGCTGAAGTACAAAGATAAGACTATAGAACAACTTGAAGGAATTATAAATAACGTAAAATGTAAGACAGTCGTTACTGATCGGTACGTGCAGACGGACCGAAGTAGTAAAAACAGTATCCATGTACAGACTCAAGCAGTCACATCAAATAGCACACAAACTCAGACACAACTAACACCGATACAAAACCAACCTAAAATGGATAAAAATCACCTAAACTGTATCAAAGCAAATCCTATAGAAGCAAATACTACAGAAGACAAGAGGTGTAAGCTATTAATCCTCGCAGATGAGCAAGGGCGGAATCTGATACATATACTTCGAAGAGTTCTTCCTTTGGATCAGTTTGCGGTTACATCGATGTTACATCCCAATTCCCAACTGAACAATATTACGAAAGATGCACGAAATTTAACAACTGATTTCACGAAGTCCGACTATGTACTCATCATGGGCGGTTCTAATGATGCGCTGACAAAAGGTTTCATTCAATGTGAACCTCTCAGAGAAACTTTAAAAGTACTGAAAGCTACCAACGTAATAATAGCTGCAGTACCGCAATGGAGAGGTCATAGGCCCATTTTAAATACCATTATAAGAGATATAAATGACCAGCTACACCGAATTTGTGCACAAAACGGAGTTCAACTTCTTAATCTAAACCCAAATCTACATCACTACTACAGGGAGAGGTCCAATGTACTGAATAATAAGGGTAAACGCATCATTTGCAATAACATAAAACTGTTGCTAAGCACAAAGAGATCAAGTGAATCTTCCATAGAAAGTGAAATTCAGAACGGAACAAGAACACATAGGGATATAGGGACTGTAGGAAGTATGCACCATCCGAAAATCGAACATCAAAATATAAGTGCACCGAAATCATCATTCCCAAAGTTGATTGGAAATCTAAACACCGAGGAAAACTTGGAATCCTCTAAGGAACATAGCTTACCATCCACATCGCTACAAAAAGAGCTACTTTTTAATGAACAGCAGTCAAATTTTCTATCAGGAATCCGCCAAGGAGTCATAACGTAAAAATAAATATGACGTCCTAGAACTGTATGTAGATGAAGCATCACCAGATATTCTTTGTGTCACCGAAACATGGCTAACAACGACCGCTGCAGCTGTCGCTAACATTCAGAACTACAAACTTGTAAGCAGCTTCTGCAGAAATCGATATAAACATGGTGGATGTGCCATATTTGTTCGTCACGGTGCTGAGGCTAAAGATATCTTATTCTCAGATGAGTATTCACAAGAAAAGCACATTGAATGCTGCGGCTTGCAGGTTAGTTTTGGACCTTCTAATGAAAAACTCGTAGTGATATGTGTCTATCGGCCTCCCTCAGGAGACATAACAATTTTCCAGGAGAACCTGACTTCACTCTTAAATCGAATAGCTACCACAAGTAATAACATAGTTCTTTGTGGAGATCTTAATATCGATTACAGTAAACCGTCAATAAATAGTCTACTACTCAATGACATCCTACAGTGCTTCGGTCTAACAAACTACTGTTACGGACCAACCCGCATAGCATCAAATAAAACCACTGGTCTGTCCAAAACTTCAATCGATTACATGACCACGAACATCAACTCAGAAAATCTGAAATGTGCCATAGAAGATCCTCAAATATCCGACCATGCGGCGCAAATCTTAACGCTATCTTCCCTTGTCGCCTCCAACAACAAGTCTCCCGTCAAATCTTATACTGTAAGGAAAACTGATGATTGTAATCTCGAAGAACTGCGATTAAGTCTCTCTCAAGAATCTTGGAATATTGAAGAGCCCGATATAGATGATGCTTTCGAAAGATTCCTCAACACCTTTCTGTGGCATTTCGATAGGACATGTCCTCAGAAAGTTATTACGTGCAGACATTTAACAAAACCCAAATCATGGATAACACCGGAGTTAAAGCAGTCGAGCAACAATCTACGAAATTTGTACAAACTTACAAAAGAGAACGAGCAAGATATAAATCTGAAGCAAACGTATATTGAAAGAAAAAAGCAACATCGCAAACTGATCTCAATAGCCAAGCAGCAATATAACTGCAACGAAATTAAAACAGCTGATAATAAGACAAAAAAGATCTGGCAAATAGTCAACCAGGAGCTTGGACGTAAAAAGAACTCTGGAGTAATTTCACTTAAAAATGACAACGGTGGAGATATGGGACAGATTAGTGTGCCTGATGCTTTTGGGAAACATTTTTCAACCACAGTAGTAAGTAAGCTCCAACACCACTTCAAAGGATCCCCACTACCAGCAGCAGAAGCTAAAACTCAAGTAGCGCATTCAATGTTCTACACTGAGGTCACCGATGAAGAAGTGAAATTAATCATAACCAACCTTCCAAACAAACAATCGTGTGGTAGTGACGGTGTAACTACTCGTGTTATTAAAAGTGTTTTAAATGAAATTGCAGGTCCTCTCACAACTTTAATTAACATGTCTGTCTATCAAGGCAAATTTCCTAAATCCCTGAAGCTTGCGATAATAGTTCCCGTTCCAAAAAAGGGAGATCCTACTCAAGTTGATAATTACCGCCCCATAACATTGTTGTCAATCTTTTCTAAAATAATCGAAAGAGCGATTTATTCAAGAATTTTGGGATATGCTGAAAAATTCAACCTTATCCCAAGCTCGCAGCATGGATTTAGGAAACTTCATTCAATAGAGACAGCTACTTATGAGTTTGTATGTCAGATATATAAACAGCTCGATATGAATAAATGTATCGCGGGCATCTTTTTTGACCTATCGAAAGCTTTCGATACAATTGACATTGGACTTCTCGAGGAAAAATTATTTTATTTAGGTTTAAGAGGTTTTATATTAGATTGGGTAGTGTCTTTCCTGTCTGACAGGAAATTCAAAACAAAAGTTAACGGAATTACATCCGCAACGTACAGTATCGACATTGGAGTAGCGCAAGGCTCAGTTTTAGCACCCCTTGTATTCATTCTGTATATAAGTGATTTGCATCTCTCTGGATTTGTAACAAATTATGCGGATGATACATCAGTTCTTGTAAGTGGAACCTCACGCAATGACATTATTGCAAAAATAAATGGAGTAAAATGTGAAATGAAAGGGTGGTGCCAAGCAAATCGTTTGATTTTAAACCTCGAAAAGTCAGATGTTGTACATTTTTATACAAACGCCCCTATTCTAGCAAATCATGAGGCATCGAAAACTACGACATTCTTGGGAATTGAAATGGATGCAAAGCTCAGTTGGCAACAACACATGGACAGTGTGTGTAAAAAGTTGAACCAATCATATTTTGCGATTCTTAAGCTCAAGTTTTGCTTATCAGAGTCAGCTTTACTAGATGTATATTATGCTCTCGTCCACTCACATTTATCAAGGAACATCATAATTTGGGGACAAGCAACTTCAATTTCTAGAGCATTTGTTCAACAGAAGAGAATAATCAGACTGATATTCAACATTCGTAGAAGAGAATCCTGCAGAGATATCTTCAGAAGTAAAAACATCATGACTCTACCAAGCATTCATATTTATAAGTGCGCCCTTTTCGCACATACAAACAAAACAAAATTTATACAGAACAGAAACATCAACACACATTATAATACAAGGGCAGGTGAGAGTCTGAGTATTCCAAAACACACACTGACGCTGTTCGAAAAGTCACCGGAATACACCTGCATCAAAATATATAACAAACTTTCAGCTAACCTCAGGAATGTCAGTAGTATTCCTAGTTTTAAATGTAAACTACGCAAATTATTAGTTGAAAAATGTTTCTATTCTTTGTCTGAATACCTCGCACTGTGATATATTGTTTTTTAAAACTTTTTTTATATGTGAATGTCTGTACGCATTAAGTTGTCCCTGTTTGTACTTTGTAAATACTTATGTTTGTTTCGTTTTTATTTTTAATTATGTGTACTATGTACCTCCCTCTTAGGACGAGTCTTATGTCATTTTTTATGATCTACAAGACAATAAATGTATCTATCTATCTATCTATCTATCAATATTAATTTGTATATATACTTTTGTCCATTACTGTATTTGTTCTTCTATTGACCCTCGTAGCACATAAATATGATAATAAAACAAATCAAAGATACCGATACTGTTTTCGAAATGATCCACTCAAGTACCCGCCGTCGACTAAGGCATGCAAAAACCACCAAAGTCCCGGACCTACGTTATTTTTTATGCAATACAGGTACATTACGCGGTATCTTTTGAAGAGGGAATAATACACTACCTAAAAAAATTAAAATTTAAATGAAATATCCGAACCACTCACCATCTGTCCCTTGTTGCTGCTGCAACACCATGTGCTGCTGCTGCATCTTCTGCAACTGCTGTTGCAACTGATGCTGCCCGGCCCCCGTAGGACTGCCTAGAGGCGACACACTTCCGCCCTTCTGTTGATAAACCTGACCCTGTTGCTGTTGCATCCTGACCCTCTGCTGGACCGCAGCGAACCGCATTTGGGCAACGCCAACGGTCCCCGTAGGGGCCCCCACGGGGCTAGTCACAGCTGAGCGGCGGCTTTGCTGTTGTGGAGACGCCATTCGTGGGGGCGGGGGCGGCAGAATAACTTGGGAGGGGGAAGGGGATGGAGCTGGGCTGCCCTCGCCTGAAATGAGGATAAAATAGATGACTTTTAGAGATAGTGAACATTAAGGTAGAATCAAAGAGTTTGTAGTTATATCAAAAAAGATACTTCGTGGAATGCCTTTATAACCAGCCGGCCGTCCCCATCAACCTTGGAATCATATGCATTATAGTAGGGAAGCTGATAGTAAATTTTTTGTTACATTATCGCGTACTGATATGATACGATAAAAACTCACAACACATCTATTCGCATTTTGATGCAAAACATCAAACTTGCCGAGCCTGCTGTTTAGCATTAAAATACGTAAGATTTGAGTAGTTTTTAACATTCCATATCAGTACGCGGCAACCAAAACCTTGCGGTCGGCTTTTGGACTATTACTGGCTTAAAAATAAACACGGCCATCTACGAGGTCTGTAAATTAAGTGGCGAGAGTAGCAGCTTAGCGTTCGAGCTGGCAACACTGGAGGCGCGGAGCTGTAGCGATTTTTTTGTGAAGCACTTTTTCTATTGTGTTCTAAAGATGAGTTATAACAATTTCGAGCAACGGCGTGCTATCAGGTTTTGCTTCAGACTTGGGCACACTGAAACAGAAACTCCCAGCCCAGGTTATTCGGTGGTTTAAGGCATTTTCAGAAGGGAGGGAGTTGATTGAAGATCGATACGGCAAGCCTTCATCTTCAAGAACCGAAGAAAATATCGCCAGAATCTGGGATCTGAACAACTGGGTGTTGTATCAGGATAATGCTCCTTATCACCAGCAATACCAATAAATGAGTTTTCGGCCAGTAAAAACATTCCTGTGGCTCCTCAGCCTGTTTAATTGCCTAACTAAAGTCCTTTTGACCTTTTTCTCTTCTTGAAGTTGAAAAATCACCTCAAGGGACAGTCGAAAACATTCAAACGGCTGTAGCTGACCAGCTGAAGGCTATTCCAATATCGGAGTTCCAACACTGTTATGAGGAGTTTAAGATCTATCTTCAGCGCTGTCTGGATTTCTTCAGCGCAGTCTGGATTCAGAAGGAAGTCATTTTGAGGGTGACAACATAAAGTTGTAATTATATTTGAACAAAAAAAAAACAGGGCAGACTCATCACTCAATTTACAAACCTCGCATGTGTGCCGTCCTTGTTTACCGAACATATCATCTGAAGGTCAGGCTGCCTATACCGTATTTCACGAGTATCTCTCACGCTCTGACGTCTACTGAGGTGAAAAGCTGATCAGAAAGTGACATTTTTATGTTAGGCTGCAACGTTGGCAATAATGAATCGGGTATAAATCTAGTAAAACTTGTTTGTGGCGTTTTGTTCTTTTTATGCAAATGAACTTTTCTAAATGAAAGAGCTGTTAGCAAGTACAAAATGAATCTGTAACGAACAAAAAACAAAACAAAATATGGCTCTGTCTACCTGGTGAAGACGAATCCGTCCTGTGCCTATATGGGGAATTTTGAGATATTACTAGATTATCAGCTGTCATTTTACCGTGATGGATACTCGTGAAATAGGGAATAGATAACTAGTGACCATGTCAAATAGACCGAAGCAATTTGAGGTTAGTAAACTTTAGAAGTTCAAGCTGACGTACTTCTTTTATGACTAAACTAAGTGGTGTAGTATTTCGTGTAGGGCACAAAAAGATAAATAGTTTCGTAATATCTTACATGTTTTGAGATTAATGAAAAGTGGTGATTTATAACTTTGTTGAACGAAACATATATTTCGTAGGTTACAAATAGGTGATAAATATCCCTACCATGAATAAATGTCCAAACAAAAGTACATTTGAACAAAAAAATGCGTTCACAGTGATGGTCAAAGAATTCGTCAAAAAAGAATTACCTATCTGGCAACAGCGGCTAAATTAAAATACACAATAGATTTTTTGTATCATAAGCTTCACGTGTAAGTTTTGCAAAAAAAATCACGACATGCTCTGTATTTTTGGATCCGGGTTTTTTTATGAAACAAGTCGAAATCATCGTTCCAAGTTACAACAGAGCACCGAGTTTTGTTCGCTTGTAGCCACAGTATAATATTGCATTAACATGAATCTAACAAAAATCACATGACTTGGAGCTAAAACATAAAGTGCTTAAATACGAGGGGCACGCTATATATTTTGAGATGCGCATTAACTATACTAGTTAAAACCGGCAAGAGTGCACTATTAGAAAGAGCAGTCCTTCATTAGTAAGTCGCCGCATTCAGTTCATTTACAAGCGTCTTACAGTACACGTGGTGTAAACAAATTTAAGACGAAACATGGAGTTGTCTCTAGAGAGTTATCGCGCTATGATTTACCATGACCTTAAAGTCGGTTTAACTGAATACCAATTAATCGAACGGTTACAACAGGCATTTGGAAATGAAGCTCCGTCCCAAGCAAGTGTGTTTCGCTGGTATGCCGAATTTAAAAGAAGGCGTGTTTCATTGCCTGATGAAGAACGTAGGGTAGGCCATGTTCCAGTATGACTCCAGAAAACATTGCTAAAGTTCAGCGGCTAATTAAAGAAGATTCTCGCTGCACATATGCGACAGCAACAGCGCACACCATTTTGCATGATCATCTTCATTCAAAAAAAAAAAAGTTGTTGCGGAGGAACGATCCAGCATCACGACAATGCCTCTAGCCACACTGCCCAACTAACTGTAGACTTTTTACGCCAGCGGAACATAAAAATGCTAGAAGATCCGCCTTAATCGCCATATTTGGTAATGTGTGACTTCTGGCTCTTCAAGAATTTGAAAAAAAAATCTGCGTGGTCGAAAATTTTCGTCCGAAAAAGAAATCCATCAAGCAATAATTAATCAGTTTGTTGAAGGCATTCCAAAAACTGACAGGTTAGAAGCATTTCATTTGTGGAATGTCAGGTTACCGAAGTGCATTGACGCTGGAGAAGAATACTTTAAACAGTTAAACAGTTTTTAGTTTTCATGTATCTCAAAATATATAGAGTGACCCTCGTATGTTTAGATTTGGTGTTATTTCTATTTCTAGTAGTAAACTTGGAAACAATAAAAAGCTTTTGATTTTAAGCTTTTCAATATAATAATTTCTTGTCTCATGACCTGAATATGTGTAAACTTACTTCAATTTAATATTTCCATACTTAATAGCAGATTTAGCTTCTTCTTATATTTTGCAGAACAAGGAATGATGAGAAATGATTGAAATGTATATTATTGTTAGATTACTTTTCTACACCATGGAGACATTTTGAATAGAATTCTGTCGAAATACCCTAATTTTTTGTAAATTTTCTTACAGGATTAGTCCATATGACGCGTGTCGACGTGGGGCGAGTTTATTGGGACGGTGTTCAGATGGAACGCGTAGATTAAATAGAGCGGGGCTGAGTAATCGAATGTCAGTATATTGTGTTTAGTCAACAAGAATGAATGTGGAAGAAACCATTTGTGCTTGCATAACATCAGGAAGAATGGAAGGACGTAGAAGAGAAAAGGCATACTGGGTTCACTTGGCTTTTAACAAGTTTATCCCTTACACTCTGTCCCAGCCTTCAAAAAGATGAAGCGAATTTCTTAAACTACCACAGTGAAATCGTTGGACGGCCAGACAAGGATTTGAATTATTGTCTTTATTGTAATATAAATTATTCCAAGCAAAAAGGTTCATTATAACCTATGTCCGTTTTTTCTTTTTTCGAGCATCGCATCGTTTCAGATAAGTGACTGATAATCGTGGTGTGTATCGCCACGTACCGGTAAGTTATGTCTTTTTTTGTACATGTACTGTACTGAAAGCGTTATTAAATAAAAAATATTAGCCACAAAAAATTGTAAGTAATTGTAAGTAATTCAAGGCATATTTTCAACAAAAATATCATACAAACGTAAACAATTCGATGAATTAGTTACGGTCGTCGTGCGCTCGTATCGCGGTTGCGTTGCAGCGTTGCCAAGTGTTTGAGAAAATTTAATTAGTTAAGCCAAAATTCGTAGTCAGTAAGTAAGTTTCATTAAATTAAATATTTAACACACACACGACAACAGCGCGTCGGTCATTATCACTACAGTGGTTAATATTGTTCGCGTACGTCGTATATTTCGGTATATAATTACTACTAAAGACTTAATTTTGCTTACAAAAGTAACGGTCTGATCATCAATTTTTATCAACAAATTATCCATTTTGCACACTTGACAATGATACCTGGATCCGATCAGCATACACTGTTTTGTTGACATTAAATTTTTTCTATTACATCGAAGCCAAACACTTCATTTTTTCAAAAGAGCTACTATGTACATATATTCCTACTCCAAATAGAACTTCTTGACACATTAACAATTTTTTATCGCCATATTCGAAATCAGCGTCCCCTGTTTCGGTCGCTATACAAGTTTGGTTTGCTTAGAACCACTGAAGGCGAAAATGAAAATTTTGCATTGAGAAAACTGTTACTATCGCCTGAATTTCTGTCTCATCTTTAGGTTTTACAATACTCACTTTGCTGCGAGTGCGGAGTCCCCATCCTCGGACTCGGCTGCATCGGACTCTGTTGTTGCATAGGACTTTGCTGCTGCATCGGACTGGGCTGCTGCATGGGCGACATGACGTGGCCGGGGCTCTGCAGCACGCCCCCTTGAACCGACCCGGGGCTGTTCATGGGCGATGCTCCCGAGGAGGCAGCTGGGGACATCATGGGGCTCTGCTGTTGGTGCATTGGGGATGCCGGTTGTTGCTGCTGCTGTTGTTGTTGTTGGAGTTGGCGTTTGTTGCGGTATTCCTTCATATAGACCAGCGTGGTGAAATCGGATCACATTACATAACGTTTGAGACGTAGAGGTGTTGTAGGCAGTGCTAGGTTGTGTGATATGCTAGGTTTGCACGTGAAAAAATATAGATTGCTTTGCTACGTTTATTGAAATAGCTCTACATTTTAGGTAAGTAATGTATGTCAATATATGACATATATATTTTGGGAATCAGAATTAAAGACTCTATTCACCCGTGCAAAAATCCAATATGGCGTCCGTAAGAAAAAATAATGTTGATGCTGGAGGACAAGGGACGAAACGTCATACTGTAATTCTAATTTCGCCATCTTGTAAAGGAGAAAAAGTGGCAATGTTAATGTGCAATTTATTTTGAAATCCCATTACAAAATTAAGTCAGAAAAAACTTCCTACGATTTTGGGAAAATTCGATTTTTTCCGTCTTTCTCCGAAAGCACTTTGAATTTTGAAATTTGCTAAGCAGCATTTTGTTAGTTACCTAAATATACAACTTTGCCAACATTTAAACGACTTCATGTCTCTTACCGTTTCCGAGATCCTTGTAGTCAGGGTCGAATTTGAAACACCCAGTATATGAGTATATAATCACAGCACGAACTATGAGAAAATAACCTTTTCAAAGTATGTTTCTAGTTATTGCGGAGATGAGAAGCATAGGTATACCAAATTCTTATAGATGACGCTACCGTGTCTCCTGTCATCTCGGATAATTTTTCGGTCGTGAATATAGTTTTAGGTTAGCCATCTTCAGGTAGAATACTTAAGTCAATGATTCAATTTAACTCGGTTTTGCCCCCGAACAAGTCTACTAGATACTCATTCTAGTGATGCTAGGATGTGAAAAACTATAAAGAAGGAATACAGTGATCAAAAATATTGATGGCTATCACAAAGGTAAGCAAATGTAGAAGCTATGAATGTGCATTCTAGGACTATACATAGCAGTGCCTACAACAATCACCACTATCAACAGTGTTACCACATATCGTTTTAATATACCCAAAAGTTATATGAATCAAATTTCCTCCATCAATGAGGTAGCTTTGTAACTCGCGAAATAAAACAGCTAAAATACAAGCAGCTATCACAAGTTGAACGCGTCTATCCCGAATCATAAACCCTATAATTAATTCCTTGTCTACACAAAATGTCCGAGGATATTCAAGTTATTCCTCCACATCAGAATGTTTGTTGATTCTGAATCTGCTCTTCTAGCCCAGGAGGTGTTTTTGCCTCTGCTCGAAAAATATTCTAATTCGATTGTTTTGAGCAATCTTATCCAAAAAGTCCCCTTTTGACGATTCTTCATGTTACCAAGACCAAAATTACATAAAAAATTTAAACACATTCCAACAATTGTTTTTTTCGCTCCTGGCAAGGTTTTCTTAGACTTTTTTTGGGTCCTACTTAATAAAAAACGCTTCTTATGAGCTTTTCTCTAAAGTTGATAACTTTCCAGATATAAACGATTTAGTATTTGAAAAAGGGCAAAGTATGACATTTTCGATCTCAAAGAGCAATATGACAAAACGAAGATTTTTATGCTGCCAAAGTTTCTAAGTATTCTTTAAACATTTATTAACCAAATCATAGAGCGTTTTAGGAGGTGTCGTTATTTTAAACCTTTTTTTCAAGTGTTGGTTAATATACTTCAGCGCGAGAGAGATGCAGCTGAAGACCGCCTCTATGCACAATTTTTTATCAATTATGGTCATGGCATCATGCAAATTCATTAAAAGTGGTCATTTTGAATAAGGTAATGCAAAAGAAACAGTCAAAATATTTTTCCGATTAGATGTGAAGATACTTCCTGGACTATTCCATTGTAGCCCTAATTTTGTTAGAAGGTAATTCCAGAACCGGTTCGATGTTCAAAAATATCTCAGTGAATCGGGCACTTACAAGGCTAACTGCCATCTCATCACTTTTTAGTACCGCGTGCCCGAACCCACAGAAATGAATCCTGATTATTTAGAGCCTCCTTAAATCTCATAACGAGTCCTGACGCTATGTTATAAGTACTTATTGCTTTTATTGCTATCTAACTAACTGAGCAGACAGTTTATTCGTATCCTAAGTCATTGTCGATCCTGAATACCAAACACACAGGATATCAGGGTATTAAAATATGCCCTTTTTTCATACTAAGGGCCAACTTCACCAACAACAGTCCATTATTCTCCACCTATAGGGTAACAGACCGTCAGATACAGCGAATGAGCTTCAAGTTCCAATCAACAAATTTTAGCAACCAATAGCTATGAAATGTTGAAAACAAAATACTGTCAAAGTATGAGATGATAACTTGTCATTGAAACATCACCAGCTTATTGAATATTAAGAAATTACATATAATTCATACACAATTTTAAGAAACGTTTGATTTTTGAATTAAATTCATGTTTTAATTACCATTGTTGATTTTTTATTCATGTTTATATTATTTTCTTCAATTGATATGTGATACTGGGTGTTTTTTCCTATAAACCTCTTGCAGATAGCCATTAAGCACCTACTTGATGACATGCTCTACCAAAAGATATTGCTCGTTTCCAAACATTCATTCATTTACTTGCCGTTCATCAGAACCATTATGGCACCTTAGATTTATATTCCTACAAAACCATTCAGGTTTTTTGATATCCATACATCCATAAAGTTGAATATTTTTCGTTGTTCAGGAACTGAACAAACATCCACACTATATTCACAGCGATTAAAAAATTCCCAAATATATGCCTTAAAGCTACCAGCAAACCTAAAACCTGCAAAAAAAACTACAAATTTGCCATATTTTTCTTTTTTCACGAGTACACATTCTAGGTTATATTTATATTAGACATTATTTGAATACAGCTGATTATTGCATTTCAATGAGTGACACATGTGTGGGATCTGTCAACTCTTGGTACCAGTCACAAAACATATACTCTGTGAGGGTGTGACAGGGTTGCCAGATTGTGCATTAATATCCCGTTTCACCCTCCTGGTCCCAGTGGAGTAAGTTCCGCCAACTGTTGAAATATACTCTACTATGCTTTATAAGACTATTCGTGACATTTTTCCCAAAATCATTGCACAACACTTGAAAAAATGCAAATGAAAATTTAAAATCATTTCCATGACGCCGCAAAATAGCTCCGTCGGTACCTTGAGTTATACATCTTGACAGTACGGATGTTCGATACGGTCCTATATTTAGAAGTATCAATACATTTCACGAGTATCGTCATCTTTCGATCCGGACTGTGCCAGAAAGAGTGACTGCCATTTGGCTGCGACATTACCCTGCCAAATCACACATATCTTTCATCATTTTCAAAGAAATTGTACAAAATCTTCAAATTTGTGAAGTTAGCGAGTTTCACTTCATACGTTGTTACCAGACATGCCCAACTCATCAGTTGCTGCCGTGATATTCATCCTGACCACCGCATCCCCATGGCTAGGCGACCTGTATGTTAAATTTGTATTGATAGGGCAGCGGGTTATGCTATAAATCATATGTCACAGTGTTTGTGCACAAAGACTCATTTCGCACCCTCCACCACGGGACGTGATCGTCGTTAGACTTGGCAACCTTGCGAGTGTCAGATATCCCCGGCAGTCAAAAAAGAAAAATAGACAAACAATAAACATGACTAGTTGTTTTGATTTTTGGACTTAAAAGCCATTATATGTGAAACATTTTTCATAATTTTTTGTCTATGTCCATAGTAATTGCATTATGCATCAGGGAGATGTAGGGATTGACACGTCTTACATATATTAACTATGTTTTAGGATGGAGAGGACATAATGTTTTTATTGCTTTGAAGAAATTCATTAACCCATAAATTAATAAATGATTACTATTATGACGTAAAGGAAGATGAGGAATTGGATGGAATGTATTTTATATTCTATTTTCTTGCAAAATACAGACAGATCCACACTATTCAACAGGTTATGTAATGATAACTTTCAGTATATTGAAGTTTGTAAATTCGAGAGTGCCATGCATTAACAAACGTCCAAATCTGCTGCCAAATTTAACAGCTAGATAATCGACCTATTATTTGCCGCATTCTCATTCGCTGAGGGGGATAACGGATTGTTAAATATAAACCTATAACATATATCAAAATACATGAAAGTTGTCCTGTTTTTTCTGTACAAAAGCATCATGTTGGAATCAAAAAGTCGTCTTGTTTATAATACAGTCGAATTTTCACGGTTTTATTCAACATTTCAATAGAAATCACTGATATTCAGAGACCTTTGACAGCTTCCGTCAAATTGCAGTTCGATAAGGTCTTTTCCTATTGGTCCAACTGACGGTCAAATATTATTGTTAGTGAAATTGGCCCTAAAGGTATTAAATGATGCATTTCACTCAAAAAGACGACGTTTTCACATGAATTTCTTCTTCGAGGCAATTGAGTCAGTTTTAATTTGAAAAGGCCACTTTGCACAATTATATGTTTTGTTCTTATCTGAATAAATTGTCTGTTCATTTAAGCCAACCCTGATTTTTTGTTCTCCTCCCGCTGATATTCTGCAAGCTTTATCATAGCTGTACAATATTGATCCGTAAAGAAGCTACGAGATAAATCATAATTGGCGACCTGGGCATGTAAACAACCTACGAGATATCTCGTAGTTGGCAGTCAACGTATATAAATACTAATAGGTGATAACACTGTTTCCTACGTAGACAGATACCTGTATAAGCATCCCGTGCTGCCTGCTCTGTTTCCTGCTGGACTCCAAATGCTTCTGGAGCACCGCCTGTTCGGCGGCGATCCGCTGCAACTCCACTGAGTCCGATTCTGCTAACTGATTACCAGATTTTCTCAATTGTCTTTGTTTGCTATTCAGTGACTAAAAACATCGCAAGCGTCATCATCATACACGTCGCCGGTCGCACTAGATACAGAACTAATTACTGACCATGGCATATTTTCCGAAAGAAAAATCATTTGCATCAATTTTTCACCTTCTGCTTTCACAATGGTCAATGAGAATAGTAAATTTCAAAATAATAGGTGATATGCTAAGATAATAATAATAATTTATTCACATCAATTATAAATTGTGAAGAAATTGATATGCTTCTTTTCATTTGTGTTTTATATACCAAGTACGGTCATACAAACGTTTACTTGTTCCTAGGATATCGAAACTGTAAACTGATCCACTGCGACTGTTATTGTGCAGTTTTATTGTACTCAATAGCTGGTAGTTCGGTAGTTAGACTACCTTTTTGTAACAAAAAAAAAACGAAATTATAACGATAATTAATAAGAACTGACGAGACATAAACTTATATAGCCGGAAAATATCCCATTACTGACGGGTCGTTCTTCTATTAATAGCATTAGGGTTATAGCATTGTTTCACAAAAAAAAAAAACAAAAAACAATATTAGCAAGCTTAATTTTTCTATTTGTAGAGCAACACTAATTTCGGGAGTAATCTGAAGAGTTTTTAGAGAGGAAAATGATTGTACGAAATTCAAAACTATGTCAAATGGATCTTTAAACATTTTTTCGTCGAGAACGTCCCGTTTCTTGTCACATTATATCAGCATGCATCTACTACCGAGGTGAGCGGGAAACCTCATCAAATTAGCAAAAATGATTTGCATAATCTTAAAAGATCATTAGGTGCCCCTTAAAATGTCTTGGTGAGTCAAAACTTGTAGGTCAAATTAGTGTGTAAGGTTAACGCTGCATGCCTTTATTATTAGCATCCATATTTAAGCCGTTTATATGTTATATTCTAACATTTTGGTTTAGGGGAAACAATTCTCCTTGGTCAGAATTTAAATGACACTTAAGAATAATACATTGGCAGAACTGACTGAAAGATATACTACGTAGCATGCAACCAGACACATAACCTACTCTTAGCGACATAAAAAAGAACATACCACAGATAAACACTAAACACTGAACACAAACTATATCGTAAAGACACTGATCATACACCTATAATATTTGCGTTATTTTCAAATTTGGCAATCAATCATTCCCCAAGATGCAGGTGCTTTGATCTATGTTAAATAAATCTTATAGTGGCTACACTGATATAACTTATGTGACATTAATGGATTCTCTCATAAAGTGAGAAAGTTTAATTGCAGTCTGACGCATACTTAACGACTTTCTTTTTTTGATTCACCTGTTCAATTCCAACTGACAATAATGATTGTAAACCCTTTTGAAAATGGGAATAATGGTATTGAAATTTAAAAAGACAATTCGATAAACATGAAGATTGCTTATTAAAATGTCGGCTGGTCGGAAAATGTAGGTACAGATTACAGAATAGTGTTAATACAATTTTCAACGTAACGGATAATACTAATTAGTGATAAGCTACGTTTGTCAACGGCTTTATGGCAACACTGTAGTGGACAAGGGGTACGTCCGTATTAGTGGTGTTGTTCATCTTACCTAACTGAACATTATTCAAGGTAAATTATCCAATAGCCATAAAATTGAGTAAAATTGCAGCAATGTCCAATTTTGCTCCTACTAGGCAGTGCTAGTACGGTTGAATGTCAAACTGTCAAAAGTAAATCAGAAGGCAGATTTGATAGATTAAAATGAGGTTCACAGGGTATTCGATGTCGGGAACAATTGAATTTCATAGCAATTCTCTTTCCTTCTTCTCACCCTGCGAACTTCGCGTTAAGTTTATAAAATAAGACATGACCGCCAAACTAACTACAGCCATCTACTGCTAGCTGTCGACATTGTCCTCCATCGTAATGTGTTTCCCGCTCGCCTAACCCGACCTTCACATTCCCTCCACCATTCAATCCGCCTGTCATCCCATCCACCTCGCCATGCAATAGACCTTACCTTCCTACTCTTCCTCAATTTCTGAACCTCGGCCTCGTAGTACCTCAACTGCTGGCCCAGCACCGCGTTCTGATGCGACAACCACTGTTCGTACGTCAGTTGCGTCTGTCTGTCCTGTTCGGTAGCAATTGTTTCGGGAGGCAGAGGAGGTGCGGGCAGCAGGTTGGCTGTGAAGGGCTTCACGCGGGGCGTGGTGTCTATCTGGGCGGGTTGCGGCGTGACCGACGGGAGAGGTCTGCTTGCCTGTTGCCAGGGTACTCCTGCTGGAATAAGAAAATGTCAAGTAGATGGCCTCTGTACTTTCAACGTAACGCCGACATCAGTTCATAAAACATTATGTTCGGCATAAGTTAGCTAGCCCCTCAGGGACAAGAGTTAGCTATAAACATGTATTTCAAAAAGATTAAATCAACCAAGTCCATCAAACAGGCCCTTAGAATTAGCCCAAAGTCTTTACCCATTTGACAACCTCACGATGACTAACCATGACACTTACCAGCCACGGAAATACTGTGGCGACCGCCGGCTCGAAACACAAACAACTGGTGTCGAAAACACTTCACTATCATTCTGAATTTTGGGCAAATCTGTGATGTAATATACACATTATGTGATAGGTGCGTAGAATTTTCGAAAATTCTAGTCCCATGCTATATGATTCCAGAAAACTGGAAGTTGACTTTTGTTTAACTCATAAAAAACACCAATAATTGCGATATTCCAAGCTTTACATTTGGTTTTGCCTTCGTGGGTGATTCAATTCCACTAAATGTTTCTTAGAACTGCGGCGATTTACCTTCTACATTTGTAAAAATGACAAGATTCTAAATGGTGGGGTATGGGATGGTAATAGAGGTTATTACAAATACTGCATATATGAACGATATTTAACCTCATATATAAATTAAAAAAAAAAATGCGAACGTTTACGTCTATGTATGGTGTACTTGTGTTTGCTGGAACTCGATACATTACTAAATCGTGTACCAATAGGAACCATGACACCGAGTAATGATGCGAACATTTTCGGTCAGTCACAGAAAAAATACATTTCAGGCCTTAATTGATGCATACCTTGACCAACAGAATTTCCCAAACCAACAGCGCCTCCACTGAAAACATCAGCTTTGAGCCTTTCGAAGTCATGGTCACTCAAGAGCGTAGATTCTGCTTCCGCACCAGTGGACGAGGTCACTTCTTGATTGGCTGATTGACTTTGTAGTTTTTCCTGTTCTCTTTTCTCTTGTTCCAAGAGGTCTTCTAATAGCAACGGCTGTTCCTGGACAAAACGTCATTGGAGGATGTTGTCTTTTGTAACGGTAGGTAATTCATGCAAGACCATACGAAAACTGATGTGAAAAAGTACTTGAACTGAGGCATCTACGGGTATTTTGAATTATCGCCGATTATTTTTCTTAAGGAATACGTCAATTTGGTTACTGTTTGTGATAGCAGTCTAGCACCTTAGCACTTATGCAAGAGGACTAGTATTATGGACATTACAGTCAGAACAAGTTAGAGTGACCCTGGAGCACCTCTAAATAACTCAGTGTAACACCTCAGTTTTCGTATAGCATCACTCAAATTCTTGGCAAATTTAATGGTGTTAACTGGTCATGCAGCAAGCAAAAACATGCGAAAATACCTAACTTACGGAAGGTTTTGAGAATGAGGGAATCTAGACACTATGTGCACAATATCACGGCGCCGAAAACGCTGGATTAAAATTTGGAAAGTCTCTCAAAAATCTCATAAATGTGTCTATGGCGGATCACAATATTTTACGCGAACGGTTAACATATTGGAAAATGGGCAATCACGCTGTAACAACTGTAGAAAAAGACAGTTCCATAAAATGAAATTTTAGATCTGCAGGTGATATTCTTACATGACATAAACATGAAAAGCGTGCGGTTTTGCAAAATTTTTATCATATATTGTAGGAAGCAACTTATTGCAATGTTTTAAGCAAACTATGCACCGTGACAATACAAATTAGTGAATAAGGCAAAGTGTGCAGGAGGTTTTTCTATAATGCAAAAACTGTCTAAATCCGAAATTAATATTTTTAACGACAGATTTGGCAGTTCGTTCAGACAAGTAGCACACTACAAGAAATAACTTTTAATTCTGAATTAGGTTTTTTAAACTACTGGTTCTTGAAAGTGGAGTACAAGATATAGTTGCAAAAATATGTGTGTACTGTAAAAATTGACTTCACCTTTTGAAGTGGCAAAATCTCGAAAATGATTTCATGCCTTGTGTGACTTCTGGACAAGGTCTGCTATAGGCAAGATTCGAGTGAATTTACAATATAGGTACCTACATTTTTGCAGTATCTGCAGTACTGAGTTGTATTAGCTAGGTATCAAAATGGTATACAAGACAGCTTTTTGATTTTCAATTTTAATAAGTGTCGAAATAAAGACAAAGAGTACAAATGGACGCTCTACTGTTCTCTTTGCCTGAAAAAGGATCGTCTTATCATTGATAAAGGTTTAAAGACATTCAACTAGAAGTGAGCACAGAATGAAATATTTCACAACTTCTTCATGTTCGTTTTATAGTAACCTCACTTTGGGGTCCAAGAAAAATATAAGTAGGTGCACAGCAGGATACAAGGGTGCAAGGAATGGGGAAAGTGCACAAGGAAGGCTGTAGGAACGAAAAAAATGTAAGGGAGGCGTATCTTTCTCACCTCTAGGAGTAGGGGTCTCCGTTGCATATGCACCGGATGGTGGTGCAGTAGTGGAAACCCCTGTTGCAATGGCGGTTGTGGTAGCATGTTGTGTGGATGTTGCTGTAGCTGCGGCGGCGGCGGCATATGTCCCCCGAGAGATTGCTGGGGCACACCGCCCACCATAGGCCCCATTCTCAATCCCGTCTACGCCACACACACACATGCAATGCAATATTAACCATACACCGATACCACCGAATGCGCGCGGTCAAAGCACAGAACGCAAATATATACGCAACAGATTTTTACACAACATCAAAAATTGAATCTTTATTTTATATGTACAATTGGCAAACAGAAAATGAAGTAAAAGGCCGGATTTGCCCATAATATTTGGTCTATCAGAAGATTCTATCCATTTTTGGGGTATTACAAAATATTTTTTCCATGCCTTGGACGAACTTTATCAAATAATATAATGTTTATCACTGTTTATAACCCCTTGCCAACGTGATGATAATCTGTGTATTCAATTCTTATAAAAACAATTGATCTAGCGCTTGTTGTAGATCAATTTGCATGTTAACTCTACAAAAATTTTGTTACGACAAAAAACGGGCAATAATTGGATGGTGTTAGGTCTTGAGAGTATGGGGGATGTGACATAATTTCTCTACCTAGCTCTGCCCTCAAAGGCAGTACGCGGTCTGGTATTAACAAGCTGTAATATATTGCTCTTTCTACTCAACTTGGCCACCCTTTTTTTGCAGTGCTGACTTAAATTTACATAATCGCTGACAATGTCTCTCCCAATTTAGCTTTTCATTCTGTTTCAACAGCTCATTATGAATTGGTCCTCGAATCTTCTACCATTTGCCCAAAATTTTCACGGTTAAATTCGATTTGGAGGTGGAGGAAAAAGGTTTTCTCGTTTTACAATATGCTCCTTTCTTTGCGACATTTTCATATGGGATCGACTTTTTAGGCCTTCTTACAGGTATTATCCGATCCAAGAAGCGATTTTACTGCGTACAAACAGACATGTGCGCGTCATGAGTCATTCAAGTTCCTCTCATTTGACTCGTCTAGCATCAATATCAAATATTTCTACATTAATTCTAATGCCCAAATCTGGGCCAAAATAGCCATTGCTACATCATAGCGTCTCTCTTAGGCCCGTATCGTCAGTCGTCCCTACAATTGTAGGGCTCCTTTATGGCCTCCTTGATTGTCATAGTTTTCTACTTCTCCGTGTCAGAACTCTATTTTGAGGTTATGTCACAAACATCTATTTGGATCAAATTGTGCTTGCTTTTGAGTTATATCATGTTTTATCAGCCTGAAATTTCCTCCAATTTAAAAAGAAAACATATACTAAGTGACATATAAATCCGAACACCCAGTTTAAATGGTTTTATTTTAATAAAATTTTGTATAAGTACTTAATGAAGCATAATAAGTAAATGATAAAAATTTCAAAATGATTGCACTGCTTTAAAGCCCTTTGACCTTTAATAATGTGTGGATGCACCCTGATGTGCTACGCATTCTCCAACGCGCCTAGGCATGCTTCTGATCAGGTGGTCAATGTCCTCCTGTGGTATCTCATTCCAGGCAACCACCAACTCCTCTCGAAGTGCTTCTAGAGTCTGAGGAGGACCTTGCAAATTGAGCAATCTCCTACCCATCATATCCCACACGTGCTCAATTGGGGATAAGTCGGGAGATCTTGGTGGCCATGGTAACAATGTGACATCATTATATTGAAAGAAGTCTATTGTGACTCTTGCAACATGTGGTCGGGCATTATCTTGTTGGAAAGTTGGATCTGCCAGGGTGTCAAGATAGGGTAAAAGATGGGGTTCTAGAACTTCGTGGATATAACGCTGCGCGTTCATGTTACCTCTGATGAAGATTAAAGGTGACCTGGAACCATAAGCTATAGCACCCCAAACCATAACTCCAACAGTGTGATGAACATGTCTTTCAACAAAAAACTGTGGATTCCTCCTTTCACCATGTCGCCTTCTAACCCTGGCACGACCATCGTGCATGCCTAAACAAAATCGAGACTCTTCACTAAAGACAATACTGTTCCATCCCTGATCTCAGAGTGACCGTTGTCTGCACCACTCAAGGCGATTACGTCGGTGTTCTCGAGTTAAAGGGAGGACCCAGTGTGGCCGGTATGAAAACAAGCCAAAACTTCTCATTCGTCGGTAAACACTTCGCATGCCAATAGGTCTTCCGTGTTCTGCAAACCATTCATTTGCAATGGACCTGATAGTGCCTTAAGGCCAATAATCTTAGGCGGCGATCTTCACGGTCTGTTGTTCTACGGCGGCGTCCAGTGCCCCTTGCTCTTTGCGTACGGCCTTCTCGAAGCCATGCCTGACAACACCTAACCACAGTGTCTACACTTCTTTGCACTCTAACTGCAATTGCCCGAAAAGAAAGTCCAGCTTCCCGAAGTCCCACTATACGGCCCCTATCAAACTCACTAAGTTGACGAAGTTGTACAGGTTTCCGTACTCTAGGCATCGTAACTGATCGTAAAGGATGTCAAGAACCAAAATCCGCCAACGTTGATTCTTTACTGCGGCTGAAATATTCATTTTTAGAGCGTTAGTGAATTAAAAAAAAGCAGTATAAAAACCGGAATGTCCAACTGATAAGGCTGAAAATTTTTTCACTTGTTATTTACAGTAAGATAAATACATTCACCAACTTTTATTAAAATAAAACCATTTAAACTGGGTGTTCGGATTTATATGTCACTTAGTATATCTTCACAATAGGAGAGCGGTGACGCTGAGACGGGACAAGTGTAATCTAGAAATTTTTGAAGGAGAGAAAGGAGTATGACAATCAAGGAGGCCATAAACGCGCCCTACAATTGTAGGGACGACTGACGATACGGGCCTAAGTTCTAGCATGTACTGTTTTCGTTCATTTGTAAATCTAGCATTCATACCGTGCAAAGAGCAAATGAGTGTTGCTTTGAAGAAGACATCAAAAACATTTCGAAACGTCGGCCTTACTAGTAAAGTGCATCATTGAACACCTTGAGCTTTATATCCAAAAATCCGAAGATTAATACAAGATGTGTTTCATTTAATTACCTAACTTTTGTTGTATCAAGAAGATATAACACTGAGAATATAATTTTTACAAGCAAAATATCGATATTCCATCTAAATAAATATTTTTGAAAATGCTTCATTGTAGTCTACCTCTAGTTCATGTTAAATAGTTTTCGTAGTATTACAAAAGGATATCTAAAAGAATAGCAATATTTCCAGAGTATGGAATGAATTGAAAAGCAACATGGAAAGTTACTAGTTCCAGCCAAATTAAGTCTGTAACATCTGCTGTACATACAATTTGAGTTCTGTGATCATACACTGTTAGATTAGTAGTACAATTAGTCAAAATTACAAATAAAATTAAACTTCATATCTGAATACATAAAACTCCAAACCATGTTAAACTTGATATGTTTTTTCGGGTCACTGCATTTGGTCAATATGAGAAATTTTTCAAGGATGACATACATCAGCAACATACAAACATGACAGAGTATCAAACAACAATTAGTGTTGTAATCAAAATAAATGTAAAATTTAGTAATTGACTTCTAAAAACCTACACCATCACTTAAAAATACCAAACTCCAAATAAAGCCAACACCATTGAGCCTATTAACCAAACACAAATATTTTGCTTTAGTGAAATTAAACATGTATTTCCAAGAAAGTAAGAACAACTTCAGCTTTGAAATTCACAATCTTGAGGCTCTTAAGAGCCTGAATACCCGTTAATACCGCCATAATTGTTGCCTTAAACAAATATGGAGAACACAAGATATATCTTATCGATGACATGCAGCATATGGTCACAGTTATACATAGTATCAAATTAAATGATTCAAGAATGCCTCGTCAGCCAATTCTTTCCAAATTCCTTACGACATGTCGCATCCTGATTTAATCAAGAATTACCTAAAAAGCAACAAGTGTTCGGTATCTAGAAGCTTTCAAATATCGACTGGCAAGGTTATAAATAAACAAGCAAAAGTTACAATTTGTGAAAAATCTAAAAAACCCACGAACTTAATATTGCTCCTGTAGTTGTAGTATCAGTATTTATCAAACTGTTTACATAAGATAAGATGTATTTTTCATTGTTAAGGTTAGCCATTGAACCTACTGGCAAAGCTCGTTGAATCGTCCCATATTGCCGTAATAAAAGTCTATTCGACTCCATACTAAATTAAAGACATATTTCAATCTATTTTTCGCGATACTTGATTAACAGCTACAACAAACAAGTGGTTAAATAGTGTAATTCCAAATACCCCATATCAACAATGCCAGCACGGTAGACAGAGGAGTGTTTTGTTACGTTTTTTTTGTAAGCTACGAATTCATATGTCCTTTTATTTTGAAAAATTTTGACTCAGAAAAACAAAACGATACAAGCAATATGGTCGCTAGTAATTAGAACTATATTTTAAATGAGGTATGTGGTTTCATCAGAATTTGCTGTAAATCTCAAAACAATTAAGGGAACAAGAAAAAATCCACATTTTTCAGTGATTTTTGACAGTTTGTTAAAATCTTTTTTTTTGAGTAGTGAGGTTCTGAACAGTGTCTTAAATGTTACCGGATTCACTACAGATAAAAGTACAGATTTTAATACAAATATGCCACTTACGACTTGCTGATCAGCTGTTTCTCGTGATGAAGTATCGTGAAAAATAGATTACAGAGACAGGTTCGCTAGTTGTTCTTACAATCCAAACCACAATCTAATCCTCAAATATAATCGCATGCCCCCTTCTGCCAAATCAAAATCCAAAAACATAACTGACCTGCTGATGCTGCGGTGTCGGTTGTTGCTGCTGTTGCGGTGTGGCGCTGCCCGGGTAAGGCGGCGGTGGGCCCGGGTAAGGCGGTGGCGGAGGGGGCGGAGCCACGGCCATTCTGGGCGGGGCTCCGGTGCTCGGGGTGGATGTCAGACCGGCCAATGGGTGGAGCATACGCGTACCGGCAGATTGGTTGGCGGCTACAGCGGCCGCTGCAGCTTGACGAAGTTTTTGGGCATGTTGTACTGGAAGGGAAAACGAGGAATTAACTATGTGGTTCAGAAGCTGTCTAGATGTTTAACGTCCTGATGCCAACATCTGAGCAAATAATTCCGGATTGTTGTTCTTCGATTTCAAGTAATATTTTAAAAATTCGTACTGAAATTGAAAAAAACATTTTATGTAAAAGGTGGAGATGTCGTTTCTAAAAGTTCCATCTATCAGGAATATACGAGATGTGGCATCAAGTTGAGGGAGTCAAGTACTATCTTAGGAACTAGTAATACTATACTTGGGAACCGAAAAGGAAGAGAGCAGCGAAACATCGCCTATCCGTCCTAACGCTGCATCTTTTCGAATGGAAAAAGTCGGCGCGTGGGTATCCCGCCTTATTCAGAAAGATGCCGCGTTAACACTGGCGTGGGATGTGTTCTCTTCTTTTTCGTTTCTCGAATATCCGTCGTTTGACCAATATATGCATAGTGGACCCTCCTTTTACATTCAGTTATGTGTATTATTTAAAGCATCCTTTTTAGTGGCATTGTAAAAAACGATGCACATGAAGGCGCTCCTTTCTCCTCTCAAACCAACAAATTTGACGATTTGCGCACACTAATCATGCCTAACCAGCGCGTGTTGTCTTTCGATACATGAGCATTTGAACATACGAAAGATTTTCCTAAAGAAAATCGAGTCATCAGTCAGGACTCTGGATTGATTCTGATTTGAGGTTTGAAAAACACGTTAGTCAACTGTGCCGAACATCATTCGGTGTCTTGAAGCAATTATTTCCTCATAGGAAAAGTATGAATACTGGTCTCAAGCTGAAGTTGTGCGAAACCTTAATATGGTCTAGAATTCACTACTGTGACTGTATTTATGAGCCTGCAATAAGATCGATTGAGATAAGGAGACTTCAGACTATTCAAAATGCGTGTCTCAGATTTGCTTGTGGAGTGAGAAAATTTGAGACAGTGTCACATAAATATCGTGAGCTGGGTGTTCAAAAAATAGAAGAGCTACAAAAAATGCATGTATTGACCCTGACCCATAAGGTAATCACAACGCAAGCCCCTCCATATCTATCAAACAAATTTATCAGATAATCAGATGTTAATCAACTGAACACAAAGAATAAGCATATTTTGGTTATCCCGAGACATTCAACATTTCTATTTAAAAGGTCGTACGTATATACTGCTATCAAGCTATACAACGCGTTGCCTACCGAGTTCACTCACTACTCGATAAAGAATTTCAAAAAAAGATTGAAGAATTTTATCTCTGATTCCATTGCCCAGTAAGTAGACCATGGCCATGAATAAGGACTCGTTACAGGTTTTTTTAACTCTTGTTTGCATTGGGATTAGAAAATATACGTCAATATTTGTTGGGTTAAGTTGAAAAACGCTTTTTAGCGACACTTCACCTTTTTATACTTTGTGTAAATAAAGCCGGATTATTATTATTATTATTATTCTTTGTGGCACACCTTTTAGCGAAGAAAATAAATTCCGAGGTTGCCACATAGACCCTTTATCCTCAGCATTGCTCCTTGCAACTTTTATTCCGTAATATCAAATCACACCTCAATCAAATTAGTCATGTTGGCGTGAAGGAGATCAACGAAGATGTAGCTGTGTAGCTTAGCGGATAAAATTCTGGTGATCATTAAGGGTCTCTGCAAATTCAATTGTTGAAGTAGAATGCAACATTCCGTTTTAACTTTGAAATTCATCGATATCATCTTATCCATACTTCGAGGATTAACGTTGGAAAAATTGTAAATACTCACATTGAAGAAGGATTCTTTGTGGATGATTTGGAGGTATTTGCAGTTGTACGTTATTATTAGGCGTCACTATTCCTATAATACCATCGGGCGTCTGCATCTTTGATCCAGGAGGCATCGGTCTACCTTGAGCTGCAGCTTGCTGTACCTAGCAATGGAAATCAATTTTTAGTATTATCCAAGAAATGAACAATATTGTTTTCGCCACCTCATGCTCGTACAGAGAAAAAATTTGGAAATTTGAGTTAGAAAAGGACAAAACCAAAATTTTGCTTATGGTGGCATTCAAATATATAATCTAGGGGATGCCTCGACCACCAAGCTAAGGTGAACCATGACAAGGTGGATCAAGCACACTAGGTAATGATATAATCTGATACCGAACAAGTTTGCATTTTTTAAATTATCAACTATTTCCTATAGATGGTATCATCCAGTAAAGTAGTATATATTTACCTGATGTAACATCTGCTGATAGATCTGTTGTGGGGTCAGTTGATGCGATGCTGGCGGTGGCAACGCTGGTGCTGTAGGAGGAGCTTGTGGCTGCACTTGCTGTTGTGGAGGCGGAGCTAAATGCTGAGGAGGCAAAGTGGCCGTTGGCTGTTGAACAGGCGATTGCGATTGCTGAGGAGCATTTATCGACGGTGTGGCAGAAGGTGGAGGTCGTATCACTGCTCTCGCTAGATAGATACATTTCGACTTTAGTCTCAAAGTAAATGAATTGACCATTATAAAATACATAAGAAAAATATAATTCATGTAAATATATCATAGACATTCTAGTAAAGTCATCACTTTAATGTCTTCTACATACAATGAGCGGTATCCCTGTCTCTATCATCTGCTGTAAAACACGTGAAACCACAAAAAACTTATAGTTGGGCAGGCTAGTTTGGCATAAAAGCGGCGAAATATTTCATTGACGTATTGAACGTTCATATGTAAAAATTCCAATATAACACAAAGCTGGTCACTGATTATGATTATATACCGGTAATATGTCTAATCCTAGTGTTTATTGCATAAAGTAGTATGAAAACTTCCAAAAAAGCATTAACAAGGAAGGCCATTCTTAAAAATTTGTATAAAATGTCAGTATACCCGCTGCCATCGCCCTGTCAAGATAAATCTAGAGACACCTAATACATATGTTGAAATCGATCAAGCTGTTTAAGCCGTAGCCGTGAAATAGGAGTTCCATGGTTGTTTATGAAAATCGGTCATTTTACTTTATAAAATATTAGTATACCCAGTGTCAGTCGCACTGTCAAGAGGAACCTAAAGTCTGTCTATCCAAGAAAGATTACCAAAACTTATCCAGCGCGTGTCCAGTACGTGATCAGCACGTTGATATATTCCAAGAAACGGCAGGCATAACTGTTATTGGGCAGAATCGGTCGAACCCATACACAGGACCAATGCCAAACCAGGAAGGTGGAGTGGGAAACGACACCGCGATGCATGCAACCTGGCCGGTCGCTGGCGTTATGGAATCCAATCGCATTAAGTTTGCGTGAATATTTTGGGTCGAGTTTCTTTCTTCGATAAATGGATCGAAATACGTAAAATCTATCAAGCCGTGGAGTAGGAATTTCAAAGTTAAAACTTTCTATTAAAATCCGTTACTTCTATTTTATAAAATTTTCATATACCAAGTGTCACTCGCACTGCTAAGCCAAATCCAACAACACATCATATGTCAAAAACTATCAAGCCGTTTGAACCGTAGCTTGTAAAATAGAATTGTTTGTCCAAATACACAGCCACGCGTAAAAACATAACCCTCCTTTTGAGGCAATCGGGTAGATCTAGAAGTTTTATGAATGGGGAGCAAAAATCGTACCTTCATCAACCGTTTTGTTCTCCACTTGTCCCTCCTTCTCATGAGCACCAGTTGCCCCAGCAGCCTGCTCTGCCGGCGCAGCAGTTTTGGCATCTTTTTCCTTCTCTTCCTCCAATTCCAAATCCAATATATTCGTCTTGGCCCCACCATGGCTGGCCAATGCTTCCAATTCGGGATCGGCGTACTCCAGAATATTGAAATCGGCACCCATTTCTGCCAGGAGCTCGTCGTCATCGCATACGTCGTTGGCGATACATGTTGCCGAAGCTGAAGTGGATGTGGGTACAGTTGGAGGTGCTGTAGCGGCAAGGCCTCCGAGGATGTCGCCCACAGCTTGTAGTTCAGCCATAGTACCTATTGAATGATAATATTTATAAAACTATTTCGTACATAATGTATAACTTAAGCCCTCTAAGAAAAAAGTTAGTTAAGAACTTGTATACTAGGAAAATAAAACGGATTAAGTCAGTCAAACAGGTCCACACAATTGGTCGTTGGAAATTCTTTCTCTGCCCTACCGGTAGTGCATCTTGAAATGTCGTCTCTCCCCGATACCTAATTCGGACAGACGTGGCTCCGAGGGCGTGGTAGTGAGGCCGGAGCGTAGAAAATACTATGCTGTTCCTGTCCTACCTATAGTCAGGGCAAATGTACAGTTTTCGAAAACCAACAGTTTGCCAATGTTGGCCTAACAAACCAGGTTACAAATTGCTTTAGAATGAAGTAATCTCAAAATACTCTTCGGGGTCTTGTAGACAAGGTTAGTCTTTAATTAAGATACTTGGCAACCTCAAAAATTATGATTTTTAACCTAGTTTTTAAGCATTGAATATACCCATTTTTAGAGCATTTCAGACATTATATAACTTGAAAATGGTCAGATTTGCAGAAAAGTTAAAGGAAACCTTTCTTGTACGAAGTGATACAAGAAAATCCGAAAAAAGTTGTCCGAGCAAAAGAGTAATCTTGACTTATTTAAAAAAAAAATGTTTATACAAATATGATCTAGGTTAACGTGCATGCTTGAAAACTCGGTTATAAATTATAATTTTTGATGTTAAATATGTATCTAAATTAAAGTTAAAGCCTTGCACTAAAAGACCTTGAAGAGGACTTTGAGACTATTTTACTTTGAAGCGATTTCAACCTTGTTTTTCAGTCTGTACAAGGAAATTTATGATGTTGAAAATAATAAGGTTGGGAGCGTATAAATATGCTAAATGAAAAAAATCAAAAATGCTCAACTGGCCTTTTTTAACGAGCTGTTCAGTGACTGGATCATTCAAATCGGCTCATATTGGACAGATTCACTTGGCTTAGTTTAAGAGGGGGTGATATACATAAGAATGAAGGCGTTGATTGGTCAAAGCTTGCTCGCTGGTCCGGTTTTCGCAAGAGAGTCTGCCATATACAGTATCGGACAAAAATAGAGCGACGATATATTTTTTTCTTCTTTTGAAAACGCAATAACGCAAGAGGAATTAAAACTCATTAAAACAAATACATTCATTGACACAAATACATGTATTACATTCTATACCAAACTTCTCCCATATTGACAAGATTCTAAAATGAAAAAGAAAAATCAAACATTCTTAAACGACAAAAGTTAAGCGACGCATACAATAAAAATAATACAAAACAGAATATTCAAAAAACAAATACATTATCATGTTGCCTTCCTAATATTTAGTCCACAGTCCTTTATTTGCGAGAACCTGGCGGCACCTTTGAGGCATGGAAGAAATTAAATTATCAATTATGTTTTGATCAATAGTTTTCCAGATATTTTCAATTTCTTCAAAAATTTGCTGTTTATTTTTATAGGATTTGGTTCTAAGTTGCCTATCTACAATTTCCCACATGTTTTCGATCAGATTAAGATCTGGTGATTGGGCTGGCCATTTAAGAATGGTGATTCTATTTCATTGAACCATTCTTTTATACATTTTGCTGTATGTTTTGGGTCATTGTCGTGTTGAAAAACAAATCGTAGTGGCATATTCCATTCTGCATAAGGCAGCATGATATTTTCAAGGATATATTTATACTTAAACCTATCCATAATGCCCTCAATGTGATAAATTGGTCCCATTTCATAGCCAGAGAAACAACCCCACACTAACACGTTTCCACCTCCATGTTTTATAGTACCTTGGACATACTTTGGGTCGAGTCTTTTACCTGCAATACGCCGAACATATTGAACTCCATCACTTTTGTGCAAATCAAACTTTGACTCATCACTAAACAGTACTTTTTTCCATTGCTCTGGTGTCCAATGAGCATGTTGGGCTGCAAACAGACGACGTGCTTTAATATTCTTACTAAGAAGCAGTTGTTTGCAGGTTTGCATGCCGTTAAGCCTGCTTCAACTAGTCTGCGCTGTATAGTCCGAGAAGAAACATTAGAGTCCCCAGCTTCAGCCAGAATTTGTTTTGCTGACAAAAAAGGATTTGCCTAAGAGATCCTCTTAATTCTCCTATCAAGTTTCTTTGTAGTTTTTCTCGGTCTTCCCGTCTGTTTTAGGTTGACTACTTTACCCCTAATTCGATAATTCTGAATTGTCCTCGACACCACAGATTTTGAAACCCTCAGTTCTTGTTTTATTTTATATTGTGGTATTCCCATCTTATATGATGCAATAATTCTTTCTTTAAGATCAACAGAAAATCTTTTACCGCGAGGCATTTTATACACAAAAAAACATTTGATACCGACCACAACCGATGTTTATGTACTAATGGTATGAACAATATCGGTAAAGTCGCTCTATTTTTGTCCATGAAAAAATGCATAAAAACATATAAGGTATTTCTTTATCTCTCGATGGTATCACAAGAGGCAAAGAATATTTAAATACGATAAACCAAGGTATGTACTGATACTACAAAATTGCTCGTCATCATACGAGGTACAGTGAAAAAGTTTTTTAAGGATATTATAGCGTCGCTTTACTTCTGTCCGATACTGTAATTGCCCATCATCCCAGCGAGCCCCGGTACCCACCCCAACGATACCGGATGCCTCGCTAATAGACTATTCAGAGCCTCCCTGCATTGCAATACAGGGATTGGAGTAATCTTGCAGGCACTTAGTGCCTTCATCGCAGCCTGGCTGTCGGAGAAGATTGTTATTCCTCCTAGGCCCTTCCCCTCCAAAATACGAGAACTCCAGACGTTAAATAGCTATGTGATGACACACAAGTTTTAAGAATAACTTCTGTTTTCATAAAGTTATAAATCAGTTTTCGCGGGTGCTCTCCGCCCTAGCTCTTTATATAACTTTACGAAAACAGAAGTTATTTTCAAAACCTGTAAATTATCACATATCGTTAGCTTTTAGTTAGGGCCCTGCACGGAATATTACACGACTTAGTTTAGTAATAGAACAGAAATATATGATTGCAATTCAAATTTGTTTAACCTCAAATTTTTTATTTGAACAGTTAGCACCATTAGTCATATCTATACAGCCGTAAGATGTATAATGAGCTTGCAAAATTTAAAAATTTTGAGCATCCATACTCAACAAAAATGTGTTCACCCTAAAACCCTAAAACAATTTTGGAATAACTACGTGAGCACTGTATATACAAAAAATTAACTTTTCAAAAACTGACTCCACAGAATACCCTTTTCTTAATTTCATCGAAAACGATGTAGTCGTTTCTGGGATGGTGCCAAGAAAAAAATGGCAGATAGCCAAACATGAAACTGCCGGATATGAATGACATGGATTTTCTTGCTGCAATGTTATGAAACATCAATAAATAAATAAATAGCATTTATTGCCCAACAGTTAAGAAAACCATTTACAAGACAATGCTAGGAAAAGATAAATCATACTAACAAAATAGAAAACATATACTAAACAGGGGATTCTATGTAAAGGAAAAAACAAGAAAAAAATAAGCAAAAAACATATTTCACTCAAGTGAGAAACATATAAATTGTTCAAAAAATTCCTTGCTACTCCCCGAATGCTATTCTAAGTGTCAGTTTGTATATCACAATAATTACATACAGCATTGAAAGTTTTACACATTACAACATATATGGGTGCTTTCAAAAATAAAATTGTGCCAGCCCTGTCACAATAAAAGGTTTTAACGGTACGAGTTTGAATTGGTAGGACATTGAAGTTTAGTTGAGCCACAATCGCATTAGCATCAATTTGCATGTGTATCGGTTTATGCAAGAAAATAATTAACGTACACTTCCTTCTCAGCTCTAAAGACTGCATTTAAAACCTAGACAATAACATACTTTCAGATATACGCTGCTCAGGATATGCACCGTCAACCATGAAAGATAAAAATTTGTGAAACTTTCTCTGAGCATGCTCAAGAGAATCAATGTAGCAGTTGTAACCTGGGTTCCAAATTAACGATGCATATTAAAATTTCGATTTAATAATTATGTGCAAAATACAAAACCAACAGTGACTCTAGGCGGTTGAAGCTTCTACAGTTTCTCACAATAGTACGCCCGTGAAGCTTCACTTACCCTTTAAACTATATGGATTGAACAATTAAGATTATATCAAAAAATTCTCCCAAATCCTTAATTGAGTCACAACGATTTGTATAAAAGATCCCCAATCTTACAACGTAATTTACAAACTGACGTTTTCTTGGAAAAGCTCTCTACAGTACACTTAGGGCCGATTTCACCAACATTTATATTATGGACCAATGGGAAAATACCTTATCGAAATGCAATTTGACAGAAGCTGTCAAAGGTCTCTGAATATCAGTGATTTCTATTGAAATATTGAATAAAATCGTGAAAATTCGACTGTATTATAAACAAGACCACTTTTTGATTCCAACATGATGCTTTTGTACAGAAAAAACAGGACAACTTTCACGTATTTTGATATATGTTATAGGTTTACATTTAACAATCCGTTATCTCCCTCAGCGAATGGGAATGCGGCAAATAATAGGTCGATTTTCTAACTGTTAAATTTGGCAGCAGATTTTGACGTTTGTTAATGCATGGCACTCTCGAATTTACCAACTTCAATATACTGAAAGTTATCATTAAATAACCTGTTGAATAGTGTGGATTTTGCAAGAAAATAGAATATAAAATACATTCCATCCAATTCCTCATCTTCCTTTACGTCATAATAGTAATCATTTATGAATTTATGGGTTAATGAATTTCTTCAAAGCAATAAAAACATTATGTCCTCTCCATCCTAAAGCACAGATAATATGTGTAAGACGTGTCAATCCCTACATCTCCCTGATGCATAATGCAATTACTATGGACATAGACAAAAAATTATGAAAAATGTTTCACAAATAATGTCTTTTAAGTCCAAACATCATCAAAACTAGTAATGTTTATTGTTTGTGTTTTTGACTGGCGGTCGTTATACAATTATACAATTATACAATCAGTAAACTATGGAATTTGCCAAAAGAAAATCATTAAAAAGGGCTTGGTCTGGGAATGGGACTATTAATAAAGAGAAACTCAAATTACTGATAACTGATCAAAATAGTAAAAAAAATAGGTTGTGTGATTTTGGCACGTGACACACTCCCAATTTAGTTATATACTGGTACGACTTGAAGCCGTTGAAAGTTACATATTGCTTCCTTCCATAAAGATAAGTTTGAATGAGTGCTAAAGATGATTAATGGAATCCATAATGAAAAAGCTTATTTGAAAGTATGCCATGGTTAACCCTATCGAACGATTTAGCAAAATAATATTATACTACATCAAGTTGACCTTGCCGATCGACAGATTCAATAGCGAACCGAATAAAAATTGTTGAATCAGTTACAGTGGATATGCTGAAAAGAGGACATAGATCTATTGACTCCAGAGTAAATCCTATTATGCAATGTGATCTCCAGCAATTCGACAATATTGCCACCGCTCTATAGTTCTCAATATCAGTATATTAAACGAACTTAACTGAAATGGTATGAAAAGTAAAACTAATTGGTAATCCATTTGGCTTGATACTCCAACAACAAAATTATAAAAACTTTGTTACCTGTCTCCTGTTCCAGTTTCTCCAATTCTGCAGTGACATTATCCGGTATTCCCTCCTCACCCGGCGCGCCAGCATCACCACCTTGCGACTGCACCGTTCCAGCTGTCACTTGTCTTTGAACAGCTGCCACCTGCAAACCCTGCCTCGCCGCCGCTGCTGCTTGTTGCCTCTGCAACAGCTGCTCGTATTGTTCAACTGTTGCTGGACGAACTCCGGATGTGAAACGGATGAACTGTTGTTGGGTCACTTGTTGCTGGCCAGGAGCGGTGGATGTTGTTTGGACCAGGCGTTGCTGAGAAAAAACACAATAAATCAGCAGAGGTTTAGTTACGACCAACAATAATTTGAGTGCGTTTTCACGTCGAGTTATTTGAAGCATTCTGAAATTACACAGATTTGGTAAGAAGCTTTATTGAGACTGATGAAACCCTTGTCGAAATATGAATTAGATAGTTTCAGACTTCCAATATGTTGCGATGTTTCCTTATTTTTCATAGGTCCTTCCAGGATTGTTGCCAACGTACTTGTTTACCAATGGCTGTCAAACTCCCACAGAGTTCACAGTCTGGATGGAGTAACATCACTATCTATCTCATCCACCTCGAAAAATCCCCTAATGAATCATAAAATGCAGACACTAATCAGAAAAAGACGCGAGCCTCATAGCAAGAATATCAGAAACTATTGGTATCTATGTTTTTCGTCTTCTAGGTGAGGCCAGTTGAGCAATTTCTCGTCCGTATTTATATGCTTACACAGATCAGTGAACAGGCGAATCCGAGAACGAGACGGAATAAAATTGTTTACATGACATTTGGGGTGATCTTGGAGTTTCTCGAAAAGATCGAATAGAGGATAAAAAACATGCTTTTTGTCTAAAAAATATTAGCTTGATATAAATATGAGGATTTCATGTTATCTCGTTTCTACAGATAGAGAAAACAGTGACACACAAATATCTACAAATATTTATATAATTACCTGCTGTTGAATGATTAGCCTCATTCTAGGATCCAGGCCTTGCATCCTGGATTCGAGACCTATACGCAACGCATTGGGATTCAAAAGTGGTCTACCACCAATAGCAGTAGTAATTCTTGGCCTAGCGACACTCGGTGGTAACGGTTGCCTATTGAAAAAAAAGTAATTACGAACATACCTATTGAAGCATGAGAAAGTGCAAGCCACATATAAATCGATGTTTGATTAAAGATTATTTGGAGGCATTAAGGTTAGAAATCATGATGACTAGTTAACGAATGATCAAAAGCCTTGATTAATATATTCTACCATGTGTCCAAAAAATTATCCGAATTAAATGGCGTCATCTCTTAGAATTTATCACATCTTGTTACTCCTCTCCGTAATAATTAGAACTCTACTTTGAAAAGGTCACATAGATGGCGCTGTAGCTTTATGCTCATATAATTTGCTATAGCTAATATACAGGGTGTTCCAGAACTTGACGTCAAGTTGGAATCGGCACGGGTATTACGTTCTTGAAAAGTGACTATGTCGTTTTTTTATATTGTATTGTTTTTTTTTGATATTATGTAGGCTTTTCTTTTTGTAGTCTACGTGTTGCCTAAACGTCATGAGGTTTCAGTTATGAATGTTTGGCTCTGATGTGTAGTAAAATCTGCGTCAGAGATGGCATTGCTGGAGGTCTAAGCTGTAAGTTGTATACTATAGCTAGAAGGAAACGGCAATGCATAAGTGCATAGTGAGGATTTATGTGCTAATAATATGTGTTGATGATAATTCCGATTGTTGTGTCAAATACACTTACTTAAGATTCAAAGCTAGAAACTAGTTGTGCATCCACTTTTTCTTATCCATTCTGGAAATTACTGATGCAAATTTGCTGAGTTTCAAAAATGAGAGAGATAAGAAATAATTATATTCACTGTACACTGTCGGAAAAAGTAATTCATAACATTGAACATAACCTGTCTTCAGAAGGGACAATATATAAATAACCCGTCGGACACAGCTAATAGATATACTTCATTGGCAGCATATTCAGTAATGCTTTTCTCACACAGCAAATATCACTGATTTTATACACATGCAAACCAATACAAATAATCATCCAGATGCGATCTTGCAATTCAACCAACTTTCTTCTCGAGATGAAAACTACAGACTACTCGGCTTCACAAAACATATGCAACCAACAACGCATGTAGTTGAGCCATTCCTCCATAGATGGACGCTCACAACGATCCTAGTCTGCAAGATGACATTTTATATGTTTTTTACATAATACCCGTGCCGGGGAAAGGCTACGTCATAATAGTTATCAGAAAAATATAAAAAAATTAAGCCGTGTACTGTTCAAGTTACAGGCATCAACAAATCTACACCATATGATGATCTTCTAGTTCCCATTACTACAAATTTAATTTTTTTTTCTTTCACTACGTAGAATGGCACTGTCCGTCGCTCCGTTTAAGAAAAAAAATTAAATTTGTTATAATGGGAACTAAAAAATCATCACATGGTGTAGATTTTTCCGAATTTTTTCAGGCCTATAATTTGAAAAGTACACGACTTAGTTTTTTTATATTTCTCTGATAACTATTATGACATGGCCTATCCCCCATTTTCGGCTTGACGTCGACTTCTCTGACACCCTGTATATATTTAGAGCCATATCCAAACATGAGATACAGGTTTATTTTTGACAGATATGAAATTTATTTATTGATAATGCTAACCTGAAGGTGTTATCAGCAGAGGACACCACATTACCAGCATTTTGACTATCTGCTTCTTGTTGATCAGCTGGTGGCCAAACTCTTTGCTGCCCTTTACCAGGAACCAACTCGTCTAGTTTCTTGAACTGTTGTCTTTGCAGTAAATCTCGAAGCTGCCTGCTTATGTCTGGTTGGTCTGAACGGACTTGGCCACTGAACGCCTGTAGGTTTGAGTAATAAACCCACCATTAGTCAAAACATACTTGAACAGTGACTATTTAGCAAGTGAGACAGCAAGAAGTTCGTGAAAAGGTGGTATCAAATTACCTGTCCAGGTGGTGGTCTAACTCCCGTAGGTACTTGCGCCCTCTGTGCGAATGCTTCTTGGGAAGTTCTTGGCGTAAAGGTAGGCTTAGGTGTGTTTGGAGGTGCTTGATAGGGATCACTGTCATCTGCAGTTTGGAACTCATGAGGGGACTGTCCCGGAGTAGTGGGCCTACAAAAAATTATTGACATTTAAGGACTGAAATGACTGTACGTTATTCTACTTGGATGGGTAATTGAGATTTGCTGACTAAACTATAAAAGCAAATATATCACAGTGAAGAAACTAAACAGGTTTAGCACTGAAAATATTTTTTTGTTATTTACCTGATGCTTGAATGGGGAAACCCAGGCGGTGACTTGAGGTTCGCAAACTGCCTGGGTGATGGTGAAGCCACAGGACTAACCTCTGTAGGAGTCCCCACTGTCAATGGTGATTGCTGATCTGGAAGATACTGAGGACTGGTATCGGTCGATATCTGACGTTGGACTCGGGCTATTGCTTGAACAACGAAAATTATAATAGTCACAAGAAAAAAATGTCGCGGAATTACTATTTCTTGTTTCAGAAACTAAAAATACTGCCTTTATCCGCCCAATCGTGTACGACTGTTTCATGCTTGTTGACAATCATCAGCACGGTGTAGAAATAACAACGAACGGAAGCAGTGTGAGACACTGAGCTGGAAAATCTTGGAAATGTCATTTTCAAAAAATTACCTTGCACACGTTGCTCATGTATAACATGTTGTTGATGTTGCGCCTGTTGTTGCCTTATTGCTTGCAACTGTTTCCATTGCCTCTCTTGCTCTGCCTCTCGCGCAGATTTTTGTTGCAAAGCCATCTTCTCTTGATCCTATAAAAATTCAAGTTTCAAATTCATGTATTTAGCACTAGCATTTGTGTTTAAATCTTCTACCTACAAGTAATAAAAAGCTAAAAGACAAATCAAAAAAGAAAACCAAACCACCAGTTGACAATGTATGTGTGTGTAATACAGCATGCTCATACAGCTACAGAAAACAACGAAAAGTTACATAGTGTTACGAGAGTTCACTAATTCATGGCTGACATATGAGATGAAAAAATGGACTAACAAGTGGCGAAAATATGCAATAAGGCGAGGTTCGCAGGGTATTAGAGAAGACGGAAAGATAATCTTTTCTAACCTCAAGCACCAGGCGAACCGTGCGTTAATCTGTCAAATCTGTCTTTTCCAATTTGACATCGCTGCCATTTCTAACGAGGAACTAGTGTCATAGGTTGTATGAAAAAATAATTGGTATCTGATATAACAAACTTGAAGAGTATGGACAGCTGCTCAGGTAAGAAAGAGCCCAATAAGTAGTTAGAAATCATTTATAACGTCAATTGGACAAAAAAATGGCACCAAAATAAGCCATCGATTTTTCATGTGTCAGCCTTGAATACGCAAGTGTTTTAATACAGCGACAAGAGATACTGTTAATCCGATCCATAACCATTCCGTTTTTAGTATGAGGAAAACACAGCTCTGAGATCTGAATCAATGGGGAATGGACACAAGGGATTACATAGTGGGTTCTCCAGGATCTCTGAATACATGTGAAACGAATTTTAAATCTACATCGGCTGAAAAAGGAAATCAATATGTCGTATAGTTACAACAGTTTTATGGAGAGAACATAGTCCCAAAGGGATATTGGACATAACTGAAATTAACGCTTGGCAATTTATTTTTTGTATATCTTTCCAATACCTGGTCGTGTATCAGATGTAGATGGAGCAAAATACAGTTCATGCTTTGCAAAAATACTTATCGAACGCCGTAAAAAAAACTGCAACGTCATAGAAAGCCTCAATAACTGAAACGAAACGCAACGAAACTGAAACGTGTATGAACTGAAAACAAAAATAGATACTAATGAAAATCATAAAATCAACGCCAACGATTCGCACACACCGAACCCTAAGTCATGTAGTCACATTTAAAAAAATGGTATTTTCCACATAGCCAACATTGAATTTTTATAATAACAATAAATATCGTTTATAGCAACGAAAATACATAATGAATACAAAAAATACAACATTCCACAATGCAGAACGATTGGCATAGCCATTTTTCACCACCCTATCCCCAAAAAATTAATGAAATGAATATTTGTTTACGATTTCTCTCAACTAGATAGGCTCTCTGAAATTCATAGAAGATCGACAAATAATTTAAATATTATGTTTAATATGATATACAAGGTGCTAGGCAAAATATTTCTTACATGTAGACGTTGTTATATTGTAATAGGCATCGTTTTTTAAAAAACTTGGCGGAGTGAGGATCTCTTTCCGGAAGAATTAAATAAATAACTGGGTGATTTGAATTTAATAACCTTTCGCATTGAACCAATGCGCGGTACCTAAAATTTAGAACGTATTCTCGTAAACAATAGCTAGTAATTTGTTCTTGTTAGCATATATGTTTTCATAATAATTACTCAATTTTTTGTTTCAATTCCTCCGTGAGAAAATTATAATATACTATAGCTCCGTAGTCAATATTTGTCAGAATTAGTGAATTTATTAGTTTTAATTGTATATCACTGGTTTTTCCCTCCAAAGTGTCATATTTATAATGATATACTCAGAGCTTTATTATAATATGATTCACAAAACTCAAATTTGTGTCGAGAAAAATGTCCAGACTAGTTTCCGCTATAATTTCAATGATGGCATCACCTAAAACAATGTATGTATGCATTAATTCTTTTAATTTTGGAATGACTAGACCTAGAGCCAATACTTGACTAGTACCTAATCGTTTTTCTGTTCATATTTAGTTCAAATATTAAAGAATTTAATTCACTGGGTTTACAAGCTTTATAAATGTGTACGTCCACAGCATATAACTGCATATTTCAACCATTTGATACGAAGTCGTCTAAATCAGACGAATAGAAGGTAAGTGATATTGGGCCAAGACGCTTCCTTGTAGAATATCACAGTTTTTAATCCTCTGTATTTCTGGCTGGGGGAATCAGCCAATGAGATTTGATTCTCATTCTGAATACTGATAAAATGTTAACATACATTCCGCTTCAAACTGTGAATGTCAGTCAGAAGGTTTTTTTCTTATATCTGTCAGCAAACTAACCTGGCAGAAGTCCCATTCTAAAAGCAGCGCGTAAAAATACGTGATTACAGGAATTATCACGGCATAGTAGGGCGATTTTTACAATTTCTCGTTTATAGGACTACAACTTTCAGAACATGTATACATTTTAGAATAGATTAGAATATTTGTTGAATACCCTCTATTTATTCTTGATTAATCTAGAAAACGTATTTAGTTTTATGATTTCCTAGTTTTGTGGCACTGAACTGAAAATTGAATGCAATAATGTCTTGTAAATCAAATGGCTACATGACCTAGGGAGGTACAATTCAGACAGATTGAGTTTGTTCGCAGATATCATCCGAATCAACTAAGTTTTCTATTGGAATTTTGGGAGATGTGCTTATATCTCCAACATAATAGAATCCACAGTTTGCTTCGAAGACACCCTCTAATACCCAAATCCATCTGAAATAATTATAGGCTAGCCAATGGATATGTCCAAGGAGATGTTATCCTACAAAAAGTCAAGTTTTGTTTCTTGTCATAGTAGAGAGTAACGAAAAATACAAATTTTCCTCCACCAACTTGGGAAAATGTGTAAACTTGGTATTGGCAGAGGGGCTAAGGAAGCAGACTGACAAAAGCTTGAATTTTTCATTACAGTATTGACCACAACTTTTCAAAGAATCTCAAAACTTGATATTTCATAGCGATAGGCGCGACACACACTGGGGAAACCATGAGAGTTGCTTCTTGAAATGGAATTTAGTTTGTTTCTCTACCGTGTACACTGGTGTTATAAAACTTACAGGACTCAAACTTTTTTATACATGGTGACTCAAAAACATCACGGCAATATTTCTGGGGTAGAGAGCAGATTCAAGAATATCGCGAAAAGTTCTCATGAAGGTAAAATTCACATAAAGATCTTCAATTACTGCTACTTTCAAAATTAGCTGTAGTTAGTGAAGTTGGACATTGAAAATTGTATGTAGCGTACTAGGTCAGTGATCCTATCTCACCATAGCATTATTTGAACAATAGTCATGTTTTGTCGTTACTCAAGTCTTGTCAGTGGCGTTGAAATCTACATCACTCCTTATCTTGCTAATGTGATATTTTCGGACTCATGTTTATATGATCCCTATTTTTGGATATACTTTCAACTCTAGAAATATTGCTACGGTTTTCTGAATTGCCATAGAATTTGGAAACATGTTAGAATTTACGTTTATCAGAATATAGTCGTCGCTAGATGTAGTTACTGGCAGGTAGCATTGATTAACGTATTCTACCTGTAGGTAGTTAACCTAATGGCATAACTATTCCCGCGTCCAAAAAAATGATCCTAGATGAAATGAGATGCCACAGCGACATCTATGAGAATTAGAAATTCAGTTTGAAAAGGTCGGTGTCTCATAGATAGTGTTGTAGCCAAATATATCCTACATGCTCATCTATTATAAAATTTTTGGAAAAAGTTTCAAATGAAATTTAAATACATGTGCAATGCTGATTCAAATTAAATTCCTCTTAGGCATCGTGAGACACTTTTTAAGCGATTGGTTTCACCAATGTGTCACGCGTCTTAGGCTCACATTTATAGACCATCCTTGAGGATTGCGAGCCATTTGAGGAATGATTTCTAGTTCCAAGCAAACAATAACCCATCCTTCAGGAACGTTCGAACGAGTAGTTCACACTTGCATCACAGTAAGCTGCTTTGGTACGAAAAAATTGAATTAAACTTTTCAAAACCACACATATTTCAAAATTCTTAAAATTTCGAAACTTTCAATAATTCAATTTTCAAAAAAAATAAATATATCAAAATTTGGAAGATTATCAAACATTCATAAATTATAATTTTAAGTATTTTCAAAATTTTCACACTTCTCAAAATTGCCAAAATTTACAGCATTTGTGATTATCAAATAATCAAAATTTCAAAATCGTCAAAAATTTTGAGAGCATTCAAACTTTTCTGAACATTTTGAAGATTGTGAATATTTAATACTTTTGAAAATTCTGAGAATTTCATTTTTTTGTAGTTATGGAAATGTTGAGGAAGCGTCATTGTTTATTTAAAATCCAAGGAGAGATCATTCCTCAAACGCCACTCAATCATCAAGGAACGTTTACAAACGTCTTCCTGAGACTTCTCTATGAGCCAGCCTACAAATCAGCAGCATAACGAGAACAACCAGGCAGCAAAATCGCAGTAGAGTGCACGTGCGTGTTTATCGCTCCTCCTCACCGGCGTCGCTGGCGACGTCGATGACGACGTATTAACTTGCGCCTGCGTCGTCGCCTCGTAACTCTCCTGACACAAAGACGGCAACGTCCTCATTATCTCGGAAGGCGTCAGCACTCTGATCTGTTGGTCTGACACTGTGGCCGACAGAGCGCGCGACGATCGCGGGATCGACTCTTGGTAGAGCGGATTCACGGTGACGTTCGGCGCGGGACCCACGCGGTCCGTGGGACCCGGCAGGCTGCCGGTGCGCGCCGTGAACTGGGTGACCTGATTTATGATGGCGGGGAACAGAATAATGCACCGTTTAGAGTTTACAGATAGTTTCTTTTACTAGTATCAAATATTAAAGTTTTAATGTAACTCCTGAAACCTATTATGTGGTTTTCGTGTTCATAGAACTTCATTAACTGACTGAATCAAACCACATATACAGGATGTTAATTAAGTATGTACCATAAATTTAATGCACGATTCTTTGAGTAATTTTAAGACAAAAAGTTCATATAATCATAGGTCCGCAAGTTCTTCGTTAGCAAGATGTGTTAAGGTTTATAAGAAGAAAATGGTTTTTCGTATCTTAAATATTCTTTACTTATACTAATATTGGTAACAAAAAAATGTTCGACACTGACTTTTCAGCAATTTTTATTATGTTCATTGGATTAAGCAAGATACGGAAAACATTCAAACGACAAAAAAGTTGTATTTCTATTTGCTTAATACAAAGAACATAACAAAAATTGCACAAAAGTCAGTGGCGTACATTTGTTTGTCACCAATATTCGTTCAGATCCCGAACAATAAAATTTAATCAAATTAGGGCTAAATTAGCTCCTGAGTGTCGTAATTGCCACCGCCAAATTACAACAAATTTAAGTAAAGAATATTTAAGGTATTTACAAAAATACATTTTTTTAAACACCCTGTATCTTGAGAACGAAGAATTTGCGGACCTATGTTTATATGAACTTTTTGTCTTAAAATTACTGAAAGAATCGTCTGCTAAATTTATGGAACATAATTAACACCATGTATGTTTAAATTTATGTTTACTGTACGACGTTTTAATCAGCACTTGAAAAAGACCACTATGGTGGCCGAAACGTCGTACAATAAACAGGAACCTAAACATATTTATGGTTTGGTTTGGCCAGACAATGGCGTCTCATAGTAAAGAATGTCTGGAGGCAAAAGTCATAATCGGCTTGCATCTGGTAACGGTTACGTTCACCATACATACTTTTACCACTTGCTAAACCGGTTTTTTAATACCCGTCCTGACAGACCGTAAGTCATGTCTTTCGGCATCCCGAATCTGACGGTGATATACCTGTTCGTGCCGCGTATTAAAAAACCGGTTTGGCAATTGATAAAACTCTCTATTGGCCATAGTCGCTCACCAAAGGATCCAACATAACATACAATGCGTTCACCAGCATTCAGCAGCTGAAGCAAAGCGGCACCTAGAATATGCTTCATGTCAGAAGCTGAATGTCATCGAAATGGAACGACAAGCACTGACAATCAACATAACTTGCTAAGCCATGACTTGGTTGGTTGCATTTACTAACACTCAACTGCTCTGCTGTGTTCATGATCGCCGTCGCGCGTGCTCCTTTCAAAGCGTTTTATGCATTCACGGTTGCTTTGGGTGAAACTTACCCGTGTTCGTAGTTCAGAATAATTTTTGTTCGATAACGCGACTTTCCATTCCAAAAACCCATTTATTATAAGAACATTTTGTTTCGGTTATGTATTGGCTATGACATTTTTGTCAGAATCACTCAACATAAATCAGGTCAGTAAAATTCAATCTTCTCTAGAGGAGCATATAATGCTGACAGCCATCGTGGATACATTTCATTATCTTCAAGTGTTAGAACCGGACAAGGGACAACAATCATTTACACAGAATAATAATGGAAGATCCTCTCATTGTTAGTTCGGCCAAACAGGAGATCGGTACATTTTTTCGCTGCTTTATTAATCAGTCTGGACCATTTGTATGAAGAACTCCGAAGATAGGTTGAGCAGTGTAAAAAACTTAGATCATTTTCAAAACTACTTGCAAGATTGTATTTTTCTTTAGTGAAATTACAGGGAAATCTACGGATAGTTTTACACAAATTTATTGTTAGTATTCCAACATTTTTGACAAAGAAATGCTCCGATGAAATTCGAGTTTCTTGTACCAAAAACTTCCAGGGTGGTTGGCCCCCGTTCTTCTCCGGAAAAGATCTACCTTAATTTTCGATAGACCTTAAACTATGAATAGAGTAGAGTTGCTCAGGTTTCGATCCTTGCCCACTGATACTAAGCCATGCTGAAGAGGTGCGACATAGCACTAAAAAGATGTCCATGGATGGCTGTCCGTGATTGGATGAACGAAAGCTATATTGCTAAGATCTATCTTGCCAAAATAATGTTCTCGTTTATAGCTATTTTCGATGCGATACTTCAAATTTCGTTGTGTGCTTTCTTGGATTTGATACATCTGACATTCAACGTCATGCACTTTGACTTATGTGGTCGTAGTTTAAATATTCAGGCAGAGAGAGGAACTATACACCGAACGCACGCGGTTTAAATCCTACCTGGTTAAAAATTGTCCAGCAGGTAAGACTGTGAACGCGTCCCTGAAGTGAAAATCATATCGTGCTTTTGCAGATCATGTTCATTGTCAGTTTATTTAGCGTCTGAGTGCTTGCAAACGTGACCATTAGTTATGTTAAGTTGCACTTGGCTACAGACTTGTCCAAGTCACACTTCACATAACAACCAATGACTTGCATAATATTCAATGATTATTGAGGAATAATAAAACCAAAGTTAGAAATCAGCTTAGTTTGCTATAACTTTTTTTTTCTAAAATATTAATTTTTCCGTCGTATATTCAGACACAAGGAAAGATATCGAAATCTTAGAATTTAGAGATGCTATTGGCAAATTATGACTCTAATTTCCAGATTCACAATACTACTTGAGTTAGAATCTATCTGTGAAATGAGTTATAAAAAATGGATGCCTGGTATTAAAAAATCGCTTTAACTGAGGCCACAGCCAGGGTAGTGAGCATAGAGACAATAAGCTAGATGACAGGATGATATATCTCAGCGACGCATAGTCCACGTATGTAACGGTAAGTTTCTACACCGCGTGCAAAGTGGAACGCTACGGCTTTCGAAACTAGAGTGACTAATTTCTTGACTGACAATCCTAGGTGCATTCCAGAAAAATAATTAGATTGACTGTAATGGAAACTTTATAAGAGAGAGGACTAAGTGATGATTGCAAAAATGCAAAAGTTCAAAAAAAAACTTAACTCCTGACATAATCCACATGAGCAAAAAAGATACGATGCAAACGTTTCAACTAATGATTTTCAAAGACAATATCAAAAGTTGCTAATTTTTAGAATAGCTTATATCACCACCTAGAATCCTACGTGCCTCTTGATACCCTGGCATCTCACCCAAGCAACTAATAATCCCATCACTAACTTTTCCACTCGCGGTGTGACCTCAGCTGATTTATTTTATCTAGCCTTTTAGGTAATTTTCACCCGTTGTCCTATTATTGTCTAATATAAATAGAATCATTGTATTTACTTCCAAACTTTGAGGTACTCAGATTAAACCAAGCGTCCAGTTTTTTAACCTTCAACAACCTAATCAACACCTGCGATTGTAACAAAGATGCAAACCTTAGTAAAATTCCAAGATCGGAAAGTTATTTGCAAATCATCTACGAAGAACACTCAGCTACAGGCCACAGGCGTACTCCCATTTCAGTTCTTTAATGAACTGAATTTTTCAAACTATGCCCTTCTGTATCCCTTGATTTCTCAAATAGTCACCTATATACCACTATAAACTTTCTGAGCAGGGGGAATCAAAAATCGTACCAAATTAATGAATCGTAGCGCTAATATTGTGTTGCAGCAAGGATTCTTGAATTGAATAGAATAACGGGGCATCTGTGTTCGATTATACAGGTACTTACGACGGGTGATAGGGAGATTCATCCAATATTAAAATTGCGTATATTTAGTATACGGTCTATCTATTGTGGAAGACGAAAAAATACCACAGGCTAGAATATTTCTTCGCAAATTTAAAATGACCATGTCCCAGATTTCCCTGTTTGCATCTTTGTTACGACCTGCCTCTTTCGAACGAGGAACTAACAAAACCATCCCCAACTACACCTACGGTATTTTTCTGTTGCCCGCCACCAGTTGCTGTGGCCACAACAACCGCCGTCGTGCCATTACGCAAAGGGAGTGAAGAAGCGGTAGGGGTTGAAAGTGGTTGTGGTGGTTGTGTTGGTGGTGAAGAAACAGACACAGAGCTGCTGCAGACTGCAGACGGGGTTAGTGGTGCTGATGTGTGGCTGATGCTGCTGCACACCTCTGTGGTGGGGGTGCCTGTCATTCCTTGCGGCTGTTGTTGCTGCTGCTGTGGCGCTTGCACCTGGTGGACACTGGACACCACCTGCGTGATGACCTTCTGCTGAGTCGAGGGTGACGCGGGCGTGGCGATTGCAGCCGCTGGTGCTGATTGCGTTGCGATGGCGGAGTCTTTCGACGGCTGGGACTGGAATTGAATGGGGGTAGCGGGCGGTCACTAGGGGGTGGGTGTGTGTATACGGGGCTTGAGGTTATGATATAAGGTACTGCTTCACACGGTTGTTCAATTTGGAGATTGTCTTTTGCCTGGCCTGTTTTTTATTTGTACTTTAAAAAAATCATGCTAAAAAAGTAATTTATTTGTGAAGTGCATAGGTCATTTGGGTCGATACCCTTGTAATACAAATCCCCTCGATTAAATATGGCACAGTGCTACCCTATGACATCTTAGAGAGGATCATCGTCGTGGCAGAGAAGCTGGAATTGTTCGCGATTATACTCTTTACTGCAATAGAAGTTCACATGGAAACAGGGGATCTCAAACATCTTTCCTGAAATCAAGAACTCAGCGGTATGCCCGTTCTTTTGCTCCAAGAGTATCTAAATTGTTCAACAATCTACCAGGGGCCTTCTCCAGTTCCACTTAGACCGGTCAATCCAATACTCGAATAAGAAGGTTCTCTTCAACTTCTTTATAGTAGCTGAATTCCGACATTAGGTACTCTTTTTAGCAACTGTCGAGTTTATAGAAAAATATCAAAGTTATGGATCCCTTTCCTAATACTGCTCAACACAGTACATAATCTCCAAATTAAGCAACTCTTGCAGCAGGTAATACCCACAGCATTCTATGGCAGAATTGTCAGTTCATTGAAATGAATTCCTTTTATACGTTACTTTTACTCGGTAAACAATTATTGATGTATTATTATTTGTTATTGGGACGATATGATTAAATCTATATTAGTTTGTCACTAAAGAAAATTTCCTCCACATCAACATAGATGTGACACATGAAGATGACAGTGACACTTTCTAGAACTCTTTCTCGCTAATTTACAAAATGCTTCCATAACCTGTCTGCAGAATATTTGACTTTTCCAATTCGATACCAAAAATTCCGTTTCAATGAACTAACTTGTAATGTTGGAGTAACAAAAATTGGTGGGGTTACAAGCGATACATGCCAGAGATAAATGACAAAATGGCACATAAGACATGTAATTGTCATCACACAGTGTTAGTGACAACCCGCTATCCTAGCAACCGGCGCCTGCTTGTAAAGCCAAATTGGATATTGCACTAGTGCTAAATGTATATCGTATTTATTGCAAAATGTATTACAGACAAGTGTATGTGCCCAAACAATATAGAAGAAATTTCTTAGACTTGATAAAATAAAAATATTTCACACCCTAGCTATAGAATGGAATCAAACTGAATCATTAACGAAGTTAATATATTTTATTCTAATCAGCAAATGCTAATATTACGAAGATTATTTTTCGGTCACGCAGTATAAGGTAAAAAAAGCATTCATAACTTTATAACTTTTGTAACTCTATTTTATGCAATGCTCTGTGGAAAAAGCTGGTAGGAATACGAGTATTTCGTTTCCTTCATGAAATATTTGAAAGAACGATGCTAGCACCATTAACATCAGCAATAAAAATACCTTTAATGTAGTAGTTGAAGTAGATCTAAACTGTGAATATTTTGAAATATAATGGCAATTTCAAATATAGATTATCACATAAACAACTCTTATGAAGTTTCATAAAAATAAAGTCAGCCGTGATGAAAAAAAAACAAACTACTAACCTGCTGTGCCTTCTTCATTCTCAACTGACTTCTATTGTCCCTTGCCCTTTGCAAAAAGGGTGCTTTTTGCTCCTGACTTAAGGTTCTCCACTTCTTGATAATCTGCTTGTATCTATTGCGAACAATGCGACATTTGTATGTAAAAATAAATATACATCTATGATATATGTAAAATAAAAGATATCATTCTAATATTACTTACTTAACCTTGTAACTGATTTCTAAGTCTAAAATCTTGGAAATAGAATAAACCAGCAAGACAGCCAAACAATTTGGACTGATCATAACTTGAGTTTATACGTAGAAAGGACAGAATTTGTTAAGATTACAGGTTTGATTTTCACTGCTGACACATTTTTTATTTGAGTTTTTGCAGGTTTCTTACGGAACAAATCGTCACTCAAATCTGAGGTACTTACCTGTCTGGCCAGTTAGGATATTCAGTCTTCCACTCTGGATGATTGACGTTGGCATATAACATCGCCGATATCGTAGCACCTGTGCCAAGACCTTCATCTGCTTTCATTTTTTCCGAGGACCTCTGGTTATATGTCGAGGAGACGCCTGCAGAACTGACAGATGCTGCTTCCAACTCAGAAGTATCAACCGCCGATACCCATGGGCTTGGGGGCTCGGAGAATGCTGGACTGAACTGAGGACTGCTAAAAAATACAAAAAAATGGCGTCAAGTAGGTTGACCCTGCACTTCCCCAACGCTGACATCATTCCATAAAATATTATGTTCAGCAGACGTTAGCTTCTCTTAAAAAAAGTTAACTGAGAACTTGGAATTAAGTGGATCCACCCTGTGAAAAAGGTCCATACCATTAGATCCAAACGACGCGGTCAGCTCGCGACAGGTTTGTCTCCTAATTTCGTTCTGCTCGGCACGTGTATTGGAAATATATCTGGAAAGCTAGGGGTAGGTGGAGCTCGTAAGGTTGAAGGCCATGTCTAAGGTTATAAATAGAAGAAAATGTGAATTTCTGATCAGCAGTTTACGTCAATAGACGTCAAAACGTGCTGGAGTCGTAAAAAATAGGTTTCCGTTCTAACAAATTTGAATTCATCCCATATACTTTTGACAGTTTGTCCTCCATCCATACAGGCGCCGCCTAGCTGAAGCAAAATTGAACCTCGCTGCCAATGGCGTGGTAAAACATGTTTAGAAAGCAAAGTTTCACTAAGAACTGAAACTGGCATATATGCGAAGGATCTTCACAAAACATCGAGATATAAGCGAAGAGTCAAGGTTACTTCTAAAATAAGGAGGGTGTGGAGAGGAATGTCTTTTTTCAATTTGTAGGTTGATCAATTCTTAAGCTTACTTGCTGTACTCAGAATACGGAGAAGGCGACGGAAAACTGACAGGTGAATTCAGATTAGATTGCGTCACAGTCGACAAGGTAGTAGGCCTAACAGGTGGCGCTACAATTGGATGCTGCTGAATCACTTGCTGAGTGTTGCTGGCAAACATACTCTGGTTCTGCATGGGAAAAGCGTTGCTTTCTTGGGATTCCTGAGATTCATCAGTCAGCACACCCTGAAAGAGAGAATATTTATATCGAGCTCCTGAGAACTAAGAAGATATACAAGCATTCTTCATCATACAAAAGAGGTTATAAATTAATACTATACCTTGAATATGTCTTCAACGTCTTTGCTATTAATGTTAGGTATATGTATTGATTCTAAGTTGAAATGAGGTCCTAATATATCACTCAATTCATCTTTGGTATCTTTAGAGTTGCTGGAACTACCTAGAGTATCTGCCAGTTCTGCATCGTCAGGAAGATTTGAATCTAAAAAATATGAATCCAAAATACAGAATTAACGAAAAATATATATGCTGCATACAAAATATAGTAAATTCAATTTCAATTATTTTGTATTTTTTGTATTTTTCAAGAATACTATACCTAATTCAAGTGACTCCGTATTCTTGGTTAGATCCTCATCATCCTCATTTATGATACTGTTGACCAGGTCAGTATCCAAAAAGTCACCAGGCAATGCCAAAACATCTTTGAGATCTTCTGTGTTTTCTTCATCTTCCTCCTTAGACATAACATTGGGTTTCAGATCTTTTGTCTGATCTTTGGTGTCCAAATCTGGCTCGATCTTTTCTTGTTTTGCTGTCACTGCTGCCACAGCCATTAGCTCATCCTAATTAAAAAAATCGGCATTTAAAAAAATATGAAATACGTTTCTCTTGTCATGGAAAGATCGTGTAAATTGAAGATAAAAACACTACAAGATATCAATCCTACCTGCGATAAGTTTATAGACTTATACTTGTCTGACTTTTCTTCATCGCTACTATAACTGTCAACGTTTTCTTTCTTAACGTCAATTCCTTCCATAAGGTCTCTGCCAAAAAACGCTTCTTGCAAATAGGAAGGAAATGTCTCTGCCAGTTTGCATTTGGGCTTTCTTCTGATGGGCTTTCTACGAGGCTTATCACCATCCACGGTGGTCACTGGTGGTAGGGATGGGATTTCCCCTGAGCTATTCATCTGCAAAGAAATTTCGCTTTTAAAAATCCTTACGATATGTGTGAAAATTAAAAACAGGGATATTTATAAGGTATACGTATATGACCTCTGGAGTGAGAAATATCTATATAATTCATAGCTGAATTAGTAAACTTAAGCTACAATATTACCTGTCCTGGTAAAGTATCTATCTCGTCATTATCCTGACCATTCCTGATTCCTCTCATTCTCACCAAAAAGCCTCCAATGCCCAATTTCTGCAGGTTTCTCTGCCTCTTTCGCCTCAAAACACAGACTCCGCTCTCCAAAGTAAAAATAGTGAACCCATCTGGAGGCGGGCCATCTTCTTTCGTCCATATCATACCCTCTTTGTAGATCTCTGCTGGTTCGTCTTTTACATCTACTAGTTCTAGTTTGGCGCTTTCTTCCAGGTTCGGGGTGGTTTCTGAAAAGAATGCAGAAAACATTATTATGTCTATTCACCTCTAAAGAAGTAGCAACACAGGCGGCTACATTCATAGACATTATTAAAAAGAATAAGGAGTTCAAACCCCCACCGAGTCGGATGGTATAGATATTGAGAATGTTTACACGTTCAGTATTCACTGAAGTCCAAACACAGGGTAACCATATCAAGGTTGCTCAACTTTTTTGACAATCGGGACAAATGGAGGATTTAGACTTTTTCAGCGGGCCAGTGAGGATTTCTATATTAGTTAGAACTTGTGCGATAAAATATCCAATTACTTGATTATTGTTAAGTGAAATAATAAAACAAAGAGCATCTTATACGAAATATAGAAACAAAATTGAACGAAAGTATCTCAAATCCAAATCTAAGGTGGGTACTCATCTGATTTCTGACATTTTTTCTGATGCAATAATGTTTTTATGTTAGGCGTCAAATCCGAAGTTTACAGTAACAAGTTACAAATATGTTGCTCAGAGAATGATGTGCGGTATTTATGTTTTACATAATTAAAGTTTGAAACACGTTTTCACAAACGTATGTTTATCCGATACTACTTGAAAACTGTAACGCTAAGTCAGATAGTGACAGAAAGTCTTCCTTTGATACCAATTGCCAGACATCTATATGATCTGAAGAATTTTGTAGTTTCGAGGACACTTTATCGACAAAAAATACTGTTTAGCGCATAATAATTTTGGCGTTCAGTAAGTTCCTATTGAATATTGGCAGGATAACTAATTATTTCAGTGGAACTGATTATGAAAGGAATCATAAAAATTTATATATTTTGTTTTTTACTGTCAAGGTCCTGAAATCTGTAATAAACATTTAATTTTAAATTCATACTTGAATAATTGACTCTAACAATATTGAGCTTCTCTTTCAAATGATCTACTCTATACTTCATAAGCCTTCGTAGGAGGTTTCAAAGAAAAGTGATGAGTCAGATCGTTTAGGCCGAAATCGAATCGTGATTAGATAGGTTCCCTTAGGTATGATGAACCTTCGACGTCTGCATATCAAATTATATAAAGCAAATTGTCATATTTCTGTTTCCATGACAAATCTAGGGAAAATGTGTGTCACTTATGATGTCTATCATGTTGTAACACTATGTTCCAGTGACTTCATTTTCGCCGATTATGAATCAATTTTCAAAATATAAAATCTAAGACTAGCTAAACGATAGAAGTATTGCAATAATATTCGAACTTCGGTTCACAATCTATATCGATATCTGCATCACGCAAGTCCGTGTTTCTCATTTATGTCGGTTTGTCAGTCCGTGTCTGTTGTATATTAATGCGACATAAGTACTGATTCAATCTATTTGACGAAATATTCAGAGAACCATCATAGACGGAGTAACACAAATTAAAGGTTAGGCGAAATGTTTGGGCCATTCAACAATCATAAAATTTAGAATATACGAGTATATGTGTTGATATAAAAACGGTCAAGTCATCATTTACAAAAACATCGCAAAACGCTGAACGCAAATATTACTAAAACATATAAATATTTCTCCTGTAGCATTGTGTCAGTGACGACACCGCCGAAGATCAGTTGCATACACGACGATGCAGCATCGCGCCGAGTACGCAACGCCAAAGATTGCCGACTTATGAGCACATTATACATTGGACTTCAATTCTAAATACATTTTTTACAAACCCATACCTCCTACAATCCCCAACCATCAAGTTTCAACCCCTACAAAAATGTTTCCAGAAATGTTTATAACTATAAAGCTCTTTCATCATTGGCATAGTTGTAACCATGTGTGAAAATTTCATCAAAATCCGACTCGTACTTCTCAAGTCATAGACGGTTATAAATTAAATTTATAACTTGCTTATGTGGGCCATTTAAAACTCGACCCGCGGGCATGGGTTGGATTGATGCTAGTCGATTTCTATATAACCTTAACATGAATAAATACTGACGTCCATGTTCAATAAATACGACATTCCATGATAAATACTGTCAGATAACAGAACATGAATTGAACGTGTGATATTCGACTATGGACAGTACAGACGAAAAAAAAATAAACATCGAGTGAATATTGCAAGACGTCTGTCGCAGTCGCTGCATTAGGATAAGAGGAACTAATTTTGAAGTCCATTCATCTGATAATCCTCCATGTTTGTCTGGTCGCTAAATGAAATAATGAAACCACGTATGTTTCAATTACTATTTACTGACACGATGTTCAGGCCGCGACGGTGGTCCTTTTCCAAGTACAAATGTCAATTCTGGTTTACTCACCTATTCGTCTATGAACCTTATATTCTACAACATGCTAAATTCTTTTGAAGAAAAATTAGTTGCGGATAGCGGTTAGCAAATGCAGTCTATTGAGCACATGCATGCTAGGGTAAATGTGTGTGTGATATTTCCCCAGATTTCCGCGACGCTGAAGGCCGTCATTTCACTGACATCAACTTGTAGGTCACTGATACCAAATATGTCATCATGAGCAAAGTCAAATCCAGGGACCAAAAACCAAAAAGCCAACCGGAACGCGGAACGCACGTTTCTCTCGAAACCGAATATTCCGAGCCTGCCAATCCAACGCTGCCTTTTCAAGAATGGACGGACGAGTTTATCAATTCGGAAAAATGGGACGCAGGCACCGCAGAACCATTCAAAGATCCACAACCGGTTCAGTTGCCACATGGATTTAAATATACTACGTGGAAAAGGGCCCAAGACGCGTTTCCTTATGCCGAGATTCTTGTTTTTAAAAATCTGGAAGGTTTTCCAGGTAGACATATCCATGAAACATCCTGTTAAGTACTGGGGTGCCTAATTTAATTTTCATGTTCACATGGGAAAAGGACAGAAAGCAAAATGCCATGGGTTAGTTCAACAGCGTGAAGCTGGCTGCAGAAAAATGAAAATCTGGCTATTGCAAGACGCATATTGTGTTAGAATGTTTCGGATCAGTTAGTGGACGTGCCCGCTGTATCACAAAAGACTTGCCATACATGCTTTACGCTTATTTTCAAATGTCTAAAGCACTGAGCCAACCTGTATCGCATTTTCAGATTTGAGAAGTGAAAGTAACGAAATTTTATATTCAGAGTTCGTTAGACATTTCATCTCCAGCATGGAAACGTTGATATACCTCGGCAACTGCAGCAAATTATCAGTTGAGTACCAGTCGCCTTCCTTTGCAACTGCTACCGAGAAAAAACCTTGGCGGCCCTGGTTCCACATTTACTCAAAGTGCAAGGCTGGAAAATCGTCCGAACACAACCCCACCGTTAATAAAATAGGAAAATACGTGGTGCGTTTGTATTGGATGGGCACGTGGAGACGCGTTATTGTGGATGATTTTATACCGATGTTTGGTGACAAGGTAAGCTTTTTAGGTCTGCAGCACAGATTCGTCAGGCCTTCGCATTTCATTAGAACTTTGTCAAATCCAAAACATCAAGAACTGGCCTTTTTCAGTTTTACTCACAACCAGTTCAAAGCTCGCGGCTGCCTAAGTATTAAAAAAGACCCACATTTCCACCGAAATGAGACCTTATTTACTGAAATGCTGAAAATGTCATCATTTTCCATGACTTTTTAGAATAATTCAGATATTTCCAGATTGTTTGCCGAAAAAGATCTGGAACCAAAAATAAAGCTAAATAAATAATTCTATGTAGTCTATGTCGTTGTATTCCGGATATTTATTGGATATTCAATTATTACTTTAAATTTAGTAATAATTTTTTGATATCATCAATCATACATTATGCGTACACTTAAGCAGTCGGGCACACGAGGGACGGAGACTCTGGTTGCCTATAAATATGTACGCACACCCCCGCTTTCCCTATATTGGTTCATGTGTGTATAACAGGTGCAGACTGGTAGATCACCGCCATTACCTCATCACCGGACAACCAATAAGGAAACAAAAGCTCGTCTGTTTTTAATTAAATGCTATATATTAAATTAAGAAGTCAGGTAATGAGGCTAAGTTCAAGATAAAACTAAAATTTTCTCAGTCTTATCAAGAAGAGTGGAGAAAGGAGTTTCCAGGATAGTCGGAAATGAGTTTGAAGAGCGACCAGTATTGCAACAGTTGTAATAAAGAAGTTAATATTTTTTTTTTCGGAAAAGATGCGCTCAAAAAACCTGATGTGTACGTACGCTCGGAATTCAGTATAATTCTTTCATAGGTGGCGCTGCGTGATGCAAAGGCTCTTGATATGCCGCTGATTTTGCGATAGCCCTGATCGTTTCCTCCTACCGATTTTGTCCTTGAATCTACAGAATTTCAACGACACTATATACCGATTTCGTCTTTTTTGATTCGCCAAAATTGATCCACGGTAGTAGTTTCATACAAAGCCTGCGAGAAACATTTACATACGATTGCACGGTTTTTTTTGTCAGTCTGGTCGGTTTGAAATAACCTAAAATGTTCTGAGAAGGTTGAGTTCATTATTATAAAATTTCAAACTGTCATTTCAAAAACCTAGGTTATATCTTGAATTTTCCAGAGGACTGTAAAACCAGCGTCACTGACAAATAAATCGGTTACTAAGGGCTTAGTACAATGTTTGAGTTTTGAAATATTAAATTGTTGAATAGTAAAAGTTAACTAATAATGATAATAGTAATGGAAAACACTGTTCTGGGCTTATTTTGTTTGATCCAGAAATATGGTAAGTGGTATATAACTTAAGCAAAATAATTACATTAATAATATTTTTTATTCCTTATTATTAAAAAAACTTACACTTAAATGTTAACTTATTAACATCTCATATGTTTCAATTTTGCATGATTTAATATAAAGTGGAAAAATCGAATCTTCTGTTTTATATCCAAAGTAAAAATCGGCAATCGTCTTCAATAATTGGCTATCAGTTGTAGAAGAGCCCACGTGCTTATTAGACTACCTGCATTTTAAAAAAAAATGATTTTGCATTTCCGCGTATTTCCTTTTTTACTATGCACGTCTACTGGCGAGAAATTAAAAAAATCGGGAATGAGATCGACCAAAAGTAAACCTTCCAAAACTCAAGATAGTTGATTCAGATACTATGCGTATTCACAGCCCATAATTTCAATTACTGCCGAATGAACAATGCTTTTACGTCATACGCCACTGGGCGATGAAGTATTGCAATCGCGAAAAATTTCGAAAATGAGATGTTTTTTTCATTTACATTCATTCTACTCAAATCTTTATGTCAGAGTGCAAAGATTATCATAGTTGACTTACATCATCCTGTGTACATACAGAATTGCGTGGGAAGTACAGAGTCAACTTACTTGACGCCGTTTTATACTACCTATACGAACCGCGTTTTAAATTATCCAGCATATAAATATTTAATACAAATGAGGAGAATTGTGTCAATTCTTTTGATAGGGAACAAAAACACTCTTAAATAAGCGATTTCTAGCAAAGCGGATAAGGCAAATATACTGTATTTGTCCATAACATTATTTTTGGGGTTAATTTAAAATTGCTATTTTGGTGCATATAGCACTTAAGAAAAGAAATCAAATCAAGGACCTTGGTACTATTTCTTACAGTGGCGGCTCGCCCCATGACGCAGGTGAAGCGCTGCTTCACCTGCAATTTCAAAAAAAATATATTTTTTTATTTTGAAATTTATAAAAAAAATTCATTTATATCTTAAAAAATTATTTTTCGGACATTCTTTATTTGTATTTGCGATCAACAGAATACTGAGAAACCCCGCAACCAACAACGCGCCTACGTTTGCGCTTAATTTGGCGTGTTGAAACAGAGACCTGAAGCAGCTTTATTTGCACCGCATTGCTGCGTCCAGTACAGATACGAGCAAATACGACGGTTGCCATGACAACGGCACGCGCGCTTCCGTTTTGGCCGAGGCAAGTGAAGCAAATTATGAATTTGCGTCTAGTCTGCTCTGCATTATTACCGATATCGTATTGTGTCGAGGTTAGTTTTCATTGTTTTGAACAATGTTTCCTGTCTATGATACGGTTTGTGTTATGTTGGAAAAATCGTTTTCTCAATGGAGTAATGATGATAAAAAAGACTTTTTAAACTCCGAAAAACCTTCTCCGATATTAAATGTAAATAAAACCGCTAAAGTTAAGGACAAAGTGTACAATCGAAATTTTAAAAAATCGTGGTATAGTGAGTTTGCATGGTTATGTGGTAGCTATTATTTAAATAAACTTTTTTGTGTGCCGTGTTTGATTGTAAGTGTTAAAGCAACCGTGTGGAGCAAGTACGGTTTCAATGATTTCGGGAATGTGACTCGTGCTCTTCGTAAACATGAAGGATCATCGGATCATATGCGTTGCGCACTAGGTTTTTCAAAATTGAAGAAAAATCTCACTACTATTGAAGATGCTTTACGCGAAAATTCCAGGCTGTATATTAAACAGTTTAACGAAAACGTGCAACTTAATAGACGTTTCATGGAATTGCCAATACGCGCTGTCCTTTTTTTGGGCAAACAAGAACTGGCGTTTCGTGGCCACAACGAAGAGACGACTTCTATTAACCGTGGAAATTTCAAAGAGCTCCTAGAAGCATTTGTATCTATAAGCCCTGTAGACATTCAGGAGCACTACAAAAAAATTGCCTCAATATTTGCGGGCAATTCTAAAACCATTCAAAACGAAATTATTGACTGCATTGTCAAATGCATTGATGAATATGTGGAAAATGAAATAAAGGAATGCAGTTTTTTTTCCATTCAGGTGGATGATTCCACCGATATTGCCCACAAATCGCAGTGCAGCATAATAATCCGTTATGTCAATCTTGAAGGAAAACTTGTGGAGAGATTTTTAGGATTTCATGATGTAAGCTGCAGCCGAACATCTGAAGCATTATTTAACCTCGTGACAAGGTGTCTACAAAATTTTGATTACAAAACAAAACTCGTTGGACAATGTTTCGATGGTGCAAGCGTCATGTCCGGACAGTTAAATGGTCTTCAGGCTAAAATAAAGGAACAGGCACCCCAAGCAGTTTTTGTTCATTGCCTCGCACACCGCATGAATCTAGTGTTACAACAAAGTTGCAATAGTATTACAAAATGCCGCATTTTTTTGCAACTATAAGTGGTTTACCGACATTTTTTCACCATTCTCCGAAACGAACTAACGTAGCAGACTCAATAATAGGACGTCGAATACCTGTTTCCGTTATTACGCGATGGACATCAAATTCTAAAGTTATCAGTTTTATAAATAAGGAGTGGGATTCCTTAAAGCAAGTGTTTACTGAAATTATTAATGATCCAACCTCCGATCAAGCCTCGGTTAGACAGAGCGACGGATTTCTAAATAAATTCCATGACTTCGAATTCGTGCTTTTGGTTGTTGTTTTTAACGAGATCTTTGGAATGACAGATATACTATTCGACACACTGCAAAAAAAATCTTTTGATATAAACCTTTGCATTAAGCAAATTAAAAGTGTTCAAACACAATTAAACAAGAAGAGAAATGAAGAAACATTTAAGAATATTTTCGAATTGGCTGCATCAAAAACAAGTGTACAAACGGAACACCGCGACGGCAGGACAAGAGTAACATTGTCTCGGGATCAAATTATTGAAAGATATAGAGTGCTGTATTTTGAAATTTTGGATACCATTTCTCTGCAAATCACGACTCGTTTCCAAGATATGGAAAAGCTTCATTTTGTGACGTTAATGGACACTTCGAAGTTCAAAACATATTCAGAAAAATTTCCAACAGAAGCCCTAAGTAATTTGAAGGAGTTTTATTCAAATACATTCACAGATTTTCAGAGATTGAAAAATGAATTGCAGCTGATCTATAGCGATGATCAATATCAAAATATGGAACCCCGCTTATTAAAGGAATCGCTATTTGAGAATCGCAGTATCTTCAAGGAGGCATATAAGCTTTTGTGTTTAATACTGACCATTCCATCAACAAGTGTTTCGACAGAGCGCAGTTTTTCATGCCTTAAGCGAATCAAAAGTTATCTACGAAGTACCATGTCGGAAGATCGGTTGACGAACTTGGCAAAAATATCGATCGAAAAAGAATTATTAAATGAACTGATAGTGTCACAGCCGTTTTACGATGACGTTATAAATAAGTTTGCTAATTTGAAGGACCGACGAATTGCTCTCATATATAAACAATGAAAAGTGCCTGATAATCCTGACTATGTTTTCGAGTTACTGAATTTAGGTAAGTTATTTCATGTTTTTTTTTTGTGTATGCGCTCTACATGGTATGGGGGGGGTCGGTCAATCCTGCGTCACCTATTTGTAAAATCACGAGCCGCCACTGATTTCTTAACAGATCCATTCAAGTACCCGCAGTCGAGTAGTGCAAAAGCAATGATGTGTACTACGTTGTAGTATTTGAAGGTAAAGGAATACATTGAATTATGTCGATTATGCATAAAATACCTCGAAAGAAATGTCTAGCAAAAAGGCATCTTCGAAAAAAATGTGGCTAGGTAATTTTTGAAATGACCGATTCAATTTTCCTCATGATTCTTTAGGTGATGTTACCAAGCTTGCCAATACCTTCCGAAGCAGTACAAGTACAATTCAAAGATACGGCAGAACGCAGCACTTCGATTCACTTTGTATCAAATTCTAAGGGGGTGCCAAAAGTACTACCAAGCACTCCAAAAAGTTCAAAAAGTGCTAAAAGCACCGAAGAACCGAAAGCAAAACCGAAACATGTAGTGCAGATATGGCCGTTTATATTGTCCAAAGCTTTGATGAAAATAGCGAGCTTGACTTGGACTAGAGAGCATGAAATCCTTGATTTTGATATCGTGCAATGTTTGACAGGTTATCTATCTCATAAGGTAGGTCAACCACATTTTCATATTTAAATTATGTTGACTGACAACAGATTCATGGTCTACGCATCCGATTTATAAAAAAACGTCTTTCCTCAAGGCAAGGCTCCATTTTCGTCACCCAGTATTAAAAGCAAGTGAAACTCACTGCAGTTAGGTATTGTCTTTTTCACTAGTATCCATTACTACATAGAATAACAGCTGATTATCTATTAATATGTCAAAATTCCCCACATCGACAAATGATATAATTCGGACGAATCTGTCAACGCTAGGAAGACAGAGCTGTATTTTATTTTGGTTTTTTGCACGCTACATTCATTTTATATATGTGAATAACTCTTTTATTTAGAAAAGTTCATTTGTATACAAAAAACCCTATAAGCAAGTTTTACTAGATATACACCCGATTCATTATTGCCAACGTTACAGACTAATATGAATATGTCACTAGCTGATCAGCGGTTCTCCTCAGTAGGCGTCAAAGCGTGATGGATACTCCTGAAATAGGGTTTAAATCGGAACGATAATTTCGAATATAGGTATAAAAAACGTTAAAATGTATTAATGCTGATAGGAGACTTCATTGTCGGGACGCTAATGCAAACCACACATGATTCAATAACTGTGTAATTGTACGACGTTTCTGTCACCACGGCGGCCTTTTTCAAGTACAATGACAAAGAATGCCAGTATATTTTTCTTTATTACTGTGTTACGATAATAGCCTGGATGGTCCTGTACCATGTAGTGGTTTGCTAGACAATGGAGTCCTATAAACGCTAAAATGTCGCGTAAACCGTATTTAGAGTAAGAAATTGGACTTGTGGGGTGTCTCGTCGATCACAGCAAAAACTAATATGAATCTAGGCATCCGATTTACCCAAGTAATGGGTAATGATCGAGGATGTAGTTACGCAACATTTTTTGAAATTTTCACCATTATGCCTTCAGATTCAAAATTGCTCAAAGGCAAAATTTCTATTTTCGTAGTCCGGTATAGTAGGATAATTTGGTGTAATAATGCTTGTAAATGATTAACCTTTCTAGATATACACGAGTAAGTTCGATTTTAACGAATTATGGAAAATCTGTTGGGATCACAGCGAGCATTACGACTACATCGAAACCACCAAATCAGAGAAGGGTAAAAAATCACCTACAGATTCGAAGAAAAAAGAAGCTAAGATGAAAGACCAACCTGTTCCCGTCAAAGAAAAATCCGAGGTCAAAAAATTAGAATGTTACATGTTTGCATCATTCCTAGACAAAGCGTCCAAACAAAGCCACCTTTTTTTGATTGACATGACCAGAGATAAACCACTGATAAAGCCTTCGAGAATCGAAGATTTTCCACTGTGGAAAAGGTACAGGTGGATTGAATGGGCCGCTGATAAAGGTTAGTTAATAAGTTCAGAATATCCAGAACATTCAAAACACTAATTCACGGTATTTGCAGTTCTAGCCTTATGTGTTCACAGCGAATTCACGTATCTTTATATTATAGCCTAAATTAACGAACATATTAGGAGTAGTTCACCTCGCCGCGCAATTCGTCGCGATGCTTATTAAGGGCCGTATCGTCAGTCGTTTTTACAATAATTGTAGGACGCCTGTATGGCCCCCTTGATTTTCTCTCCTTCAGAAAGCTGAATTACAGGAACTTTCAGGCTGATAAAACAGATGATAAAATCAAAAGCAGTAGCAATTTGATGCAAATAGATATTTGTAACGTAACCTCAAAATAGAGCGCCTTTTTGAAGGACAGGAAAAACTATGAAAATCAAGGAGGTCACAAAGGCGTCCTACAATTGTAGGAACGACTGACGATACGGCCCTAAGGTCGACAACCGACTCAATTGTATGTTTTACTAACATTGAGATTTTATATGATCAACCAAGTGCAATTATAACGTAAAAGGGACAATGATGCCAAGGTCATGCACTGATATGGCATGCACAACTGCTCCACTATGTCCGTGCTCTGAGGTGAATGTCACACAAAAAGTTCAACTAATGAGAAAGAGTAGAAAAAAAAAATCATATTCAATTGACAAATTCACCCTCTGTTGGTTTACCAAAAAGGAAGGCATTGTACGGTTATTATTATGCCCCGGATCTCTAAGATTAAGGATTCCTCTAGTTATCAACTTCGTATCTAGATAAATCTACTTTTTAGTGAATATGTTATGCACAAATACCTGAAGATTACATTTTCAGACATTTCAACTTCTTGATCATAGAGGAGTCATGATCATATTTTCGAAGATTCATCGAATTAAGACAAGGATAATATAAAATTGAAGTATAGTTAAGGTTGGACATTATCAAACTTTCAACTAGGTTATTGACGGTTTTCGAAATGAATCTATTAGCATACAGTAGCCTTAGTTTGATGTATGTACTTTGTGAGAGATGACACATATTTATCAAATCTCGAGTCGAAGACCAAGATTTACTGCCAGTATTTATTAGGGATGCATCGAGTACAACTGTTTTCAAAACGACGAGTACCCGGTGAATTGAAATACTTTGATTATTTCAGCTATTATATACGCGTTAGTGCACTTATGGAATTTTCTGGCGTTTTTTAAAAATATTCAAGTATCATGTAACAGCTATAGCTTGACACCGAAACGAGGAGTATAAAAACACATCGTACGCCACTGGTAACGCGGGGTCCGCATGCACCGATTCAAAGGCACGGAGCGCTAGCAGTAGCGTATGATGTGTTAAAAGAATTGACATTACATTTGTAAAAGATTTATATTCAATACACTTTTCAATCTGTCATATTACAAGAAAAGCTCATTTGTAAGCTATTCAAAATATATATAATAGACATCTTAAGCCTAAATTTTTATTACAGGGTAGGCAATGCGAGGCCCCAAGCTGCTCAGATTTTGAAAAATTACTCAGTAGAATCTCTGCCATATCATGAACACTGAATTTATATCCTATAGGTTTTTTATCCTTAAGTATATAGTTAAGTTTTCTTTGCAGAAACGCGTTATTCACGTTACTTTTGCTACATCTTGTTTATTTTGTTTTGAACTTTTTGTTGTTTTTTGAGTGAGCATATGAAAAGATAACAAAGTAAATAGGGAATGCAAATAGGTAACGCTATAATGTGTTTTCTGTTGACACCGGCAAAAATGCGTTAAAACCTTGACTATTTCTTCGGTGGAGTGTTAATTTCTTAGTTAAAATATCAGAATCTGCACATCAGATATGCAATTCTGTGGCTTACATAAGTTGTGTTTCTGGCGTTCACACAGAGTAATTACCCGGCCGAGTAATTCAGTACTCGATTAAACTGTGCAAACATCAGCCGAGTACTGGGTACAAACCGACTACTCGGTACATCCCTAGTATTCATGATGGAATATATCATATTTATTGAACGTGTAGTCAGGACGTAGTATTTATTGATGTATACGATTCAATGGATTCATTGGCAATGTAGGATTCACCAGTAAATACTGATTGTATGAACGATAGTGCTGTGGCCTTAGTCTTATCGCCTCACCCGGGAAGGCTGTTACTATCATATACGTATAGGCCTCTTACTGCAAATATGCTCTACTACCAAAACCTTTGGTATATCTGAAAATGATCACTGCTTGGGAATGAAAAAAATCTGGTACCGTTTAACACTTCCAAAACTCAGTGCTGTGTACATCTGGTTTCGAGTTCTTAAAAGGAGTAATCCGTTTTGGCTGGTCAGAGTCTAGATCATCAAGGACTTGATTTGGCACGAGTATATATCGTCAATTGCGACAGTCACTGGGAAAAGTTGGACTATTTGTTTGGGGCTTAAAAGTACATTTCTCTACACAACCTCTTCGTTATGTACAATTCTCAGATAAGACCCAGCCTCAAGTACTAGCCACACATTTTTATGACCTCTCGGGCACTCCCGGGACCCTTTTCATACCAACAGGCGGTCCTCTACCGATATGCTAGCGGACATTGCTCCTCAGAGCTCTCCTGCATGCTGCTGCTGCCGCGCGATACCCCTACCAGACGGACCCGTTAGGCTTCTGCCTTCCACCCGGACTTCGTATATTCAGAACTGGTCGGTACGACAGCTCCTTTGTTACTAAGGTATTTTTAAGCTCCATATAGCAGGCGCAGTACATGGGTATTTATGTTCCTGCTTATGCTGTTGCATCAGCATAAAAAGCTTTCCGCGTTCTAACTAATAAGTGAGTGAGTTTAACCTTCTCCCCTTTAAGGCTTAATCGATCCGCTGGAGCCTCATTACCCTGTAAGATGTCTCAAAGTGGTAGATACATTCAAAGAAAAATATCTCGCACCACCATCTACGCCCGAAAAGGCTGTTGAAGAAATAGCAATTACAGCAGAAACAGTGTCTCCTAGCGAAGATGATGCGAAAAGTAGAGCAGACAGCCATAAGAGTGCTAAAAGTAGTAGTTCCAAAGGTAGCGTTTATTAAACATTTTTAATGCAGTTTCTCCCATATTCTGTGTTGGAGAAAAGGTGCTCAGCCCAGATCACAGCCTTTAGGCCCCAATGGATATACTATTTCTAATCCTAATTAAATCAAACTAAAAAATGTGGAATCCTATATAAATAGCTGAAACGGCAGAGCATAAAAATCCATAGGTTTTGCATAAAGTAAAAACTTTACAGTACTACATCACGATCAAGGCAGCAGTGAATAATAAAAACAATATTTCGATGGTTTATTACGTTTAAATGCCAGCCGATTGATGTTTTGATCAGTAGTGTGCTAAATGGGCATCGTAACGAGTATTTCAAATTTTGGCGCTCATGATCAATAACATTTTGGAGACCTTTAGAGTGAAATGCCTTCTAAGGAGAATAGATATCTAAATTTAAAAAATACTGAAATGTTAGATCCTATTAAAAAGTAGCCTATGGTAGAGTTCTGTTTTACATAAGATCAACTTGATTTTTTTATTGATTAAATTAGAAATAGTAAACCTCGGCATTTCGCTACTTCATTTCTAGGATAATTGAGGAATCATCTAGCAAATAAGCAACTAGTCAAGTCACTCAATATGTTTTTGAAGACTGTGACGGATAGTTTACATGACTATTTACATGTATAGAATGCAGAGGGGCTCTGGAACCAAAATTCTGGTTTCAGTAGCCCTTTTATCCAGCTAAACCAGTTTTTCGTTTATATTTTATGTTTCATTTCGAATTATGCAACATTTCAGTTTTAATGATATGCCTAAAACGGAGACCTTTAGCCGAAAACATTCTCTTTCAATTTCTCCTAAGCTATGAGCAATTTTGGAACGAAACTGACTTGATCTCACCTACTAGGCAAAAGCAAGAAAAAAGATGCTCAATTCCCAGATCCAACCTTCTGGATTGACCTAGAACAAGTCTTCGATAACTTGAACTACCTAATAATATACTTCAAACCGTCAACGGCTGCAGTACGCATTCGTGTCTCAGACATAACAGCTAACCATATAAGGAAAGACCTACGATTCCATTACTTTAACAACATCAGCGAATGTCTTGGTTTTGCATGGAAGGAAATCATCCAACCCAAGGTGATCAACTGTCACAGAAATGAGCCAGTGTATATTCTATGCGAGTCGACTAGTGATATTGAAATTGTGATGCATCTAAGTCAAACTGGGTAAGTAAATGGTACATTGTAAAAACAAGGCTCTAACAGTTGAATGAATATCTGCTTTGACAACCAGGCGGTAAGCAATGTACTAAGTGTTTGCAAGATAACGTAGAGACACGTCTTGCAGTGCTATGGTCTCTCTATTGCGGAAGATCAAGTACGAATCGACACTTTTCAATGATTTAAGGGAAGCACTGAGTACTAGGTTCATACTCGATCCATTTTACCGAGTACCCGGTTTCGACGAGTATTAAATTATATAAATATATAAAAAACCGATAAAATGTCAACTTAATGACTAAGTAGGCTAGTGTGCAAATGTAGTGCAAATAGTTCATGCCGCGCTTGCTACAAGTGAGCATGATGTGAACGACAGCTAGTTCCAAGTTGACGTCTTGCTGGAACTCTTACATAATGTCATAAAAAAACCTACAGAACGTCAAAAAAAAAAACACGACAATGTAAAAAACGACATAGTGTCACTTTTCAAATTACGTAATACCCCTGTCGGTCATAAAACCGCTCATTATTCTTTTGAATAACTAGGTATGTGGATGGAATGCCAGGAGAAGTGCTCCTCACTGAGTGGACAGCGCCCATTAAAGAATCTTCTAGCGAATGTGGCCCTTGCCTAGATACTCTGCTAGCCAGAGTAAAAGCATATAAGGAGAGACATAAATCAAAAGATGAGAAAACAGCCCAGCCTGAAGAACATGTGGAAAATGTTGCTGATCATTACAGGCCTTTCTGTAGTGTTGTCATGGGCGAGATGAAATGGTATATATATGTATATCTTAAAGTTATGACAGGGTTCCTCATGATGTAAAAAATGCAAAAGGATACTTGATCTTATTTCTTATTAATTCATACTTATTCCACCAAAATATACCCAATACAGTTGGAAGCCATGCCTGCACGAAAATGTACAGGATGTCCCAGAAGTTTTCGTCAAGCGGAAACGGGGGTTAGGCCAAGTCATAATAGTTATCGAAAAAATATAAAAAAGTCCAAGTCGAATACTTTTCAAATTACAGACTTTAGAAAAATCGGAAAAACCTACACCGTGTGATGATGTTTAGGTTCCCAAATTTCAATTTTTTCTTAGACTGAGTGACGGACAGTCATTCTACGTAGTGACAGCAAGACAGATATAAATGTAGTCACCGTTTTTGTATGAGGACCGGGATTCTAAATGCGAGAAACCCTTTGATCTGGCAGAGTTATTGAATGGCAAAATTTAGTTAGACTCATTTACCAAATTTAGAAGACGTGCCACTAAGCATGTACCGAGACATGTGGTACCAGCAAGATGGCTGCATATGCCCGTTTAGTTAGAGAATATCTTGATGCGGGATACCCGGTCTGCTACAATTTAGTGGTCAGACCGTACACCTGACTTGAGCGGCGAAAGAAAAAGGTTACTCAAAGCCAATCAAAAACTTATTTGAGGTACGGGACAGAATAACGGTAGCAGCTGAATTTGTTAATAACGGAAGATTCGTCAGTCTGATAGCCCGATCATTTTTAAGATGTCAAGCTGCATTGCTGCTTAAAAAAGACAGTTTACTATGCCAAGGACGCAAAAGCTTTGTAGTTTTTGAAAATTGGTCAATTTGCGGCAAAGAAAATGGCCTAAAACGAAAAATGTAAAAACCGCTCAAACTTCATTTTTTGGCATTTCAGAGGATCCTGATCATTTCTGGGAAAAAAATTTAGATGTAAAAAAACTTGGGAGTGGGAGTTGCAAGTGGGTCGGGAGGGTTTATCTAAATTTTTTGATGCTGGAACATTTATCCGCTCCCAATATTGGTAATTCTACGCAACCTATTAGACATATTTCACACATCATAGAATTCTCTGTACATTAGAAACATATTTTCGATGGACAGATACCTATCGGCCGAGGCTGCTGAAGGCATCGCGTAGTGCGCAACAGCATAGTGTTTTGTCTATGCTCTGACCGAGCTACCACGTTGCCACTCTACCCGAGTTAGGTAACGGGGAGAGGCGACGTTTCCTGACGCACTGGCGGTAGGGCAGGGAAAGAATGTGGATGGGCTAATTTTATGGACCTGTTTGACTGACTTTTTTCTTAGATGGTCTAGTTTGTGCTGAACATTTCTTTATGTACTGATAAGGGACTTGCGTGGGAAGTGCAGAGTCAACCTACTTGAACCAATTTTTTTTTAAATTATGTCCTTGTCAGCTGGAATAAACCACCCAATTCATTTCCCTTTACATTAAATATTGCTTTACATAATAATTTATCCACCTTGTTTCGAAATTCATAATTATGGAAATTTCACTTGATTTATGTGAGAAGTTCAAACAATATTGAATACCACCAGTATACAGGGTGTCCGCAAAGTTGGGGTTTTCCTTTTCAGAAACAACTATCCTTGAAATAACAAAGGTAATGTGTAGTGAAACGAGGGCGACCAAGTAAAAAAAAATAAAGGAAAAAGTACTCACTCTCCAGTTGAAGAGAAGGGTTAAGTACGTCTCTGCCCGAAATCATACCGATCCAACAGAAAATGAAATCAGCTGATGCGCTACCGAGCAGACGCGGAAACCACATCGATTGTCTTAATGGCACATCTTCTAACAAGGAAGGCAAAATGTTGCGTAAAAAGTCTAGGTATTGCATCCCGTCCAATCGATTTGAGAGAATAAATGGTCCAATGATCATACCGTTCACCATGCCAGCCCAAACATTCACCGAAAATGTTTGTTGAAAATGTGCCCGACGGACAGCGTGCGGATTTTCTACTGACCAAACATGAGTGTTGCGAAAGTTATTCACCCCATTACGCGTGAACGTAGATTCGTCTATCACCAATATGCACTTCAAAAAGTCCACTCACAGAACCGCACTCTTGCTGGAAAATCGTCAGGTTGAAGGGCTTGTACACGTTGGACGTGAAACGGATACAGCCCCTCTTCACGCAGCGTTTGCCACACTTTAGTTTTTGATACTTGCACTTCTCTAGCCACGTCTCTAGTGCTTGTTGAGGGATTCTCGTCTACGCGATTACCTCTACACGGGTGACCGTAACCGTCGGTTGAAGGTTGCATACTGACCTGACACACTGACCCCGACCCAGTGCTGTCGTCGGGTTGAGCCAGTGACCTTGTACCAGTCGGTGATGTCGCGGCTACAGGACGGTATTAAGATATTTTTGATGTTGCAGAGCCCTTTATCTCGGTTCCCTCAAGACATTGGTGTATATGGTACTCAGAAAAATTGTTTCTGTTTTCAAGATCTACACGTCGTTTAAAGGAAAACCAACCAACTTTGCGGACACCCTGTATAACATCACAATATAATCTTAAATTTGGCCTCTTCCTACCCCCTAATGTGTCCGTGTATGGCAGTAGTTGTCCCATCTTGCCAACACTGTAAAATCAGTCATGCGCAATTACTTTAGCCTCCATTCTTCATAAAATGTTTAGCATCGTGATGGGGCACGCCGATTTATCATTTGAACTAGCCGTAACAGCAATTCTAGTTTTGAAAATGTCATAAAATATTTATGGTTACAACATAATTTTTGAGGTTTTCATATAGATCAATATTTTAATTTCAGACCTGTGCGTTATTAATGTTCACTTTTTAATGGTTTTCCTCAAAAGAGAATTTCAACGTTGTAAGTAATCTTCTAAGTGATAAAGAATGACTGATGAAAAAGATTTAAATTGTCATCCAATATTCTTTGTGGTTGCGCGTCTACAAAATAAGCATACAGACCGTGACACCGCCAACGAGTTACATTCACAGTTATCGCCAGTGCTTCATCCTGAGCGAAAACCAAACTGAATGTCAATGAGAATATTTTTTGCTTGTAAATTTTAAGCCAGTATCTACGTAGCAACATGCCACAAGAGGGTTTTGATTTCAGCTTCCTACCTATTAATATGTAGAATCAATTCATTGTAGCATCATTCGTTCTAATTTCATCTCTATACTCCTTTTTAGGAATGCTTTTTATGATCTGCTTAAACGTATTTGTTAACACACAGCAAATACAGCATACGGTTGGGCGTCTTGTTAATACTTGCGCGTAGTGTAGCTTTAGAAATAGGATGGAATATTATGTTCATAGAACTTTAAGCTATTTTTAAACGGTATACTCGAAAATACAGAATCAGAGAGTTTTATTTGTTATAGGTACGTGGAAAATCAAGACAACTATTCAAAATACATTACAACCTATGGCTCCAGATCAACAGTTCTCTATAGGAAGCCAGGGAGGTATCTATTCAGATTATGGATACTAACAGAATCACCTTATGTACTACAAATTCTATCGAACAATGCTGTGATTGCAGGAAGCTGGCAAGAAATTATTCTACTAATGTCAGAAGAAGCGATGGTATTTTTAGAAAACTGCGAAGAATACGTAACTCGATTTGACAACCTTCTCCGATCTTTTGGCAAGCCAGAATTTAGCAACCAATTGCTAGCACTAAGAACTTTTTACAAGCCTGATGCTCCGTTGGAGAAAAATGAATGTGACACAATACACAATCAATTTTTTCTCGAGTTGTACGATTTAGCCTTGTCTCGTGTAACCATACAAAATGCAGACTATCTAAAAATACTTTTTTTAGCATGGGCATTTCCCTCACGTAGTAGAGACACTGAAGAATCTTTACAATTTTGTTACAATCTTTTTGAAGAAGAAAAGGAATTATTACCAATTATGCAACGCTCATCTCAATTGATTCAAGCATTTTTCTTGAAGATTTACAATAGATCAAATTACAAAAAGTTGTATCCTAACAGCAAACAACATAAGAAGGTGCTTGATGGGTTGAAACAGGTATACCATGCTTTATTTTCTAAAGAGAATATGATTCTCAATGCCACAAATTTGTACAGAAGTGTTTTATACAGCGAACCAATGGAGAAAGTCCATCGAAAATATAGCTTCTATGAGGATCTTTGGAATGTAGTTACTTTGCATTGGTTTCCAGATATTTTCAGACCTGCAGAGAAAGAATGGAGTCTAATTTGCAGACAAACTTTTTTCATACGAAATCGCTCCTTGGATGTCAGGATAAACCTGTTTGTAGATATAGATAAGTACACCGCAAGAATCATAAACAATGACGATCCTAAAGACAGCAAATTCTATTCAAACAGAATTGCAGTCAACTGTTACACTCATAATATAAATGGGTACACTTTGCTTTGCTATGGCTGGTCAACTGTACCTAAGGTAGCAAACTACAAGTTATGCTTCATGGTGAGGAAAGAGCCAAGCGACAATATATATTTTGACACAATTCCAAATCAAATATATGTACTTAAAGCGAATTACATCCCAAACGCGTACGATTGTATATTTAGATATATTTTAAAAAAAACATCGGATCAAATCCTGCTCACTGTCAGAATATCAGCTTCATATAGTGAGGTCCGGCTAAAACTAGTCTTAAAAGACGATGAAGAAAAAACGATTGCGGAATCAACTGGAATACAGAACGTAGTGATACCTCTTGCATTGTTAGGCAGTACTGAACAACGTTCCTCAAAAACTTCTGCGAAGAAACGCGTGACCTCTAGAAGAAAAACAATGAGTAGTACCGACACAGAAATAAAATCTACATCACTATTCGCTGTTGATCAGACAAATGAATATTACATTGAAGCTTATGTTTTACATGATTCTTGGCCTTTGACCGAAAACGAATGGAAAGTAGTAAGGAATTTGAGGTCTCAAATGCTACTCAGACCTCCAGAACTTGAATCCACTGATGTACGGATGATACAAAATCCACTGTGGTCCTTAGAAATAATTTACAACAGGACAGCTACAATACAAAAAGATACAACAAGGGATGAGCAAATCAGAGACATGAAAGCAGAATGGTATGAGATGGATCCTGATAGGTACGACTTATCACAAGAATTCAGAGATAAATATTTGGAAAAACACGTTGAGCCTAATCTAAATATAACTGAGTTGCATTTTAATGAAAGATACCTAGCTCCAGAAGTATTTGACAAAGCAATACTACCTCCATATGACATCACTCGATTTATGAAAGATACCTACGATGAAGGAGATATGGTATATAATGACAGTGGATATAGAGGAGAGGGGTCCTTTGATGAGGAAGATGTACAAGAGTATTTTGGAATAAGGCAGCAAGATATTTTTTTTTATGGAGAAACTAACGGAGAAAAAACAGATTATGAAGGACAAGGAATGCATTTTGAAACCGAAACAGAAGGTAGCTTACCGTTTGAGAAAGCAAAAACTGTGAAAATGAAGATAGTAAAAACGCCAGAAGTTCTAGAAATGGACTATCAAAGAGAGTTGAATTGCATGGAACATCACGAGCAATATTTTGTAGAAATGCAAGAAGCAATGGAAGACCACATAGACAAGCACTTTGAGAGGTTGCACAATATTGGACAATGGTTCCAAGATTGTAAGACAGAGTCAGTTGAAACTATGCAGGAAGGATATAGCCTTAGAAAGCAATATATTAATAATATTTTGGAAGCTCTAAGTAAAAAGAACGATGAAGGCGGAAAAAATAAAAGTAAAAAGGGGAAGGAAAAGTAAAAGTATTTTTCATATTTATGTTATTGTGTATGTTAAACAGAATATATATTTGAAATTTGTTCATTCATTTATTATACTAGGAAGACCTGTTGGCAACAATAAATCCACATGGGACACACTGGCATTTAGGCTCTCAAGCTAATAACCTCTACTAATCTATTCTAGGAAGCCACAAATTATAAGGATTTCCATGAGAAGAGAGCATATTTTTATCGCTTATAGCTTGAGTTAGGCTCAATTTAGCAAAATTAATTAGTTACATCACTTGGGAGATGACTTGACACCACCTGTTAGATATAGAGGGAGCTGAAATTCATTGTCAAAATGTTGTAATTTAAATCACTTACCAGTACTACCGCCAGCAACAACGCTTTCTATTGTTGCCATAATTCCAGCTTCTTTATCTTGAATGGTAGGCAATTTTTTCCGTTTCTTCCTGGTACCCTGTTCCATGGCCAGAGACTTCATTAAGCTGTGGCCTAGCTCGCTCAAACAGATTCCATCCATGTAGTAGTTTGCGTGTCGATTTGCCTGAAAAAAAATCTAACTAGTACAAAAATATACAACAAATTTATAATACGCAGTAAAAAATCATAAAAAGTCGAAAGTGAAAATGTTATGATAGGTTTGTTATTAGGTGTTTACTACAGCTGATACACATAAAGTTAAATCATATGACAAAAGGAAAAAACTAATGTCTATAGAGGGCTCGTCACGTGAACTCACAAGCAATGACGTAAACTCAAGATTCATAGACCCCGTTTACGCAACAAAACGTATGTATTTAGAAATATACTATTTTGAACACAGGTACGCATTCTTCTGCCTTGCCTACTGATAGCTCATGAGATCAATTAAAAAAAACAAAAAAAAAACGATCTGAACCTTCATTATCACCTCTGGGCTTTTTGTTGGGGTTGGTGGTTTTGGGGCCACAGGCGCAGGAATCAAATGTGGAGGGGGTACATCCCTAGGTCGACATAACAAGCAGTTGTACCCTTCTTCCGCACATTTCTCTGCATCATCTTCCGTTTTGATGAAATCACAAGAACCGTGTAACCATCTGAAATCAACAAACACTATGTCACTAAAGCCCTACTTTGCGAAACAAAATTGGAACCACATCAGTAAAATGTATGAAATAAATATAATAAGTCTCTTTTCTATGATCAGTTCTCCAGGTAGATAGTAGAAAATTGAAAACGAAATATTATTTTACAATGGTACTAGAAGTCTTATACGGATTCTAAGACAGACCCATCTTCATCTAACTCACAAAAATGGAATTACGGATGACGCATTAAAAACATTCCAAATGCTGGTGAAGTTTCTTACATGTCACGAAATAAAAAAAGCATTTGAAATCCAATATCAATAAGAAAAACCTGAAGATAAACAATATTATCCACGTGTTAATTTTCGAGAAAACCATTTCGACAGAATGTTTACTTTTTTCTACGAATCAGAAGTTACAAAGCTTTCCCTTCCAAGATCAAACTTAAAATTTCGTGCCACAGCCGTGACGTAATGAATTATTCCACGAACTGTCCTTGTAATGTTTGTTAAAATTATGTTTTAGATTATTTGAAATTAGGTACGCGATTAAATTTTGTCACAGTAGAAGCCTTGGACTGGAATGTTTTGAATTTGCTTACGCACGCAACAAAGGGCTTCATTGCAATTCTGCTTTAAATAGGTCCTCTTTGAATATATAAATTTCAAATACGATTTTTTAGATGCTTAGGTTTCTGCCTTCGCGCCTGTAGTAAAAGAAAAAACGAGCGAAAAAACAAAGATTAATTATATCATTAAAAAATATATGTCAACAATCTATTCAGCTACTATTAAAGCATTATTGCCTGAGTAGATAATATCTCAAACTAATATTACTACTACTACTCTAATAATGTTCTCAAGAAACGAAGCATCGCATACCCAGTTTGTACCCGGTACTCGGCATGCACGGTCAATTTTACCGAGTACCGAGTATTCAATTACTCGATCGGTAAGTTTTAAATCAAAGAATTGCAGATGTGATGTGCAAAGTCTTAGTTCATATGTCTTTCTCAGATCTTCCTTATATGTCTTCCAAGAAATTGATATTCCGCAAAAAATAGCCAAGTATACAGCATTTTTTTGCCGGAATCAATCACAGGGTGTCCCAATATTCCTTGGACAAAGCAGTATCACGTATTTTTTTTTTAATCAAATCAAGTCAGTTGGACATGATTTACCTATATGCAAAAGAGCTTCGTTTGTCCGTTAGATGACGACGAAGTATTCTTTTTAAAACCCATTTTTGAAGATATTTTAAGAACGGATCGTCCGATTTGAATGAAATGTAGATACATGTTTTACTAGACGTTCTAATATTTGACTGTTACGAAAAACTCTAAAGGGCTGAAGTACGGTGGAACCACTCCTACATAAACTATACTAGAATTTTTTCGCAACTCTCCCAACGACTCTGAATTTTTTTATTTAAAGGATACTTTCATTTACTTCATTTGTTGGCTCTTATAAATATAGTTTTCGAGAAAAAATGCTTGTGAACCCTTGTTGAAATTATTTTTTATTCTCACAAACTATCCGGGATGGCCTGTTTTTCTGGGAGTCAAAAAATGAAGAAAATAAAGTGATCTGCTGAATAAAAAAATCTTGGCCAACGGGAAAGTTGCCAAAAGATTCGGCTATCATCTATGTAAGTGTAGGGGTAGTTTTCACCCTCTCCGAACCCATTTGAGTTTTTCTTAAAGAACAAATATTAGGACGTCCAGCAAAACATACAGTAACAGACAAAAGTTTGGAAGCAAATATTAACATAATTATGTGTATTTCATATATTTGCATATTTCATATGCCTAAATCAAAATTGTAAAGGAACAGATAATATAAATGTTCAATTCTACCTTTGACTCCCGTACTAATACAAGGTTTATCTTATCAATATTCAAATTATCTGAAAATTAAAACATGCGTTTTTTTAAGTACAGTTTTTGTAACGACAAAAGTATGGAAAATTTCCAGTTTTGCCGTATTTATTCATTCTGCGATACTCTAATATTGCGTGCGGTAAATATTAAGATCAGTGAGAATGGCAAAAGTACTCGTAAAAGAATTTTCAAAAGATTTAAGAGGCAAAGGAATTGAATTATTTAGAAGTGGTGTCAGAAGTGATCACATTTCTCAAAGATTAAAAATGAACACAGGGACGATTTCAAAAATTATTAGTAAATATCAAGAATACGGATCAACAGCAGCGCGGCCCAGGTGCGGAGGACCGAAAAAACCGATTATGTTTTGGATCGCAACATTAAACGTTTGTCCCATGAAGATCCCCGAATGCCAGCCACACAGATTTTCAAAAGAATCGTAGAGAGGGTGCCGAGAATCTTTCTGTCAAAACAGAGCAGTGACGCTTGGTGGATTTTGGGCTTTTTGATAGGCGTCCAGTGCAAAAGCTTCTCATTTAAAAAATATCGTATTGAAAGGCTTGAATCAGCTAAAACTCTTATAACTCAGACAGAACAACAATGGAATACAGTTTGGATCTGACGGTACGGCATATGTCTGACGTCCAATACGAAAAAGATTCGACAAAAAGTATCAGTTGCCAACAGTTAAGCAAGGTGGCATCACGGTTTGGGGCTGTTTTTTTAGTTCTGAGACGGGTCTAATTGTTAAAATTGTTGGGAAAATGGATCAAAAACTTTACAAAGATATTCTTAGTGAACACATGTTCCCTTTTGGTGAAGAAGAAATGCCTTTACGATGGATATTCCAGGAAGATAATGACCCAAAGCATACCTGAAAATTCGTAAAAGACTGGTTAAGACTAAAAATGTTACTGTTCTTACATGACCTTCGCAATCCCCGGACCTAAACCCTATAGAACATCTCAGAAAGCACGTTAAAAGTCCACTGACAAGAAAAACTTCTTAGAATAGGAACGATTTGTTTGATTATGTAAAAATATTTGGCAAAATATCCCAACAGATGTCTGTAAAAAATTGGTGACTTCTATGAGCAGCAGATGTCAGGCAGTGTTTAATGCTAAAGGCTATGCTACCAAATATTAGCTAAACAGTATTTTTTAAATCTTTTTGTTGTTATTGTATTTAATTTTGTAATAAAAAAAATGTTTCCATACTTTTGTCGTCTCACTTTTGGTCATAAAATAATATGAAAGTATTTTAATGCTAGTCTGTAGTACCAAACACAAATTTTCATTTGTATCCTCAAGACTGTAAGCAAACTATATGAAAAAAAATAGTTAATAATATATAATGAAAAATAAGCGCACTTTTAAAAATTACTAAGAATGTTTCCAAACTGTTGTCCGCTACTGTTTGTGTTCCAAATTTCATTTAAATTGGACTATCAGTTATTGAAATATCTTTAAAAAAATGCTCTCTAACGGACCAACACTTTTGCATAGAGGTAAAGCATGTCCAATCGACTTATTTTGAGTTTAAAAATACGTGGAACTATGTCCACGGCATATTGTGTCACCCTGTATACCTAAAATCTTAGAAATGTGATTCTTTTGTAATAAGGGACACTGAAAAGTATATCATAACAGTTGTTCCAAAAATTCAATGCCAAAATATGGTTTCAATTTTAGCTCAATATTGTAGCTGTTGAATTCCATATGACTTCCATATGTTACAATACATATATTCAAAAAACAAAACTTCTGAAAGTACCGAAAAAACACCAAGCTGCGATGGTTTACTCAAAAACAAATGACTAAGCTTCACAACTGTCGTACAATTTTGAGAACAAAAAAACAGAAGGTCAAGTAGCCCTTACCAAATCACATCACCGAGCACTTGGCCGAGTACCCAGTACTTGGCCTTTTGAAAAAGTAGTAATTGGTGAAACCCCATGACTAAGGGTCGTATGGTCAGTCGTTCTTGCAATTACGGCCTCCTTGATTTTGATAGTTTTCTACTGTTCCGTGTCACTGCTCTATTTTGAACTGATATTACAAATATCTATTTGCATTAAATTGTTCATACTTTTCATTTATAACATCCGTTAGTTTCCTACAATTCGAAAAGAAAACATAGTCTCACGACTGGAGAGCAGTAACACCGACACGGAACAGTAGAAATCTATAAGTACTCCAGCCTCTCTGAACGTGAGAAAAGACTAAGAGAATCAAGGTCATAAAGGCGTCCTACAATTGTAGGAATGACTGACTATACGGCCGTATGTACTGTTTTTTCTCTCGTGTTTTTTTTTCACATTTAGCATAATCCGGTTTAGGATGCAAAAACCTAAAAGTAAGGATAAAAAATCACTCGCCTCTCACACTGCACACACTGTATGATCAAATCCCCCTCCGAATAGGGCTCACTGCAACTGGCACAGTTGACGTGCGACGCGCACGGTCCGCACTCGGTCCAGTTGTTCATCCACGTGCAGTTGAAACCTGGATCGGTGGCTCCGCAGACCTGGCACTGCGCGCACCATTTGCATTTCCAGTTGCCATGGGGTACATAGTCCAACGGAGGCTCCATGCAGTAGATATGGTAGGAGACGTCGCAGTCATCGCAGAGTATAAGGCGGGACTCGTCGTTGCGCTGGCCGCAACCTTCGCAGACGGTGCAGTCCAAGCACCTGGAATAAAAAAAAATAGTCGAGTACACTCCGGTCCAGAATAAACCCAACAAATTTTTGTTACGTTATACATTTTTTCACTTTTTGCTCGATTTTATAGGTTTTTTTCGGCAGGCAGTAGATACACTCATTGACATTAAAGTGTAGATATGGGTTCTTGATTGTAGCCACGGTTTGACCTGTTGTACATGGTAAATCAAAATGATATTTAATTACTCCCGAGTCCCTTTGTGGTGTGAACAAAGGTCCCAATCAGGTCGTTTCATTATCAAGAACGACATTTTCTCCATAACATGTTTTTCATTTACGGCAATATATACAGTGGTTGAAGTTTTAAGAGGCAAACGGTCATTTTACTCCCAATTTCTTTTCTTCCTTTCATTTCACGCTCTACCCTTTTGAAATAGTGTCAGGGTAATAACCATATCTCCCTTATCCTCCAATTTTGTGTACTGTATTTTAACCAACAAAAGGTGTCTCCCCAATCGGTGCAGCAGCTGGAAAAAAACCTGAGATATTCTTATGTGCCTTTTCATCTTGAAACATCTTTCTCACTCAGCCCCAGGTGAGGTTCGGCGTGCAGTATCTGAGATGTTATCGCTCTGTCTACACAGTCCATACTCAACGCTAGACAGCCCTCGACTGAATAAATTTGGTCCCACGATATTTCACGATCTTATTCGAATCCAGCGCATCAAATTACTTTTGTGATTCCCAGCTTCATTCCCTTGTAGCAACCGGAGATGAAAGTAGGCATTTTGCCTGTAAAGTCTTATATTTTGAAGTTTCTTATGAGGAAATCAAAAACTCCTGTTTATCTGTGATCTAGGTAAAGACTCGTTCCTTGGAAAGTGGCAGTGAAAGTTAATAATAATTTACTCACAAAATTTGTAAGTAGTGGTAGTAGTAGTTAGTAGTGGTGGGGAAATAAGCCACTTTTCACTCTTTTTGCCGACTCCATACTACAAACACTGTACTACTCCACATCCTATCTACTGTTTACTGATTATTGAATCAACCAGCTCCAGCAATGCGATGCACCTATGTTGATCTTGTACTGATCTGGTGCGTAATATATAGATAAACATATCCATGGCACGAAATTAACATCCGAGGCGGAGATTCAAACCTGCGAGTCCATGGCGTAGATTGTCGCTAAGTCATAGTTCTCACAGGGCGTTCCAAGCGTTCAACATTCCACCTCAAACCTGGCTTACGATTTTCTGACAGCTATTATCCAAGCTATATTCGTGAAATTATTGAAACGAATCCTATATTTTGAAGTTTCTGTTCGCAATCTTTCAGTAGTTCCTTCAATCTGAATGAAAACTTGTAGGGTAAATCGGTTGCGTAGATCCGATACCGACATCAATATGAAATTAGCGCTCACTTTTACTGCAAATTGGATGCCGCGCCACTCCGCTTTTATACACTCAGTGTACATCAAATGATAACGGATCAGATACTAGGAATGAAAAACTGGAATCACTTCACTATATACATACCTCCAACCCTTCTGCAAGATGACCTTAGTAACTTTAACATTAACACAATAAGGATGATAGCACTGTCCGCATTGCACACAACTGATCAAGCAGCCTTCTTGGTCCGTTCCCAAAGCACCACACATCACGCATATGTCTTGGGTAAGTATGAACTTATCCTTAGCTGAACACAAAACCAATCTGAAAATGATAAATAATGATTGAAGAAATCTTCAACAAACCAAGCCATCCTATACAGGTATCATAATTCTAACATCATGGGGAACTTAAACAGTAACTCTGGCTTGAAATTAGCTGTTTAGCTTGCTTAAAATTAGTGTCGTACGGTATACGAGGTGTGTTCAGAATTTTTAAATTTCGCGGGTTTGGAGTATGATTGCCAATTTTTTTTATTATGTTGGTATACATGGCCCTGAAGTATTCATTATTCATTGTTTACTTTGTCTGTGGCAACCGCTGAGGTGAGATGTGTTTTCATAAGCTCGGCGATTTTCTTTTGTTAAAAGGAATGGACAAAAGAATTTGTATCAATTCTGCGTAAAAAATGAAATAAAGTGTAACAAAATGTATGAAATGATTACAAAAGTCTACGGTGAGTCTGCAATAAGTAAAACAAGAGTTTATGAGCGGTATAAGCTTTTTCGAGATAGTAGTGAAGAGGTTGAAGATAACGACCCAGCTTATCAACAACCAACGAAAACGTGGAAAAAGTGAAATGATCGATAGCCGAAACACATTCAAAGAGGTCGGTGATGATGTTGGCATATCAATTGGCTCATGCCACGAAATTTTTTGCGTGGCAGCAAAATTTGAATTTCAAACAAAAACAGTGGCGAAATGAAAACGTATTAAAATAGATGACCAAACATAGGTTTACAGATATAACCTCCAAACTAAGGCTCAATCGTCCCAGTGGAGGCATCCTGGCTCGCCAAGACCGAAAAAGGTTCGACAAGTGCGGTCAAACGTGAAGTTTATATACTCTGTTCTTCGATTTTAATGGCATAGTGCATCATGAATTCTTGGCATGAGGTCAAACGGTCAATAAGGAGTACAACCTACAAGTTCAACTCAATTTGCGTACAGAAATTGGAAAAAAAACGCCCGGATTTGTGGAAAAACGATTAATAGCTTTTGCACCGCGATGATTTTTTTGACAAAAACAAAACTGTAATGATACCCCAGCCTCTATATTCGTCAGATAAGGCTTCGTGTAACTTTTTACTCTTTTCAAAAATAAAGAGAACCTTAAAGGGCTGTCATTCTATACGCACAGATGGCATAAAAAGCCCAACATTGAAAGAGCTAAATGCTATCTCAAAGAAGTTGAAAAGTGTCTCGAAGATTGGGAGAGGTGCTGGCACAAGTGCATATCTAATGGAGACATTAATGTAGACGAATATATGAGTATGTCAAAAAAAAGAAAACTCTCATTATCTTCTGAGCACACCTCGTAGATAGTGTTTGAATTAACAATTTATGACAGACACGTTGAAGTTCTATTGAAGCCAGGGGGGTGTAAGCAGTATACATGACTGTACCCTGCTTTGAGCACCATCTGAAAAAGTGATTCCAACTAACTAAAAATGTATAGTGGTATCACTGCTTGAAATATCAACAGCACATTGTTAATTTTAAAGGACATTAAGAGAGTATTATCTGTAGTGTAGCATTAATTTGTGATAGAAGCTCACCTATTTTCAACACCTGGTTCCTCATCGTTCTTCCCATCAGACACTGGTTTTTGTAATCCTACACCAGGTACCCCAAACACCCCTCTCATTTTAGCCTTTGGCCCCCTTTTGCGTCCAAACTCTGTCAGTCGCGCCCTTTTGATGAAGCCCATCTTACCACCTAGCCCCTTACCATTTCCTACAAAAAAAAAATTATCTACTAAAAGTCAGATCATCCTGAGGTTAGATTTTACCACTAGTCACGTGGTATCAAAATTTCTAAGACTACAGATTTAAAGACATGACTCAAATATTAGCATTCAAGGATTTAATGAGCAAGAAACCTATGGTTCAAGGAATAGCGATTGAACGATCGATTCAAAAATCACAGTTCAAGGATGTTTATGTGTTGCTACCTTTTGACCTTCCAGGTATACCAGTCGGAAATCCTAGCCTTTTCTTAGCAATTTTGGTGGCGCTGTACGGTTTTCCTTTCCCTAATCCAATACTTCTGGCGAAATCATCGGGAGATGGTAGATCAAATTCGGATATGTCGTCATACAAAGATTCCTGAGATGCTGAAAGGTCACTTGGGTCATCCGTACCTAAAAGAAAAATTATAGAATTTTGTGCAAGCCGATTTTCAAGATATCTCGGAAAACAAAACAAAATAATCATGTAGGATAACTTGCATTCAGGGGATGTTACTTACTTGATCTTTTTGATACCAAAGCTCTTCCTGTTTGATTCTGATTTTTACAATGTGTACAAACATATTCATAGTCTGGGTTCAAGTCTCTCCTTTGGTGATAGACAGTTAAATCTGCGTCTGGATCACAAGTACCATGTACAAATCTAAAAAAAAATACTGTCAATAAACAGTGTTTTTCAGAAAGATCCCCCTGCTAAGTTTTTGAAGGGGTAAAGCTAACAAGCTTAATAATGATAATGAAATTGATGCATGAATACTATATTTTGGCGTAAAAGTAACAGTTAAATATCTAAAGATCGCGTCTAGGAGTTCATATGATACATCATTTTGATGATCCTTGTCACATTACATTTAAAAATGGCGGCTGTCAAAGTTCAGTGTTTATGTACATTCCATCAATTGCAACTAAAAAACAAATCATCAAAACGTCATAGCAGGTTATATCGATCTTCCTCTTTTTGAAGGATCTATCTAAAAATTATGTAATAAAATTAGTTAAAAAATGGCGTAGAGTAGGTTGACTCTGCACTTCCCACACAACGCCGTCATCAGCTCATAAAGGAAAAAAGTTAGTTACGATCATGTATAACAGAGAAATCAAACGGATTAAATCAGTAATTTTTTTCCTAGCCCTGCCGGTAGTCCATTTAGCAACGTCGTCTCGCCCCGATACCTAAGCCCGGTCAGACGCGGCAGCACGGTAGTAATACCAGAACACTTACCAAGATTCGCAAGCCGCCGGGAGTAGAAGCAGATGCGCATGGAAGGCACTTCTGTTAGTCCGTTTAAGGGCAAAATCTATTATGTGTAAAATATGTCTAATAGATGCCTAGGGGTTGGGAGGATATAAATACATTAACATCAGAAAATTGAGATATACCATTCCTCACGCCTTACAACCACCCACTCCCAAAGTCTTTACCCCTTTTTTTTTCAAGAATGATCAGGATCCGCCTAAATGTCAAAAAACGAAATTTGAGTAGTTTTTATATTTGCTTTTGACCTTTTTCTCCGCCGCCACTGGACCGATTATCAAAAGCCACAAAGCTTTTTTTTTGGCATAGTATTTTCCAAGTTGATGATATACAACATTCAAAAAACGTTATTTCGAAATTTTTATAACATTTTTAAACAGACTGTCCGATCTTTTTTTACATAATCGGATAGATCCTTCGAAAAGAAGAAGATTGATGCAACATACTATAACGTTTTGAGGATTGCTTGTTGAATTATACGCCATTCAATATACAAATACGCATGTCAGAACGCCGCTTTGTGTTTTTATATTCTATTATTACTCACAGGACTTCGAAATGAGGTACAACCCCTTCGTTAGATTTAAAAAAAATGTTTCAAAAGGGCGCTCAGCCGCCATCTTGAAATTTTCATTTGGCACTTTTAGTATAAGTGTGTTTGAAGGGTGAATAGCCAACCGGAAATGGCGGATGGCTGAGGCTATAGTCTATTTACAACGCCTAATTGATCTACATTTTGCCACAGTTTTTAAATATGTTTCAATATTTTTTCTATTTACGGTCGCAACGGCGCAAAATTGATTTTATTCTTAAATCAACTGTTACTTTATTCAGATTCAACCAATATTTAATACAAACATTTAAAGAATAAGTAACAATGGAGCAACAAAGTTCCTTAAATCAATGGAAAAAAGTGTTACGAATATTGACGGCTAATATGGAATCCATGTTATGTTACAACTTGTGGCTCTAATGGAGCAGCTTCAACGGGAATTTCTGAAATTTCTTTCATTCAAAATTGACGGTACGTACCCACCTATTGGGATCCCATAGAATACCTTTTTTTTTATACTCCAACTACCACGGAGGCCTAAAGCCTAAACGCCCATTGGGTACCGTGGGGCTATAGGGGGATACAGGGGAAAGGGGGAACGCCACACGGACTCTGGCGAGGGAACAGGTGTGCATGCAACATGCACACATTCTGGCTCCGCCTACGAGATCCGCCGGGTGGTACCTCCACGTTCGACAGTCAGAGACCGTCTACCACCTACGGACAATCACAACATCCATAGCCAAGAGAAAAATTTCTCCTGGGACGGGACTCGAACCCGCACAGCGCACGGCGACTGATCAGGAGACCGAAGAGTCTACTACTGCGGCCACCGCTGCTGCCTAACGTAAGCACAAGTTTACCAGTCTTGATAACAGAAGAAATATTCACTTGCTAATATTCCTGCATAAAGTAGTGTATAGCAGTTACGATTGTCCATCATTTCTAGCGCACTTTTTACCTACCTACCCCACGAACTAACTTACTGTTGCACTCACCCGGTAATTGGTTAACGCTGTTGGTGGTGGATTTCAATAAATAAATAAATAAATTTACAATAAGCAAGAAAAAATAAGACAAAAGAGTACGGGGTTTTCAAATGTAATAAAAAACTTCTCCAGTTAACAATCTTTCTAACGGCATGCCACATGTAACATGAATAATAAGAAAACTCAACAAAAAATCTATGATATAATGAATCAACATTCTCACTGGAGGGTATTGTAAATCTTCATAATTTCCATTTTTGGGCCCCAAAAGATGAACACCCAAAAATGAATCGAGCAATGTCTTTTTAACGGACATTTCCGGTAAACGTTTGGGCAGTTGTAATTGGTCCACATTATTTACTGGACAAGGTGAATGGGCAAAATTATCTATTTTTTTTTTTAGCAAATGATCTGGCCGAACTCATGAACGGAGTTCCAAATTTGGACAATGAAGAACCAGTGACATTCCAACACGATGGCTGTCAGCTGTGTTAGAATGAGACAGAATTTTGTACCTGCTCAATTAGGTAATTGGAATGATTTGGCTGCATCCACCATCATGAATCGTTAAAGATAAATTTATTTGTTGCTGAGTGATCTAATTACTTATGTTACATGTGACATTCCGTTAGAAAGATTGTTTTTAATTACGTTTGAAAACCCCGTACTCTTTTATGTTATTTTTTTGTTTATTGTTGAGGTAACATTTTTTTCCACTGATTTAAGGAAGTTTGTTGCTCCACTGTTACTGGTTCCTCAACTGATTGTATCAAATGTTCGTTGAATCTGAATGAAGTAACAGTAGACTTGAGAATAAAATGAAATTTGCGCCGTTGCGACCGTAAATAGAAACACTATTGAAACTTAAATTTAAAACTGGATGTAAATTAATTAGGCGTTGTAAATAGCCAATAGCCTCAGCCATCCGTCATTTCCGCTTGAGCACTCACCTTCTAAATACCCTGTAGAGCATCAATCAATGTTATTGCCCCGAATTTCAGCTTCCTAGCCTAACCTGTTCAAAAAATAAGTAGGTAGGGAAAATCATTGTAGAATCCGTGATGTGCTCACAAAAATAATCTACATAATCGACATGCAAAGACATTGCTTGAAAACAAGACGAACACAGTGGAATATGTTCGTGTTACTTTTCTCGGGTCAAAAATATATATTATGTATTTTAGAAATGAAAACTGTTGGCACGTCTGCTAACCGAGCAGTGAAACTTACTTTCTACATGCAGTGCATTGAGCCATTTCCCTATGAGCGTGAGCCCGATAAGCGCGATGGCACAAGGGACATGAAAAGCCCTTATTTCTCTGCTGGTAACAAGAATCGCACACTGTATAATGTGCGTGCCATCTTGAAGAAAGACCCGCACCTGGAGATCTTGCACCACAATCACCACACACTCTACAACACTGCAACAAAAGATAACAGGTCGTTAGTCAATCGAATCATCAGCTATTTTGACTCATTTGTATTCAAAATTCAAGAAACGCCTAAGAAAGGATCCTGTGCAGCTATGTCCCTAAGGACCATTAGGTATTACGTAATCACTGAAGGGGACAGGGGGGTCGTCGTCTTGCTTATTTTTGATGACATGGGGGATGGGGAAACTAGATGGTGATTACGTTAGCAATATTTATTTTTTTACTTTTTAGAATGTTCTACAAAATTTAGTCAATTTTAATTTTAACACATATGAACTCTATGCTTGAAAGCGAAATGTATCTTCAGGAACCTTAGCATAGCGCAGGATGGCCCCTCTTAATCGGGGACTGGCTGGTTTGATACTCACGACCATTTTGGCTATCATTCGGATGAACGTGGGGTTACAACTAATGACCACTTAGAAAGCTCCAATTATGAGTTTGCCGGAAATGTATTACGAGAGTTCATTGGAAATTGATGGTTAGTTACGGCAAAGCATGTTGGATAGGGCGAGCCAGATCTTGCTGATTTTCCAAACATTAAATGGTATTCAGAGCATGTGCGTGAATCCAATTCTTCAAATTGTAAAATGTACCAAAATGTTTGTGCCAGCATGGGACTGGGGGGTTCAAGAGATTTGCTTACTTTTACCGACACGGGGAAGGAGGTTATTGTGAAAAATCTGCTCACATAATACTTGAACGCCCCCCTACTCATTAACAGATTTTCAAGAGTCATATCCAATTTTGCATACATAACTGTTTTTAGCAGCTCAGGTAATTTTTTAGGTAATCATCTGTTTAAGTTTCAGGCAATTCCTCATTTTGGCTCAGAACAAGCTACCTACTCTCTAATCGATTTTTATGTTTTCTAGTCTGGGTGTTAATGATAAAAAACATGGATTATACAGGGTATACTTTCCATTTAAGAATCAACTATGTTTGAAGTAACAAGTTTTTTAGTGATTAAACAACAATGAAAACATAAAAGACAGGTTGAAAAAAAAATACTCGCTATTTATTTCGCACAGCATTTTAAGTACTGCCCTGTTACATGTTTTGGTTGTAATTACTTGAAGGTGTCACCGTTCGATTCAAAAACACGAGTTTGTTTACATATTTCTAAATATGCAACATTTGGGGCGGTTTAGGTCTTCTACTGTGTCCACCCAGACGGCTTTTGCACGATATAAAACCTGGACAGCCCTGATGAAAACATCTAGGACGGTGGCAACATTCTGAATACCCAAATACACTCGCGAAGTACCAAAAGGAGTATGCTCACAGTCAGTGCCGGATGCTCCGCAGTTCGATTTTCGTCCACCGGCGCGCATGACGTCACTTTGAGAGTGTTTCTCAATTGGGTTGATATGGATAACGTGCATATTTTCACCTATAGGCCAAACGGCTGGGCGGATTTTCACATATGAAAAGCCGTGGGATTGGTCTTAGCGGTGCGGGTGATACTGGCTACATTAAAATTTTATACAAAACAAAATGGTGTATTTTAATAAAAGATTTCAACCTTGTAATTCCTATTTCATAGGCTATTGCCAAACGGCTTGATAGATTTTCACATATGAGGTGTCGTTGGATTCGTCTTATCGATGCGAGTGACACAAGCTACATTTAAATTTTATACAAAACAAAATGGCGGATTTAAATAAAATATTTCAACATAGTAATTCCTATTTCAAGGCTATAGCTTAAACGGCTTCCTAGCTCCACAATAAATCGTATCGTCACTTTACTGTAAAAACAAGATATAGTAACTCAACATTTTTCTACATTACCTATATTTTAGTATACTCTGTGGAGCAGGACTAACATGCTCATGACGTTAATACTGCGCTACATTTATCCATATTTCACAGAACATCCTAAGTATATGTTTGTGTGAAAATGTACGCAGCAACTCCAAAAATAGAAAAATGGAGTTATCATCTTCTTGCAGTAAGCTAGCGGTATAGCAATAAATGGAAATGACTTAGTCTAAGCAACAGGCAGCTAGGCAGCAGCGGTGGCCGCAGTAGTAGACTCTTCGGTCTCCTGATCAGTCGCCGTGCGCTGTGCGGGTTCGAGTCCCCTCCCAGGAGAATTTTTTCTCTTAGCTATAGATGTTGTGATTGTCCGTAGGTGGTAGATGGTCTCTGACTGTCGAACGCGGAGGTACCACCCGGCGGATCTCGTAGGCGGAACCAGAATGTGTGCATGTTGGATGCACACGTGATCCCTCGCCAGAGTCCGTGTGGCGTTCCCCCTTTCCCATGTATCCCCCTATAGCCCCACGGTACCCAATGGGTGCTTAGGCCTTCGTGGTAGTTGAAGTATAAAAGAAAAACAATTTTTCACCATTTCCTTTTAAGATTTTTCTGGTCGTTCAAACTTTCATTCAATTCCTTGATCTGGAAGAACATCCTTGACCTGAAAAATAGTTTTTTGGCTTATTCAGGGCAGTCACTGTTGCTGCTCTTCAACAGAAGTTCGCCTATAAAATTTTGCTTTTCTGTCACTATTCCGTCCCCATTGAATGTAGTAAACACACCTTTCGTTCAGCTTCTCAATTTGATTCATAAAAGCTGTGGTTTTGATAATCCACCCTCACTAAGATGGTCTATCCAGGAATAAGTTTCATTTGAGGAAATTTTCAACCTCTCATCCTGCAGTTTATGGCAAACAAAGCCGGCCAAATTTTTCAGGCCGTCATACTCGAGTTCATCTATTTCTTCCAATAAAACTTCCTCGTTATAGTCAGCTGATCCTTCAGGAGCATTCAGTTTATTCGTTAATGATGCGGGTAGTGGTATCTCTGGAGTATCCTCTGACTCTACTCTTCCATACTCTGAGTATGCACCTTCGTTTCGCCCCAAAATATATAGATCTTATTCTATACTTAAACTCTAGGGGACTATGGTCCTGAAGATCATCTTTTACTAATTACGCCGAAAAAGTTTTCTATCACATCTTGATTAAGACGTCTTGTTAACAGGTATTTGATGCTGAAGCTAAATTTTTCGTAGGCAGGGCATCATCTTTTAGAGCTTGATATCTTTTAGGGGTGTAACCCAAAAGGGTATGTTTCAAATTGACCTTAGAGGCACTTTCACAAAAGTGCTTCGAGCAAACCCTTTCTTTGCTTTTTGCAGTGACTTTGTCTTTTCTTTTTGTAAGATGTAGCAATTTTTTTGCTAAGGTTTGGGTCATAAGGAAAACTGTGGAACTTCATGTCTTTGCAAGGATTCCATTCAGATTGGTTGTCGGAATTACATCCCACAACAGTACACCGCATTTTGATCAATTTAACAACCACACAGGGTATATAAAGTATGTATATCGACAAGTCACAAAACCACCAGAAATGTCAAAAAAATCGCACTATATAGTATTAACCACGATACAAGTAGACTGCAGTAACGTTACAACAATCCTGCCGTTGGTAATCTCGAGCCGACAACTCTCAAGGTGACGTCACGAAGCTCCGGCCACATGCGCAACATCCTATCTTCAGTGTATGTGTATCGTGGCTCACAGTAAACTATCATCGACAACAGTAGGAATGTGCCAATTTCGGTTTTAAAATGCGGGTTTATAAACTAGGTTAACCTAAACACCGCGCGGTGCCTGATTTGGATACTGCCTCTCATAGTCACAGTACCACAAAACATCATGATACTGTAATTCATGAAATAGTATCATGACAAAACATCATACCCTTTGATTGGACGAGGTAGGGTCGGATTGGCTGCTTCAGGATTTTTCGGAACTTAATATCTCTGTTTTACTTGCTTATTATTACCTGACCTATATGTTCTGTAAAGGAAAGTCCCAACTTGGAAGGCGCTCTATGTATTCGAATAATATTAAGTTGAAAGCTCGATAAATGCCACAATGATTCGTTTTCTGGTTATGAGTGTTGCCTCACCTTGCATTTCCATCCGTATTTTGGAATAGATGTAACGATGGGCCGTTGACAACCCGCGTGGTATACTTTATCACATTGTTCACAAGACATAAGTTTGCTCTCATCACCAATCATCCTGCACACCTGGCACACTCTGCATTTTCTACATTGCCAGCCTGCTCTCACACCTGAAATTAAAAAATATATAGAAACAAATTTTACCAACCACTTGGCATTTTTATATCAGTAAAACTGAAATACAACTTAACAGTGAATAAAAAGCATCACTGGTGTAAAACGCTTTTTCCGACAAACTCTAAATCAAGCAATAAACCTCAAAACATTGTAGTTCTTCACAATTGTTGAATTTCAACAACAAATATAAAAAGAGTATGTTTATAAGAAATTACCTGGCAGTTGTGCTATACCAACACACATTCCATGGTAATGTGCACCACAAGTAGAACAGAACATAAGGTTTGCAATATCTCCTAGTATCTTACAGGTATTACACACAGAGGCTGAAATATAATAAAATTCTAATTAAAAAATAAAATTTCTGCATGTAAATATCCAATATTTAATTTGAAAATAATGATCCTATGAACAAGCATTTACTAAATTTAAATGCATTCACAAAATCTACAATTCCGATAATCCATACAGGCACGTCTACCATGTGTGCCTGGTCACACTGCTTCTAATTCTTGTAGAATCATTCAGGGCATGATAGAGGTACTTTGGGTCTTAATTTTCCCTTTTATTTATATAAAAAGACAATAAATTCAGAGTATAACTCACAGGGTACTGAATTTAATAAAAATAAAAGGAAATAAAACCAAATGAATCCTACCCTGAAATTTTTGTTCCAAAATATATCAAGTTCAATTTTAACCATTATTTTGTAAAATGTTTATGAAACCAAGTTAAGAACGTAGTAAGAGTAGGAAGATAATTATTTGTTTTTTATAATAGAAATAAACTAAAAGCAACAAAAACATTTATTATCGACCGTTAACAAAAATATAATATTAAAAATAATTTTTGTAACTCAAAATAGTAGAGAACATATAAAAGTATAACAAAAACCGGTAAATAATACACCTAATGTGATAAAATCTAATAAAAAATAAGACATGAAACAACTTTTTTTTAGAATGCAAACATGAATTTGTGGTGAATGCAGACAATTTTTGGTGCAAAAAATTATTTGTGAATAATGTCACTGCACTCCAAGCAGAATCCTGGAACAACAGGGCATGTTCTACATTCGTACATCGTTTGGGTACGGATTCCTTTCTTGCTACAAGACTGGCATCTTTTTCTGGATACTTGTTTTTTACTATCTAAATCACGTTTTACTAATTTGTGCCCTTGAGTGTCTGCAGTATTGTACCTTGGCTCTGAGAAGAGTCAGCGGCACCGGCAAACATCTCGCGTTGATTCTTATAAGAGCCAGCGGCAGCGAACGCGTTAAAAAGGAAATTTGAATTCATTTTTGCATATTGTGTGAATATATCTTCATTTTCTTTGTGATTTTCCATTTGAAAGATTTGTTTGTACTTTGGCTGAATAAAACCTACTAGTACTATTGAAAAATGAAAAATTTTAGCTTACCGTCGCAAAGCATAGCAACCTGTCCAAGGTGGGAGGAACAAAATGTGGTGAGCGAGTTTAATTCCTGAAAGGCACCGGCAGCAGTAGCGCAAGGGAAATGGTAGATTTTGGTGCAACCTTCAGTGTTGCAGGTAATGCTTGCTCCATAGTGGTTGCAGAATGAACATTTCTTGGTGGAACATTCCAGCACGACGGGACCTACGTTTTGAAGTGCAGAATTTTCTGGAAGCGAAAACCAAATATTATATTCGTATCTCCGGAGAAACAGCTGGATTTTTTCTGACTGAAGCTGAGAAAGCCTCAAGGTGGTGAATTCAACCATATTCACAAAACGGTGGTAGACAAGTACCACATTTTTCAAAGATTCCATGGCGATTATATGGAATAGCAGAGTATCATGGGACTTAATTGTAATCCAGTATAGACAATGGCATACTCAGAAGGGGCGATGGGTTTAAAGCCCTCTCAGAACCCCAATGCTGACACGTTTTCCTTATATAATATATTGTAACTATACTAAGTGACCCCCCCCCCCCTCACTCAAATGCTGGATCTGCCTTTAAGCCTCATCCCAGGACTTTTTTGGATACGTCAGTGCCCACAAGGAAAAAAGTGAGATCTGGCAAAGTTATCAACAATTCTTTTATTACATTTCGAGGCAATGTCGGTGATCAGTCCAACATGTCCCAGGACCCTTATTTCATAGCTGCAACTGCCAGAGTACAATTCCCTACGTCAAGTTGCCCTTCTTACGTTAGATTGTGATTTTTGCAAAATTTCGGTGGCGGAACCAAGAATGACACATTGTATCATAGTGACACAGGTCTGGCTCAAGTTTCACACTCTGTATACATAAATAAGTAATGGGCAATTAAAAGTCTTAGCTCAGCTTAGATAACAATCAGCTATGAAAGCCTCCTGTCAATATCAAAGACGGCCGCTATTTCTTCGGAGAAAATCACATGCAAATTTCCCTAGTATATCAATGAAAGAGGTTTTAGTGTACAGCAGCAGCCTCTGTTGCCGCATACACTGCCACTCTAAGTGAACCAATAATAAAAAGGAGTGCGTTTGTCCAAGGAGAAGCGACGAAGTATTGATGACTATTTATTTATAAACAAGCGTTAAAATAAATTTGTACTGGTGGAAGTAAACGAAAAAATATTTACTTTTGCCAAGCATTCTTTGCTGTTGCGATATTCTCAATCCATTACATTTTCAATGTAAACAAGTAACGTTTATGTTGCCATGTAATTATAATCACTCTGTGGAAAGCGGCATATTTTTCAACTTACGAGTATAAAGTTACCTACAATTTTTTAACTATTTTTGGGTATCTCAATATCGGCAAAAAAATCTACATAATGTCAAAAAACCGCAAAAATCCAACTTGTTGCCTAAGTAGTAGTTCATTCTGTACTTGCTACATGTGAGCATGAAGTGAAAGACAGCTACTTCCAAGTTGATGTCTTGCTGGAAAACCTACATACAGTAATAGAAAACCTACATAAAAAACAGACATAATGTCAAAAAATACTAAAATAATGTATCATCATACACATTAAAAAGTCGCTATGTATGTAGAAGCATCCTAGCTGAGGTCATCAGAACTGTCACGTTTTATTGAGTTGGTTTTCACTTTGCTGGTGGTTTGTTCTCATTTTTTTCTGCAGTAAAGACACTGAAATTCTTGTGATTTAGTGAAAGTTGTGTTTGAATGCTGTTTCTAACAGTGTTTACATTAAAAATGGAATGAATTGAGAATATCGGAGCAGCAAAGAATGCATGACAAAAGTAAATATTTTTTCGTTTTTTGCTAATACCAATACAAATTTATTTTAAAAATGTTCCATAACTATAGGCATTCGTTGCTTTTTTCTTGGACAAACATACTCGTTGTTATAATTGGTTCACGCAAACTACACTAGAAAATATCGAAGTATAGTATAATGTTTACGACTGCCAAGGTTACGCGGTAGCACCGGCTGCTGCTGAATACTAAAACCTCTTTCATTGTTGTACTAGGGGAATTTACATTCAATTTTCTCCGCTTAAATGGCGGTCGCTTTTGACACTGATAGGAGAGTTTCATAGCTTATTGTTATCTAAGCTGTGGTCTTAGCTTGGTCCTGCAATTTACAACATACCATCCTATGAAACATTATGCCTGGCGATTTCTTTGCATCCACAGCAGACCGCCTGCAGCATATTATGAGGGCACAACAAACCATAGTTATGGTACAAAGATCGAATGTGTACATGAAAAATACATATTTCCAAAAAAAGATGGAGTAATAAATAAATGCACTTTAATAGACAGATATGTAGTATAAAAATCCATATCCCTAAGAAATTCTATATACTGCCTTCTTTGAGCTTATAACACCCATTTTGCTTATCGTAATAAACCCTTTCTGGCAAGATATACAGTAATGGACAAAAGTATATAGACAAATATGAATATTTAACAAAATGCCTTTAGAAAACGAATTCATACTTCATTGCTCCATAAACAAATGCGTTATTAGTAGAAAAACTAAATTCCTTGTTTTTACATTATCTGCAATGAACACAATAAAGTCTGAATATAAGCACTTTTTTATGAGGGACAAAAATATGTAGACAAATCCTTTTCAACATTAGTTTAGTACAGTTTCGTGTCAGAAAAGGATTAGTTTGCCGCGGGTCCAGAAATTTCTTTCGATGTGAAAACTAAGATCATTGAGTTATACAAAGATGGTCAACGTCAAGTCGACATTGCCAAAAATTTGAAGCCAAAGCGTAGAGCAGTTTGGGCAATATTGAACAAATATAAACCAAAAGGTATCTTGGAAGCCTCTAAGAGAAGTGGTCGGCCTAGAAAACTAAATGCTAGATCAGTTAGATTAATAAAAGTAATGTCGTCCAAAGATCCGTTTAAAACCCCAAGACAAATAAAAGCAGAAATAGAGACAAAAGGAATTGTCAGTGTTTCTACGAAAACTATAAGTAGAAGATTAAATGATTTGAAGTTATTTGCACGTCGTCCTAGTAAGAAGCCGCTAATCTCGAGGAAAAACCGTAAGGACCGATTGAGCATCTGTGACTGGAAGATTGTATGTTTCAGTTACGAATCCAAGTTCAATATGTTTGGATCAGATGCTAGACGCTAGACTTCCTAATGGACAAAGATTGAACCCCAAGTACACTTTGCCCACTGTCAAACATAGAGGCGGGTATGTTATGCTTTTCGGGGTTTGGGATGGGACCTTTACATAGAATAGATGGCATTATGGATAAGTTTGTATACACAGACATACTAAAGCATGTCATGTTACCCCATATGGAAGTCAATATGCCCTTAAGATCAATCTCCCAGCAAGGTAATGACCCGAAGCACACTTCAAATCTCGCAAAGAAATTCTTTCTGTATGAAAAAAAAACGAGTTCTCAAATGGCCTTCACAGTATCCCGATATAAACTCCATTGGAAAGCTATGGAGCTAAAAGCTATACGAGATAAAAATTATTCAAACAAGGATGAACTTTTCGCTGCTTTAGAGCAAAAGTGGAGACAGATTGATGAATCTTATATCAAGAAACTTCTACAATCTATGGCGAGACGATGCCAGGCGGTGATTGATAACAATGGTGATGCTACAAAATATTAACACAAACGTTGTTGGTTTTCTATAATTCAATGAACTTTACTTCTTGTTTCTATAATTGTTTTGCTTTGTCTATAAATTTTTGTCTTTCATAGTTACAGTTTTTTTCAATTAATTTTTTATTGAAGGGAGTCTAATGAATTTATTTATGTATAAGTGAGTATTATACTATAACAAATTATGTATACAGGTTGGTGTATTAATAAAACAAGTTAAAAAAGGAATACAGCACAATATTAATTTGTCTATATACTTTTGTCCAATACTGTATATCTCGCACATTAGAATCTATGCTTAAATAGCTCTGAATCTGTACACATGCCCATTGATACGCATACAAGCTGCTAAAGCACTGAAGCAGAGAGTTTCTTATTTACCTAACAAAGGGACAATAATTATACATAATCTATTAACTTACCCGTCCTAGTAACGCCATGCGACCACATAGCACATCTCCGATGCACATAAAACTGTCCATTGGGTTCAAATAACGCACTAACATCTGGCACCTCCGCATAACCTATTATGGTCAATTCGTCTATATGTTCGCTGTTGGCAGAGGGGGTACGGCACTTGTTAAACCCTTTTTGGCGGCGGCAAAAGGGGGGCACCCGGGGGCTCTTGTCCCCCCCTCCTATAGGGCTGGAATCAGGGGTAGATTGTTTGGATGCTGGGTCTGAGGTGGGGGATTCACTAGGGGTGGTAGGCTTTTGGGGGTTGAAACCTTCTGGGCAGTTAAGGCTGGAAATGAAAGGGTAGTCATTAATTGTTTACATATGAATTATAAGAAAAATTGTACAATGATCGAATGTAGGCATGAAAAAATTCTTTCTCTATTTTGAGTATCGGAATGGACCTTTTGTGGTGTCCTGTCGACATATTCATGATCTAGGCACCCAACTTATCCCAGATGCCAGTGGTTTTGGTGGATATTGCAGATATGCAAGTATTCTTGAAAGTCTTGATCAATCATTCTTTGATCCTTTGAAGGTGTTCAATGTCTTCCCTGACTACAAGTAAACCACAAAGTCTAATTGGGATATTGATATGGCCAGCAAAAAATCCATAAGCTTAGCGACGCCACATGTCAAGTGGGAAAATAATCCATTTTAGGATTATTTTTAGATCCAAAATCCCAGCCCCAGATTTACCAAGGGAGCTGGTTCTGGTTGCGATTGCAAATATGCAGGGAATTCCCTTTAATAGTTTGCCTTTAAACTTGACATGTACAAAATGCAAGTCGCTAAGTGTTAATTGAAAAGTGATACTCTTAAAATGTCGTCCCATAGCTCGACGAATTGTTTTTTTTACTTACCGCAGCATATCTCCCTGGCCCAGTTGACTCCTCTCCCCCAAATTACAGAAAGCGCACACCTTTCCAGGCCAATGCTCAGGAAAATACGGCGCCGGTTCCTCATACGGCTTCTCAAAGATAAACTGTCCCGTTTCTGGGTCGAGGCCTCCATCGTCGAAATCGTAGTCGGCGGATAGGCGGGATGGCGTAGCTCCACCCCTGAAAAAGCCGCGTCGTGATAGACTGGGTGGGCGTGGCTTACGAGCACGTTGGGCGGAGCCGGGAAAGATGTTGCTTCTTGATAAACCGCGAAAGGGTTTGCCTAGAGAAAGATTAACATTAGACATAGAACTGGAGGGGGAGCGTATGAATGAATTACAGTTAAATTAGAGGCTTTCCGAGGACCCAGCACTATCTTATGCGGGACCCTTCTGCACTTCTCGATGCCACAAGGCCGGCCCTTCTGGCGTTGTTGAGTATTGTCTGGAGTTGCAACTCCTTGACATGCTGCGGATCAAACATATTGCATCCCAGTTTAGTTAGCTTGTAGCATCCCAGAGCTTCCCAGTGACACAGAATATGCGTAGACGACTCCTGTTCTACCCTGCAGCATGCACACATGCGATCCTCAACCACCCCAATCACATGTCAGGCAACAGTCTCACCAGCAACCTTAGGTTGTCACTATCCAGAGATAAGTAAGGACGTCCATCCTTATCACTAGGCACTAAATTGAGCTCCCGTGACTGTGTAAGGATACTTTTCCATTTCAGAGACTGATGAAGAGATATCCACTCCTTCATTATCTTCCTAACTCTTTATGTGGGCACACCTGGCTCAGCTATCACGCCTGCCATCTAGCCATGCTCTCGTGAGTGCGTCCGCCATATTATTTCCCATAACCCCAGCATGTTGCAGTACCCTCACCAATGACTAATGATGCAAAATGCCTCACTGCTGGGTAGTTACCCAAACCCCCCTGCATTGTAACAAGGCTCAAAGTAACATCACATGCACTTAGTGCCTTGATTGCGACGTGCAAGTTGGAGCAAACTGTTATTATTTTCCTAGTGACCTAGGCCCATCTGAAGAAGCCTCGACAGTTAGGCTGGGTGGGCGTGTCTTGTGATCATGCTTGCTGGAGCTGGGGATGCCGCCTCCTCTGGTTATGCAACAGTGTGTCTCGAAATTGAAAAATAAGTCTTACCCATATTTGGTTTATCTTTCACATCTCCTGTAAATATTATACGCTATTGGAGTACATTAATGACAAAGAATTTCAAATTTAGTATATTATGATTTTTTTTATTATATGTAGTCACTACAGTCTGTTAGTTTTTTTGTCATCCACATAAGTAAATGCTTAGCCATTATTTAACTTTTTTATACCAAAGCACCAGCATCATAATAATAATCCGGTGTATTTCCGATTATTTTACATATATTTCATCTTTTTGTTAGGAAAAACATAACACAAAATGAAATTGTGTAAAAAAAAACAAAGGAAACAAATGTCTATGATAGTATGTCATCAATAGCCACCTACATAATCTTGCAATAAGTATGGTTCCAAATCAATCAAAGATTTCTTTATTAGAGATTTAAATTGTCTAATGCTACTCTTTATTTTTAGATCAACCACAAACACAAACAATAACCAAAATACTGTGGCACAGAGACTTCTATAAGGATGTTAGACCTTGTTGATCTAATTTTTGAACTGTCTAATGTTAGTAGAACTACAAAAATCTCCTCAGGCAGATTGTACCACAATCTCAAAACTCTAACAACAAGGGAGCAGGTGTATTGGTCAGTTCTGGTTGTACATAATTTGGCACAGTTAGAATGGAAGTCTGGCTTGACTGTCTGATAGGTTCATCACATTGCAGCATCATGGAGGAGAGCTGAGGAGCAAAGCTCATTGACAGTCGTAGAAGAGAACCAGATTGTTGTTCACCTGTCACCTTTATAAGTTCAAAACCGCTCAATTTACTCCTATGGTAAGTATAAAAAAATATGGCTGTAAATAAAAACAGAACAGTCCAGAATTAAAGAGCTGAGATATATTTTACAGATGACATAAGACATCTAGCTCTATGCAGCTGTCATCCCTAGTATCTATATCTATCTATAACAATTTTTTTAAAGGGTAATCTGCTGAAATTGAGTTAGAAATGAAAAAGAAGCAATACTCTTTTACTAGGTTCCTTTATAAAATCAAATGAGAGCCTATACACTGGAGCAACATGAAGGAAAGTTATGTGTTAGGCTTTTAAGCATCAGTCAACATACATATTTATTAGCATGCAATCAATGAAATGAGTGAAATTTTTGAACCTTTGCATTACTTGGCATATGTTTATACTACATTTAAGGGTTTTTTTTGTTAATCTGATGCTCTAATTGAATTTTTTATATATGTGGAAAACATTATAATGAGAATTGCACAAATGTACATTTAGGACACTTCAATATAAATTTTAACAGTAAAGATATCTATGTTACAAAATTTACACAAGTTATAAACTTCCATAGATTATGGCAGAAAATAAATGACTATACAACTATGAACTTTTACAAAAAAACAAAAATAGATTTGCTCATAACTAAGGAACAAAATATAATTGCTGAAGTTATGCATACCCTAAAAATAAGTGATCACTCATGGATATATGTTTAAGGGGAAAATATGATCAATGAAAATAAAAGTTACTAGAAACACTTTTACAACAGAATATACCTGAAATTATCAAAAACAACTTTTATCGATGGATAAATAGCTATGGCCAAGAAAATATTACAAGAAAGAGTGAGCCCAACACCCTGGTTTTCACAGATATTCAAGGAGTCTAAATTAACATGTTAAGCCCCGTGGCGGTCCCATGGGACCGTCTGACAACGAGCCTATCACGCCACGGTGGTCCGTACGGACCGCTTTGCATTTAATTTATTTTCATGGTGACTCCAGCCAAACGTCCATATTTAAATTCATTTTAGCGTTAGATATGGACCACTGTGGCTGGTATGGATTATATGCTAATGCCAACTTTTTGGTGTATTTTTGTTTTAAATAGAATTTTTTATTGACTCACATAATTTATTTCCTACTAAATCTACACAACAACATTGACAAAAACAAGCTTCCAGTGAAAATGCATGTAGATATATATATATATATATATATATATATATATATATTATATATAAAAAATGATCATGTGGAGAAAGGTATATAACAAAAAATAGGAAAATAATGGGCAAAACCCGCAAAAAGGGAGAAAGTGGATTCGAGCAGAAAATAGGATAGGTAACCCGAGAGATACGTATTTCTGCTGGTTGGCCTGAAATGAATGCACATATGTAACTACAAAAGTAGATACACATGCCCGTACATCCGGATACGGGTGAAACCTGAGGAAACGAAGAAGCAGAGTTAAAAAAATCACACACGAAGTTCACAACAAGAGCCAACCTACACATTGTAGCATAAAGGCTAGAAGACCTCGAATTTTCAAGGCGACATCTAACCACAACCACGCGACCGGTTATAGCCACTTGCTGTGGTACTTCAAAGGACCTACAAAGAGAAAACGATCATGCATTATTTTTTTATTTTTGGTTATATACCTTTCTCCGCATGATCATTATATATATATATATATATATATATATATATATATATATATATATATATATATATATAAAATAAGTTATGATATAGGGATACAAAATATAAGATAATTTGATTTATTTATGACTTGTTCTGAAGAAGTCAAGGCAAAAGTGGGAACACTGAAATGGATCGTTCAGCGATTCTGAAGACGAATCGGAGTCTGAAAAATTTTTATTTTTTAATGTCGCCGATGTAATATATTTCTTTAGCCTACTATACTTCGAGGAAAGGTTTCTTGCAAGTTGAACCAAAAGTTTGGCACATTCACTCATTTTATAATTGCATGTAAAAGGCACTGACTGGAAGCAGCTACTATCAAAAATAGCATCAATGTCTACTCTACCGTGGTGAGCAATAAAGTGATTTGTGCAAGTAAAACAGGAACGAACAAGTCAAATCGGACCGCCAATCAGACCGCCATGGCGCGCTAGGCATATGTTTTCTGCCACGCCACGGCGGTCCCTGGGGACCGCTAAACATTTTTAAAAAAAACAGCAAAAGAGATCATAAATAATTGAATCAAACATATTTCTGCAGATTGTAAGTCATAAGCAGAACAAATGAAACAAAATTGGACTTTGGCCAGGTGGACATTTTTCTAACATTTTCCTTGACGTTTAACGTAAATTTTTGTTTTTCGGTATTCGGAAGTTAAATCAATTTTCCAAAGTGAGCCTATGTTGGCTTTAAGTTACAGTTGCCAATAGTGAATATAATCATTTCCCCAAATATTGTTTTTTTTGGTTAGTTTAATAGCCATAAACAGGCTTTGGGAGCTGTGGAATGCAGAGAGTTTTCGGTGCTGTGTTGTCACATCCTGCTAGAATATCCCAATAACATGAGTACTACTAGTGGTGAGAACAAACGGACGAATTCGCGCTCTGCAAGTACCGTGTGTGAGTGTGCGAATTTCGCCCAAATCCTATCTGAGGTGAAAAAGAAATTGGATGTATGCTACAAGATCATCAGTGGCCAAAACGCCAAGATCGAGGAGCTCAGTACTGCAGTTGCCGCACTGAACAAGAAACTGGAGGAGCAAGAATGTGCAAAAAAGGAAGTAATTGCTGTCAGGAGTATGGAGTCGTCTTATAGCAGTGCAGTAAAGTAACTCATGAACACATTTTAATTGTGAAGCCGTCAAAAGAAACTGATGGTGGAACACTGAAACAACAGCTAATGAACAAAATTAATCCTGAACGACTGCAGATGGGTGTCCAGATTAATACTGTTACAAACAAAGGAGATATTATACTAACATGTGATAACCAACAATCTCTGCAAAAAGTGAAGGCTTCTATTCAATCAAGTTTTTCGAAGAACTGCTCTGTTGCTCTTCCAAAAAAGTTGAATCCGCGAATAAAGGTCTCAGGTGTCTTTCAACTAAAGTACTCAAAAATAAAATCATCAACCAAAATTCTGATCGGAAAATAATGACGCCTTTAGCTTCAAAATCGTTTATAAATATCCAATAAAGAAGGATACCTTCGATATTATCGTGGAGTTAGACCCGTTTATTGGCTGGGAGTGGTTCACCTTGGCGATCTTTACTTAAAAGTTCTATACTTCCATGATCTAATTCAATGTGTACTTAATATATGTACTCCTTATAGGGTAAATGCACCTGTAAATGAACGGTACCAGTAATTGAACAAAAGCCCAAATTTAGCTATTTTTTAAGATTCGACTCCCCTCTAGCCTTATTTTTGATGGATTGACATCATATTTTGAACGTTTGTCTTAACTTGTTTCACAAATAACACTTCTGAGATCTAGTGAACGAACGTGTCGGCGGCAGAAAAATTCACATTTCTTGTCTGGTGGTATATCGGAGCAAGTGCTATAACGTCTTAGGTAAGTAGCTATTCTCAATAATAAGGATGTTGCTCACATAGCAGCAGTAATGTGAATAAATACTTGAATAAGACACCTATATACTCCTTTTTAATACCAAACATAACCTAGAAAACGCTAACTTCCCGCCAAAATAGAAAATATAGTCGTTCACTCATTGGTGCCATTGATAAACCAGTAAATGAACAGATCGTTCATTGACTGGGTATTTCAACATGCAAATGAAATTCATCCTTGTTCTTCATATCGTAAGATCCTTATATGCTCTTTCAGTCTACAATAGTGGAACGTTAAATTTACGCCCCGATCCAGTAATTGAACGCTCTTTTATAAATCGTTCATTTATTGGATCCCGAAGTAAATTTCAATACCCAGTGAATGATCGTTAACAAATTCCCTTTTGTCCTACATAATATTATACTTACTTGCGTGGAAAGATGGGTTGGTATGATGATGTCTTTTTATAGATATGGAAAATCCAAAAAAACCATACAAGAGATTTCGATACACGGAGGCGCAGCTACAAGAGGCAGTAGAGTTCATCAGACAATCAAAACTGAACATTTCCCAAGCAAGTAAAAAATATGGAATTCCGAAAAGTACTTTATCGAATAAATTAAGAGGCAAAGTGCCTGCAGTGAGAAAAATGGGACCCACAACCATTCTTACAATGGAAGAGGAGGCCAATCTAGAAAAATGGATTTTATCCAAAGCAATGTTAGGTTTTCCAATGCACCCAGACGAAGTTAACGAGTTCAACGAGTTTTGAAAATTGTGAAACGACCAAATGTTTTCACAGCTGATAGGCCAGGAAAAAAATGGATGAAACTTTTTCTTCAAAGGCACCCCAATGTTACGCAGCGAAACACTGAAATAATTTCAAAAGGTCGAGCATCAGTTACAGAAGAAGGCATTCGGACATGGTTCGGTGAACTAAAGGATTATCTAATCAGCGAAAATGCTGAGGATATTCTATCATGCCCTGAAAGAATTTTTAACGCAGACGAGACAGGGTTGCAGACATGTCCAAAATCGGGAAAATTGTTAGGTCCAAAAAATTATAAGAACTTTTATGAGCTGGCAAGTGGACCAGAGAAAGAGTGCATTACCGTCCTTTGCACTTTCTCGGCGGCAGGTGTCTGTGTACCTCCGATGGTGGTGTATCCATACAAAAGAATACCTCGGGATATTGTTACATCTATGCCAGATAATTGGGGAATAGGTCGGTCGGATTCAGGGTGGATGGTGAGTGCGACATTTTACGAATTCGTAGCCAATATCTTCTATTCATGGTTGGAAGAAAATCATATAAAACTACCCGTTTTGTTACTGTTAGATGGACACAAATCGCACATGAGCATGGATCTTTTCAACTTTTGCATAAAAAACAATATTATATTATTTTGTTTGCTGCCTAATGCTACTCACATACTCCAACCCTGTGACGTCGCGGTGTTCAAAGCTTTGAAAGTAGCCTGGAAAGATGTTGTTATGAGGCAAAAACAGGATTCACAAAAGTCTATCACAAAAACCAACTTTGCACCTCTATTTAAAAATGCTTTTGATAAAGCCATCAAACCTGAAACAATAATGGCTGGATTTCGAGTAACCGGTTTATTTCCTTTTGACCCAAATGTATTTCGAACAGGCGGAAAGAAATTCGGGAGTTTGAAGTTGTGCGAACTATTGCAAATCCTGTTAATTCTGCAGATTATAAAAGTCCTCTTAAAGTTCTCGAACATCATATGGATCCACCCTTATTAGACCAGTTTAGTCGATTGAGAGATATCGGAGATTCATCTACAAACCAACTATTTCACATTTGGAGTTTGTGCAAAGACGCAACTGTTCAAATACCCAGAGAGGAAACTGATCAATTTGAATCACTAATAAATGATTTTTCTGATTTCAATGAATTCGATATTAATAGTATGCCTATTGAACTCGACGGGATAGTGTACAGTAGTGCTACGGAAAACCAACAATTAGACGAGTCAGTAAGCTGCGCTACGGAAGAACCTTCGAAAAAAATTATTGTACACAGTGTTGTTACCCTCGAAGACCTGGTGAAGAATAGAGGGGGAGACCAGCTTATGATGGAAGATGTTAATTTGATTAATGAATCTGAAAGTATTTTACAAAACTACAGCGTGACAAAACCTGAAAAACTACAGAAGATTGAAAGTCAACACAATGAACAAAACAACGCGGAAGATAATATTTCGCAGGATAAATATTGTAACGTAGTATTAGAAAAGGAAACTTCAATGAAGCCAGTGGAAGCGGACAACATTTCAGAAAATACGCTCCCGAAAAAGGTTATAGATGAGAAAGAGGTGTGGTCGCAACATTTGCGTTGGCCTAGTGAACCAGTGAAGTCTACAAAACGTAAATCTAACGATAACACTCGTATGCCGTACGCAATTACTTCTAAGAAGTTTAAAGAATTTATGGATAAGAAAGAAGCAGTGAAACAGAAAAAAGAAGAACTGAGAGTACAACGAAAAGTGAAGGTCAATTTGAAGGCTAAAACCAAGAAGATTAATCCTAAACCTAAAACTAAGATAAAAGACAACATTAAGAATCATACAGAACGCAAAAGTGGTGGAAATGACTCGGTCGATATGAAGGAAAATAATATCGGCGCAGAAGAAAATTCAAACTCATCTGGACCTGATACTGGGTCCTATGTAATCGTCCTTTATGATGAAAAGCCGTTTCCAGGAATCGTCAAGAATATAGAAGGCGAGGAATACGAAGTGCAGACTATGTGCAAGGTTGATATTGAAGGAAAATATCATTTTAAATGGCCCGGTCGAGTTGATCAAATTTGGTACAATAAAGCGTCTATTTTGGAACAAATTACTGAACCAAGATTAATTCGTAGGGGCATATTTGAATGCAATGAAATAGAGAAATACTTACCTTTAGAATAGGCACCTGGTCATATCTAAATCAATCTATAGTTATAGATTTCTAATCTTAAGTTAACGCAACCTAGATATAGTACCAAAAATGTGTAGGATTCAGTTAGTTCATTTACTAGATACCCATTGTTCATTTATTAGAATTTATGTTCATTTACTAGATACACATTGTTCATTTACTGGCAACACGTGTTCATTAACTAGGATTTAGTGAAATGGTTAATTATTTTATTTTTTTACTGAATAATATGTAAGTTTGTGAAAATGTGATTTTAAATATATATTCTCAACTGAAACAGCGAGTATTTAGTATTTTTTTTAAATGTTACCTTATAATATGGATTTATAAAATTAGTGGTTACTTTGAAAAAGGCCTAACGCGTTCATTCACTGGTATACTTACCCTAAAACGAAAAAGATCAGTAAAGTTCGTCTTCCCTGGATTATCTCAAACACCAAATTTATGATACGGTTAAGGAACAAAGCTTATACAGGGTACAAAAAAGTTGTAAAAAGCATGTGTTCTTCAGATGAAATTAATAACAAGTCAAGGTCAATCAAACAACTTGGCATTCATGGGACACATAGCAATGATGAATTTGTAAAATCAATCGGAACAGATTTATTAAATGACTTTTTCGTAAATGCTGTGCCTGAGAAGCCCATTGATGAGAGTACATATAATCATTATCTACACAATACTATCCCTACTGTTACTGAACCATTCAAACTTCACCTTGTTACTGAAGAAAAAATTCTTGAAATTGTTAATGAAATCAAGTCGCACGCAACAGACTTTGATGGGCTTAATATTGATATATTTTCATACATTCTACCTTTTTGTGTTAACGCTCTAATGCACATTTTTGAATAAATTTTAAGTGTCTTTGTTGTATCAGGCTGTTAATATGTATCTTGTACTAACCTATTCATCCTTTTTTGTATCGATCTTTCTTTCAATGTGTTTAGTGAGTGCCTTGTTAGTGTGTGTTCGTGACATTTACATTTTCTTTTAATCTGCTTTTTAATTTGTTTTTTCAATAAAATTGTACTGTATTTTTTGTGTAGCCCTGGTTGGTGGTAAGAGCGGCTTCATAGCTGATACCCGCCAGGTAAAATAAAGGTTTATTATTATTATTATTATTAAACACTAATAAAACAAAATGTAAGTCAATAGCAAAAATTTAGGTGACAATACAATTAGGCTCATGACTAATGATGAAAAAATTTAAGTAGTTGAATTATTTAAATATCTGGGTATATATGTGGATAGCAAACTACTGTTTCATGAGCATTATAAATAAATTATTTCAATAATATCAAAAAAAAATGACTTGTATAGTTTTATATATATATAATCTTAGAATGTATTCCAAGAAAAAATGTGCATAACACTAAAATTCTCAATTTTTTATATTGTTCAACCATCTTGTTTACAGCAAATATATTTTCAATTCTACAAGATAAAGCTATGAGAAACATTTTAAATGAAAACAAATATGCTAGGATTCAGTCTATGTTAGAACAACTACAGTGGTTGAATGTAATAAATGTCATATGTTATTTTATTCTCATTTTCATATTCAAATTATAAAATCTTTTATTACCACCACATTTAGAAAACTTTACAAAATTAAATAGTCATTATTGTAACTATGAAACTAGAAGCAATATAGATTTTCATCTGCAAAATTGTAATAGTACCATAACTAGCAAATCTGTATTTCAAAAGGGAGTATTTGAAGAAAAGTGTTTGAATTTAAAAATGTTTAAGGTGAAATTGAAAAATCGCTAAATTGTTAATGAAAATGCATACTGATGTAATTTCAATAGACAAGAATGTAAAATTACAGAAAATGGATTAAAAAAAATGTGTAAACAAATAATTATACAAAACTGACATTGTAGCATTAATGCTAAATAAATCTTCAACAAATAAACATGCAAAAAAAAGCAAACATCCAAGTAGCTATGGAAAATTGGAAACCACACTGCCATTCCTGTGGACTGAATCACCTCAAATGCACACAGGTTTCGACCTCAACAAATGGCTATGCACTCTTGTTTAAAATAATGCTGACATCTGTAGAAAACAAAACATTCCATTTCAAATGCTTACCGCCTTCTCTTCGCGGACGCCCACGGCCTCTCTTGATGTTCAGGGGTTTTCCGGTAAAATTGAAGGGTGGCGGTAGATCTTCAAGATTGGATGGTGAAGACGCCACAGAGGTTGCTGCAGATCCAGGCTGGGAGTTCGTTAACAGGAAGGGCGAAGGCACTGGTTCGTCCAACTCCTCATCTTCGTCTTCCAGATCTGAGCCCTCTTGCTCGTCCAGATCCATCGGGAGCAACTCGTCCGGGTCCAGGGCCCCAGACGTAGGTTCCTCCATTGTGTAGAACTACAACATTGGCTATGTTTAGGCACTTTGGGGCGTACAAATAGGGAAAACCCAGGAATAATGCATCCACGAAGCGAGTACGGTCAAGTAGGTTTTGGGGAAAGTTATGGTTTTTGTTATTTAAGGGCCAATCACAAGGGATTAATTACATACAGCGCCATGACTGTTTGATGCAAGTGATGCGAATCGAAAATATTGCGAAAAGACTTCAAGTATTTATTCGCGGTAGTCTTTTTGATTAAATTGGAATTGGACGTAAAATTACTCACATAATTTCTAGTTTCTACATGGTAAAGTATGTAGAATACGAAATAATCAAGAAAAAAATCACTAGATTAAAGAAAAGGAGCCATCACACTCGAGCTCGCGCGTACGAAAGCTAACGAAAACATCCGAATGACAATTTGCTTACACGAGCACAAATGCATGTTGTACAGCGTTGTCACTTTTATTCGCCTGATATCCCTGAAATAATTTAATTCGGAGACCCTCGTCTTTCCGGCCCACAAAATATAAAAAGTGTACTTTGTCAGGCTGAACATGAGTCTGAAATCAACATTGGAGGTCAGTGGACAAGTAAGAAAATATTTTAGGCTTGTATGGTCAGTCGTTCCTACAATTATAGGACGCCTTTATGGCCTCATTGATTTTCATTGTTTTCTGTTACGTGTCAGCGCTGTATTTTGAGGTTATGTTATAATCTGTGGTTATGTTACAAGTTACAAATATCTATTTTAATAAAATTGTTCATGCTTTTCATCTGTTATATCAGCTTGAAATTTCCTAAAATTTAAAAGGAGTCTCACAATAGGACTGACACGGAACAGGAGAAATCTAGTAATACACTACCCTGTCTGAAGGCAGAAAATACTATGAGAATCAAGGATGCGTCCTACAATTGTAGGAATAACGGACGACACGACCCGTAGGCATTAAGATTACACACTTTGGCATTTTTGGTGGATGTGCATATCTCACCTCTGAGAAGGGGAGCATGTGCCCTCTGGCTCCCGCTTGAGAAATAAAATATAGGTATATGGTAACCGTGTCTGTTTATTTGATTTTTAAAACAGCGAAATTTTTTTATACTCGAACCACCACGAAGGCCTAAGACACACATGGGGTACCGTGGGGCTATAGGGGGGTACAGGCATGCCATTTATTAACAATGATATCGGAAACAGCTTCCTACGATTTTTAGGTTCGCCTTACGATTTCGTGTGGTACAAAACAGAAGATTGAGGCCTTTTGTGTATTCTATTGCAGAATAATAGGCGGTAGACTATAAGCAATCTGTTCTGCACGGGTATGACGTATCTTGGAAACATATATAATTGATATTGTTTTAAAATTTTGCACGTATCTTTTTATAACCATTGGGGTAGTATAAAAAAATCGCACTTATTGCCTGAATATACAAAAAACGACAACGCCGCGTAATTATTTCTAGGGAATTTTATTGAATCTTCTGGTAATTATTATAAAAGTCAAAAATGCCCTAAAGGGTAATCAAATAGAAACTAATCCAATTGAATTTTTCATAATTAACATGGAAATGTATACAATTATACGTAGCACCTACGAGTTCAATGCGAGGAAAGGTTTCACAACTTGTTTTCTTCTCCCAGTAAAATACAATTTTTTTTCCAACATCCAAGCTGTATGGATATGGGTTTTAGGTGCCTAGTTATGGATCACACTTTTTTGTTACATTCAGATTCAGATGGTAGCAATGAGTCCGTTATAGAAATATATTTGTGTTCACAGGGTTGCTGATTAAAATTTGGATGTAAACTATTTAGTCAAATAGAAAACAATTACAAAAATATGATTTTATGAAAGACGAAAGACTACTATTAGCCATGCGCACATAGGTTGTCCCCGGTTGCCATTTTGACACCTGTCACTGTGACATACCCAAAAAGTTTGGTTATATTATTGTAGTAGTACCAAGATGATTGGTGTATGTATAATGGTAATTTGAGGAATGCTTACATAAACTACCTGTGAATAATAATAACAAAAAAATGGAGGCATCGCCTCCTACAAAACCCCCTCGGGGGGTGAAACCCATCAAGAAAACGGTAACGAAAGATCCCATCAAAATGTAGGCGGATATTCTGTTCTTTAGCACCTGTTCATTTGTTTCAGAGTGGACTCTTGATGTCAGTGATTAGGACTCTTTCTGCCAGCGAAACTAATGAGCAGAGAGACAGGGAAAAGGCAAAATTGGAAACTGATTATAAAATATGTGATCAAAAGCTAGATGAACTTGTGTTAAACCATGAGCAAGATCTTACAGAGGTAACTCTTTGATTTGATATCCTCTTGTACTAAAATCTTGAAAAAACTATGTATCAGTCACAAATATTCCAATGTATGGCTCTTATAATTACACAGTTACTCCATGATTTGTCATCAAAATACTTGTGTCAGTGAGAGCATATGAGTACCTTCTTGATCCGCTATGCTACTTAAGTGATGCTCATTGAACTTGAAACAGTTCAAATTGGTGCAACCTTACTGTTCATAACAAAGGCAGATCTAAGATGCACATAGCATTGGGCCCCATCAGGGAATCAGGCAAGGGGCCCTATAACCCTCCCCTTACAGTTTCAGCCACCCACAAAATTTGGTCTGTCATGGAACTCTCTCAGCCTTATTCTTAGCCTTTAGGGGGGGCCATACAGATCTATAGCTGATATTATACATATGGGGAGATTTCAACTAAAGCTCTTTCACACTGTTACATTTTTAAAAAATACAAACAACCTAGCTGCAGTAGCTGGAAAGAATGAAGATTCAATTGTGCTATCAAAGGAAATGTAGACACCTCATATGTCAAAATCATTATGCCATTTAAAGCATCCCACAAACCGGCGCGAAATAATCGCGGCGAAGTATTCGCAACGAAATTCAGAGCGAAATTCGCAATCTGTTTCGCCTGTTTATTCATACCAAAGCGTCTTATTCGCTCCGCGAACGTGAAGGTTTCGACAGGTTGCGTACATTTTATTTTTGCCTTTTGCAATGAGCTCGTCTTCAGAAGAAGAGGAGGCACTTCTATTTCTTGCTTTAGAAGAGGAACAAAATGCACGGTAAGTTATGTTTATTTAACGCCATTTGATAGTTGGGTATGTATTAAGTTTAACGAAGTACATAAAACAAATATTTTCAATTTTGTTTAGGAAACGAAGGAAGTGGGTACATGATATTAACTTGGAACGAAATAAATTTGGGGAATACCATACCTTGATGCTTCGGCTGGATGAACAGCGCTTTTACGTATATTTTAGAATGACTCCAGAGTGTTTCGATGAACTATTGAACTTGGTGAAAGATGAAATACCTACGAAAATCTGACACAAATTATCGTGAAGCTATTTCGCCAGAAGAACGACTTGCTATTACACTCAGGTAAAAAAATTATATGTATTAAAATTAGTAGGCTTATCGAATACGAAAACTTGTTGCCACTAGGATTAAATGTTGCTAAATAATTCGAGGCAGAATTTGCCTCCTCTGTTGGGTATATTATTGGAGTAAACCCAGTGCCGCTTGGGAAGGACGACATACTACTATCATACATACTTGCAGAATTCTGGGTAGACGCTGAAGACATTTATTCAATATGTTCAAATTCTTCGTGCGCTATTAATTCGGCTATTTTTAGTTTTATTCGGGCTTGACGCTTTAAGGGAAGTGTTTTCACAGTCTGTGCATGTGCCAAGAAAAGTGAATCCATGGCCTCGTTATCTTTTTTAGGTTTTTTCCCTTCAAAATAATTAATGAGCTGTTGTACAGACGAAGATGGTGGTTCATAGCGTTTTCTGTTCGTTTTATATTTTGGTGTAGTTGCAGTCTGCGGAAAGGTGTACCCTGGAGTAGTCACTGCTGTAGTGTTCAATGAAGAAGGTGGTGCTGTCTGTGTTGCAGAGGCGTTCTGTGCATCTTCTGCATCTACATCAGCATTTTCATCTTCTCCATGGCCGCGGTCTTCCAAATTTTCGGTTTCTACATTTCCAGCCCTTTCCTGATATATATTTGAGTTAAATTCGGCAGTCTCATAATGTATGACGTCAATATCTTTCACATTAGACGACGTTTTGGCAAATGCCAAAAAAGGACGGAAAAATTCCATGTAGTCAGCCCACTGCCATTTCTTTATGTTGCCCACTGCTTGGCCGGTCTTTGGTTTTGTAGATTTTATATATTTTGCAAATGTGTCTCTGATATTCTTCCACCTCTTTCTTACTTCATCACCTAAAAACGATTTTTTTATAGATTCCTTGCCACTGGTGACACCTTCTATACCATTGGGCATAGCTTTCGAGTTGGCTTTACTTATGGTCAATGTTGGCCCGGACTATAAATTAATATGTGTTGATATTGGTGGTTTCGGAAAAAATAGTGATGGGGGTATTTTCGAAACCTCAAACATGGGAAAACGATTTGAACAAAATTTAATGAGTGTCCCTGCACCTAGATTTCTCCCTGGGCAAAATGAAATCTGCTCGTACGTCTTAATTGGTGATGAAGCGTTTGCTTTAAAACCATACCTTATGAGACCATTTCCTTATAAGCAGACTTTAACAGACGTCAAAAAAGAGAAATACAATGTAAGACTTTGTCGAGCTAGAAGGGTCGTGGAAAATGCGTTTGGTATTTTGTCTCAAAAACGGCGAATATTTTACAGGCCATTAGAAACTAAAGTAGATACTACTATTCTAATTGTACGTACGGCATGTGTTTTACACAATTTTTTACGAAGTAAAAGTGGCGATGACAAATATTTTCAATTCTTAGATCCCCAGAACCCGTGCTTGGAGCTTTAACTGATATAGCAAATGATCCTCGGCGGGCAGCAAGGCTAGCATTTTCTACTCGTGACAAATTCGTAAATTATTTTAATTCTGATATGCCTATGCCCAGTATATAGAATGTTCGTTTTCACATTTGTGTAGATTGTAAATTATTTAACAAGTTAATAAAAAATATTAGGTACATACCATTTGTATTTAATTCTTTTCCTATTCCCATCCAAATCTTGACTTTCTCACATTCCTGCATTCATCGTTCGACAAATCATACAAACAAGGATACTTTTTCACTATTTCTATCAATAATTCTGTTTTTGCCATTGCGAATTTTTGAAGAACGGCGTCAAAAACGCGGTCAAAGGCGAACTGAAATACGCCGCGATAAAAACGCTGGAACAATCGCATTCGCTTCGCACAAGTCTGAGCCAGTCCGTAAACCGCCGCGTTTTAATCTGATCGCGAATTCATCGCCGTGAAATTTTCGCAGCCAAAGCGAATATTTCGCGCCGGTTTGTGGGATGCTTAAGGTGTAGCCTGTGGAATAGGTTCATTTTTTCTTCAAAATCTGCCATTTTGGTTTTGTAAAATTTTAATATTTTTATTGAAATAGGAGTTTTTGAATATCCAAGCACAAAAAAATCCCTCCTTCTGAGGCAGTCAAGTAAAAATAAATATATTTAATGTTGCTTTGCTTTGAAGAAATTGAAAGCAACTAACTATGACTGTTTTGTGTACACACTAAAAAGCAATAAATAGCTAATAGGTATATAAAACTAGATAGCAGTAACATCAATCAATATTTTTATTATTAGCAAAATTTTTGATGTCTATAGTAGCAATAAATTACTTTTGACATTACGTAAATTAGTCGTTAAATACTACTAATTATAGCTAAACAGTTAAGCTAGATGACTGAGATGAGATCACCTTCATTTGCCTACCAAATATAAACACTAATGTTGAAAATGTGAAATAAATACCTATCCATATATTATGCTGTCAAGTTGGTCAACTATGTACTTTTAAATATCAGCAAAATGTAAAACCATCTGTAAACTTTTGTTTCCATACTGGTATTGATATAACATGCTGTCAAGTTGGTCAACTTTGTACCTGTTTTTATATTACAGGTAATCTGTAAACTGATTATAAAATATGTGATCAAAAGCTAGATGAACTTGTGTTAAACCATGAGCAAGATCTTACAGAGGTAACTCTTTGATTTGATATCCTCTTGTACTAAAATCTTGAAAAAACTATGTATCAGTCACAAATATTCCAATGTATGGCTCTTATAATTACACAGTTACTCCATGATTTGTCATCAAAATACTTGTGTCAGTGAGAGCATATGAGTACCTTCTTGATCCGCTATGCTACTTAAGTGATGCTCATTGAACTTGAAACAGTTCAAATTGGTGCAACCTTACTGTTCATAACAAAGGCAGATCTAAGATGCACATAGCATTGGGCCCCATCAGGGAATCAGGCAAGGGGCCCTATAACCCTCCCCTTACAGTTTCAGCCACCCACAAAATTTGGTCTGTCATGGAACTCTCTCAGCCTTATTCTTAGCCTTTAGGGGGGGCCATACAGATCTATAGCTGATATTATACATATGGGGAGATTTCAACTAAAGCTCTTTCACACTGTTACATTTTTAAAAAATACAAACAACCTAGCTGCAGTAGCTGGAAAGAATGAAGATTCAATTGTGCTATCAAAGGAAATGTAGACACCTCATATGTCAAAATCATTATGCCATTTAAGGTGTAGCCTGTGGAATAGGTTCATTTTTTCTTCAAAATCTGCCATTTTGGTTTTGTAAAATTTTAATATTTTTATTGAAATAGGAGTTTTTGAATATCCAAGCACAAAAAAATCCCTCCTTCTGAGGCAGTCAAGTAAAAATAAATATATTTAATGTTGCTTTGCTTTGAAGAAATTGAAAGCAACTAACTATGACTGTTTTGTGTACACACTAAAAAGCAATAAATAGCTAATAGGTATATAAAACTAGATAGCAGTAACATCAATCAATATTTTTATTATTAGCAAAATTTTTGATGTCTATAGTAGCAATAAATTACTTTTGACATTATGTAAATTAGTCATTAAATACTACTAATTATAGCTAAACAGTTAAGCTAGATGACTGAGATGAGATCACCTTCATTTGCCTACCAAATATAAACACTAATGTTGAAAATGTGAAATAAATACCTATCCATATATTATGCTGTCAAGTTGGTCAACTATGTACTTTTAAATATCAGCAAAATGTAAAACCATCTGTAAACTTTTGTTTCCATACTGGTATTGATATAACATGCTGTCAAGTTGGTCAACTTTGTACCTGTTTTTATATTACAGGTAATCTGTAAACTTGTCTTTATATATGTATGGAAGGGCTGCCAATGATTTTTATTAATTAAATATGTATAGAAAAAAAGAACATACCAAGAATAGATTCGTCTTTCATTTATTTTTCCAAGACAACTAAATTTTACTGTGGATGTTAATTTTTGTTAGGTGATGCAACTATTTGGTTCTATCTCGCAAATAGTTAGCTCAAACAGAGAAAGAATAAAAAAAGTCAAAGAGAATCTTCAAGATTGTAAAAGAAAGCTGAGATGTAGAAGAGAGGATCTCAAGAGTCTTTGGGTTGAAGGCATAGAATATAAATACATGCTGCAACTGTTAGAAGAAATGTAAGTATACATCAAATCATGCTACAGACAGGTATATAATTTGATCTTGATTTGTTGAGTGGATGATGCTCATCCTTTTGCTTGCTTGCAGTTTTTTGAGAGATGAAAACAGATGCTTTTCAATGTAGTGTACCATATCTATGACTTGTTTGTGAATTGTGCATTCTTAATTTTATTATATTTATGGAATTTGCAGTGGAAAAATGACTGAAGTACCTAATAAGCTAGCTACCTTCATGGCCAGAAAGCAGTACCTGCATGCCACAAACCTTTTAGTTGAAGCTGTAACATTGGGTAGGGGTACTTTAGAAGGTGTTGAAAGCTTGAAAGAACTTAGCCAAGAACTTGAACAGAAAAAGGAAGTAAGTATACCCGCTTTGAACTTTCACAGTCTCTACTTCTAAAAAGTAATATCCTAACTCAAGATTTATATATTTTTTAGCAACTTCACTTGCAGTTATTAACTGAATTGAAAGATTTTCTATACACAAAACCATCTCAACAAATCTTGTCTATACACAGACAAGGATCTGGTAGAGATGGTCTCATAACTTCACCACTTCAAAGAAGTACAGAGCTTAGAAAGTCTAGTAGGAATAGAGCTGCAGCAAGAAATTTATTTGATGTTTCAAGGTATAGAAAATGCCCCATTACCGAAACTATAATCGGAAATAAACAGACTATAATCTTATTTTTAATTCCAAGTGTACTTTAAATTGTATTTTTTCTAAAATTTCATTCATTTGTGATTTTGGCTCAAAACTGATGACTTATTTGATGATTATTTTATTTATGATACTGTACAAGTTACCTTTCCATTGTTCTGGTCTCCCCCCTACTTCTTCTCTTTTTTATCTTTGGCTTGGTCTTGTATCTAGACAACAAGATCTAACAGACAGCCACAACTTTAATCAAGATTAAATCTCATATGAACTACTCTGATAGTAGAAAAGAAAATTGATTATATGAATAGATAATAAAATAACATGTTGACAAGTTTCACATAGTAAAGCATTTTCAGGAAGGAAACCAAGGAAACTTCAAGTGACAACTTTGCCTATTTAGACAACATTGAAAGTGTAGATCCGGACGAGAATCCAATTAATTTTGCAGCCATGCTGATAAAAAGTTTGTGTATTTTGGACAAACTGCCATTTGCCATAACTGTAAGTTTCATTGAATCATGTCAAATACTTTTTAATTTATTTGTACTACCACAGAAACTGAAACTTCGAAAACTCTTTAAACAGTATAAACATCTTTCAGGAAATTGTTCAAGACATGCAAACGTCCCTTTTTCACATCATCGAACGCGCCACACATTATGTTAAAGACTTTATAGAAGGAATGGACCCAAAACTGGTTCTGAAAGAACTTATTCAAATACTCTTTCTTCAATTCAAAGATGTCGCAGATTCTCATCGCATCATACTCGGCTATATTGAGAAAGCTTGCAAAATATATAAAGTTGACACTAAGATCTATAACCTGCAATTCTACTGGGGACAAGTCCAAGAAGTGCTGCAGTCATTTCTTTCTTTCTATCTGGATATCCAAAACACATCTGGTGATTTGCAGATCAATGATAATCTTGATACCAATGATATTTCTGTGTATTTTTCTAGAAGAAAACAACCAACGTAAGTAAAATTTTTGAATCATTATTTTGTTACTGAGAATGTCACGGGGTGGTATCGCCTCAGTTGTTGGAAACTCATTTACGACCTACAGTGACAAACAGCAATTAAGTTTTCGAAATGTTATGTTTGATAATGCGAATGAAGCCTTTAATACAGAAGCTATTATTTCTAGCTTTCACACAGTACCATTAAAAGTATTTTATAATATTTTCAGAAAGAAAAAGGCATTGTTTAAGTTTGAAGGTTCATCAAGTGCTCTTACTCTAAGCAGTACCATTAAATCTGCAAAAAAAGACAAAGTACTTATATGCACACCCCATCCAAACAACATACTGACATTGTTTATACCTTTCATGTGCTTCATCGAGGAAATTGAACAGATAACTGGTGTTAAACATGGGTAAGTTGCTTGGTTTGACAATCTGATATTTAGCACCTGCCAAATAAAAGCCACTTTTTTTAACTGTTTTGTTCTGTATGTTGAACTATCAAAAACAATATTTTTTTATTTGATATCTTCATGATGAATAATACGTTTTCATTCTTGTTTTAGCACATGTGCTCTTTACCAGTTCTTGACGCAATACGTTTTGCACGAATATTTGAAAAGAAAATCCAACGAAATACTAGAGCAAATTGAATGCGCTGTTAGGGCACCAGATGCTTGGAAAAGTGTTGTTCTTTTGGACATTTCTTCAGATTATAAGCCATTGTTAGTTGTAAGTACGGCATTTTGCGTGAATATGCTTTAGTACGGGTGGCCGACGCAGAATCTGCTACCTTACTAAAGTGTGTGTTCTGTCAATTCCTTCTTGCCTGTCCGACTGGTCTGTACGATATTTGCTACTGATTAATGAACTTTCTCTTTTCTCTGTCAGTGCTAGAGAAAGAAGTTGCTGATAGAGACGTTCGTTGTTTTTTTAAAGATTACCTTAAAATGCCACTGTAAACTTTAACCTTTTTAAACTTTTGCAATATATTTTTAGAATACTGTCACAGTAGAAAGATGTATACGAGAATGGAAAGCAGTTCTCCAAGCTTTGCCTCTCTATGGAGACAAGATAGCAGAATACTCATATAAAGCTTTAAGAGAGTACAAAGATACGTGTTACGCGGTTTATAGGGGAATAGTACAGCCTCATACTGAAGATAGAAGAATATGTAGTGCAGCCTGGTTGAAAGATGAAGATATTAGTAGGTTTTTAAAGTGAGTTTAATTGCATGTAGCTGTGAGTTCAGAAACAAAAATTTGATATGAAACAATGAAACATTGCTATATTTTTTGCACATAGTAATATTGACACATTTTTTATAGTTGGTGTTGTTTAGGGAAAATTTTGACACGGAAGCGAAAAATATCGTTTTGTTTATGTCCGATTGAAGGAAAAAGCTATCATGTGGTAACCATGCCACATGTTTATTGTAAGATAGTGCTCGAATTAGTCAACATCCTATTCAAAAACACATAGTTATTAACTTTTTTCTCAGTTTGTATTTGACCAGGTCTTTTACTGTGCCTACCTCGACGGTCCTGCAAACGGACTTTGTACGATGTAAACAAACCTACGCGGAGCGAGATGGAAACGTTAAGCAAAACGGTCGGAATACGATTCTTCGGCAGCATCTTGAAAGCACTTACTGTAAACTAACATTATATCGACCAATTCGTTATTGCTATAGGAATGTGCCATTATAGGTATTTTTCATGTCCGATTTTTAAACATATAGCTGGGCTTACCTACACATAGTGTTTGGGTTGGATACTTGCACAAGTAACTTTTCACTTTTCTACCTTTGATATCCCAGTTAGCTTATGAGTTTGGAATGTGTTATTAGAAAAAAATGGCATCCAGTAGGTTGACTCTGCACTTCCATCACAACTCTGTCATCAGTTCATAAAAGATTATACTCTCTGAGAAAAAGTTAGCTAGATGGGCCAAAGACTAGCGGACAGACCGATCGACAAACAGACCGACCCACGAAAATAAGTGACATAGTTTTTCATGATGTACAAACATGTCATATAACATCCAAAAAAACATAATATCCATTTTCGAATTTTTTGGCGAATACAATACCCTCTCGCCAGTGGCGTGGGAAGTAAAAACTTATTATTTCTATATACTCCATATAAAGACTAATTAATACTTTAAAAACATCCTATATTTAAAGAGGACTTAGATGTGGAATGTTTGATTATAAATTCTAGATCTCCTTTTATTTTGGGTAATATTTTGCGGATTTAAATTAAATTTACTCAATATAGATTTATATAAATAAATTATGATGTAATGTCGACTCTGTTTTTTACCTTGCAGATCTCTTCCAAACTGGCAGCAACTGAAACAGCAACAAGAATTCAGGGCGCGTGGCGAAAGAAGAAGTGGAGGAGGCACGTTACGCCGTGCAGGTCAGCAACCCTCTTTAGACGAGGAAAGTCCCGAAGATATCAGGGTAAGGAACAGAAGGGAGGCAGAGATACTAGCTGGGAACCTAGGAGAGGGAGGAGTAGCTGCAGGGGAGATACTGTCTGATATGGGCTTGTTGAGAGAATTGGCTCAGCTACAGGAAAGCATGGTGAGTAGAAATGAGCTTTGTATGCCTTGTTCTTCAGTTTGGTTGATTACATTTGGTGATCAAAGAGGGATTACCTGAGCTTTCCAGGATGTTGTCAAATAGACAAGATCATTCGGATGTGCCACGTTTGCCTTTTCCAAATTCATTTTGCAAACAAACAGCTCGGTATACCTACGCGTTGCGCGAATCCTTCGTTATAGGCAAGTCCGGACCTGATATTGCAGATCTTTTTGGTATCTTGTGTTACTTGAAATACATTTTTATTTTTCTAAGAACAGGTGGGTTGTGAGATCTGAACCAGTAAATCTTCTAGGAATAGCACTTGATACCAGACTAAACTGGGCTTCTCACATTGATTATTTACATTCTAGACTGTCTACATAAATGTTTGTTCTTGGGCAGCTATGCAGATGCCTTGATAACCATATTTTGTGGGTAGTGTACTTCAGCATGTTCACATTACATATGGCACAATGCTGTGGGGAAACTCAGTGGCATCTAATAACATTTTTATATTACAAAAAACGGCTTTGAGGATAATTACAAATTCCATATATGGATCAACGTGCAGAAATCACTTAAAAAAGTTACAAATATTACCACTTCCACCAATTTATATTTTTGAAGTCTTATGTTAGGTGCATAGAAATCTAAACAAATATCAAACCTCTGCAGAAATATACACTCATGCACTACGTTACATTAATTACCTAAGGAACCCATACTCGCGACTGAATATGACCTAACGTTAAATTATATAATTTATTCATCAATGCAAATAAGGAACATAATTTTGAAAATATTACTTATTAGTACTTCTCAAAGTTTGCGAAATTTGCTTAACCACTGTTTCTATGCAGTTGATGAGTATATTGATGCTATGACGTTACTGGGATAGTTAATAAATTAATTTGACCTCACATGTATATACGTAATGTGGCCAATAAATGGTAGAAGTATACATGGCTTTCGATGCTATAGATCAGAAAAATAGAGGTATGACTAATTCTTTGCAGGAATGGTTCTCTGTTAGAATGTTCCAGTTCACCAGCGAATTCCGTCAAGAACCATTGAATCTTTCACCACCAAAGCCAGAGAACAACCACATAGATTTAAGTCCACCTATTTCACCTACAAATTTGCAACAGTTGACCAGCATCGCACAAGAATTTGATGAGTTAGCAAACACTTGCTTACTTTTGCTGCACTTGGAGGTAAGTGGAGGTAGCACTAATGCTACAATGTGAATTTTGTATATATATTCGTTTACAAATGTTTTGAATCAATTTTCTGTAATTTTACATTATTTTCAATCAAAATTACATCACTATGCATTTTGAGTACCAATAAAGTGATTTTTTAATTTCAGCTTAAACATTTTTAAATTCGATGTCTTCAGTTTATTAAATTCAAATATTCCATTACAATTTTGGAGATGAAAACTTAGCGTGGGCCGTTAAGTTGAGCGCATTTAAAAAAATAATAGAACGAAAACTACAAAGCACAGGAAAGATAATTTATATTTTTAATAAAGTAGACTCATGAGAACTTTATTTTTTTAAAATACATAATTGAGGTTTGAGCCATCGAGGCGTACGCACTCCTCGAATTTCGACTTCAAATTCGTGAAGGCCCGCTGGTACATCGCTCGTGGGATAGCAGATATCTCCTCGGAAATGTTATGCTCGAGCTGGGCAATCGTCGTCGGTTTATTGGCGTTAACGCGGCTCTTGAGGTATCCCCAGATAAACAAATCGAGTTGCGTGAGATCTGGGCTCAGGGGAGGTCACGGAATGTCCCCTCGTCGAGATACCAGTTTTCCACTAAACGTTTTGTTTACAACTCTCGTTGGCGGTATGGGATGTCGCGCCATCTTGTTGAAACTAGGTCATGCTGTGATAGGCTTCAAAATTATGCAGTTGTGGAAAGGCCGAGTCTGGCCTTGCTCGTTTTACGAGAAATAGGGTCCGATGATTCCTTCAGCCGACATGGCCGCCCAAACTTTAACACAGGTCGTTGGTGTTTTAATTTCGGATTTTCTGCGCCACAGTAACGGAAATTTTACTTGTTGGCAAATCCACTCAAATGAAAATGAGCTTCATCATAAAAGAGAATATTGTTTAAACTTGGAAAGCGCTCCAACATTGTTTCGGCAAACGCACGGGGCAGATGGTGGTCCTGAGGTTTCAATTCATGCACTAGTTGAAGTTTATATAGGTGCAATTTGATGTCTGGCGAGCTCAGCTGATCTCTTTTTGGATGATAACTGAGGATCGCGCCGTATGGACGTCGCAACTTCGCTTACAATTTCCTCTGATTGACCTTGGACGCTCCGCAGGTTTTTGGTTCAGTGTTGAACCAAAAGAAAAGAACCTTCTGACCCACGACCTGATCGCAGTTTCACTAGGACATTGATTTAGATCATGTAAACTAAACTCGGAGCGAAACAGACGTCGCGCAATAGTGCTCGAATCTCCATTTTTGTAATAAGCCTGAACACAGAATAGCCTCAAAGCTCTAATAGGACTGTACACTGGGTTATTGCAAATTGCGTCACCACAAGAGTAGGCTGGGCATGGCGGAAGACGCTGAGTGCAGACTGTGCATGGAGGGAGATGAAACGGTCAGGCATTGTGCAGATGCCCTGCAATTGCCAGAATCAGGTACAACATAGTTTGAGACGTAGTAATCCAAGCAGAAGACCTGAAGGATATTTCTCCGAACATGTTGATCGACTTCCTCAGGAGGTCGGAGCTACTGGGGGAAATATAAATAGGTGTGAGTCACAATAGACCAAAGAGTCGCAGTGGAGGATCGTTATTGATGCACTCACAAGAAACCTAACCTAACCTTACACATAACGCACGCTGCTCACCGGTGAAACGCTCCATGGCGATTCCAATCTCCGAGCACCAAGCTACGTATCCTCATTACCCGAGTCCCGATCCCGCATGCCTGTCACGAGCAATGCGGTTTTGAAATTCGTACGTCTTTCTGATCCACCCTGTTCATTCTACTTCTAGTTTAGTAGTTATGATAATGACTTATTTGATTTTGTGAAGGTTTCTAAATGTTGTGATAATACATAATTTTTTAGTGTGAATATGAAAATCGGAACTTAATAACATATAAAGTTTCTTACATTCAACCACTGTAGTTCTTCTAACATGGACTTAATCACAGCCGACGTCAACTACGAGCCGTGATGGAAGAAAGTCCGCAGAAGACGGACGGAATGGTAGTGCTACTTGTGATGTGCCGCGAGTGATGTTCGAGAACCGCAATTTTTGAAAATAGCTTTACAGTACGATTCGACACAAATGTCAGAATATGAAATAGCTTTAAAATTTTTGAAAATACGAAATAATCGTGGTACGTCTAAGCTGCTAATGAAGTTAACCTAATTAAAAATATTTAGTTTCCTTTTTTTTAGTATCAGCACACTGTGTTCCACTAGGCCAGCTTGAAAATGAGGAGCTATCTATTTGTTTTTATGCACTTCTTTTAGTTTTACTGTTATTTTTCAATTTCACAGAGTCATTTAAAATTACGTTGTATGTGAAAAAATAGACAAAAGCTTAGACAAAATATCCGCCTAAATGCCGGGCTGCTATGATGATCCCAAAGAAATTTTGGTAATACTATTTTTGAACTGCCTAACGTTAGTAGAACTGGGAAAAGCTTCCTCTTGTAGATTGTTCCACAATCTCGACACCCTCGGGGCAAAGGAACGGTCGTATCGGCCAGTTCTGGATGTGCGAGGTTCGACACGGTTAGGATATGCGACGCCAAAGTTAGGCGGGTCTGTCTGGCAGGAAAATCGCGCGGCGACATCATGTAAGAGAGCTCTGAGGAGCAAAGCCCGTTGGTGTAGCGGTAGAGAAGAGTTAGATCGCCGACAGCTCGCCGGTGCGAAAGAGTCCCGAGACTGTCTGTTAGAGAAGAGTCATCGATCAGTCGGACGGCCCTCCTCTGGACAGCATCGAACATAAATAGTGTAGCCGGGGCGGCAGCACAACAAACGTGTGAGCAATACTCGAGGCTAGGCCTTATCTGGGCCTTGTATAGAGTGAGAAGGTCATGCGGATAAAAGTACTTCTTAGCCCTAAACAAATGGCCTAACTTTTTCCCAGCATCTGCCGCTATTGACGAGAGGTGTTCGTGCCAGATCAGATGCTCGGTGATCTGGACTCCGACCAGCCGAAATGAATGGCTTTTTGGCAGAACTCGGCCATCCATCGAAACCGGATGAGCGCTAGGACACTTTTTGTTCGTCAAAGTACAGTACCGTGTTTTGGAAGCATTAAACTGTAGAAGATTGTTGCGTCCCCAAGCAGTGATAACCTCCAGGTCTCTCGTCAGAGAGGAAGTCGTCGCCAGTCATTTTTCCAGCTCAGCGGCATAGATCGGCTTGTCAATCTGAATTCTGCATGTAGAGTGCTGTCATCAGCGAAGCTGTGGATTGGGTTGATCGTGCAGGAAGGAAGGTCGCTGATATGTGAGAAGAACAGTGTCGGAGCCAAGACCGATCCCTGGGGAACATCCGCGTTGACGTTGTGGGATGAAGAGGAGAACCCCTCAATTACGACGGATATCTTGCGGCCACAGATAGTCAGCCACCCATCTGCAAAGCTTTTCTGGGAGGCCTTAGGATGGAAGTTTGCGTAAGAGGGCAGCGTGCCACTGCTGGTCGAACGCTTTCGTGATGTCAAGAGCAACGACATAGGCCTCACGATAAGACTGAATGAGTTTACTCCACAATTGCGTGACGTAAGCTAGGAGGTCCCCAGTGGATCGTTGGTGCCGGAAAGCATACGGCCTGTCGCTAATCAAGCTGTGACGGTCGAGGTAGTCCAGAACTTCGCGATTTATGTACCTCTCCATCACCTTACTTATAACAGAAAGCAGAGCTATAGGCCTGTAGTTGTAAGGGTCGGCCTTAGATCCTTTTTTGGCATGATAAATATAAATAAAAATACAAACTAATTTTCACGTTTTAAATTGTCCAAATCCTTAACGTCCCGAGCCGCCAGCCGCTTCAGTCACTCTCACTTGTTATTTTATGTTGAAGCACTACAACTGTAAAGTTTGATAAAACCTAATTTCTCATATATAGTCATCGACCATTTTGAACACATTACGCACTTTAAAGCTTAGAAAACTAATTTTCCGAAATCACCAACTGAAAAGGTTATGTTTTTCTGTGTTTTGATCACGATTTGCCAGTCAACGCGGCGGGAGTAACACTACCACCTGCGTTGCCAGATTTATTTATCCACGGCTTGTATTGACGTAGGCTCTTAGCATATTTGTTTTTATTTAAATGCTGTACAATATCTCTTTTTCAACGGAGTTTGTGATGAAAAATATCAAATTTCCATGCTCTAGGTCCGTGTTCAGTGCTTCCATTATCTATTAGCCCAAAGTCACCAGAATAAGGAAACCCACGAACCAGATCCCAAAGTATTAGAATTAAGTAGAGTACTGGCTAATGTTGATGAAGCAATGACTAGTAGTTTACATCCTAGGAAGTGTAAGGTAAGGAAACATATTATATTGATTTTTTCTAAGTTATGTAGATTGATGTCTCTCGTACTTTCGTACTTGTCAAAATTCTGACTGAGTGATATGGAGGATGTGATCTGTGTGCATAATATCTGAACTACTCGCATTTTCTGTGTGCGAAAGAACTTTTCTAAATAAAAGCATTGTTAGGAGGTATGAATCCATACCGTAAAAAAGACTGGAACAAAATATGATTCTGTCTACAGCAACCAATGAATTCAGACTAGGAAGAAGGAGGCAGTCAAAGATTTGCTTGCCTTCTAATCCTCATAGTCTGTAGTGAGAATCAAAGTGTACTTGACATACATCACTTTTTTGTCAGTTCTCCCGTTAAATAAATACGTATATATATATATATATATATAGAGTTATTTTTTACTCGTGAAAAAGACCATATGCTTATTTTTGCGCATGCACGGCTTTTAATTGACTTGGGTATCTTCTAGTGGAATATATATTAATCAGTGTTAGTACTAACTTAAATATTGCAATAATTTCCAGTACATATTCGAGGGATTAGGACACCTGATAGCGAAAATCCTAATTAGTTCTGCACAGTACATGAATGTGATAGACGAAACTGGTATCCAAAGGATGTGTAGGAATATTTTTGCTCTACAACAAACGTTGACAAACATAACCATGACCAGGGAGGTTGCATTGGATCATGCCAGGCACTATTTTGAACTGTTCTTCCTTACTCCTGAGGTAAATATTCCCGAAATTATTGTTGTGTTTTGCAATGGAGCAAAACTGGACTTTTGACTAATTTTTAATCAATGAGGTTGAGAAAAAAAGTCTAGACATTCAGTGAATTTGCGTCTGCGTGTTGTGGTGGCATAATCAATTTTCTTTATGCGTTTTCAGTTAGGTTTCTGCCATTATGAAGACTTCAGGTACACAATAGATAACCAAATTCGTGATGGCATCCTTTTTAACGTCAAAAAATAGCTTATTTATCATTTTTGCACAAGTACCCATTTAAGATATATTATAGCTCTCTAGTGGATATGCATGTTTCGATCATTGTATATATATATATATATATATAATTTTTTTATAACGAAACTGCTGCGCAGATAGAAGCCTAATTGCCAGGACACCGCGGCTGCCATGAGGATTCCAAAGAAATTTTGTTAATCCGATTATTAGAACTGGTAAAGCTTCCTCTTGAAAATTGTTCCATAATTTCGACATCCTCGGGACAAAGTAGCGGTCGTTACGGCCAGTTCCGGATGTACGAAGTTCGACTCGGTTAGGATGGGAAGAAAAGGCAGCCGGGTCTGTCTGGCAGGCACTTCGCGCAGCTGCATCATGGAGGAGGATGGAAGTTTGCATAAGAGGGCAGCGTGCCACAGCCGATCTAACGCTTTCGTGATATCAAGAGCAACGACATGAGTCTCACCATAAGAGGGTATGATTATACTCAACAATTGCGTGACGTAAGCTAGAAGGTCCCCTCTGGATCGCTGGTGTCGGAAACCATACTGCCTGTCGCTATTCAAGCTCTGACGTTCAAGGTAGTCCAGAAGCTCGCGATTTATGTACCTCTTCATCACCTTACTTATAACAGAAAGCAAAGCTATAGGTCTGTAGTTATAAGGGTCGGTCTTAGATCCTTTTTTTTGGGATGGGTTGGACATGAACAAATTTCCAGTTTTCCCGGAAGGTGCCGGGTTCATATCTGGAAGAGACGCGAAAGAACTGGAGCAAGCTCCGCTGCGCACATTTTCAGTACAATAGCAGGAATCAAGTCCGGAACAGAAGCTTTGTTGATATTGAGCGACAAGAGCACCCGTCTTACGGTCTTATGCCTGGATGTTACTTCCCGCATAGTGTAGGAAACCCTTTGAATCGACTGCACTTGGCGTTGGGGGGACGTTTATGGTGGAGTTGGCAGCAAAGACACGTAAGTGGTGGGAGGCTACTCTGTAAGAAGTTCCTTTCAATCTGCTTGACCAGTGTCCGGAAAGACTGACTGCCATTGCGCTGCGACATTACCCTGTGCCTAACTTTTATATCGTGCGGGTCTTTGGCATTGCGAACCGTTTCATTATATTTGTTTCTAGACTCGACGTCGGCTTGTCTGTTCTCTACAGTGGGATTTTGAAGGAAGGTCCTATGTGCCTTGATCTTCTACTGGCGAGCAGTGTCCCACGATTTGTTGAACCAGCCGTTGGACCCTGATTTACGCACTTTCACTGTATGAGGGATGTATTCCTCCATCCCGACGTGGATAATTTCGATTATCGAAGAATAGACAGTCGATGCATCCACGTCAGTGAAATAAACATATCTCCAAGGAAAGGTAGAGAAGAAGTATTTGAGCCCCTCCCAGTCGGCATATCCGTAATGCCAAATTTTGCGGTCTGGGCGAGTTTCTGTTGCCACAGCGGGTTCTGACCGAAACCTAACCTCTACAGCACCTTGGTCTGAGTTAGCCAGGAGCGACAGAATGCATGGTCAGAAAGAGACTGCTGCGGACAACTCATCCGTTCTTTATCAGATTGGAGTGGACCTTGTAATTTGGGAAGCAGAGATGGTTAATCGGTGCACTCTCTGAGATATTTGTTTCCACCAATAAAAGCATCGCGGGACGATTGGATTGCAAGTAGTGATGATCAGCATCAATGTTGCTGTTAGTCCCGCATATGTTCTTGAAACAAATTTTATCTTCGATGTTGTTCACCCGAGTCCACCCTACACCTGAAAATTCCGAGAGTGAGTGAGTTTACGTCCGGTAGTCTTAGTACTCGAGAGATCCGTCATCATTAATTTCTTTGTTTGGGGAAGATCACCGACTGCGTAGCTTAGGTGTGGAAACATGCAGACATTTATAAGACACCCTGGGAAAAGCTAGCGGGTGGACCTTGTCTACCATCTGTTTGATTGCATGTTAATGATGTTTATTCCTTAATGCGTGTATAATCACTTGACCGGGAAGAAGTTGTATACTGAAAACAACAACTTCCGGAACAAACATTTGCCACGGCTCCGCTCAGTAGGGGTTGGTAGTGAAGATCTTGCTCCTTGTACGATATACGTACAGTACTGCAGCATGGACCTCACATGTTGTGAAAGGCAAATGTCCTTATGAACTATCCCACCTTTGTGACACCTGTCCTATGGGGGATCTGTTGCCGAATTGTCGTCGGTTAGAACCATTGGCTATTAATTTACATCGTCCGCTATATACTGGCTTAGTGCAGTACTAGTGATCACAATATAAGCATGATCAAAGGTGTTGCGTATAAGGTTCAGCTTAGCACTCAGTTTAAATGTACTGGTGCTGTGCCTTGTCTTGGAACAGTGGATGTTAACACAGGGACATGTGGTTAGCTACCCATGGTGTGAACATGGCCATTGCTTCTCAATGGGCAGCGGCACCCTGGGATGTTTCTACCAAATACCCATCTAGTGTCATATAATTAACTTTTTGATGATCTGACTTGCTCGTATCATTCCATTCATTTGTAAAGTACTAAATTGTTACATTTTTGCATAGATTTCTAAGTGCAATTTCCGAATTTTCACTGTGCCACCTCGTGTCTCAGCCTCTTGGGCCGCCATATTCGAGAATGGATCTCGCAGTTTTTTAATCATACTTATTACAGCGCTCATTCCAATAATTATTTTCAGGAAATTCTTAATAGTATAGTGGACAAAGGCACAGAATTTTCCGAATTAGAATACATGAACGCCCTGCAGCTGTTGAACCGAAGTAAAAAAGACCACGTATCGGTCACTGTGCATCTGGAACGATTGTCCGACATCCTAGGAGAAGTGGGGGTTACAGTTTAGCGGATCAGAAATTATCTAGAACTAACAAGTGTATTAATATTTGCTACTATAAGTGATTATTTATTACAGTACTATTTACGAACTACGAAACGTTATCATGTAAATTGTTGAAGTATTTTTTATTAAAGATGATTATTTAAAAGAATATTCTGTGTTTCTTCATTATTTCGCAAAAGGTCTAGATCAGACACGGCACTCGTGTTAAAAGAGCTGCTGATTCGTCCATAATGGAGCATTTTCAGATGTCGAACAGTTTAAACAATCTTCGATTTATTAATTCATACAGAGACCATTTTTCTACTCTTGAAAAATTAATAAAAGGTGCATGTATTCGATCTCCCAGAGGGACCCAATTCCTGACAATGATGGGAGTAGAATCAGACGAACACCAGACATTGTAACCGGTCGTCAAAAGCCCAGTTATGAACTTTTTCATTGAAAGTGAGAATAATCGCTTTTGCTCATTTGAATTCATGCCTTTTTATGTTGATTTCATATACAGTTAATATACTAGTATTGCTTTTCATTTGCATTTTATTTTGTGCAATACTGGTCATATACTGCTACCTTCCGCAACCAGTCATGGTTGAAATAGGTGCGTATTATTATGTTCGTCGGTTTTCCAAATGATTAAATGTTTCTTCGTAAAGTTAACTTTGCCATTAGAGGAGAAACTGTTTGATGACGGCGAAGCTTATACTCTTTTTTCCTACTTATTGAGAGAATGATCCTGAGAATGACTCATTTCGATGTTAAAGGAAATAGTTACTCAAAGTCTCACATTCTACTAGTCATTTTCAAGATATGGTCTCCAGGGCAGATTTTTTTCTCGGCAGCTCTGACAGCACTAATCAATCACATGAAAAATAATTGAGCTTTTCAAAAAAATATTTTATTTACAATAATGCTGGTATAATTTCTGTACGTTCATTTGTGATAAAGGTAATAATTAAGTCATCAATATTTTCATTGCTCCTCGCAATCTGTCGCCTTATAGCCTGTCTAATCTCTTCTTTTACACCTTTGTCAGCACCCCTGGTTCCTATCCTCCTGTGCCTGTAACAATGATTACTGAATTTGTATTGTGTTTTACCACAAAAGTGCAGATGAAACTATATGATGAATTAACAGACAATTCTTCATTGCTTAACGTATTTTACCTAAAAAAAAATTCAAGGTAAAACGACATACTGTAGCGCCATCTATTGGAATTTTTGACAGCAGTTTCTGTATTTACTACATATACTTTGAAAAGAATAGTCTCATAGATGGCGCTGTAGCCGCCCTCATTTTTTTGAGTACGCTCATGCAGACAGCGCCATCTATAAGACTGTAATATTTTCGAAGTATATATAACATATATAGAGAAACAGCTCATATACTGTAACTATCTAAAACTGTAATGATTCATACGCGTAATCAGAGCCTGACCGCAGCCGGGCTGTCGAGAGGATCAGGCTCAAAAAGGGTGGTATTCTAAACTCTGAGTGTTCAATTTACACATTCTAAATAATACACATTTTATTTGCCCCACAATTATCTTGACAAACTTTGAGATATTAGAATACAAGTATGTTAATAAACAAAAATTGGGAAAATACGGGCCTAGCGTTTTGATTCATTTCTTTATTGCAATTTTAATTTTTATATTGAGCTCACAAGATCTCATTCATTTGTTATAATGATCTTGAGTAAAACGGTTTATGAATTTTTGGACTTGTTTTAAGGAGAAAGCTTCCATATAGCGATGTGCTCGAATAAATAAAATATTTAATCACGATCGTGCTACTTTAACTGCGTACGCTGCCTAAATGGTGGATAATACATAACTGCTACTACTACGAAAATAATGGTCTTGAAAAGAACTAAAAAATCTGCGGAAGCATATTGCGATCTCTCATAAACAAGGCACAATAACGCTTTTCATGAGTAAATAGTCATTTTTAATCGTCCTCTGGTTGCCTTACTAGGTCCTTGCCTATTTCAGACCGAATGTCAAATGGCTTGGTTTCCTCAAGCGGTTGAACTTTGGGCTTTCATTCCATCCCGCTCGGGCGATTTTTAATTTTTTTTTACATCAAGTAGGTTTGTCCGATCGCCATGAGATAAGTTATACCTATTATTTAGAGAAACTTATAGTCGGCTTTATTTGTTAACTCAATGTGGATTTTGTACTACGATTCAGCTGTTGAACAAAGAACGAATAGCTGATGCCGCGCGGCATCCTGTTTGCCTGTAACACTATTGACTATCATGCGAGGGAAGCCGTGGGCTTATTCTAGTAAGAAGTTTGCATTTTTGGGAAATATCTCATTTGCATAAATATTTTATATTTTACAACTTTTTGCAATTCAAGTTGATTTTGTGGCTATGAAAATCATAACGTATTGTTTTTTAACTGATGAGCTCCTCGTTTGTAATAAAACATTAAATCCAGTCAAAATCAATAACTATAATAATAAGAGTAACCATGGAGGGTGAGACTGGGAGTGGAAGTACTGGAAGCCAGGCAACAAGTAGAAAGCTTCGTAAGGCACCGACAATGGACGGGTAAGAAATCGTGCTCAATGTGTTCAATTATTTGAACAAGACTATGTCGCAGGGAGGTGCACTTACGCGTTGCGAAAGCAGGACAGGCGTCCCAGAGTGGACTGTTCGCAGGGTGGTCCATTAACAGAAGAAAACTGGAGCAACTGCTGATCCAAAGTTCCATTTGAAGGGACGAAAGGCCATTAAACTAAATGGCGTTAAGACGAACCGTACATTCATTATTTATTAGGAATGACATACCAACCCTTAAAGCTATACATGCAAAGATCAAGAGTAATGCCTACACGCAATAACTGAATATAGACGACAGAGCAGAAAAATGTATTATTTGGACGAGATGTGGGTAAATGCTGGTCACAGTTAAAAAACCTGGATAGGCAAAAATGTACTAAGTAACCGACAAGCAAGCATTGAAGGGTTGTGAACAGGTCGTCGTGCACCGTCAGGGAAAGGTCAAAGATTGATGGTTACACATATTGGTAGCGATAGTAGCTTTTTATAAGGATGCAACTTGACTTTCGCCTCTAAGAAAGTGATTACCATGACGAAATGATTGCAAGCTGCTTCGATAGCTGGTTTCAAGGGGTGCTTCAGGGAGTTGAACCCAACTCCGTGATCGTCATGGCTAATGCTTCCTACCATAGTAGTCGAGCCGAACGTGTACCAAATATGGGGTCTCGAAAAAGTGAGATGCAGCAATGGTTGCGCGTACAGGGCATTCCGTTTGACGATTCATGTGTGAAAACGGAACTGTACGAAACAATTAAACATGACAAACCTGCGAACATTAGTTATTGATGAGATGGCCCGTCATTATGGTGTCACTGTGCTACATTTACCGCACTACTATTGTGAACTTAACCCAACAGAGCTCATTTGGGCTCAAGTGAAGGGTTATATTGCGCGCCATAACAACTCTTAAATTACCAGACGTCAAGGCTTGGCTAGAGAATTCCATACAGCTAGTAACGTCGGAAGTGTGGCAGAATGCTGTCCGTCATGTTGTGAAGGAAGAAACAAAAATGTGGCAGCTTGACCATAACATCGACCCCATGATTGAGCCAGTTATAGCCAATCTTGGCGAAAAAAGCGATAGCGACAGCTTGTTACTTTCAGATGGAACTGGAAGCGACGATGAATGAAGAGAGTTAGACGCTATTAGCTCATGGATAATTAGAAAAAAAACTCACAAAGGTAATCTCCAAATTTCTGATCTATAACGTCTCAAACCATTTCTTTTTTTATTAAACATATAAAAGAAATCAACTTCACCCACATTGAAAATTCATACCCCGCCACTGACAATCCGACTACCGGTGCTTGAGTGATGTTCACATGAACATTGATGAGTCATTACAGTTTTAGATAGATGAGGGTATGGTATCTCATTTTATCTCGGATAATTTTTTGGATGTGCGGAAATAGCATTAGGTTGGGTGTCTTCAGGTAGCATATGTTATTCAATGATAGGTTTCAATATTCAATATATGTCTTACCCTAGATGAGGCAGAATGTCGAGTTGCACTTGCCCTCCTTGATTTGTCCACAGATATGTTAGCTCTTCCAAAATTTCCACGTTTATAATGTAACTCTGAAATATACACAGTTTGAAATGGATGGGCAGTTCACCAGATTTTTTTGTTTTACCTGAAAGAAGTGGTATTGGAAGGACTTATGTTGATGAATCTGTTCCAAAAGTGGAGGTAACATATCTTCCTCTTGAGGCCAGTCTAACTGAATCAAAACAAATATGTGGCCTATAGCAAGTTCATTGTATGAACCTGACTTGTGCATATTATCCTGAAAACAAAACTTTCACAGAGTGTGATAGAAATCAAATCTCCACTTTCTTACAAAACAGTCACATCTGATCTGACTCTAGTGACAAATCCAAATTATTCCAATTATTTCTTGCATTAAATAATCATTGGTGAATGGAAAACAAACATTTTTAGAATACTGGTCTTACCCTTATACACCTTAGCAATATCTTTACCAAATATTGTAAAACTGCCTTCTTAGTCAATGGTAGATAGTGCAGGTGCTTTTGAGTTCCTCCAATTATCAAACTGCTGCTCAATGTACCTACACTTGCAACTGGCAGGTGTGGCAATGCAAGCAGTATTGGTTCAAAACACGACTGTTAAATATAAGCAGAAATTAGATAAAAAAGTATTAGTAATAATTATTTTCAGGAATTGGCATATGTTGGTTAAATAAACTTACACTATAATTTTTTTTCACGTACAGAATGCCCGATATCCTGATGAATTTTTGCAATAATATATCTGGATCAGTGATTTTCTGAAGAAACATTAGCGCTTCATCATATAAGCCTTTATACAGAGCATAGTCTATAACAAATCCAGACAACAGTGGATCCAGCTTTAGGTTGGCATTGAGTTTTATGAACTCTGAAACAATAGCGTTTATTCATTGTGTCATTTTAAAAAGTGCCGCAATGATTACCTCTTTGTAAGCTTTCACAAGAGTTCAATAAGTCCCAACAATTCAGACAAATTAAGAAGCTACTTTGTATAGATTTTAGATCTGGTTTTTCAACAGTAATTTGTGGTAGGGAAGATGAAACAATTTCAGCATCATTTCTGCGCTTTTTGCCCTTAGGTTCTGCAGCCCCAGGTAAAGAAGGATCTGAAATAGATGATTGCATTAATAACTTACATGGACACATTAAAAACGTCATAGAGAGTAGAGCATAACATACTCCTTTCCATCATGGATAGTATTCTAGTTGATTTGAGTTGAGCCTTACCATTGAATGCTTCTACCATAAGGTATGTTAAAGGTGTTTGTCCTGGGCTTGATTCTGGAGTCAGGCTGTGGATATATTCATGCAGACATTTTAAGAAGAATAGAGATACACAAAAAAGAAGCTGTTTCTCATCTAGTGGGACTTTTGATTTTGTTTGATAAAATTTCATGATCCTTTGCCAATACTCCTCCTTTGACCTTAAAGTAAAAGCATTTTTTAGTGATGGGCAAGATGATAGTTTCGCATTGTGGTACCACCTCAGTCGATGGAAAACTGGGACTGGGGCTGACAAATTTATTTATTCCAGCATAGAAATTTGAACCTATATTGTTTGACTTAGTAACTCAATGATTTTTGACATTTATTAAGTAAAAAACTTACCATTCTTTACCAAAGTTTATCAAGTATGGTTCCCAATTCAGTTGATTTCCAATGAACTCAAGTACTCCAAAAAGCTTTATCCAAGGTTCTTCAATCTTCAAGTCACTGTCCTAGAAAATGTTAATGGTATTTAGTATTTCAAAAAAGATCCATGTCTCAAAACTCTACATACTTGCACAGGACTGCTGCCAAATCCCAGATAATACAAATAGAATTCTATAGCTTTGTGTAGAAGTTTATATAGCATTTTTGATGACAGTTCTATCTTGATATCTTCACTAGCTAACAAAGGAAGCAAATCACATACTAGTAAACGTCTATAAGCATTGATAGGATAGTGACCATCTACACTATGTTTCTCTGCACTTATTAATGTTTCCACTAGCCTTGGCTGTAAAAAATAACATTATAAGTTCACAATATTTCCATAAAAACATTGGAAAGTTCAAATAATTTATAACATCTCATAACAGAAATTTAAAAATGTTTCACTGAAACTTACCCCATTGTTAGATATTGCTGTTGGAAATCTTTGTAAAAGTAACAACAGTAGTCTACAATGTTCCATTGTATCTTCACAATGTTCTGCTGTGAATAGTAGCAATTTATGTTGCACCTCTATAAAAATAAGATGTTATTCCATTCATCCACTTAAAAGAATACCCTACATGACCTTGAATTAGGCATCATTTGAAAAAGTTCAACTAAGAATTTTGAGTTTAACATTCATAAATATTAGTATTTATTAGATTTTAAACTAGTGGCATGATCTAGAACTTTTTAGTCAAACTTCTCTAAACGATGCCTAATTCAATGCCATAGACAGTAGGAATATTTGGGTTAACATTATTTTGTGAATAAATATGTAGTCCTTGAAATATATTGTAATACTATAATGAAGTCAACAATCACCTGATGATATATGTCGGAACATCTCACAGAGAAACTGGTTTTCAGTATCATGGGAATTTGATTCAGCTCTCAGAGCTGCTGTAACTTTTTCTACTTCTTTCCACAGTTCTGGTTGTTGTTGAAACTTTGAAATTCTGAATAGAGTAAGGCAATAAATTGAAAACCAAATGATATATGCAGTTGCATAAAGAACAAATATTTTGAGTTGCTACTGCAGCAGACCTTAAGAAGTTGGCCTTGGTATTTCATAATACATTTGTTTTCCACAGTTGCCCAAGAACATGCAGTTTGATTTCAATAGCATGATACCCAGTGGCTGGTGAAAGAAAAAATAGCCCCATAATTTAGATGCTACCATAAATTACTGACAGACTAGGCCACATGTATGTAAAGTTTTTATTACAACATTGAAAGTTGTACTTACAATTCACTGAAACACTTTGCTGCTTCCTTAACATGTCCAGCTTTCTTTTCGATCATGTAAGCTTCAAACTACAAGAATTCTTCGTTAATATGTGTTGAATAAACCAACCAATACAATAACCAGATTTACCTGCACGGAAAAATTATTGGGGTACAGTGTCTTAGCAGTTAGCATCCAAGCCTTTGCCTCTATAGGATTTCCGTTAAGTATACTTTTGGCTTTTTCGATAACGTATTCTTCATCGGATATTTCTAGATCGATCTCCATAGTTTTTTCAAAAAATTAACAGAAGTAGAAGGTAAAATTATTTGTTTCTGTATTATTTGTTTATTTTTGTACTTAACCGGGCTCTAACCTAAAAAGCAAACTGTCTATGTCACCTATGTCAGTGTCGCTAATTGAGCTGATTTTTCGTGCTGTTCACCGATTACGACCGGTTAGCATGGTTGATGTTGGTCTATGTTATGACGTCATAACAAGGAAGAAAATGGGAATCTAGTTTTTGAATAAGCCTACAGAATAAAATGACCGAGGAAACTGCCATTTCTTTTGAGAAAATTATCTATCTTCGTGTGAGATAAAAGTTGCATTTTCATTTGTTTTCTCGATTTTATTGGTGACTACATTGAGAGCTTGCGCACAACTGGGAACGGCCTTCTTTCTTCTGTCACCCTGCGGTATGTCCTAGTTCCAGCGTTGATTCAGATTCCATCAGGAAAATGTCATTTAAACATTTCAATTTGGTGGCTTAACGCCATTTTGACGCATTTTTTCAAATGGAACGAGGGACATATTATAAGTTCTTACTAACCCTAGAAAGCATATATTTTCTATCTGTCAAAATGGCAGATTGCTGGGCTGTCAAAGTTGAGTGCTTTTGTGCACTGAATCGCCTATAACTCAACCATTAATCATTAAAACGTTATATGTCAATATCCTTCTTTTGCAAGGCTCTACCTGAATTTGTAATAAGATATGGGATACCTATTCCATTCTGGAATTGACAGATTCTGACATTTTTGTAAATGATATTGATAATATATCCGGATATATTTTTTTCAAGAGCAGAATATTGATATAAGATATATATTGCTGCAAACCGAAAAATATGCATTTAATTCGAGTAATATCAATAGTAAATAGGCGCATACTTGGGACCATTCAGGAATTACGTAAGCTCTAAAGGGGGGGAGGGGTTATTTTGGATGAACTTTGGGATGGGGGGTCTAGATGGTGATTATGTCAGCAACATTTTTTTTACTTTTTAAGATTCTCTATAAAATATAGTCGATTTTGATTTGAGCTCACATGGCGACTCTGCTTGGCTATGCTCGAAAGCGAAACGCATCCTTAGGTATTATTCGCTTATACAGGGAAAACAAATTTGTCTGACTCCTCGAGTTCAATGTGTACGAGTGAGGAGCGCGAGAAGTGTGTATCAACACATGTTAGAAAGAGACAGAAGCCGGGTGAAGAAAGAAAGTCATCACCACATTGGTGAGGTTACTGCCAGACCCAAAAGGAGGCCTGTCCGACAATTAATATTTTGATTAGAATTATTTATTTCAATTTTGATATGACCTAGTGTATTGATTTATTTTAGAATTATCTTTTATTTTCACCGATGGTAATAAATTCAACATCCTGAGTTGTTTTTAAACTTTGCGCAAGCGAGCGGTCGTAAAAAACCATTTCGAAGCAGGAACCCAATGAACACTAGATGGGTACTGACCAAAATCGCTCATATATGATCATGGAGGTGTAAACCTTGCCTTTAAATGTACGAGATGCGGTATTGCCAAGCGATCCAATATGTAATGTTGCAGATTTGTGACGATCCAGACCTTTAATTTCGACCTCAAATGCAACGCCACTAGGACCGATCCGACACAATTCACCATTCAAAAATGCGTACGCTCAAAATAAAACCATTATTTGGATGTAAAGAATATACTAACGCATATTTTCAACATGCATCTTAATTTAGAGAGTTGGTGCATCATAGGGGCAACGCGGCAAATTGCCGCGTCACCGCGTTGCTAGGCAATTGTAAAAAAATTACTTACGTTAAACTTGAACGGTCCCCTTGCAATACCATGCATTCAGCGTTAGGGCGTGCTACCGAATCTCTACCACCGTTCCACCTCTCTAACCACTTGACATAATATAAACAAAGCAAATGCCTTCGACGTATCCAAATAACCTGACCATCATTGTTAATATTTTATTACCTCATCAGAGGCGGAGATGTCGATAACAGAATATCAATTAACATATATTTATATTTTATGCCACGTCATGTTAATTGATTAGTTAATTAATAAAATAATTAGTAAAAGTGGCGTGCAAATTTAGGGCCTAGCTCAATAAACGGAGAGTAGGGGGCGGTTAAGAGAGCGTTAAAAGCGCGTTAAAAGCAAATGCAAAAAAGATAAAAACGCAGGAGAGTGATATACCCTCAGAAATTTATCCGTTGTTCTAAAATAACTTTATAGCAGCTCGAAGATCAAAATCATAATCCATGTGTGGAGTAAGCCCAAAAGAAGGTGACATGTAGGCACTGCCCCATATTTGAATACGTAAAATGCCAAACAAAATCAAGAACACTCTAAGAATTTCAGTCAGCAATAATCAATATATTAATATCTACAAAATACCCAGTTAAAATGATATTTTACCTGTTCACATCAGGGTTTTTTTTGTCAAGGGGAAAGGCTGACTTTCAGCAGAATCGGCTGCAATACAGCAACAAGGCAGCTACAAAACAAAGCTGGGGGAGTGTGAATGGTGGTTCTCCTCAATGCCTTCCCACTAAAGGAAGCAGATATTGAACAAACTTCTTCAGGACATGCATTAATACTCGTGGTCCGATGGTATACAAAAAAAAACTTACCGCTGAGGGTTGAAATTTAATAAGAAAATTGACCGGGTTGCCCCCAAACCAAAACAACTAAACGTAAGGTACAAAATAAAAGAGTAATACTCCATAATCTGGTGTTGGTGGACGTAATATCCCAGAATCTGTAAGTTAACGAAACGACGCTCACACCAGTAGAAAGAAAAGAAAAATGGCGCTCAACCCGTCTGTACACGTAAGTTTTTGAAAGAAGGTATCTTGATGGAAACCAAATATTCCTATACGCCTAGTACGTCCAGAAATCACAAGGTGACGCTTGCCAATGGGGGAACCAACTCTACGAGAGACCAACGATATTTGTTGTGCTCAAAAGATTTTAACACAACACTGAATCGCTGAGAAAGAAAGATATTATACGTGTGAAATTGTGCAATCGATAAAACATGAAATTTTCCAAAAGAAAATCATTAAAAAGGATTTGGCGTAGGAATCCGCACCCACATTAATAAGGAGACATTCAAAATATTAGTAAGAGATCAAAACAGTAAAAAAAAGGGTTACCTGGTTTTGGCACGTGACACACCCATTGATAAGGGGCTTCGTAATAAAGATCCCCAAGACTCCAATTATATTTACAAAAAATGTTCCAAGATGACGCCCGGAAGCCATATTGAAATACTCAGCTGTCACTTTTAGATTTAGATGATTATGGCTTACGAAATTCATGATCATGATTATTAGAGTGTATGGTTGCATATGACCCAACTGAAAGCTTACCCTGGGAACAAGTGCCCAAAGGAGGAAAGGAATGTACTTATAACATAAACAGGCTTAAGGGCGATCGTGTTGAGTGACATTAACCAGACTTGTGAACATTTTAGAAAGATTTCGGGTGCTACAGGGTTGAACTCGCGTGCAAAATGTGTTGGAGATATTTTTTATGCTTACGCAATTAGAGCTTCCTTCCTATTTCAGATTCTTTCCATGTGCTATAAAATCCTACCGCTTTCAACACAATCATGTGTTTTATTTCTTTTTTAACTTTGAACCTGCAGCACCTCACGTCCCTCATTTATGTTTTGCAGAACAGCTGTCCGATAACATTTTTACATATGTCCAGCCGCACATTCTGTTCGCTATTGTTCTGGCCAAATGTTTTACTACAGGTCCTTACACAGGGCCTTACCGCCGTTTTGAATCACCCTAGTGCCTCGGTTCTAACGTAGAGTGAACATTTTTTTTGCAATATGCAATATCATTCTAAAGTATTTTGGTTAACCCTGGTAATATATGATCTCATGTAACTTCTTAAAACAAAACTCTTTTTTTTGGTCTCATGGCCTCCCTTCATAGAAAGGTATACTTAGCAACTATTTTTCAAACGACTGAGGTTACTAAGGCACTCCAAAAATACCGATTCATTTTCTTTGGGGCACTTTTCGATACAATAAACATAATTTCCAAATCGCACTAAATCAAAACTCACACGGGCCGATATGACGAGTGAGTTCTATCCCACTTCTGATATAGATCGAAAAACATAGGAATAATTCAAGTTATTGGAGATATCAATAATAAATGGACGCGGACTTGGTAACTTCGTTTTCATCAGCGTTAGGGCGCGGATTCAATTCGAGTATACCGCGTTATCCCAGGCTATCTCCCTTGCGTTCCTCTAGCCACTTGTCTTAACATAAATAAAGCTGATGGTCCTTTGATGCATCCCCTAATATCCTAAGCATCATCGTTAATATTTATTATCCCATCATAGGCGGAGGTGCCGATTACATAGGTATAATTTTTGGTAAAAAAGTTAAAATCTCTTTTCATCTGGGCGGCATGCTGGTCGTTGTTCTGGGGCCACTCAAATGTTCGTGAGAGGTTATCTAGTAAAAGTATATTTTCCATCCTAACCGTGTCGGACTTCGTACATCCATAACTGGATGATACGACCGCTCCCTTGTCCCAGGGTATCGAGATTGTTGAAGAATTCTACTACGGATTAATAAAGTAGAGTAGATTCTCTCAGCCCAGTTTTCTTCCCTGAATATGATCCCAAATTCTGACAGCTGTTAACGAGTTTGTGAATGCACCCATTTTAGCCAAACCAATAATAAATGTTTCTGGATTATTCGTGCCGTTAAACGTTCCATCACAAAGTTGACATTGTCTAATCAATAGGAGAGTGACTATTCTATCAGTGATACAGCTTCTATTAACCACGCCCACTTGTTATCAGTGATTCTGTTGGTGATTTGGATCTCTACTGATATATGAACAGAAAATTCTGGAATGAGGCCAGTTGTCTGACTGGCAGTTTGCATTTGTTGCTGCCACAGTATGGCTTCTCCTGTTAATGAATGTTTCTTCAATAATAACGTCTGCGATGTAAAACTTCATGAAATGGAACTAGTTCATTGCTGTCTAATAAACCACCATCACCACTACCATTTTAAATTCTCAATGTCGGATGTCGCTCCAACGAATTCGAGTATTTTAGCAGGATAAAAGCATACATGGTTGCATGACTGTGTTTGTCGTCAAAATTATGCGGTTTTAGTCCATACCTCTAAGTAGATTTGTCTGAATCCCTGGATGTCAAGCCGATGTCA